CTGCTCCTGTCGCTTTAAGTCGTTCTTTGTCCTTGGAGACAGTGGAGGAGGGCCAGACTCTCTCTCTGGGGCTGTCTCTTCCGCATCTGAACCTTCCTGAACCTCTTTCCCCACCTCTGACTGCTCAGACTCTTGCTCTTCCCCCTCTCTCATGGGTGGCACAGAATCCCACAAATCATGGCCCCCTTCCCCTGAATCACCCTCCTGCCCCCTTGCCTCCTCTGCCCCCCCTTTGGAGTCTTGCCAGTCCCTAACATCAGAGGCACCTGAGGGTAACTCAACCCTGGAGTCTCCTCCATACACCCTAGAGGTGGCAGGTGGCAATTGGGACTGGTAGGGCAGAAGGCAGGGAGATCACCAGTAGGTGGCAGCAGCTGGTTCTGGTTTCATGTCCATCTTCCTCTTCCCAGCTGACTTCTACAAGGCGCAACACTGAGACTGAGGAAGGAGGAAGGAGGAAGCTGACAGGCTGCGGCACCCCCTAGACTACTTGTAAATAAGAAGGCAGGCAAGCGGAGGCTGGCCGAGGCTGGTGGGACAGTGGCACGGTAGCAGGGTGGCCCATGGCTCCTTTGTGCACTTCAAACCCTCTGATGCCAAGCCTAAGGCCCAAACACAACTCTCCCTTTTTTGCAGGCCATGAGTTAAACATGCCACCCTGCTTCCCCACAGCCCGCAGCCCCTTCCATGGCCCCTGCTCAGGCATCTCGGGGTGTTAGCGGCAAGCTGACAGGAATCTGTTTCCTCAGCGCTTGGGCCTCCCCGGCCTGGTCCCAGCAGTCGCGTGAAGCCTTCATGAGGCCCAGGAGGCAAGGTGTGTTTGAGTGGTTGCCTGGGCAACAGCCAAACACTCCCTGCATAGCATAAATGGTGGGATAACTTTGCGCTGAGAGCAGGGGGGAGTGATGGTCGACAGTTGCCCATCGAGACTCAAAGTCCTGGGCTTAAAGCATCTTTTATCCCTTCAATCTATCCAGGGGCCGGCCTTTAAACTATGCCTGAAACCTTGGGCCTTCAGCTGCTGCCAGTCAGTGTAGAGACTACTGAGCTGTTGTGGCAGCAGAAAAAGAGGGGAAATGCTGTAAGGTCCTGGCTGTTGGGCATGTGTGTTGCGGACACACTAAAGTCTGGTGCTGGCCCTGCATTGTGGCTGCGGAAACTGTTTCAGAATGCAAGGTTTTGTAAATATAGGCTGCCTTTAAACAATCAGTCAAGGAGGGGGCCAAGCTGTACAGTGGTACCTCTGGTTAAGAACTTAATTTGTTCCGGAGGTCTGTTCTTAACCTGAAACTGTTCTTAACCTGAGGTACCACTTTACCACTGCTGCTGCGCAGACGGCACAGGATTTCTGTTCTCATCCTGAAGTAAAGTTCTTAACCCAAGGTACTATTTCTGGGTTAGCGGAGTCTGTAACCTGAAGCGTCTGTAACCTGAGGTACCACTGTATCTGGAAGGAACCTCCTCTGTCACTTCTATCACCCACCATATGTCTGCATCAGTATGAATTCTGGAATAAGCAGGCTCAAACTCTCAATGTGTGATGCTGCCTCTGAGGCGGAGGCTTTTCCTCATCATCTTGCTACCTAGCTGCTGCCCCAGACACCCTGTTTGTTGAGCATTCATGCTGATTTGCTTGCACAATGCTGACTTGGGCATTTGACTATGCCTTGTCTTTATCGATTGTTAATCAGAATATTTTACAGGGTAGTTATGCAACTATGAGCATTCACCCTGGTTTACTTGTAAGGTGTTTATATGTATTCCTGTTCATTCACCCCACACTTTTCACTGTATTTCTGCATCCTCTAACCCCCAGATATATGACAACCCTGCAAGCAAATCAGGATGAATGCTCAATGAAGATTGGATAGTAATTACAGTGGTACAGTGGTACAGAGGGTCTTCTCGGTAGTGGCGCCCGCCCTTTGGAACGCCCTCCCATCAGATGTCAAAGAGATAAACAATTACCTGACATTCAGAAGACATCTTAAGGCAGCCCTGTTCAGGGAAGTTTTTAATATGTAACGCTGTACTGTTTTTAACACTTGATTGGGAGCCGCCCAGTGGCTGGGGAAACTCAGCCAGATGGGCAGGGTATAAATAATAAATTATTATTATTATTATTATTATTATTACCTCGGGTTAAGAACTTAATTTGTTCCAGAGGTCTGTTCTTAACCTGAAACTGTTCTTAACCTGAAGCACCACTTTAGCTAATGGGGCCTCCCGCTGCTGCCGCGCCGCCGGATCACGATTTCTGTTCTCATCCTGAAGCAAAGTTCTTAACCCGAGGTACTATTTCTGGTTAGCGGAGTCTGTAACCTGAAGCATCTGTAACCTGAAGCGTATGTAACCCGAGGTACCAGTGTATTTCCAAATCTGAGCCTATGCATATAAATTAGCATATGCCAATTTTATGCAAATCTGTGTCCTTTTTTTGTGTGTGGTGCATTTTCCTCCCCCATTTTCCCCCCAGAAGCAGGCAGGCTAATCCCAATAACTGCCCAAGCAGTTTTGATTGCTGACGACAGTCCAGGGTACCATATACAGGAGGTGGAAAAGTAAGAGCTAGGTACTGTTTTTTTGCTCCGTGGGGCAGGCAGTGAGAATAATTGCTGCAGATATCCCCACAGTCTATCTGCAAAATACTGGAGTTTATTGCTGTTAAAATGGATTTCAGAAAACCGTCCCTCCCAATCTGGGCCAGCTCAACAGTCCTGCTTGCCCCAGAAGGGTGTACTCCAGCCGTCTCGGCCCCTTGACACGCACACCCCGATCCCCTCCCTTTTTCGCTCCCCGTTTGCAAAATACTTCATCCAGAGCAGCACATTCCTGAATGAGTGCCATATCGCTGGCTCGTGGAGTAACTCTACATCACACCATGTTGCAGAGGGGAAAATACGCATCAGCCTCACAGATGGGTGTGCATGCAAGGGTGGGACCAGCAGGCCGAACTTTCCAAAGGCCTGCCTCCCCACCCCACCCTTGACCACCAAGCCCCCTCTTTGGCCCTGAAAAGTTTGTGTTGTGGACAACACCAGTAGATGCTATACAGTACTATCTCTCCAAGGATGTGAAATCCGGCAGCAGACTGTAGGCTTTGGCTGCCCCCTGGTGGCTGCTGAAGTGTGAGCAATTTTTTGCCAACCTTCAACCTGACCGACTGCTGCTCTTGTTACGCTGGAACAGCACAACATGCACATTTGCCGCATATAAATCCAGCCTGCATTCTCCAAACATACGTGCATTCCAGGCAGCTGCTATAAATTGTTCCCAATCTGAAGCTGGTCTGCTCATGTGAAGGGAGAATCTTCACCACTCCTTGGTTTATAAGAGTGCCGCAGCTGTTATAACCAGTCAGGCCTGTGCGGAGCTTGTCTGAGGCCTGGGGCAGGATAGAATAAAGTCTTGTTAGAATAAAGCTATAAACTCAAACAATAAAGCAGCTCTCTGAGATGCCCAGGGCAAGTGTACCCAGCTGCCCCCACACCTGCACAGGTCTGTTGTGGTTAACATGTGGAACTCACTGCCACAAGATGGCCACCAAGACAGATATCTTTAAAAAGGGATTAGTTAGATTCTTGGAGAATATCAAGAGGCGGCTAGTCCTGATAAGACATGGAACTGTTTTATTGCACTTTTTAATTATGTATGGTTTTTGTAATTGATTTTATAGCTGTGACCTCTTAGAAGCCATTTGGACATGTACCGTATTTTTCGCCCTATAGGACGCACTGGCCCATAGGACGCACCTCCTTTTTTAGGGGGGGAATGAATAAAAAAAATTTATCCCCCCCCCAGAACAGGCTGCTATCCGCAAGCCTTGCAAGCCCGCGGCAACTCCCGCCGGGCTCGCAAGGCTTGCGGACACCTGCGCGAAGCACGGGGCGCCCTCCGGAGGGCGCCCCGTGCTCCAGGCAGCAGGCTGCTATCCACAGCCTAGGGAGCCCTGCGGGAACTCCTGCAGGGCTCCCTAGGCTGCGGATATCTTTCCGAAGCGCGGGGCGCTCTGCTTCAGCACGCCCCACGCTCCGGGAAGCAGGCTGCGGATATCTGCCCAAAGCGCGGGGCGTTCTGCTTCAGCGCGCCCCGCGCTCCGGGCAGCAGGCTGCTATCCGCAGCCTAGAGAGCCCTGCAGGAACTCCCACGGGCTTCCCAGGCTTGCTGATAGCTTCCTGACCCCTCTCGCTCTCCAAGCTTCAGCGAAAGCCTGCATTCGCCCCAGAGGACGCACACAGATTTCCCCTTCATTTTTGGAGGGGAAAAAGTGCGTCCTATGGGGCGAAAAATACGGTAAGTGGTAAATAATAATAATAATAATAATAATAATAATAATAATAATAATGTTACTGATTTATATCCTTTCTTTTCCCCCGACCAGGGATAGACAGATGCTCTCTGTAGCACAAATGGGTCAGGATTCCAGGGGGCTGAACTAGATGACCCTTGAGGGTGTCTTCTAACTCTACAATGCTATAATTCAATGTGGCTTACACAAATTAAAACAACACTGATAAAATGATGATGAGCCTGGCTGTTGGATCATTTTCTCTAGATCCCAAAACTCCACAAACTTAGTCAAGTGGAATCGTTCCAAGCATACATTTTGGAAGGGCCATGGTCCTCCGGGTGTTTTGGACTGGACCTCCTGTAGCTGCAGGTCAGTGCCAGGGCGTCTGCTTTGTATGTGAAGGTCCAAGACTCAGTCACAAAACACATGCACACACTTTAGCTGTCCTCTGCAATGCAGCCTCTGAAAGAGGAAGGGGAATGATTAAATGCACCTCAGGGCTTTCCCCCTTCTTTACAGGAAGGGTCGTAGCTCAGTAGTAGAGCATCTGCTTTGCAGGTAGAAGCCAGGTTCGATCCGCAGTGGCAACCTGGAAAGGTTGGGAATGTACCCTGCTTGAAAGCCTGGAGGGCACCTGCCAGTCCGTGTAAACAATACTGAGCTAGAGGGGCCAACGGTCTGACTCAATATAAGGCAGCAATCTGTTTCCGTTATATATAATGTATTGAACAGGGTGCATTGGCTGCAGATGCAGCTGGAGGCGATCTGGTTTCTTGGTCACTTGGAGCCACTTGCTGCCTGCCCTGGCTCCCGTTTCCCCCTCCCCTCCAGCAGCCTGAGATGGGTCATCATCCATTTGTCCTCATTCTTCTTTGGTCCGCTGGCTGCTTGCCTGCACGGTAGGATGAGTGTTGCCTGGTTACTGTGCGCCAGACCATGTCAAGAAGATTCTCACATTCAGACCATCGTGACTGCAATACCAAATCAGAAGCAGGCTTTAAAGTGGGTCAAGGAGATCCATTTGGGGGTTCCAAATAATTGGCCTCGCACAGGGTGTCATATTACGAAAGATTACAAAAGTCCACCCCTGTCATGTGCTAGATGCATCAATGGTCTAACTCAATATGCAGTACCCTCCTATATTCCTGTGCTTTAAGAGAATATGCAGGAGTTCCCAGGTTCAATCCTAAACATCTCCCGGAAGGGACAGGGAAAAGGCTTCCTGTCTGAGATCCTGGACAGCTGCTGCCAGTCCGTATTGACAATGCTGAGCTAGGAGGATCAATTATTTGACTCGCACTTCCTGCGTTCCTAATCAATTCCTGACAATGCGCAAACATGCAGAATTATCCTCCTGGGGTTCTTCCCCTCTCCCCCCCCCCCCACGCCCACATCCCCTTTTCTCCATTACATGCCTTTTGTGAATTCTAAGACCGCCCATCGATATGATGTTCCCTGCGGCATCTTACAGGCCCCCCACTTGGCCTCCTCCACCAAGTCACCTTCTCAGACTGAGCTGCAGCAGATCCAATTTCCCTTTTCCAACTTGTTAAAAGGTTATTTGGCAGGCCTGCGGGCTGAGCAAACCAGTTCTGTCCCCAGAGCTGCATGTCGGCTATAAATAATCCTTTGGCAATGTGACGTGCCAGTTGCTTAAGGCTTAGCATTTGCTCCTGATAGGACGTCCCCGTCCCCTGAGCTGATGTGGGAGGCCTGTAGGTGAAAGGACGGAGACACAGAAAGCACTCTTGAACCACTTTGTACCACTCTACCCCCGAGGAATTCTGGAAACTCTATTTCATCAAGGGTGCTGGGAATTATAGCCCAACTTTCAGCACCTTAAACAAACTACAGTTCCCAGAAGTCTCTGTGGGAAGCCATGACTATTAACATGGCATGTGTTGTAATATGGTTTTTTAGCCTATCGTCAATTTTAATTGTTTTCGGAATTATTAATATAAACATTTTGTTTATTGATAATGCCATTGTTCCCCCTCCCTCTCCAAATCAATTCTCTCTGGCTTCTGAAATTTCAGCAGGCACTACCAATCTGCGTTCAAGAAATCTTTTTCAGTCATAAAGACTAGAAATTTGTTTAGTTTTGTTTTCAATGGGGATTCTCAGGTAGTGGAATTCTGGGCTTTTTAATTTGCTCCAGGACAGAGATCTGTGGCAATTCAATAATTCAAAAGGATTCTTGCTGGAGTATAATAACATCTGATTGTACAAATCAAGTTCCACAGTTGGAGTTGTTGACTGTCACTTCACAGACCTGTTGGTGCTTTTTGTTTTTTGTTTTTTGTTTTGCCTTCAGTTCAGTATTAGATAATTTCCCGCTCTATTCATCCCACAATCTGATCTTTTTAACTTACTTATATCCTGCTATTCTAAGCATAAAAACACCACTCATAATGTCTTGTGATGAAGAACATTACAGTTTCATACAATGATCTGTACAATTTTAATTTATACAGTTAAACAGGTATTACAGGCTGTAATGTCATTGAGTTCCCCCATTTCATTTCACTGGGCTGCTTCTTACGTGGGTGCGTAAAGCTTAGCGAGCAAAATGACATCATAGCATGTGAGTGGTATTTCTAGATCAGGGAAAATAGAACCTTTTGTTGGACACCCGTCAGCTCCAGCCAGCATGCCCAATGGTCAGGGATGATGGCAGTTGTGGTCAAGTGATACCTGGAGGGTCACAGGTGCCCTGGCCCTGACCTAAACGAACCAGGTCCCCGCCTCTTACCTGCCCTAGACACAACAAGAACTCACTGTCCAGGGAAATTTCTAAATTTGCAAATTAGGAATGCAAAAAATGTTGGGCATGCTTTGCCTTGCGGATAGAGTGTGAAGGCCTGGTATTGTGATAGTTTTAAACTCAAGGTTTGGGGGAAATGTGCTTGTTGGAACAGGGTTATTGACTTGTCTTTGTGTTTTGTGCATTTTGTGTTCTCATTTTGTATTTTTGTGTTGTGAACTGTTCTGTGATCTCTGGATGAAGGGCAGTGGTATACGAATTTAATAAATAAAATGATAAAGGAAAGATGTTGCAACAGGGAGAAAGGTAAAGGTTAATCACCAGGACAGAGGATTGTTTACCTTCTGCTGGGCCCTCAAAACCCATATAAATCACATGGTTGTTGGGCCACTATGACTGCAAACAAGACGGGGAATGTCTTATCAAGTGTAAACTCTGATGAACTTCCCAGGAGCAAAAGGTCAATACTGAAATTGCATGAAGCAACCAGTTTACACACAAGCACACATACACACACACGGAATAATTAACAGAAGCTATTATTTTAAGCAATATATACAGCAAACTGCTTTCTACCAACTCAGACCACCGACCCATCTCACTCAGTATTCCCTACACTGACTGGCAGTAACTCTCCAAGGTTTCAGAGGCAGGGAGTCTTTCTCAGCCCTACCTGGAGATAGGGACCGAATCAGGGACCCTCTGCATGCCAGACACGTGCTCTTTCCCGGAGAGCTGCTACCCCTAGGCCATTGAAAACAGCTAGATGGATCAATAATGCAGCCCCGTCCCAGTTCTGAGAGATTCCTGCTGTTGTTTTTTATAAGCAGGCTGCTGGCTGCTGCTGTTTTCTTATCGACCAATTTCCTAGTGCATCGCCTCGCGGCTTTTTCTTTGGATTGCAAAAGGTTGCAGGTCTTGTTTGTCTATGATCTGTCTCTTTCCATCTGCTACTTTGAGGGTAGAGTTGAGCGGAAGGCTGGAGGGATGCGGAAAATGAAATAAAGCAAAGCAAACCAGGAAGGAAAGTCACGCGGCGTGCAGGGGTCATCCCCGCCCCCCCCGCAGGCAGAAGAAGAAGGCTGTGTATATAATGATGGGTGTTATGGGGTGGGGTTAGATTCAGACAGTTCCCATTGCCTCCCCTGGGCTTGAAAAAGCATCTCATTCTTCTTTGAATCAATCATTTCTATTGATTCCCCCCCATACCACTGTCGGATAGGAACATAGGAAGCTGCCTTAGAACAGAGTCAGGCCATTGGTCTATCTAGGTGAATACTATCTACTTATACTGACCAGCAGCAGCTCTCCAGGTTTCAGAAAGGGGTCTCTCTCCCCCCCCCCCGAGATGCCAAGGAATTATGGGAAGAACACAGCTCACTTGTAGAGCATCTGCTTTGCATGCAGAAGGTCTCAGGTTCAATCCCCAATTGCATCTCCAGGTAGGTTTGGGAAGAAACCGCAGCCTGAAATCCTGCAGAGCTGCTGCCAGTCAGTGCTGGCCCATCTAGCTCAGTATTGTCTACACTGGCCGGCAGCAGCTCTCCAGGGTCTCAAGCAGGGGTTGTCTCTCCAAGCCCTCCCTGGACAGTCCCCTGGGGATTGAACCTAGGACCTTCTGCATGCAAAGCATCTAATGCATCTAATCCCTCAGACCACAGCCTTCATTCTCCCTCAGCCTCTCGCTTTTCAAATGTAACCCCTTCCAAAATTATCCCGCGTGTCCTGGGACTGACAGCTGCCTCTTCTGCAAGGCTCCTATGAGAAGGGTGCAAGGAGGGGGGTATGTTTGCTCAGCTTTTCACAAAACAGATCCAGCTTCAGAAGGCTGCCCTCTGGAATCAGAGTCCATGCGCTTGTTGCTTTTTGGAAATACACAGAGGGAGGTTTTGAAGGAGAGTTTCCCAGACAGCAGCAACAATTTAAAAAGTAGGGCTTTGTTCAGTACAGGGGTGGGGAAACTCTTCCAGCCAGAGCATTAACACTCCAGCAGACCTTGCTCTCCCATTAGATTTTTTTTTTTGGGGGGGGGTATCACAGAAACATAGGAAGCTACCATATCCCAAGTCTTGGCTCAGTCTTGTCAACACTGGCTGGCAGCAGCTCTCTGCTTATAGGTAGGATCTTTTCCAAGCCTTACCTGGAGTTGCCAGAGACTGAAACTGGGAGCTTCTGCATGTGAAAGAGGTGCTCTACTACTGAGCTATGGCACTTCCCCCAAGTAAAACTCTCTCCAGTTGACCATGAGCCAAGATAAAACTGACCCCTGGGCTATTGCTCTCCTATACCCACCAATCCTCGCCCCCAGTCTGGGGAGGGGGGCATTTCTATGGCAACGCACCTGTACTAAAGACTAACTCTTTAGTCATGCAGAGAGATGCTTAACAGACTTGGCTAGGGCCATGAACTGGACAAGGAGACTCGCTCCACCACAGGCTTGGAGGAAGCCCAGAATAGCATCCAAAGCAATCTCTGCCCCAGTTGTTGTTGTTGTTGCTGTTTGTTTTATAGAATTCTATCCCACCGATTTCTCCTAAGAGACTCAAAGTGGCTAACAAACAACAATAAAATGAGATAAAACAACTGCAATGTTCTTAACCCTCCCTAGATGTACATTCAAATTAATCACTGCCTCTTTTTGTCTGGTCCTCTCTTAAAGCCAGCCAGGTTGGTAGCCAGCACTGCATCTTGTGGGAGCGAGTGCTGTAGTGTTGTGTATTTTCTTTTCCTCTTGTGCTCTTAAATTACATTGTTTTGATTCAGTGCTTTTTTTCAATATGGTAACTTATTAATGTGATTTATAAATATGATTATAACTGATTGTTGTGCTTTTTAGCTGTATCAGTTTTTAATTTATGTTGTGAGGTGCCTTTGGAGAAGGGTGGAAAATAAATAATATTCTAAAAAATCGCCAAGTCCTGCTTAGAGTACATCCATTGAAGAGAATGAACCCTAAGTGAGTTATGACCATTAACTTCAGTGGGTCTACTCTAAATCAAACTAGCCATTGGCAATTAGATATCACTCAATGGGCCTGCATTTGAATAAAACTTAGTTGGATACAACCCTTTGTTGTGTTTTTACGGCATCGGACTCTGCAGAGTCGCAGACAGATCCTGTGCTTAACCATGAGAGATGGAGGGTGCTTCTTACTCGCAAGTAAACACGCTTAGGACCACAACCTTCAAGCCTTTTACAAACCCCGTCATCGCCCCACCCACCCCTCTCAGAATGCGCCAATCCCCTGCGCCCCCTCCCTTCGCGCTCCATTCATAAAATTAACATTGAAGCAAACCGTGCGCTGGCCCCACCTCCCTTTCTTAAGTCACCGTGGGCTGAACTCTATTGCGCCGGCCGCCGCGCCCCCTTGCCTGCGTCGCGGGGAGCCTATCGCCGCCTCCGGAACGGGACGACGTCAGAGCCGGCGCCACGCCTACTTTTTTTTTTTTAGTTTTAACCTCGCAGCCGGCCAGGCTGCCTCGCGGTTGGCTCGTTATGCACGTGGAGCTGGCTGCCGGCGTCGCGTGACCTGGCTGGCTGTGTTGGCGCAGGCCCAGTTCTGCCTGGCCGTCCTCGGCATTGGAAGCAGCAGTAGGAACTGCGGGGATTGTGGTGACCGGACGGGGCCGGGCCGGCAGGCAGGGAGTTAGGCAGGCATGGCCGGACCCACGCAGGAGAAGAGCACGCTGCTGCACCTCTTCGCTGGAGGGTGAGTCCTTCTCCCTCATTTCATTCATCCTTCTGGGCTCATCCTGAAAGCGTTTTCTCTCCCCATTCATCCTTCGCCCCCATCCTCATTCATTATCTCCCCTCCCACACTTTATTCATTAATCTCCCCCATCCATCCCCTTCTTCCTCCATTCATCAGTCTTTTGTAAACCGCTTTGAGTTCTATTGTTTTTTACGATCAAGCGGTGTTTTAATTTTTATGAAATAAACAATAAATAAATTATTTCTCTCACATGCGCCCCTTCTCTCCATTCATCTCTTCTTTCTTGATTTCTTCCCCTGCCTTTTGACCACTACCCTTCCTCTTCCTCTCTGAATTTACATTTATTTGTTGTCTCAAATCTTCCTTGTGTCTCTCTTTATATATTGCCCTGCTGTCTTTTATGTCATTATCCTCATCCTACCCATTTTCTCATCCTCCTCTTTCAAGGGGGGTGGGGTGGGGAGAAAATAACGCTGTTAATGGCTACTGCCCATGATGGTTATGCTGTGCTTCCACGGTCAGAGGCAGTAAAAAGCTAACACTTCTGTATATCACTTGCCAGAAACCACAGAAGGGTAGAGGGCTCTTGTGTTCCTGCTTGCAGGCTTCCCATAATGGGCACCTGATTGACCACTGTGAAAATAGGATGATGGACTAGATGGGGCACTGGCCTAATCCAGCAAGGCCTTTCTTACGTTTTCCTCCATTCACCCATTTGCACATTCTCCTCTTCTTTCTTCGTACCTTCCTTCTTCTTTGCTTTTCTCTTCCGTGACTTCAAAATGGTACATCCATATACAGGCGCAGCCTACCTCTGAGGTCCTGAAAACGCCTGCTAAGGAGTGCCCAGCAGTGCACATTCTATTGGAAGCAAAATGCTTGGATAAATGAGCCTTCCATCCAACCTAGTAGGCCTTGTTTATTTATAAGGAAACACAAACATACACATGTGCTCCCCACACACTTCATAACCCCTTGCTGGCATTCATATAGTGCTTTAGAATGTCAGTTGTGTTTGTACACATGTGGCATAGTGGTTAGGCCAAGGGTGCAGGAGCCTGCAGCCCTCCAGGTGCGTTTGGGTTCCATCTCCCATCATCCAGCACGTTCAATAGTCAGGGGTCATCTGGAAGTCTGCAGGTTCCCCTTTCTTGGGTTTGAGTGTCAGACTGGAAGCAGGGAGATCTGGGTTTAAATCCCCCAATTGAACCATGAACCTCACCAGGTGCCCTTGAGCCAGTTTGCCCTCCATCAACTTGATCTATCTCTCAGGATTATTGTAAGTGTAAAATATGCACATGTGTCAATGAGAATCAGCACTGTGTTGAGCTCCTTGAAGGAAAGACAGGCTGCAAATGTAATAAAAATAATAATGCACTTACAGCAGCCCTGTGAGGTAGGCCAGTTTACTTATTACCTCATGGCTAGTGCCTTAAATGGCTTTTTAGAAGGTTGGAAATAATTATGCAGGGTGTGCCAATTCATTGCATCCATGTATAAATGCAGGACTCTGTCCTTTTTGTGAGCTTTCCAGAAGGTTGTGATTGGACACTGGGCTAGATGGATCTCTGAACCAGCAAGGCCCTTTTAATTTTTGGTCCTTTACTTTCCCAGCGGAGCAAGATCAGACCTGTGTTCAGTCGTCAACTCATTGTGTGGCTTTGAGCAAGCTGCTGGCTCTCTCAGCCACCACCACCCCGTCTGTAAAATGGGACTAACATATCTCGGTGAACAGTAGAGCTTTTCAAGTGCTTTACAATGAAAAGTGTACATTACAAGTGGTTTGGGCTACACCTGCACCTGCAGCCACAGCTCACTGGTGGGATGTCTGCTTTGCATGCAGAAGCCTCCTGGTTCAATCCCCTGTGGCGGTAGGACTGGGAGAGAATTTGTGCCTAAAACCCTGGAGAGCAGCTACCAGTCAGTGCAGACAATTCAGAGCTAAATGGGACAGTTGTATTACTCTGTATAAGGCAGCTTCCTATGGACTACAACTCCCAATGTAGCTGTAGTCTAAGACTTCTGGGGGGCGCCAGGTTGGCGAAGTCTGCTATTATTTTCCAAGGCAGGTTTATTGCATGCATTGCAAGGTTGGGGCAGACTTGTTCCTCTTGCCATCCTGGGCCTAATGGATACCTGAACAGGCATGACCAGATCTTAGGCAGGAATCAGGGGAGATTTTAGAATGTGTCTGGTTTGTTGGTTTGTTGGTTTGTTTGTTTGTATCATAGCCTGCCTTTTTTAATTGTCTTGAAAGTGAAAACAAAAGCATTTCTATTATTATTTTAAGTCCTTGTTCTATTCAGAAAGGACTTCCACGTTCTGGGGATGTGGGTTTCCCGGCTTGCTTTTTATAGACAACTAATCTGGGAGTGCAGAGACACTAAATTGTGTGCGATCCGTCCCTCCCTCCCTCCAAAGTCTGCTTCATGCATCTGCTTATTTGTGCTTAGCAAAGTGTAGGGAAATCCTTCTCTCCCCTACACCACTACTAAAAAAAACCCCCATCTAGCTAGCTTACTCTTGGCTTTCGGCTCTCCCTTTCTTTTCATTTGTCATGCTTTAGGCAAATACTGCATTATAGATTGTTGCTTCCTGGCTGCAAGTCTCACGCTGCCTTGTCTGCTCTGCACTGGTTCTTGGGCAAAGAGGGATGTTATATGGATATATCTGTCCAAGTGTTGCATCATACCAGGCCAGAGTAGAACTGAGGCAGCTTTGTGTTTTGTAAGCAAGAGTGCTGTCTGGGTATCTTTTTTGTGCAGCACGCTGTGTGTGTGGTGTTTTGATCCATGGTGACGGAGGAAGGACCCTGGATCTCAGATCTAGGTCTCTTCTTACATGGGAAGTAAACTCAGCTTTTAAAAATAGAACCAACTTCTAAGTAAGCAGAGCACATTCCCATGCATGTTTATAAGGAAGGGACGTAGCTCAGAAGGTCCCTGGTTTGATCCCCAGCATCTCCAGGTAGGGCTTGGAGATATCATGCCTGAAACCCTGGAGAGTGGCTGCCTGTGAGTGTAGGCAGTACTGTACTGCGTTAGATGGAGTAATGGTCTGACTCTGAATAAGGGAACTTGCCTGTGTCTACACAGAAGGAAGTCTACTCTGGGGTCATTAGTGCTTTCTCCCATATAGGAGATAGGCACATAGGATGCCATGGTAGCCTCAGTATCATTTGGGGATGGATCTGTGTTGTGTTTTTAGAAAATGTGCCCTCTGTATGGGGAGGGAATTGCAGACTGATTTGTAATCCCTGAACACACACACACACACACACACACACACACACACACACTGTGTGTATATAAATGCTTGTTTTCTCCTCTTGTGTGCAATGACCGTTTTCTTAAAATGGTAACTTTCTTTGTTATTACATCAGTGCCTCAAGAGTTTCAGTGCTGTTACTTGCAGACTGAACCAAGACAGAGGATTATTTCCCCGCATTGTATGCCTTGACTGGCTTTCTAATGACAGGTTATCTGTCTGTGTCATCAGAAACTGTTTTGTGAATTGCCAGCTTTCAGTACATACTGTAATTAGCACTTTCTGTAACTTCCTGTGTTTCATCTCCCTCTGACTTCGCTTTTTACGCTCCTCCCACCTGACCAGGTGTACACAGTCACATCCATACCATGCATTCGCAGCTGTGACATCAACGAACATGGCCTTTTGAAATTCATAGAATCGTAGATTTGTACAGGACCTCAAGGGTCATCTAGTCCAACCCCTTGCAATGCAGGAATCGCAGCTAAATGATTCCTTAGTCATGTTATTCTTTCATATTCTGTGTGTGATGCTTTATAAAATGTGGAGCCAGTGCAGCATAGTGTTTAGTTTAGTTTAGCTAGCTATGGATGATGGGAGTTGTAGTCCAACAACTTGGAAACCCAAGTTTGAGAAACCCTGGAGAGTGTTAGACTAAGACCTGGGAAAGACCAGGGTTCAAATCCCCACTTGGCCTTAGGTGTAATCTTCTGCCAGTCACTGCCTCTCAGTCTAACCTAGCTCACAGGAGTGTTGTGAAGATAAAATAAGGAGAACTATGTACTTCACCTTGAGGTGGGTTATAAATGTAATAAAATATACTATTACTCAGAGTAGACCCACTGAATTGATGGACTTGTGCTAGCCATGTTCTTTAATTTCAGTGTGTCTACTCAGTGTAGGACGGACATTGGATGCAACCCCCAGAGGTTTGGATTTGGTTTCAGGGGACCCACAGGGACGAAGCCTTTGTAACAAAGACTCTTTTATTTTAGTTTAATCCAAGGCATCATTGCATCCAAGGAGGCTCCATTGAGTTGAAATTCCTGCATTGCAAGGACCCTCAGGTCCGTTCCAGCTGTGCAGTTCTATGATTCTGTGAGTTCGATAGACCTTACTTCCTGAGAAGTGTGCTTAGGATCACACTTTTGAAATACAGGAGGCAGTTTTCTCAGTACTGTATCTGCATTCCTTTGCAAGCTTTTATTTTCCCACTCTCTCCCTCCTTTCCAAATCTGTATAAATAATTACTTAGGGCTTAGATTCTCTCCACCGCAAGATGATGGAATCCAGGATGAAAGGGACTTAATTAGCTTAAGGGCTTCCTGCCTACCTTTATATAAAGCTGTCCCTGCAAGGCAGAATGCCAGTATAGCAGCACTTTCTCCCTGGTGTGGTCTTGAGATTTGGACTTGCATGTGGAAACCCTTAATAGTGTGTGGTTGTTAAAACAATTAGATCCCCTCCCCATTTGCTATTTTGCAGAATTCTGCTTGCGTATATTTATAGATCTGTGTGTATACAGTATGTATCTTCAGAGCCAGCATTTGAGGGAGTTGTATTGGGTCTGGACCCTGCCCCCAAAATTAAGCATTAGCTCCCGAATATGCAGCTTGGCTCACTGGCTGGCGCGAGTTGCCAAGATCTATTTTGGAAGTGAATCGCCCCACCTCAGCAAGGGTGCTGCAGAGTTTGAAAGTTTCGAAAAAGGGCAACCAGAATGATTGAGGGGGTGGAGAAACTCCCTTACGAGAGGAAAGGTTGCAGCATTTGGGGCTCTTTAAAGAAAAGGTAAGGCAAGAGGTGACAGGTGTCTAAAATGATATATGGTCTGGAGAAGGTGGATAGAGGGAAAGGTTTTCTCCCTCTCTCATAACCCTGGGATCCGTGGACATCCCATGAAGCTGAATGTTGAACGATTCAGGACAGATGAGAGAAAGTCTTTGCTCATGCAGCACATAGTTAAACTATGGAACTCGCTCCTGCAGGACAAGCCAATGATGACCACCAGCTTGGATGGCTATAAAAGAGGATTAAACAAATCTGTGGAGGATATGGCTATCGGCAGCTACTAGACAGGGTGTCTCTATCCTCCCAGGGCTACAATTCTCAGAATGGTTGGACAATCGGTCCCTCTTCACAGGGAACACTGGGAGTCGCAGCTCTGAGAGCAGGCAGGGGTCTCCTAAGGAACTCCCAGCACCCTGAACAAATTACAGTTCCCATAATTCTTTGTGGGGAAGCCATGACTGTTTAAAGTGGTGACATAGTGCTTTAAGTGTATGGCATGAATGTCACCCTGATTTTTTCCTTTGGGGTAGGCTTGGTCGTAATTGCCTCAGTGCAGGGCCTTTTGTTGTGGTGGCTCCTCCTCTCAGAGGACATCTGCATCTTTACTGCATCACCTCTCATTTGTGGGTGAAAACTGTTCCGTTCCATCAAGGCATTTGCAAATCCTCACCATCTTTATTTCTTTTGTGTTTGTTCAGTTATTTTTTGTGGACTTCATACAGTGTTTTAAAAAATCAGACGATCATAAGAATGCTTTCATGTTGAAAGGCAGTCTCTTAATGTTTTAAATCAGGCATAGGCAAACTTGGCCCTCCAGTTGTTTTGGGACTGCAACTCCCATCATCCCTGACCACTGGTCCTGTTAGCTAGGGATGATGGGAGCTGTAGTCCTAAAACATCTGGAGGGTCAAGTTTGCCCATGCCTGTTCTAAATAAATGCTGGAAAGTGTGCCCCTTCCCTGAAGTGATTCCTTCCTTTCCTTAGCCATGGGAACCTGCTGAGGGAATAAAAAAAAAATAGTTCTCTAGGTGCCAACATTATTTTAAGATGTCTAGGCAACCAGGCACATGGGATTTTCTAGCTCTGCAGTATAGTCAATAATTGCTGTTCCAAGCTAAATGGTTTCTCCTTCACTTAAGCAGAGAAGATCCTTGGGCAAAGTTCCTTAAAGCAGTGTTAGGAACTCAGATATATTAGCTAACCACCAAATGGCACCTTAAACCTAGGTTACTATCGCCACAATAGAATGTCTAGGCACCATATTATTATAATTTTTTACAATGAGACTTATTCATTTCTATACCACTTTATATTTTAAAGAAAAAAATCTCAAAGCAGTTGACAACACACTAAACCATCAAATCAAACAATCCAGAATAAAACAGATTGAAACTTCAAGGAAAACATTTCAGATCCTTCTCTAAGTGACATTTTGCTTTCCCCATATATATCTACTTAATTTATAAAGCTGCCCCATAGCAAAAGGACTCTAGGAAACCAGTGTGGTGTAGCGGTTAGAGTGTCAGACTAGGACCTGGGAGATCAGGGTTCAAATCCCCACTCGGTCATGAAGCTCACTGGGTGACCTTGGGCCAGTCACAGCCCCTTAACCTACCTCACAGGGTCGTTGTAAGGATTAACTGAGGAAGCAGGGTGAACCATGTACTCCTTGCAGGAAAAGGTGGTATATACATTCAATAAATAAGCTGTTCTGCTTACGAAAGCTGGAGGGGACAGCCAGATGGAGATGTCAGTTGCCAACCTGGCACCCAGAGACCTCCGTGTGGTTGCAATTGGATCCACACCTGTCACAAAATGCACCTGGCTAATTTCTGACATTGCCTTAAAGATAGGGTCTATTAATGGTGGATGGAGGGTATTGTTGTTCCGCCAATCTTTACACACACACACACACACACACACACACTGACCATCACTTGTATCTGACCCTTGGGCTAAGCCAGGCTTCCTCTTTTCTCCAGCCCACCACCCTCTTGCCCAGCAGTGGTCCTTCTGATGCAAATGCTTCTTCCCTGCCATTTGTCCTTGGTCCCTAGCATTTAAAGGTAGACTGCCTCTGAGCCAGGGTGATCCATTCAGTTAGCATGACTGCTGATTGTTATGGGACCCCTCCCCTCTCAAAATGCTGTCAAAAGCCAGCAGTCATTTGCAACAAGTTCCATGAGCTGGTTGTGCATTATTTGTGCAAAAAGCTTTGGCTTGTGTCCTGCTAGGTTCTGCTCAGAGGTGGCCCACTGAAATGAACGGGTCAGTCCCACATGGGTGAACTTAGGCTCGCTAATTTCAGTTGGACTACTTGTGAGTAGGAGTAACGTTGACTGCAGGCCATTGTCTTTGCTAAATTCCTGGCGTTGGCTGCATTGTAGTGCTGGAGGGAGCTGGTGTTAGCAGTTTCCCTTTGCTTTAATATATATCTGGCAGCAAACAAAGCAGCAGGGAAAAGTCAGGTTCCCCCCCCTTCAAGTTGAGCTTGTGGGGCAAGAGGGAGACCTATCTGGGCCTCCCTTGGTCCAACTTAAACATTAATCAACCTGAGCGGCAAAGAGTTTGTTTTATTTTACTCTTTATTGTTTTATTGAATGTTTAAAATGGGGGGGGGGGTCGGGTCAGCAGCCTCTTTTATCTTCTTGAGAGCAACATTCCTTCATGAGTGATGGACGGGGCCAGAATCAGTGGCCCCCTTTTTCATTTCCTTGGGTCACCCACTGCCCTGCCGTCCTTAATTTTGCTCCCTCTTCTCTCTAGGTCACCCCCTTTTCTTTATTTCTGGCTCACCCCACTTCCTTTTTCTTTCTCCCATCCCATACTCAGGAGATCATAGAATCAAAGAATTGTAGAGCTGGAAGGCACAGTGAGGATAATCTAGTCCTATCTCCCTGCAATGTTGGAATCTCCACTAGTGCATCCATGACAGATGTCCATCCAATCTCTTCTCAAAAGTCTCCAATGAAGGAGAATCCACCGCATCTCCTAGGAGACTGTTCCACTGTCAAACAGCTCTTGCTGTCCGAAAGCTCTTCCTGATGTTTAGTCGCAATCTCCTTTCTTGTAACTTGAATCCATTGGTTCTGGTCCTACCCTCTGGAGCAGGACAAAACAAGCTTGCTCCATCCTCCATTTGACAGCCCTTTAGATATTTTAAGATGGCTATCATATCTTATCTCTGCCTCCTCTTTCCCAGGCTAAACATACCCAACTCCCTAAACCATCCCTCATAAGGCTGGGTTTCCTTGATGATCTCGAAACCAAGAGGTCAGAACTGATCGCTTGTGGGTGGCTTCTGAAAGGAGGCTGAGGCCCACAGGCTGCCCACCCTGGTAGTAAAGGCATCCATCCCCTCCAACAACACCTGGGACAAATAGGAACATAGAAGACTGCCTTACAGCAAGTTGGACCATTGGTCCATCTAGCTCAGCCTAGATGCCTACTGGTTGGCATCAGCTTTCCAGGGTTTCAGGTAGGGGACAATTCCCAGCCGTACCTAGGAATGGAACCTGGGAGGTTCTGGGTGCAAAGCAGATGCTCTACCACTGAGCTACAGCTGTTCCCTTAAAATATATGAACAAAGGAAGCTGCCTTATACTGATTACGCCATTGGTCCATGTAGCTCAGTATTGCTTACAGTGATTGTCAGTGACACGAGATGTCAGCTTGTGATGGATGTCTCCCCGTACCTGCTGCAAATCCTCTTTTTTAACCCACCCCCTCACTTTTTTGCTTTTCCTTCGTTCCTCTGCACATCTGAGATGTTTGGCTCTTCTTTGGAATGATGCAAAATGTTTCCCTTGGATCCACAGCAGGCTGCTTTTCAGTAGCTTTCCTGGTTTTGGGGGCAAGAATGTGGAAAAAGGAACAACCCCACCCCCAGTGCCTGCAGAATTGGTTGCTGCAAAGGATAATTAATTATTCTGCAGAGCCGGTTTGCACCGGCTGTTCCAGGCCTCCAGAGTTGCTCAATGTGCTTTGTTGAAATCCACAGTGACATCTGTGAACCATTCATGCTGACGGTGCAGCTATTAATGCGGCGGCGCATGGGGTTGCAGGTGTACAGCAGCGGGAACGGCTTGCTCACCCAGGACAGCTCTTTGATTTAATACATTGGTTATTCCTTGGTTGAGTGAATGGTGTGAGTCTTGGTTGCCAAATTTGTTTATTTTATTTTTAAATGGTTCTTTTGGGTAACTGTTAGCTTAATCTAGAAGCATAGTAAGGTGCTTTATAGAGAGGCAAGCCATTGGGTCCATCTAACTCTGTATTCCCATCACTGCCTGGAGATGCATTTCGGGATTGAGGCTGGAAACTTTGGTGTGCAGAGCTGACACTCTGTCACTGAGCTGTGGCTACGGGAGGCTTTGTCCAAAACATCTGGAGGGCACCAGGTTGTCAAGGACTGCTTCAAATTGGTCTTGTAGTTTATACTTCTCTTTCACAAAGCACTTGAAAAGCTTTTGTGTGGTTGCTGAGGTCCACTTGCCCCATTTTACAGATGGGGTAAATTGAGATTGAAAGCCAGCAGCTTGCCCAAAGCCACAATGAGCCACAACCCTTCTCCCCACCTCCCACAGTATGGAAACAGATTTGAGTGCATGAAAAGGTACGCACGCTTTATTGAACTATACCCACGCGTCTTGGAACTTATGTACAGGGGATTGGATTACCCTTGGACCCCATCCAACTCTACAGTTCTATGATTCTGCGACCAATTTTGCCCAGGATGCAAGCAGACCTCCAAGATGCTTGGGAGCTAAGTCTCTCCCAAACCCTACCACTTTTATTACCTCTACTTGTAGATGCCAGGGATAAAACCTGGCACCTGCTGAATGTACAGCTTATGCTGCTTCCATTGAACTATGAGGCTATCCATCTGCAATGCTCCCTTTCAATATATAAGCTAGGCATGGGGAGCAGTCTCTGTGGAGAAGGTTAAAAAGAGTTTGAGCCTGGCAGAAGAGGTAAACAGCTGGTGCTCTGAGGATGTCTGCCAAGTCTTGGAGAGAAGTCGGAATGTTTTGCAAAACATGTGATATCACTTGCAGGGGGCTCGTCGGAGGGCGTGTGGGTGTGCGTGCAATCAAAACATTCTTCGCACTAAACGGGGCGGCTGGAGGAGCATGCCATCGCGCCTGGTAACCTTGCGCCTTACTTTTAGAAGGAAGCCCACAGAAGGCCAACTTACTGGTTGACGCACCATGATACCGTCTCTGTGTGAGCGTGTGTGAATAATCCGTTGCTGATTTTTGCTGGGGAAGGGTTTGACTTTCTTCCTCTATACATAAAAGTGTAAGGCTGTCATCACTCAGAGGATTTGCAGAGCCGTATCACAAATCGGGAATTGCATGAAGAACAATCCAAGAGGTCAAGAAAAGAAAGCTTAGCGGTTGCATGGGGTGAGAAGGGGACACTCTAGGGAGTGAAGGTTGGGGAATGGCAGTGGGGTTGGCAAGTGGAGCGAGTTGGGGCACAGACCCTAGTATGGTGCATACAAATATAAGGCCACAATTGTACTCCTCCTCCGGTCATGTTCAGTTATGGAACTCGTCATCTGCTGTTGCTTCATCTGCCAAAGGTAGCCCTCACTTCCTTTTTGTTTAATATGCCTGATCTCATCTGCACTGGGATTTACCGTATCTGAGTGCCGTGCTTTTGATTGACAGTGTTTCTGCGGAAAGAGGAAGGAAAACGAGTAATGCAATACCTGAAAATATTAGTGTGGGTGTTTACAGTAGATGGCTTGAATTGTACAGTATTCAGTGGGTGTTTTCAGTTAGTTTTAAGTGTCATCTGATACGCTTGTGTCCTGTCATATTTATGTGTACATAATACATATATACAAAAAACAAGCCATTATAGATCCTACATTGCGGAATTTCAGAATGCTGATTTTTTAAAATATCTATTAAGATGCAGTTCAGCTAGTTTGTGGAAGGTGGGAAGCTTAGCAGCGGGAGCTTATTTGAACAGCTTAGCTTCATGGAGCCTCCGTTTCTAATAATAATAATAATAATAATAATAATAATAATAATAATTTATTATTTATACCCGCCCATCTGGCTGGGTTTCCCCAGCCACTCTGGGTGGCTTCCAACAAAACACTAAAATACCTATTAAACATTAAAAGCTTCCCTAAACAGGGCTGCCTTCAGATGTCTTCTAAAAGTTTGGTAGTTATTTTTCTCTTTGACATCTGGTGGGAGGGCGTTCCACAGGGCGGGTGCCTCTACCGAGAAGATCCTCTGCCTGGTTCCCTGTAACTTGACTTCTCACAGCGAGGGAACCGCTAGAAGGCCCTCGGCGCTGGACCTCAGCGTCCGGGCAGAACGATGGGGGTGGAGACGCTCCTTCAGATATACAGGACTGAGGGTGTTTAGGGCTTTAAAGGTCAGCACCAACACTTTGAATTGTGCTCAGAAAAGTACTGGGAGCCAGTTTACAGAGGAAGTCCATCTTTCAGGGTGCTTGGGATAAATAACGGGGAGACACCTGTTGCTTTCATGCCCTGTCTTGTGGAGCCGTCTGGCTTGCTGTCATTTGCTAACCTGCTGCTGGGCTCAGTTTGTTTTGCAATTTACTACTGCATTAATAAATACTGTAATGGAAGGGAAGGCTCAGGACAGACAAAAGTTATAGCATTTCTGCAAAGCGTCCGCTCAAAACAATGGAATCCAATCCTACAAGAGGCACTGAGGGCCACCAGTTGGGATGGCTTTGTCAAAAGGATTAGACAAGTTCATGGAAAAGGCTCTCAGTGACTACTAGCCACAATGACTATGTTCTGCCTCTATCCTCTGGTCAGCATTGTATGTTTGTGGACAATGCTAGAAACTCAGATATTTGAGGTACATGCCAAATGGCTCCTTAAACCAGAGTTAGTCGCCAAAACAGAATACCTAGCTGCCATTTTGGGGCCAGACAGCTCTAAAATTGTTTTTCAATAAAACTGTTTGGTCCCTGAAATTCATTCTGATTGTGCAGATAAAATATACCGGATAGAATTCTACAGGATGTTTTGCTGGTGTGTGAAAATAGTCAAGAGCCAAGGATCCCCAGGCATGCACCTCCAGATGGTGGAGACGACAGGTGTCATCATCCTGGCACCTGGGCATCTTCCCTTGGCCGCAAGTAGCTGATGGCTAGGTGCAAAATACACCTGGTGCCTGGCTAATTTTGAACACTGCTTCTGGATACCAGTTTCTTGGGATTGCTAATGGGGAGAGCAATGTTGCAAACAGGTCCTGATTCTGAGCTTCCCATTGGGGCATCTGGGTGGCCACTGTTAGAACAGGATGTTGAACAAAATAGGCCTTTGGCCTGATTCAGCAGGGCTCTTTATGTTTCCTGCCTAACTGGAAACTTTTGTATGCAGTAAACCAGGTGTGGCGAACATGTGGGCCTCTGGATCTTGTGTTTATTATTTATTTAGACCAGCCTTTCTCAACCTTGGGTCCCCAGGTGCTGTTGGACTACAACTCCCATCAGCCATAGCTACCGGGACCAGTGATCAGGAATGATGGGAGCTGTAGTCCAAAAGCATCTGGGGACCCAAGGTTGAGAAAGGCTGATCTGGACCTTTTGCACCCTGCTCTTCAGCCAAAAAGGCTCCTAGAGAGGCTTACACACCATCAAAACAGTCTCTGTCCACAGGCTTACAATCTTTTTTTTAAACAACCATGACACACAAGGGGAAAAGGACAGGGAGGGAAAAGTGGGGAAATCAAACTTGTGCACCAGTTATTAAACTGTTGCTGAACTACAGCTCCTATCATCCCTCTCCATAGTTAAAATTCAGCAACATATGGAGATCCAAATGTTCCCCAGACCTACAATAAATGATTGGGGGGGGGGGCAGGAACAAGAGCAAAGAGGGGTCTCAAAACCTTCACCTGCCAGCCAGTGACTTTGGGGGGGGGGGGGTTTCATCTGGCTGTCAGTCCCCTTCTCTCCCTCTTGGCTTTTCCGTATAATTTTCACATGACCCTCTCTTGGCCTCCTTTGGCAGCAGGCGTAGCTGCTAAGAAGCTCTATAAAAAGCCCGCGGAGAAAAAGCTTAGCCACCGATAGCATCTTTGTTCCTTTTCTAAAATTGTATAACTGGGGCACAGTGACGGCACCGTTGGAGGGAGTAGCCCATTTTATACACTGCCTTCATGTTACTTGCTTTTTTTGAAGGTGCTCCTGTGCCCGCCCAGGACCCCATACCATGGCCTGACATCCATTGGATGCCAGCACGCAGTGATCACTGGATTAAATGGAGTGGCCAGGGGATCAGGCCACTCCTGTCACGCACACAAGGTTTTAATTGTCCTTCTTGGCAGCCCAAGAATTGGATTTTTTTGCTGCCGCTTAGCCAAGGTTCTAGTCTTTTTGTTGCACAGAGATGCTTTAGAACACGCAAGCCATGCATAGTGTTATTTCAGTAACCAGTGTTCATTCCTAGGTGGACATGTTTGTTGCACCTAGTCCCTCCTTCCTTCAACCAGATGTGTGCCCATCAGTTGCTTGCTGTAGGGTATTTGCAAGGTAGTGGGGTGCATGTTGACCGCCGACCTTTGTTTGCATTTTTGAGGTGCTCCGTTTTTAAAATCTTTAGACTGTCAGAACACATTCAGGCTGGTTGCAATGAACTGTCTCTCCCTCTCCTCATCTCCCCGTTCTGATCCTCTTTTAGGTTCCATGGACATGTGAACAGCACAGGGCTTGTGTACCATGAGGGGGAGGAATGCAACCTGATTGCGTTGGCCGTGGCTGTATTTGCAGAGCTTGAAAGCCAATGTCAAACCTCTGGTTCTGTACACAGAGCAGAGCGAAGCTCAGATAACAGCTGGTCTTCAAAGGCCCCTAGTGTCTGTCATTCAATGGACTCTGCTCTCCCTCTCTCACACATAGACCTGGTGCCCAGGTTACAGGTGTGACACAGTAGCCAGGGATTGGGAGCCTTCAGCTCTCCAGATGTTTCACTACGAGTCCCATTATCCTTCACCATTGGCCATGCTGTCTGTGACTGATGTACGCTGTAGTCCACTTTTGCTGAACTACAACTCCCATCAGCCCCAGCAAGCATGACCAATGGCCAGGGATGGTGGGAGTTGTAGGCAAGGCCAAAGGCTTCCCACACCTGCTTTAGATGCAGGCCTTGCCCTCTCCATGCTTTTTGGAGGTAACCAAATCAGGTAGTTGATTTGTTCAAAATGGGGCTTCCCATTTGGGGCCTTGGCTCCGGGGAACATGCAAGAAGTTCCTTTTGGAGCACAAAGGGCAAAATGTTCTGCCCCTCTCCTGTGACCTGACCTTCATGGCTCCTGTCTTGTTTATCTGGAAAGTGGCCCTTTTGATTGTGGAGTGATTTCTGAAGCTGCTTTGCCAGTGGTGGTTGAGTGCCATGGCTCAGAGCAGAGTCACAGGGGCAAGAAAAGCAAGTGATGCTCTAGTTTGGGAATGGGGAACCTGTTGAACTCCAGCTCCCAGCAGCCCCAGCCAACACAGTCAGTGATCAGGGATGATGGGAGCTGCAGTCCATCAACATCTGGAGGGCCACAGGGTCCCCACTTGTGGCATGGACAGCACTGAGCAGGATGGACCAGTGGTCTGGGTTGGTATACAAGGCAGCTTCCTAGGGCAAGTGGCTGTGATTTGTATTCAGTTGTATAAAGTGCAACTAAATAAATTCTTGCTCTTATCTCTTAAAGAGTTAGTTTAGTAGGGACAGTTTCTTTTTTTCTGTGTCAAGGCCATGGATAAGCAGCTTTTGTTTGATAGTGTAAGCATCAAAGGCTTATTATATGTATGTGGTTTTTTAAAATCTGGGTTTTCAAAAGTTCAGGGGACCTTTCTTCCTCACCAAGAGCGCATCCTCAAATCTGTTGTAGAACCTCTTCTGCATTGCCAAGGATTCTGGAGGCACATTATTATTTATTTAACTGAATCTGTATACCACTTAATCGTAAAAACCTCTAACTGGTTTCTATAAAATTTAAAATTGCCAGTGTAATTATTTCATGGGAGTCGGAAGTTAAAAATAAGTTGGCCTACCAAAAAAATCAGTATATAAAATGAATTGACAGTTGGTAATACGCATTTAGAAAATAAAACTGTGTATTAAACTTTAGGTGTTTGGAAAGGCTAAACAAAAAATGTTCTTAGGAGGTGCAAGAAAGTGTACAGTGAAAGTGCCTACCTAACAGTTCCAGAGAGTAGTTGCTGCCACGCTGAAAGACTGAACATTAATGCGGCACATATAAGCATGCCAGTGTGGTGGATCACATGCTCAGGACTGAGGTCCGTGTGGTTTCTTCCCTTTCATCTGACGTCTTCTACGTTTTTTCCCCCCAGGTGTGGTGGGACAGTGGGCGCCATCTTCACCTGTCCGCTGGAAGTCATCAAGACGAGGCTCCAGTCTTCGAAACTGGCCTTCCGCACAGTCTACTACCCACAAGTCCAGCTGGGCACGATCAGTGGCGAAGGAGTGGTCCGTCAGACGTCTGTCTCCCCTGGCCTCATCCGGGTCCTGAAGTGAGTATAATGGGCTTGGCCCTCTACAAATGTTAAGCAGCTCCACACAGGACTAAATGGGGCCCCCCTCCTTTCACTGCATCCTTGCTCTCTGTTCTTAACCCCGGACTGTCCAGATATGCTTCATCTTCTCTCCCCTCTCTCACCCCCCCCCGAAACTGCAGATCTATTTTGGAAAAGGAGGGGCCACGGTCACTGTTTCGTGGGCTAGGGCCCAACCTGGTTGGAGTTGCGCCGTCAAGGTACGAATCTATTTATTGCATTCCTATCCTGCCATCTTTCCTACAAGGAGCTCAAAGTGGCGCACATACCTCTGCTTTTTTTTAATCCTCACAACAACAACCTTGTGAGGTAGGTTAGGCTGAGTGAGTGACTGGCCCAAGGGAGCTTCATGGCTAGTAGGGATTTGAACCCTGCTCTCCCAGGTCCTAGGGACGCTGGTGGCGCTGTGGGTAAAACCTCAGCGCCTAGGGCTTGCCGATCGTATGGTCGGCGGTTCGAATCCCCGCGGTGGGGTGCGCTCCCGTCGTTCGGTCCCAGCGCCTGCCAACCTAGCAGTTCGAAAGCACCCCCGGGTGCAAGTAGATAAATAGGGACCGCTTACCAGCGGGAAGGTAAACGGCGTTCCGTGTGCTGCGCTGGCTCGCCAGATGCAGCTTGTCACGCTGGCCACGTGACCCAGAAGTGTCTGCGGACAGCGCTGGCTCCCGGCCTATAGAGTGAGAGGAGCGCACAACCCTAGAGTCTGGCAAGACTGGCCCGTACGGGCAGGGGTACCTTTACCTTTACCTTTACCTCCCAGGTCCTAGTCTGGCACTCAAGCCACAGCACCATACCGGTTCTCATCTTGCTTTTTAATCTTTCAGAAACCTTTAATGTACTTGGCTTATAACTCTGGTTATATAACTCACCAGAGACTTACCTGGTAGAGGCAACAGGCAACGGCTTCCATTTCCCACAGTCCTTCATAGCATCATTGGCCCAGGAGCACTGTGGGAGAAGTCAGCTTCTCAACAGTCCTGCTAGCAGGTAAATCTACTGCTGAGGATTCTGGGACAGGTGTTGGTAGATCCTGGCAGGGCACAGAGGACGCCTGCCCAAGGTTGCCAGGAGCCAAAACCAGGGCCTTTAGAAATATGCAGTGGATTATTTCACTTGCTTGATAGAGATGTGTATTCTGCTCAGTCTTTGCAGGCGGGTGTGTGTGTGTGTGTGTGTGTGTGTGTGTGTGTGTGTGTTGGAAACCATATTCAAGACAGAGACATAACCAACATTCTCACTGCTCAGAGAAGACCCATTGAAATTAAGGAAAATGACAAAGTTAGGTCTGTAAATTCTAAGGGGTCTAGTGTGAGTAGGGTTAATGTTGGGCACAACCTGTAACGTGGTATATGTCCACAACAGAGGGAATCTTGGAGACGTTCTGTGCATATTGAAGGCATAAATTTGGAAAAACCTTCTGAGTCCATGCCCTTCCCCAGAGTTTTATATTTATTTTCTTAGATGTATATCCTGCCTTCATTCCATCATGGAAGCCCACCATTCATGGGGTTCCCAGGCATAAACCAGACCCAGACCAGTGATTAGCACATGTCTCCAGATTGTGTTGATCCTAGATATGAAATTCAGTATCTGCATAGTCTCGGCTCTCTTCCTTTAAAAAAAAAAATATAAAGCAAGGTTTCTAGTCCTCAAGGTTGCCAAGGTAGGCTTGAAAAGTGTACATGGAATGTGTGGTGAACATCTCAGCCGGAAGGGAGTCCTGAAAAGGATTATCAGTAGTCAGGGTTGGCTGGGGTACTGCTTTAGAATCCTTCATAGCTCCTGAAGCAGGCAAGATTTTGCATAATATGTGTGCATTTGCAGTGGCTTCTCAGTGTCTTAAAAACGACTTCCCAGTTTCTCGTTTTTCTCCTTCTTGTACATGCCCCACTCTGGCAACATTTGGCCGCCTTCCAGCTCGCTGGACAAGCTTGCACACTCTTTTATTCTCCAGTCTGGGGTAATGATTTAATTGGGAAAGGGAATTTCTCCCCTTCTCCTGCAAAGGCTGACGGCTTAGCCCTGGCCAAAGAAACCTTTCTCCTTGACAACAATACTGAGATCCCAGCTGAAAGATACATTTGTAGGTTTTGTTTCGTTTTTTAAAAAAGCCTTTCGGACAAGAGTAGCAGCCTTGTTCTAAAGCTGGAGCGCTTTGCTAATGGCTCTGGCTCTGGGATCCTTCTTTGGGGCCAGAACTGGGGAGAAAGGATAGGAGAGGTGGCTGTCCCTCCGCAGAAATAAAACGCTGACCTCCTTCTGTTTGCTTGCCAGGCCCTAAGGAACTATTGATAATCCAGTCACTATTTATCTAGGCCTAAACTACCTCCAGGACGCGGGTGATGCTGTGGGTTAAACCACAGAGCCTAGGGCTTGCCGATCAGAAGGTTGGCGGTTCGAATCCCCGCGACGGGGTGAGCTCCCGTTGCTCGGTCCCTGCTCCTGCCAACCTTGCAGTTAGAAAGCACGTCAAAGTGCAAGTAGATAAATAGGTACCGCTCCAGCAGGAAGGTAAACAGCGTTTCCGTGCGCTGCTCTGGTTCGCCAGAAGCGGCTTAGTCATGCTGGCCACATGACCTGGAAGCTGTACGCTCCCTCGGCCAATAAAGGGAGTTGAGCGCTCAACCCCAGAGACGGTCACAACTGGACCTAATGGTCCAGTTTTTAAACTACTTCCAGGCCCAGCCCACTCATGAGGTGGGGTGAAGCCATTGCCTCAGGTGGCAGAAGTCCTCAAGGCCAAGGTGTACCCACAGGCTCCCCGCTGCCTCCAGCGCCAACACTGAAATCTCGCAAGATCTTGAGAAGCATGCGGGGTCTCACGAGATTTCTGCAACATCTTGCCAGAAATCGGCACCAGTTCCGTCGCCACTTCACCACCAGCAGCGGGACGGGCGGCAGGGTAAGGCGGAACTTCCTGTTTCGCCCGAAGTGGTGAAATGGGACATTCCACCCCTGCCTACCTTGCAGGGCTGTTGTGAGTGCAAAATGGGATTGGAGGCTAAGAACTCTGCACGCTGCCCTAGAGCTCCTTGGAGGAAAAAGGAGATGTTAATAAAATACATAAAGTATTAGCTTAGTTTGGATTATTCATGTGTGTGCTGTATAAGAAAAAAGTGGGAGGCATTTATTGTCACACTTTTTTTGGCTAAGAAGGGCACAACAAGTAATCAGAGCAGTGCAAGCCATCTTCCGGATCTGGCGAGTCCAGAACACCTCTGGCTGCGGGTGCAAAGCCTCTTTTCCCCACAACGTACAGCGTTTCTCGAAGCTACAGCTGACTCGTTTTATTTTTCTGAGCTGTTGTGGAAAATGCATCCTGTGGGGCTGTTGGGAGTTGTAGTCCCAAACCACAAAGCGAAGTCTGTGCTCATATGATCAGACAAGTGGAAAGTGTTTGAATAAAAATGATCATTCTAACATTCTGCCTACTTTTGTTTGCCATATTATTATTACAGTGGTAGCTCAGGTTAAGTACTTAATTCGTTCTGGAGGTTCGTACTTAACCTGAAACTGTTCTTAACCTGAAGCACCCCTTTAGCTAATGGGGCCTCCTACTGCCGGTGCGCCGCCGGAGCACGATTTCTGTTCTCATCCTGAAGCAAAGTTCTTAACCTGAAGCACTATTTCTGGGTTAGCAGAGTCTGTAACCTGAAGCATATGTAACCCGAGGTACCACTGCATTATTATTAAGACAGGCTGCACAAAGTTTTTGTTTTTAATGGGGTTTAAAAAGGTCAGAGGCCATCGCTTTACAAGGACACCCACTCTCTGTCAACCTGACTTTGCCTCTTCAATTCATGATTAGAACTCAGAGCCCTTTCCCCCACCCCTCCTCTTACCTCTCCCACAGGGCCGTCTATTTTGCCTGCTACTCCAAGGCCAAGCAGCAGTTCAATAACATCTTTGTGCCGAACAGCAACATCGTCCATGTCTGCTCAGCAGGTTCTGCAGGTTTGTAACCCTAATCGAAGGGGATGTAGTTTACCAGCCAGTGCTTTTTATGAAGATGCATTGAGCAAAAGCAACTGCCTCTATTGGGGCCAACCAGGCTAAGGGGTTGGCAGCCTGGCAGCCTCAGGGTGTGGGTGTGGGTGGGAAGACCTTTTTTGGCCCAACAGGCTGGATCTTTATCTCCTCCCCCTCCCTGCAACAGGCTAACTTTGACAGGTGGGTGGGACCATCCACCTTGCAATCATCTGACGTCAGAATGCTAGCCGAGGCAGGTAGACTTGACTGGCAAGCAGCCTTGGCTGCAAGTCCATTATTATCATTAAATTTATTACTCACTCTTCACCAGCAGATCCCAGGGCAGGTTACACACGATTTAACATTTAAAACAGTTAAAATAGATGACAGATCACCGGTAAAAGGTGGGCTCTGAAAACTCATGTCTCAGGTGTCAAAAGCCAGGGTAAAGAGGTGGATCTTCAGCATTCACTGGACGCTGTACAGGAATGAAGCCAGGCACACCTTTAAACCAGGAGTGAATAAACACAAGGCCAAATTCAAGATACAATTGTAGAGTTGGAAGGGACCACAAGGGTCATCTAGTCTATCCCACTACAATGCAGGAATCTTTTGCCTAACATGGGGCTCGAACCCACAACCCTGAGATCAACACAAGTCTCACGCTCTGCCACGGAGCCATGAGATCACGCTTGGTGTTGGTGGGCTGTGTATTTCATTTCTTACATTTATATCCCACCCATCCTCCCAAAGGAGCCCAGGGTGGTAGATACTTGTGTAATGAAAAAATGCAATTAAAAATAAGTGTATTTTTTAAAAAATTAAAACTTTTGAAACAGATTTATGAACAGATGTAACCAAGTCATATGTCTGGATCGGCCTTTCCAAACAGGAAAGGCGTGCTGAAACGAATGAGGTTAATTTCCCTAGTTATCACATCCAGGTTTATTTATTTAAGGTTTTTAAATAAACTGCTTAAAAAAATAAATCTCTAAGCAGTGTACATTAAATATTGCACCAAGTTTGTCTTTGCCTACTTGAAGCCACATTTCCTTAATTTTGCCTGGTGTGAGAGTGACTTAAGAGAAGTGAAGTCTTGTTTGAACATTGTATGTAACAAGTGAAGTCTTGTTTGAACATTTTATGTATGTTTGAAGGTTGCATGATCAGTCCAGTGGCCCATCTATTCCAGCATCCTGTTCCCAGCTAGATGTCTGTGGGAAGCCAGGAAGCAGGAACTGAGTGCAACATCAGGGTTCTCCCCACATGTGATTCCCAGTTACTGACTTCCTCTTTGCGAAAACAACAGTGTGTGAAAAAGGGAGCAACAAGAATCAAACAACGAGGACTGCTCAGTTTCCTTCTGTCTCTCAAATAAGGGAGCTGCCTCCCTTCTGAGACCAACTCACCTGTGTGCATTTCCTTTCTTTCTGTCTCCCTTTTTATTTTTTGCATTGAAGTGCCGATCTCCAGGCACAGAGCAGCTGAGTGTGTATTGCAGCCGCTCTCCAGTTACACAAGCTGCTATCCAGCTCGAGCCAGAGCAGAGCTTGAAATAAACCAAGTGTTACATGGGCCGCTTACATAACTTTGGAGGCATGTGCCTTTCTGCAGAAAGCAACCGGGAAATGTGGATATGAGTCTCCATTAATTTGAGCTGGCCATTTTACCTGCTCAGTTGGTTTTTACATGTTTCTACCGTCTGTATGCAAATTTGCAGTGGCTGATGCAAATAATTGCCTGCCTTCCTGTTAACAGCTGAGTGCTGTGGCTCAGAGGGAGAGCACTTGTTTTACATGCAGGAGGCCCCCGGTTCAATCCCTGGCATCTCCAGGTCAGAAGGGACTTTTTACCTGCAACCCTGGAGAGCCACTGCCAGTCAGTGTAGACAACACTGAACTTTAGGGACCCAGTGGTCTGACTCTGTATAAGGCAGCTTCCCATTCAAATCAGTCCTTTATGCAGAACCATGAGGACTAGAATCTTACTTTTTAGCAGGAGGGCCTTTAGCTCCACTGTGGAACACCTGCATTGCATGCAGAAGGTCCTACATCCAACCCCCAGCATCTCCAGATAAAGGCTGGGGTACAAGTCCACAGAGCCACTGCCAGCCCGTGTAAACAGTACTGAGCTAGATGGACTTAAGGGCCTGATTTGGTGTAAGGAACCTTCCTGTCAATCCCTGGGATCTGTCCCCCCCACCCCCCAAAAAAAGAGATCAGGAAACAGGTGATGGGAGAGATCACTTGTATGAGACTGCAGAAAAACACTAAAGTCGGAGTTGATAATGTTATACCAGGTGGGCCAATGGACAGAGGTGATCTAAGGTAGTATCACCCACCATTTTCTTCTGCCCCAAAGCCACCTCTGTTGATCACATCCAGAAGTGGACAGATGACTCAACAATGCCACCTAGAGCTCCTGCATAGGTGGTACACACACTTTCATGCATAGACGTTCTCTGAATTTGTAAGGGCAGCTTGAGATGCTCCACCTGTCCTGGACACAACTGAAACCTGCAGGAAATGCCAATGGGCTCTTTATAAAAGTGGAAGGGTGGATTTAGATTTGTGTTTAGTGCTGAGCACACACGCACAAAGACATTTGGAGACCTAAGTTTAGACTGGTTTTCAAAAACGCTTTTCAGTCAAACTGAGATGAAAGAAACAACATTAAATAAACTATTTTCCATACGAGGACTGCAGGAGATTCTTTGTCTTTGAAAAATGGAAGCTGCTGTCAAGCTCTTGCTCCATCTAGCTCTGTGCTGTCTACACTGGCTTGCAGCACCTCTCCAGGGCTTCAGGCTTTCCGAGCCTTACCTGGAGATGTCAGGGACTGAACCTGGGATCTTTTTGCTTGCAAAGCAGAGGCTCTGGCACTGAGCTACTTGTAAGTGATATTCCCTTGGATGTGCAAGAGATGCTTCTTCTCAAGTTTATAGCTGTATATTACCTACAATTTTATTCCGTGCACTGCGTAGAGTGCTTTGTGATTAAGCAGAATAAAAGCCTTCCTAAATCTTTGTGGGAGTGGGGGGTTATTGGTTTGTTTTGTTCTTACTATGTATTTTGTGTTTTTATCTTGTATTTTTATGCTGTGAACCACCCTGAGATCTTTGGATGACGGGCAGTATCCATATTTAATAAATACATGAAATACGTGAGGGGGATGCACACATCTTGAAAACCAAAACAACTGTCTCTTTCCCTTCATGCTTCTTATCCATATGCAAACTTCTTGCAGTCTAGTGTTGTTGTTGTTAAGATTTGTATACCACTCTTTATTTGTAGATAAAACGCACAAAATGCGTAATAAAAATAAGAACAAAAACAAACCAATAATCCCTCCTCTCACAACACATTTAAAAGGGCATCGGGTGTCAATCAGCCCAAGGTCTGATCAAAGAGGAACATTTTCAACTGGCATCTAAACGACAGGGAGAGATATTTCCAATCATTGCTAGCCAATCTGCTTTAACTGACAATGTGCCCGGGACCTTCTGCAAGCGCCCAAATGTGCCCTCTCACCAGGCTGCCTTTTTCCCGGCTGTCCTTTCCTTTTCTCAGTGCTCTGACAAGCTAACCAATTTCCTTCTCCTTCATCTGTTTCGCAGCCTTTATCACAAACTCGCTGATGAACCCCATATGGATGGTGAAAACCAGGATGCAGCTGGAAAGGAGGTAATCCCAGGGGCTGAGCTGGTGAAACAGCACCTAAGGGAAAGGAAGGTGTCTCCCTCAGCTATGTCACTTCCACCAAGCTGTGTGCCACTCCACCAAGCTGCCTCAGCAGGAGAGATAGGCAGGAGAAGGCTTCTTTCATTACCTCCTTGCCTTTGCACAGTGTCAGCTGGTCTTTATGGGAACAACCGTTTAGAACAGGCTTCCTCAAACTTGGCCCTCCAGATGTTTTTGGCCTACAACTCCCATGATCCCTAGCTAGCAGGACCAGTGGTCAGGGGTGATGGGAATTGTAGTCTCAACATCTGGAGGGTCGAGTCTGAAGAAGCCTGGTTTAGAAAATGGTGTCTGAGTTTTGATTTTGGTTTTCCTCTTCCCTCCCTGCCCACTCTCCCTTGTGTGCTGTGTGTGTGTGTTTTTTTAAGATTGTAAGCCTGCAAGTAAGGGGGCTGTCTTGTTTCGACAGTGCATCATCCACCCTGGGAACCGTTTTGACCAAAGAGTAGGGTGCAAATCCTCTAAATAAATAAAGAAATATAAAGTGCCTTAAAAAATTGGAATAAATGGATGGTTATTCATTTTTCGGGATGGAGGGTGGTGGGAGAAATTCTGGGTTGCAGCTAATGCTAGTTCTACAAGAGTAAATTCATGACTGGCTTTGGTAGATCTACTCCTGGAGTAGGACGAGAACAGCTATAGACCCCCGTCACGTATGTTGATTCAAGCAAGGTACTGATCGCTGTTTCTCTCCACCCCCACCCGCCTTTTTGCATTCCAGAGTCAGAGGTTCGAAGCAGATGAACACGCTGCAATGTGCTCGCTATGTCTACCAGACAGAAGGAGTCCGCGGCTTCTATCGGGGCCTGACTGCCTCCTACGCTGGGATCTCTGAGACCATCATCTGCTTTGCTATTTATGAGAGCCTGAAGAAGCATGTGAGCGAGGTCCGGTTGGCCCCTTCTCCCGCTGGCGGGACAGAGCGGAACTCCACAAGTTTCTTCGGATTGATGGTCGCCGCTGCCATTTCTAAAGGCTGTGCGTCATGCATTGCTTACCCACATGGTACGTGAGCTGCACCCTTTGCTGGACTGGCTTCCGTCCAGGCACTGACCTCCTTCAGTTCATCTTCCTGAGATTCCCTTAGCTATTTATTTATTCTCATTCATTCATTCATAATCAAGTTGCTAGCCCTTATGGTTGGTTGTACAACAGGGATGAGGAATCTGGTCCAGGCCTGGTGCCTGCAAGGGGGTCCAGATCTGACTGCAGGGCCATTTCCCCCAAACCACGCCCATCTGCCTGTCATCTGATGTCGCTCGTGACATCTGGCGGGTGGGAGGGCGGGCAGGGTTGAATCCTGCATTTGCTGTGAACATCCAGAGAGTGGGTGGGCTGGCATCCAAACTGAGCAGGATTCAACCCTACGATTTAAGCAGGATTTAAACCGCAGCAGGGAACAGGGACGTGCTGACAAAACTGAGCGGGATTTAACACCCCCCCCCCCACTTATTCACTGATTGGGGGGTGGGCCTTAAATCCTTTCTGGTTCGGCTGAATTTCTTGCAAACCCCTTCTTGATTTGGGAAGTGGTTTGCATGGAACCTGCTCCTAAAAGCAATGGGGGGCAACTCGGTTTTAGCATTGCCTTGAAAGATGCTTTGAAGACCCGTGTTCAGGACTTGAAAGCGCCTTGCACCTGATGTCATTGTGGAATTGCCAGTTTTGATAAGGATCTAGCCCGTGGAGCTAAAATGGTTCCCAACCCCTGCTGGGAGGTATGCTTGAAAAGAGGATGGGTGGTACCTGGTTGTTTGGCAGGTGTGCCCTTGTCCCCTCTTGCAAACCAAAATTCTGCAAAACAGCAGCCTATGCAAATAGTTCATATTCCAAAATTCTTTCTTGCAAGCAAAACAGTTTGCCACTACACTATGCCACCAGGTAACTTGCTGAGGAAAACTTAAAATGGGCATTGCAGGGGTTTGGTCTAGATGACCCTAGGGGTCCCTTCCAACTCTACAATTCTATTATTCCAACACCTTTAATTTGTCTCTCTTTCCTACCCTAGAGGTTATACGGACAAGACTACGGGAGGAAGGCACCAAGTACAAGACATTTGTCCAGACGGCGCGGCTGGTGTTTCGGGAAGAGGGCTACTTGGCCTTCTACAGAGGACTCTTTGCTCAGCTCATGCGGCAGATCCCAAACACGGCTATTGTCCTGTCTACCTACGAGTTAATAGTGTACCTGTTAGAAGACTGAGTTAAGTAGCCGACCAAGACTTGAATCAAAAACGCACTCAGACAAACAAACAAAAAACTGTTAAAACTTCCACAGGCCAGTTTCTTCGCAAAGAGCCGTTTCAAACAGTCGGACAGGACTGGAGAGTTGGAAAAATCATGGATCATTTTGCTTGATAACGTGCTCTCTTTTTAAAAGTTTATTTTCTGCTCTCTTTTTCTTTATTTTCTTCCTTAGGGGATTCATGCTTTCTGAAAGGTGTTGATGTTTAAATGTTAATAGTTAATTATTACCTTTTTTTAACTTAAAAGAGACGAGGTTCAGAAATTAAAAACGACAAAACTAAATTAAAATCACTATTTAATTTACATAACACACCTTGGGTCTTTCATCTATTACCCCCCAACCCAATGAAGCAAAAACCGTTGGATGGGATGTTTGGAAGAATAGTATTTTGTAATCTCAGAAGATAAGAGGCTTCACAAACATAGAAATTGGTGCCTAGTATGATTTCACACAGTGAGAGTCTAGGGTTTGCTTTTTAAAAACAAAAATCAAGTCTCTAGACCCGATGATTAATAAAATTAGCTTTAAGCCAATATGGGGACCCTGTGGCCCTCCAGATACTGCTGGCCTAGACTAGGAACTCCAGGTCATCTCTGGCCATTGTAGTCCAACATCTTGAGCAGAGATGGGGAACCTGTGAGTGTTGCTGGAATACAGTTCCCATCATCCCTGACCATTGGCCTTGCTAGCTAGGGATTGATGGGATCTGGAATCCTAGAACATCTGGAGGGAACGTTTTATCACACCATAGTGTTTGTAATGGCTAAATGGAACCCTCCTATGTTCAGGGTTATTTTCATCATCACTCCCATCTAATAGCAAATTCAGATGGACTGGATTATAGTCAAAACAGGGCTGGCTGGGAAACAAGACATTAGTTTGCAAAAGTCCAAAAAAAAAATTGGAGGTGGAGGACTCAAAAGCGTAGAGAAATGGCTCACCGACGACTGAGCGAGCTCAGTGGCCCACCAATCACTTAACAGGTATAATATATACCCCTCTGGGTGTCGCAGAACAAATGCAGGCTCCTTTGCTTCAGCGATAGCAACGCGAAGCCTCCGCGCTTCGGAGGCTACGCATTGCTTTCGCTGAAGCCTGGAGAGCGAGAGGGGTCGGTGCGCACCGACCCCTCTCGCTCTCCAGGCTTCAGGGATAGTTGTCTGAAGCCTTTGGAGTACAGCGGGACCTCGCGCTGCGCTCCAAAGGCTTCGCAACCTTGCCGCTGCTCCCTGACCTGTTCTGGGGTCTGGGGAAGCTCGGGCTTCCCCCGCCCCGCGGCTAAAAACGAAGCCAAGACCGCGCGCAGCCTCTCCCAGCTGGAGATGTTGCGCGTGGCTAAAGAGGAAGCCAAGACAGCCAGCGGGATGGATCCCGCTCACTGTCTTGGCTTCTTTGCTCTTTGGGGCTGGGGGGGGGGGGGAATCAAGAAAAAAACTAGATGCGCCTTATGGAGCAAAAAATACGGTATCTATTCTGTTTGGGGTTGGGGAGAATGCATAAAACCTTGCCTAAGAGCGTACAGCAGATTGTTGCCTCCATCCCCTTCTTATGGGTTTTCTAGATGCCTCACTTGGACGGCTTTGAAAGAAGATTGAATGAATTCAGGGAGGATCTCAATGGCTACTCACCCTGGTAGCTATGTTTCACCTCCTTTGCCAGAGGCAGTAAATGCTTCTGAATACCAGTGGCTGAGAACCACAGGTGGGAAGAGCTGCTAGATGGGGTGAGGTCCTGCTTGCGGGGCTTCTCCCAGTGGCCACCCAGATGTGTGCCATTGGGAACAAAGTGCTAGACAAGATGGGTCTCTGGGTGGGTGAACAGGTGTACATCCTTAGAATCATTCTAGTCCAGCGCCCTTCAATGCAGAAATCTCAACTAGATCATACATGACAGATGACCATCCAACCTCTGCTTAAAAACATCCAAGGAAAGAGAGTCCACCACATCTTGTGGGAGTCTGTTCCACTGTCAAACAGCTCTTACTGTGATGTCCAGTCAGAATCTCTTTTCTTGTTATTTGAATCCACTAGTCCAGGTCCTAGCCACACAATCTGAATGAATTAGTCAATTGTGTGGGGGTCTGGTTGTGGCAAGGGCATCTAATTTTTCTTGACCCACCCTCCCTCCCTCTGTGCAGTTGCTCTACCTCATGCCTGGTGTGCCAGCCCTTGAAAGCTTCCCCATGTGGAAATGCAGCCCCGTTTCAGTTCATTACAAGCAGGAAAAATAAAGTAAATATGTATACAAAACGGCCCAGCTAACTTTTTCTCAAAGTAGACCCAATGAAATTTGTTAATTTGACAGGTTAGTCCTGTCCTAGGAACCTTTCAGCGAAGCCTTATAAGCCAATGCTAGTCCTACTCAGAGTAGACCCACTAAAGTTAATGCACATGACTAACTTGGGTCCATTCATTTCAATGGGTCTCATCTGAGTAGGACTTGGATGGATGCAGCCCACAACACTTCCTAACTTCTGAGTGTGCGGGGAGCCTACAACCCCTATGAGTCATTCCCGCGATCTACTTTTTTCTCTCCTTGCCGGTTGCCTCGACTCCCCGTTACAGCGAGGGAGTCGTGGACTGAAAAGGTGGGCGACTTGGGGGGGGGGGCTGTTCGTGCTCGCCGCCTGCCGCGTGAAAGATCAGCATCGTGCCAGCCTGCGCCCGTGAATCAGCTTTTGAGAGGAGGGGAGTTTTTCCAAGCACGAAAAGCCAGCTTTAAAAACGGGGTCTCGTTTCCTCCAAGGTCCTGCCACAAGCACGGATCAGGCATTTTAAAGGCGTGAGTCGTGACGGATATTTTCGATTTGCCAGCCGGGGGCGTGGAAGTCTCTTGCTTCCTTTTAAAATTTATTAGACTGAGCCGCTCAAGCTTTTTTCTTTTTTTTAAAGATAAATAAAGGGCGATCCGCTTGATTTTTGACGCCACTCTGCGTGAACACACATAAAAGGATCGCTTATTTTCGTCATTATTCCACAATGGGGTGAACAGTGCTTCAGTATGCACGGCGCTCCGTACCCTGAATCGTTTGGGTGTGCGCGCGTGCAAAGCTCCCACTTCCACAGCCACGTGCTGCGTTCAGCAGCGCTTACTCCCCAAGGGGGAAAGCGTGCGTAAAAGGATCGCCGCCTCGGATTCCTTTTTCCTTCCCCGCGCCGCCTCCAGCCATGCTTACCCACGCCTCGTGCCGGTGATTGGAAGGCGAGGCAGCCAGCGGCGGGTATATGCGAGAAGGGGGCGGATCGGTGCCTCCTGGAAGAGGAGGAGCGGCGGCGGCGGCAGTGGAGGGAAGGTCATACCGCTTTATAGAAAGAGGGGAGGAGAAAAGGAACCGCTCCAATTGCCCGCTGTGTCTACTGAACCGGGCGGGGGGTAACGCTCTTGATCAACCCGTTCCGCCTTTGGCGCTTTTTCTGGATTTGCTCTGCCACGCGCGGGCGCGCTTTCTTCTAATTCTTCAAAGCGTTGGAGCAGAGAGCGCCGCGGGGGGCGGGGGAGTGAGGCGTGGAGGTGAGAAAGGGAGCCGGGCGCGCGATTGGACACTCCGCGTTCTAAAGAGGCTGCTCGTTACTCAGCGTTCCGAAAGGCTCGGCCGAGCGTTCCAATCCGCGTCCGGCGCTTCTCCTCCTCCTCCTCCTCGCGCTCCGAAAGCTGCAACTGAACGTTCTAAGAACGCTCCCCCTCGACGCGTTCTAAGAGGAGGCGCCGTTCTTTCTTTGCTGAGCGCGCGGTGGAAACAGCCTTTTATTTTTTCTCTCTCCTCCTTCTCCTTTCGCGACCGCCCCCTCGCACGAGGAATCCGAGCAGCGGTCGTTGCAATTCCGTTTACTCCCCCCCCCCGCTCCCTTTTCAGTTCCCCTTCCCTCCTCCTCCCTGAGCCATTTCTCCCGCAGAGCCCAGCGGCCATGGAGGGAGTCGGCGCGCTGCTGGCCGGCTGCCCCACCGCCGGCCTGGCCGGGGGCCTGGGGGTGACTGTGTGCGCCGCTGCCGGCGGAGTCCTGCTGTACAAAATCGCCCGGAGGTAAGCTGTGCTTTATTTTAAATGCCTACATGTCCCATGGAATTGCGATCGAGGCAGTAATACAAAAGATAATATAATATAAAAGATCCGCCGCGCGGATTAAGCTGCCTCCAGGAGGCGAGCATGCTTTGGGAGGCCCAGCCAGGCAAGCTGGGCGGGGTTGCCGCCTTAAGCCTTCGGAAGGGGAGCGACCATGCTTGAGACTCGCCTCCCTTCGATTTGAACTGCCGGGATCTTCCTGCGGGAGGACGAGTCTTTCCTCCCGCCTCTTTGCTTCTCTTGTTTCTTTTTGGGAGAGAGGAATGTTTTTTTAAATGTCCGGGTTTTTTTCGGAGAGGGGGAGGTGAAGTCCCGCCCCCTTCCGGAGTCAGGAACCGCTTGTAGAGAAGCGTGCCATCCGAACGCGTTTCAATGAATACCGAGTTAGCATTATTAAAAAATGACCACAAAAGTTTTACAGTGATGAAAGGCGAAAGCTGTCTTTTAATTGAGGCGGAACTGACAACCTACCTGTCTCAGTGTTGTCAGCACGGACTGGCAGGTGTTTCTCCACGCCCTACCTGGAGAATCCGTTGGGGATTAAACGTGGGATTTTCTGCGTGCAAGGCAGATACGCTTAACACTCCGCTCAAGGCCCTCCCCGCAAAACAGAGCAAGATTCTAGTCTTCGTGGTGCTGCATAAAAGCTGCCTTGAGTCAGACCCTTTGTCCGTCTCGCTCAGTATTCTTGCACTGAGATTCCGAGCAGCTTTCTAGGGTTTCAGCCCTTCCTAGCCATACTGATTGTATATTGAAATTTACACACACACCCCGTGTTGCTCAGTGGATTTGAACCCGAGTTGTGAGCGGAGAAGCATATAAGGGGTGGTTTTGTTACTGAGGTTGTGATTCAGGGAATCCTGCCCAAATAATATAATAATAATAATTTATTATTTATACCCCGCCCATCTGGCTGGGCCTCCCCAGCCACTCTGGGCGGCTTCCATAGAAACCAAAAATACACTAAAATATCACACGTTAAAAACTTCCCTGAACAGGGCTGCCTTAAGTTGTCTTCTGAATGTCAGGTAGTTGTTTATCGCTTTGACATCTGGTGGGAGGGCGTTCCACAGGGTGGGCGCCACTACCGAGAAGGCCCTCTGCCTGGTTCCCTGTAGCTTTGCTTCTCGCAATGAGGGAACCGCCAGAAGGCCCTCTGCGCTGGACCTCAGCGTCCGGGCAGAACGGTGGGGGTGGAGACGCTCCTTCAGGTATACTGGACCGAGGCCGTTTAGGGCTTTAAAGGTCAGCATCAACGCTTTGAATTGTGCTCGGAAACGTACTGGGAGCCAATGTAGGTCTTTCAAGACCAGTGTTATATGGTCTCGGCGGCCGCCCCCAGTCACCAGTCTAGCTGCCGCATTCTGGATTAGTTGTAGTTTCCGAGTCACCTTCAAAGGTAGCTCCACGTAGAGCGCATTGCAGTAGTCCAAGCGGGAGATAACCAGAGCATGCACCACTCTGGCGAGACAGTCCGCAGGCAGATAGGGTCTCAGCCTATGTACCAGATGGAGTTGGTAAACAGCTGCCCTGGACACAGATTTGACCTGTGCCTCCATGGACAGCTGTGAGTCCAAAATGACTCCCAGGCTGCGCACCTGGTCCTTCAGGGGCACAGTTACCCCATTCAGGACCAGGGAATCCTCGACACCTGCCCGCCTCCTGTCCCCCAAAAACAGTACTTCTGTCTTGTCAGGATTCAACCTCAATCTGTTAGCCGCCATCCATCCTCCAACCGCCTCCAGACACTCACACAGGACCTTCACGGCCTTCACTGGTTCTGATTTAAAAGAGAGGTAGAGCTGGGTATCATCCGCATACTGATGAACGCCCAGCCCAAACCTCCTGATGATCTCTCCCAGCGGCTGCATGTAAATGTTGAAAAGCATGGGGGAGAGGACAGAACCCTGAGGCACCCCAAGTGAGAGCCCAGGGGTCTGAACACTCATCCTCCACCACCACTTTCTGAACACGGCCCAGGAGGAAGGAGTGGAACCACTGTATGACAGTGCCCCCAGCTCCTAGCCCCTCAAGATGGTCCAGAAGGATGTTATGGTCGATGGTATCAAACGCTGCTGAGAGATCCAGCAGAACTAGGAAACAGCTCTCACCTTTGTCCCTAGCCTGCCGGAGATCATCAACTAGTGCGACCAAGGCAGTTTCAGTCCCATGATGAGGCCTGAATCCCGACTGGAAGGGATCCAAATGGTCCGCTTCTTCCAGGCGTGCCTGGAGTTCTTCAGCAACCACTCAATCAGCTTGCCCAAGAATGGAAGATTTGAGACTGGGCGATAGTTGGCCATCGTGGCCGCATCTAAAGATGGTTTTTAAGAAGCGGTTTAATAACCGCCTCTTTCAGCGGGTCTGGGAAGGCTCCCTCACAGAGGGAAGCATTCACCACCCCACGAAGCCCATCACTCAGTCCTTCCCGGCTAGCTTTTATAAGCCAGGATGGGCAAGGATCCAGGAGACAGGTGGTTGGTTTCACTCGTCCAAGCAGCCTGTCCACATCCTCGGAGGTAACAGATTGGAATTGATCCCACTCAACTTGACTAGACAAAACTCTAGCACTCTCCCGCCCCGGCCCTGCTCCCACGGTGGAGTCTACTTCTTCCCGAATCTGAGCGATTTTATCTGCAAAAGACTTTGCAAAATCATTGCAGGAGAACATGTGGCCCGTACTGGGACCCGATGTTGCAGGTGGTTCTGCTAAATTGTGAACCACCTGAAAAAGTCTCCTGCTACTGTTTTCTGCAGATGCAATAGAGGCGGTGAAGAAATTCTTCTTCGCCGTTGCTATCGCCACTTGGTAGGCTCGACGTTGAGCTCTAACCTGTGTCCGGTCAGATTCGGAATGAGTTATCCGCCACCGGCGCTCTAGCCGCCTCAACGATTGTTTCATTGCCCTCAGATCCGTGGAAAACCACGGGGCTGTCCGGGCTCCATGCAATCGGAGAGGGCGCTCGAGCCAAACAGTCAATAGCCCTGGTTAACTCCACATTCCAGCGGGCCACCAGGGAATCGGCTGAAAGGCCATCAACATGGGATAAAGCATCCCCTACCACTCTCTGGAAACCATTTGGATCCATTAAGTGGCGGGGGCGGACCATCCGAATTGGTCCCACCTCCCTGCAGAGGGGATGGGTCGCAGAGAAGTCCAGTTGCACCAGGAAGTGATCTGACCATGGCACTTCTTTCGTTTCGCTTTTACTTAGTGTCAGATCACCAACATCCATAGAGGTAAACACCAGGTCCAAGGCATGTCCGCGGCTATGGGTTGGGCCAGACTTATTCAAGGACAGCCCCATGGAGGCCATGCTTTCCACGAAGTCCCGAGCGGCCCCTTGTAAGGTCGTGTCGGCATGGATGTTAAAATCCTCTAGGACGACCAAACTAGGTGTCTCCAGGAGAACATCCGCCACTACCTGAAGCAGCTCGGGCAGGGAATCCTTGGTGCAGCGGGGAGGTCGGTACACCAAAAGGAATCCTGTACTGCCCGTATTGCCCAACTTCCAGAACATGCACTCGGAAAACTGGGTCTTCCCAATAGGACGCCTGGTGCAAACTAATAACTTCCTAAAAATAACTGCAACCCCCCCTCCCCGCCCACATGACCTGGGTTGCTGTGCGTAAGAGAAACCTGGTGGACAAGCAGCGGCAAGGACAGGCCCATCTGCTTCATCCAACCAAGTCTCTGTTACACATGCCAGGTCAAGTCCTCCATCCATGATCAAGTCATGGATGGCAGTGGTTTTATGAATCATTGACCTGGCATTGTACAGCAGCACCTTCAGGTCATGTGGGTATCCCTTGCTGATTCTAGTATCCATCCGGTCAGGACCAGACCCGGAGGCAGGAATAGTCCTCAGACAACGACTAAACCTGCCTCCTCTGTAATGACATGGTCTATCTTAGCGTAACTCCTCCTACCCGTGATCACTGAGATCGGTTGTCCCAATGCATCCCCCCCCCCCCCCCCCCCGTGGAACATGCCCCAGCCATTTTATGGGCTGGGGCCGACTCCCTGGCAGCCCTGACCCCTCCCCTTAAGAACAAAATAACACCTTAAACAAACAAACAAACAAAACCAATAAAACAATACAAACAAAAAACTGTAAAAATTACAAAAATTCCCCAAGCCCAACCAAACATCCATCCCACCCCCACCCCCCCACATACAAAAAATTCAAAAGAAATTTTAAAAAACATATTGGTGGTTGTGCACAAGAAGTGACCTTACAGTATCCCTGTTCTCTCAGCTTTGTTCCATATCCAGTGCAGTGTTAGAAACTCTCATATATAAGCTTGGCTGTGCATCTTGAAAGCCTGCTTAAAAATTGGGTCTAAACCAGCCTTCTGTGGTCCTTGAGATGCTTGGGACTGCAACTCGCATCATCCCAGCCTGTTGGCGATGCTGGCTGAGGCTGGAGGCAGTCTTGGAAACTCAGATATATAAGCTAATCGCCAAATAGCACCTTAAACTTGGGTTGTGGTCACCACAATGTAATGTCTGGGCACCTTTTCCCAGTGAATTGTTATTTATTAATTTCATTTCTACGCCACTTTATATCTTAAAAAAATCTCAAGGTGGTTTACAACACATTAAAACATCAAATCAAACAATCCAGACTAAAACAAATTCAAGCTTTAAGGAAAATATTTCAGAGCCTTCTCTAGGTGACGCTTTCCGCATATTTACTTACCTATGTAATTTATAGAGCTGTCACACAGCAGCAGGACTCTAGGAAGCCAGTGTGGTGTAGTGGTTAGAGTGTCAGACTAGGACCTGGGAGATCAGGTTCAAATCCTCCTCAGTCATGAAGCTGGCTGGGTGACCTTGGGCCAGTCATAGCGTCTTAACCTACCTCACAGGGCTGATTTCTAACACTGGAGGGGGTCGGGTTGGCGAAAGCCCGGCCCAACCGTTGGATGCTTTGGGTAACATTTTGCTTCTGTGGGTCACTGTGGACATAAGAAACTGCCCAGGTGGACACAAGCTTGCTGATCCCATAAGGACTGTGATTCTCAAACTGTGTGCCTTGAGAAAGAAGTTGATGAGTAATATGCCCTTGAAAGTTTTCTGAAGAACTTCACGTTATGGGGTGACATACAAATGTTGTAAATAAATAAAACAGTCTTGAGAGCGGCCTGCTTTGAACTCCAGTGAAAGCTGACTTGGTAATTCTGCTGTTTCTGAACTGGATAGGCTTCAGTCAGTCAGTCAGCCACTCCCAGTTGCAGAGCCATGGCAAAGTGTCCTTGCTCTCAAGGGTTGTGCTTCTGTATGAGTTGCTGTTCCGGGCTTGCCTCCTTCCAGTCCTAGAATCCCAAGGTGAGCAATGTATACAGATGCATGGGGTGGTAGGAGGAAAGTAGAACACTTTCTCACACACACACATCCGTAAGTAATATGTGATGTAAGATTGAAATGTGCTTTCCAGTTATAATAGTTCCTTTGCTGCCAGAGGTTTAGGAAGAGTAAGACATTCTCAATGGAACCAAGTCAGGTTTTGTTTTTTATAGATTGTAGAGTTGGAAGGTATACTCCAAGGATCATCTAGGTCAGCCCCTTGCAATGCAGAAATCGCAGCTAAAGAATCCATCCAACACCTGTTTAAAAGCCTCCATTGAAGGAGAGTCCACCACCTTCCAAGGGAGTCTCTTCCACTGGTTTGCATTCTCTCTGTGTAAAGGTAAAGGGACCCCTGACCATTAGGTCCAGTCGTGGCGGACTCTGGGGTTGTGGTGCTCATCTCGCTTTATTGGCCAAGGGAGCCGGCATACAGCTTCCGGGTCATGTGGCCAGCATGACTAAGCCGCTTCTGGTGAACCAGAGCAGCGCACGGAAACGCCGTTTACCCTCCCGCCGGAGCGGTAACTATTTATCTACTTGCACTTTGACGTGCTTTTCAACTGCTAGGTTGACAGCAGCAGGGACCGAGCAACAGGAGCTCACCCCATCGCAGGGATTCGAACCACCAACCTTCTGATCGGCAAGTCCTAGGCTCTCCTCCTGTCTACTCAAAAGGAGGTCTGTTAGTCACGATGGCTGGGCTGTGCCTCCACAGTCAGGTAGCAATGTTTTTGAATGCCAGTTGCTGGAAACTGGAGGGGAGAGGGATCTTGTGCTAGGGTCCTGCTTTTGCTGGTTTCTCACAGGCATCTGGTTGGTCGCTGTGAGAACATGATGCTAGACTAGCCACCAACCTGGGCTGAGTGGAAATTTCAAAAAATTCTAGCAAAGCAGAGCTTATTTTGTTTTCAGTCTGAAGCAGATGCTGCAGGTGAGCGTTAACATTCCTGTTGTTTGACTAGGGAGAATGATTAGAGGAGGCAGGCAAAATGAGTGAATAGGTTTTTTTCATCAATTGCAGGCAAAGGATCAGCTTTGAGAATGTCTCTCTGGTGGAATGTGAGGAATGCATTTTGTTTGGGGAGGAGGTCTTGTACAGCCGCTTTTCTCCATTTTCCTCCAGGGGTCATGATGACCGGACACGGCCTGAGCAGAACTTGGGAAGAACATTTTAAAATGTCCACTGCCCTTTTTTGCAAGTTAATAACTGCTGTCTTGCACTGCAACGGCGGCCCCCAAAGTTTTAATCCTTAAAATGCACCTCACCCCCGATTAAAAAAAAAACCACTTCTGGAATCATGTTACTCTTGCCTCTTAAATCTGGAAAAATAGGTTTCCGTGTATTTCTCCATGAATCTTTATTTTGGACACGCAGAGGTGCAGTGGATACTCTCCTCTTGAGTGTAGCTGATTCTGGCAAGAAAAGGTTACCCTCCCAACAGCCTTTTCAGGTAGGCTAAGTGACAGCCTGATTTGTCCAAGGACCCCCATTGAGCTTCATGGCTCTGCAGTGTTATTTCCCTTATCCAGGATACATCTGACCTTGTTATTCATCATCTACACCGCCTACAAGTTTTCGTTGAACTTCTGTGTTCTGGCCCTTAAATTTTGGCTCCCTGCTTGAGCTTTGTGGCCCAGGAATCAGGCCCAACCTTCGTAGTTTTGAGTAACTTTGGAATGCCGTTTGTGGGGCAAGCAGCTTTCCCCAGATAAGAGTTTAATGTGTCTTTTATCAGTGCCTTTGCCTTTCTGCAGAGTGTCCTTGAATTGTGATAAAACTCATTGCTTTTCTGGTTATAAAAATGGGTGTGTGTAGCTCTTTGGCTTTTGCAAGACTGGAATATAAGCTTACTTTGCAAAGGGAAGAGTTGCATCCCTTAACTGCTCACCTCTGCCTCTGGCATGTGGCCCCCAGAAGGTTACTAACAGGGGAATGTGGCCCTCAGGATGGAAAAAAGTTTCCCCTTCCTTGTTCTAAGATATGTGGTTCGCTAGGGTTTCATTGCACGTGGGGAGGGGGTGCTGACTTCAGCTTCAAAGAAAAAATAATGTGAGGCGTCAGTCTATCAATGGCTATTGCTTATGTTGATGAAACAGAACCTCCATATACAAAGGCAGCATACCTCAGAACCCCATGTGCTGGTAACAGATGGAGGAGTGTAGTAAACGCTATGCAATGCTCCTGAATTTCTTGCCCTCTCCTGGACACAATGCTTTAGCAGACAGATTTGCAGGGCCTGTGATTTGCCTGATAATCTCCATCTTGTTCAGACCAGCCACCCCCTTCTGCGTTTCCTTGATCTAAAACAGCATTGTTTTCGTTCTTAATGCGTCTGTGTCCCCAGACAGAGTAGGATCACAGAAATAGTGCTACGAGATTATCGCTTCTTCGTCTGAGAAAGGCACAAGCTGAGGAAATCTCCACGCTGCTCCCAGTTTGTCTGAAACGAAAGGATTGCCATACACCCTTCATTTGAGGAAGCAGAAGGCACAAGAGAGCTGAGTAGGGGCATCTGGAGCCAGAATGGCTGATAAGGCTTGACCTCGGTGGAAACTCTTGGGCCTGTTTGTTGCTCTCTGCTGTTTGTGAGGAAGAAAAGCCATCTCTCGGACAGCTTTCATGTAGAATCCAGTAAGATTGGCTACCGCTGTCCTGGATTTTGCTGTTACGGTGCCTTCTAGATGTTGTCAGACTCCTTTGCATCAGCCCTGAGCAGTGTTAGAAACTCAGATATATAAGCTAGGCACCAAATGGCTTCTTAAACCAGGGTTACAGTCAACCAAAATGGAATGCCTAGTTGCCCTTTTTGGGCCAGGGCTTGAAAGTCATTTTTTCCCCATGCGACTTTGGGGTTCCTGAAATTCATTCTGATTGTGCAGATAAAATATAATGGATAGAATTCCACAGGATGTGTCTGAAAATGGTCACGCTACAAGGATCCCCAGGCATGCACCTCCAGGTGGGGGAGACATCAGGTGCCACCCGGGCACCCGGTAGCCAGGTGCAAAGTGTGCTGGGTGAATTTAGATTGCCGGCCATGACCATTTTCCATGCTGGCTGGAGCTGATGAGTGTTGGAGTCCAGCAGTGTACAGTGGTACCTCGGGTTAAGAACTTAATTCGTTCTGGAGGTCTGTTCTTAACCTGAGGTACCACTTTAGCTAATGGGGCCTCCCGCTGCCGCCGCACAATTTCTGTTCTCATCCTGAAGCAAAGTTCTTAACCCGAGGTACTATTTCTGGGTTAGCAGAGTCTGTAACCTGAAGCGTCTGTAACTCGAGGTACCATGAATATATAATATTCATTAAGTGCCCTAAGGTCCCAATTTAAACACAGTGTTAAAAACAGTTAAAAACAACTTGCGATTGCAAAAATAAGGTGGGTCCTAAAAGTGGACATCACGAGTGTGAAAAGCTCAGGGTTAAGAGGTGTGAATATATACACATACACTGTTAGCCCTTCTTAAAATAAGTTTTAAAAATAGTTCAGGTAAATTAAGTTGATTATTGTTACTGATGCTAAAAGGTGCCCCCTTCCGATAGTTTGGTTGCCAGATTTTAAAGAAAAGTTAAGAGAGAGTGTGTGCGACACACACACACACACACACACACACACACGTGTTCTCTCCTCTGAGTCTCAGGGAGAGGAGGAAGAATACCTCTTCTAAAACAATGCCAGCTGTGGCAAAAAGGGATCCGTTATTTGTGACTCCTGCATTGCTGGAAGTTGGACTAGATGACACTTGGGATCCCTCCCAACTCTACAATTCTGTGTGCCCTAATGAAAATAGTTTGTTAATTCATTCCAAGAAAGAAGGGTCTGTGATGCCCAAGCCTGCTGGTTGAGGACATGAGCCCAGGCAGGAGGTATGCTTGGCTTGCATTGCAGCAGATGGATGTCCCAAGCGTTCCTTTAGCCCCTGTTTGCATCAGCTGGGCCTTTGTGCTCTGTGGTGCTTCCGACAGCTGTAGTTCAAAGGAGCCCTTGTGCTGAAGTCATGTGGAAACAGATGGTGGAGAGGTGTGTTGGGTAAGGGGAGTGGAATTCCCATCTCGGGCAGCTGTGCTTGGCGGAATTTGGAGTCTTGTTTTGCCTGGAGCAATACCTGGCACCATATTATTGCTACTACTGTTGTTGTTGTATTTATTTATATCCCGCTTTCCACCCAGATCGGGACTCAAGGCGACTGACACAGAATAAAACAACATGGAGATGATGATGATGATGATGATAATAATAATAATAATAATAATAATAATAAATTCTGCACCGCCCTTCATCTGAGGATCACAGGGTGCTTTACAATGTAAAAACACAAAAATATATAACGTTGTAACAAACAATACCATCCCATCCTGCACACACAGTTTAAAAGGCCATAGACTGTTTAATTAGCCAAAGGCCTAGGAGAAAAGGAATGCTTTTGCCTGGCGGCTAAAGAAACGTAGCAAAGATGCCTTGGGGAATACCTTGGCCGCTGACACACTTTGGGTGGGAGCAACTAGATGGCAGCTTTTTAGAAAATGTATTATACTTTAAACACAAGATTATGAACTGACCTGGACCCTGCAATCATAATTTGAGGCTTCTCTTCATGAGAGGCCAAAACAGAAAGCTAGAAGCATATAAAAGATAAAAGTAATTGATCTCTAATAAAATTTTAAAAATATATAAAGAAAACAAATCTATTAAAATACAATTAAAACAGCACAGCACTATTAAAAGCCCTTTCCTTAAAAACCAGTCAATTCCCAAAGGCCTTTCGGAATGAGACAGTCTTCACCTGCCAGTCGAAGGACAACAAGGAGGGAGCCAGTCAAGCTTCTCTAGGAAGGGAGTTCCAGAGTCTGGGGGCAGCCACCGAGAAGGCCCTTTTTCACATCAACACCAAGTCTGCACATAAGGGTGGTGGCACTGAAGATCACACAGCCAAGGCAGGTTCATATGGGAGAATATGGCCGTCCTGATAGACTGGGCCTAAACTGTGTTGGGCTTTATAAGTCATTAGCAGCACTTTGCATTTATAGAGAGGAAAGCTGTGCTCATGGAATAACTAACTGGCATTTGGGTCACCCATAATTTTTATTTTTATTTTGCACAGCTTGTCTCTGCATATGCACAGACCCAAATACAAAACACATGCCCCCTACTTAAATGGAGGGGGGGGGAGGAGGTAGCTTTCATTCCAGGTCAGGTCTTTGATGGTTAGTTGGTCGTCAGTGGTAGAGTATCTCCTTTGCATGCAAAAAGTCCCCAGGTTCATACCTTGGCATCTTCAGGTAGGCGTGGTGAAATCCTTGGGAGTTGCTGCCAGTCAGTGCAGACAGTACAGAGCTTGTCTGACTCAATGTAATACAATTTCTTGTGCTCCTGTCTGAGATGGCTTGTTCACATGAACAAGTCACCCACTTCTGTAGCTGCTGTGAAATAAAAGACCTTTATCATTATTATATACACACACAAGCTAGGCTTCTAAGCGCACTTTTCAAGCACCAACGCACCATGGCCCGAAGTTTAATAAAAGAAATCCCATTAAAACATGAAAATATAAATGCACCTAATTAAAATGAACACTAAAACAGTCCCATCGAAAATATAAACACTCACAGTTAAGATATGCAATTTAAAAAATCCATTATATATATAACAATCCAAGGTAAAATTATGCAATATAAAAGTCATTTTGAAACAACACAGCAATTAAAACAGGTTGAGTGAGCAAGGGAATGTCTGTGTGAACAAGTCTGTCTTCAAAAGCCTGTTCTTAGACTTTTGCTTATCTTTTTTTTAAAAAACAAAGCAAATGACTCTCCCTCTGTCCAAAAGGGTTAAGCCCCAACAGCTGCTCATTTTGATGGCAAGTGTTTCATTCCAGTGCATAGACAGGCAATCCTTTTCTATTGAAGTTCTGCTTTTCACTTGTGGCTCTGCTCGTTTACTGTTTACAGCTGCCCCATTAAGCTCTCTGGCTTTGGGCAGCAAATTCTTCCCTTCCCAGAAAAATATGATGGGGAAATCCCAGCCATGGGCCCCAGTCCTCCCTGGATTGGACATCTACGGCTTTTCCATTTTCTGGGTCTCCATCTTATTTTTCCGTTTTGGCGGGAAAGGGGAAAATTTGGTCTGTTGCCTGGTAAAGAGAGGTGGGAGGATCTTGTGGTTGCAGTACTGTCCCGAATTGCTTCCAGGTCAACCTGCAAGCGTTTCTGGGGGTATGCCAAGCAACTGCAAGGTGCTTGCTTCGGTAACCCTAGAAGTTGAGGTCTTCTAACTGCTTGCTGATGCTCAAAGGGATGCCCTGTGTTTGCTGTGTACCACGGTGGAGGTTGAAGCAAATTGAGGTTGCCTAGCAACCACAGGACATGACCTTTGAAAGCCTGCAGGAAGTGATTAGAAGGCAGTGTCTTGCGGTTGCTAGACAACCACTATTATTATTATTATTATTATTATTAAAAAATCTTTGATCTCACTTTCTTCCCCCACCAGGTGGGCCTAAAGCAATTCCCGCTATTAAAAAAGCAAAACATCAACAGCGGACCTTTGAGCAGGAATTAAAAGCTTGTTTCTTAACTAGGTCCTACTCAGAGTAGGCCCATTTGAAAATAAGGAACCCAAGTTAGTCATGCCTGTTAACTTTAAGATGGGTCTACTCTGAGGAGGACTAGCTTTTGGTTAATGGCCATGAGTAACTTTAGGTCTGTTTGAGGAGAATGTAGTTGGGTCTGGCCTAATTTGCATATAAACAAGCGTATAAAAAGAGTATATCAAACCACGGGTATTATTATACGATTCTCTAAGCCATGGGGTGGGGAATCTCAGGCCATGGAGACTAATGTGGCCCCCCAGGCTGTTCTTGTCTGGCCCTCGGAAATCTCTCCAGAACCCTCCCCGGCCCTGCTTCATAACTTCCTTGCTATGTTTTTGCCTGACTGAAATGTGTCACATTGGGCCTCCTCCTCCCAGGGCCCAGTGTGATGTATACTTTTTTTTTTTTAATGCTGTTCCCCACAGGAAGAAACCCACCCACATGACCGTGAATTGCTGGTTCTGCAACCAGGACACCGTGGTTCCGTACGGGAACCGGAACTGTTGGGATTGCCCCAACTGCGAGCAGTACAATGGCTTCCAAGAGGTATGTTTCAAGAGTGGCACCTCGTAAAGCCTCTATGACGAGATGAAATGGCGGTCAAGGGCCAAAGCAAGCTGGGTTGCCTCCAACTGAGGCCACATTCACATCATGTGTTTAAAGCGCTATGATACCACTTTAAACCGTCATGGCTCTCCCCCCCCCCCCCCAGTTTTTTAAATATAGCTTGTTAAATGTGCTGAGAGCTGTTAGGAGGTCTCCTGTTCCCCTCATGGAGCTACAATTCCCAGCATTCTGGGAATTATAACTGTGAGGAAAATAGGGTCTCTTAAGCACCCTTAACAAACTACAGTTCCCAGGATTTTTTTTGCCTAGGGGGGCCATGACTGTTAAAGTGCAGTAATAGCGCTTTAAATATATGGTGTGAATGTGGTCTAAGTTTTGCTCCAGAGTAGACCCATGGAAATTAATGGCCCTAAGTTAGTCATGGTCATTGCTTCCAGTGAGTCTGCTCTTGAGTAGGGCTAGCCTTGGGTACAAACCCAGTGCCAACTCATGTACATATGTCTGTTCGATATTGGTGTGTATTAATTTATGAATCCCCTTTTACATCTATCTATCTATCTATCTATCTATCTTAATTTCATTACATTTATATCCCACCTTTTTTCTCCCGAGAGGAGCTCAAGGTGGTGCACACACACTTTTCCCCGTCTCCGTTTCATCCTCACAGCATCCCTGTGAGGTAGGCAAGGCTGACGGGTAGCGACTGGCACTGAAGATACGCAATACAGTTTGAGCACCTTAAGGCAAGAGACCTTTTCGCCCAGCTGGAAAAGCTTATCAAAGCAAAAATGTAATTGGGTTGTTTCTTTGGAGTACAGATCTGTGGGTGCCTGCTGTATCTCAGCAGGGCTGCTGTTCCACAGAACAGGGGCAACCACAACAAAGGCCCTGCTTCCGAGTTGTTATGGTGTGGGCTTTTGATTTTTTGGGTGTATGTCTGTGTTGGTAGAATTTACTGGCAGAGGTCGAGGGTGGGAGCTTAAAAGCAAAAGTTGGTGTAATGAGTGAACCACCTTTGGGATTGAAGGGAGGAGATAGTTTTGTGGTGTGGAATGTTAAGGTAAGTGGGGTAGATTTGGAGTGAGCATTGAATGAGAATCGGATGGCACTGGGCTTAGTAGGTAAATTAGCAGCTTCAGACCAGTTTACCTGTGAGTTCACCTGACCCCATCCGTATATGCTCGCTCTTCATTCTGCAGAATGTTACAAGGCGCCACATAATATTCATTCTGCATTTATAAGGAATCCATACTTTAGCGTGGCAACACCCACACTTTGGAACTCCCTTCCTATTGAAACCAGGGAGGCGCCGTCACTGCACTCTTTTAGGTGCCTGCTAAAATTGTTTTTGTTTAGGCCAGCCTACCCAGACATGATTTTACCTTCCTAAAATCTGGATTTTAGGTTATCGTTGATTTAACTATTATTCTTTATTGAATTTATATACCTCCTTATACCTGGGGGTCTCAGGGCGGTTTACAGAACAAAATCAAGATCTAAAACCACAAAATAAATAATAAAAATAAAACAACAACCCAATAGCCCCTCCCCACAAAAAAACCCAACACATTTTTAAAGGGCGTAGGGTGTAAATCAGATCAACGAAAGGCCTGGTTAAAAAGGAATGTTTTTGCCTGGTGCCTAAAGGTGTATAATGAAGGCGCCAGGCGAACTTCCCTGTGGAGAGCATTCCACAGATGGGGAGCCACTGCAAAGAAGGCCCATTCTCGTGTTGCCACACTCTGGACCTCTTGAGAAGGAGGCACAAGATAATTATTTTTGAAGATTTTAAATAGTTGCTTTTGATGGATCATTTCATTGTGTTAGTCATTTTGTAAACCACTTTGAATCTTTCTGGGGGGGTTTTTTACAATCGAAAGGTATAATACATATTTTATGAAATAAAAATCCATCTGTACTTCACACTTTACTGTGAATTAGTTCCTCAAATAAACTCTGATACAATTTTTAGCCATCTTCCGTACAAGAGAAGCGGACTGTTGCCCTCTCACTCAGTTCTGCCTTAATTGGATCTCGCCAGTTTTCCCGTAGCTCCTCCGGTTGGTGAGACAACCGTAGCTCCTCCGGTTGGTGAAAGCCCCTTTTACTCTTATGAATTGACTTTGAAAGATCCCTTCTGGATCTTCATATCAGAAGGCCCATCTAGTCCAGCATCCTCAAAGTGGCCAGGCAGGTGCCTATGGAAAGCCCACAAGCAGGGCATTAGTTCAGTGGTGCACTCCCCACTTGAGAACCACAGCAACTGGTTTTCAGAAGTTTACCGCCTCTGGCCCTGGAGGGTAGTACACAGCTGTCATGGCAAGTAACCACCAATAACCCTAGCAGTGAGAGTTGCTAGGACTTTAATTAAGGTTTGTTTTGTGGCATACCACTTGTGGGTTTTCCAAACCACGCGCCTGCGTTTGGCCGTAATGCTAAGCCCAACTGTTTCTTGGCTCACACCAGCAAGAGGAGCAAAGAAGAAGGGCAGATTATAAACTTAAAACAATAATTTGAAATGATGATAAATAACTTCCCAAGGTTGCTTTCGTTGGCTCTTAAAAATTAAGAGTATCTCAGGGTGCAAATAAATCTATGGATTTGGCAGCCATTTGTTACTTATGTGGCTGGCCAATCATGGAAATGATAAGTCCCAATGAAATACAGCTTTGTTTTGTATTCCTAATATTTTGTTGTTGTTGTTTTTTCACACACACCCCAGCAAATTATTTTTATTGATTTTCTCATTTTTAACCCAATTATACAGATTTCTGGGTCTTCTTAAGAGCTTGGTGCCCTAACGGTAGGACCAGGGGGAAACTCTGGCCTTCCAGATGTTGTTGGGGCTGGAGTTCCATTTGATAACAGCGAGAAACAGTATCTTCGTCTCAGTATTGTGGAATGCTCTGCCAGTAGAGATTCAGCAGGGGCCTTCTGTCACAACTTTTAAATGCCTCCCGAAAACATATATTCTATTAGGCTTATGCAGGCAGTTAAGAATGCTTCTTTTCATTGTAGGTGGCTGATTTCTTATTTTAACTCTTTAATATGTTTTTTATTGTATGGTGGCCCACAAAAGGGCCTTCTCTGTGGCAGCCCCTAAACTGTGGAGCTCCCTCCCCACAGAGGTGCATCTGTCACCTTCATTATACAGCTTTTGACATTTGAGGTGTAAATTTTTAGGGCCCACCTTATTTCTGTTACCTGTGCTGGAACCACAGGCTGCAGATAATAAAAATTAAAACGGTGTGCAATTGTTGTGAACTCCAATTTAAAAAAAAACAAATAGCAGTGTATAGATATTTTTATGAAAAATTAAAATTAAAATGTTGTAGAGCAGCAGGAAGGAGACTGGAGTAACCATTGCCTCCCCCTTTTGACTCCTCTTGGCAGAATGGAGATTACAACAAGCCGATCCCAGCTCAGTACATGGAGCATCTGAACCACGTTGTCTCTGGGGCCGGCGCCTTCTACGACCCCACCAAGCCCCAGCAGTGGGTGAGCAGCCAGGTCCTTCTCTGTAGGAAGTGCAACAACCATCAGACCATGAAGATTAAGCAGCTGGCGTCCTTCACTCCCAGGGAGGAGGTATGAACTGATCTCGGGACTCAGAGCAGCCCTTCATTTTAAGGTTCTGGTACTTAACCTTCCCTAAGGCCATAAACCCACAGAAGGGGAAACTTGACCCAGGAGACAAATGCGACCCTCTGGATCTTAGGAAACGAACCTTTTGTGGTTGTTTACATCGTTCTGTTTCATGTACAGTACACACCATACTTTTAAATGTATACACTTAACGTCCCCACCAAAAATTGTTGGAGCTGTAGTTTGTGTGTGATTTCTTTCATAATAATAATAATAATAAATTTTATTTATATCCCACCCTCCCCAGCCGAAGCCGGGCTCAGGACGGCAAACAACAATAAAATAGTGCAACATCCTAAAAACATTTCATTATAAAAATTAATTAAAATCAAATTGATGGCAACCATTAAGCTAAATTTCTGTGAAGATTGCCAAAGGAGGGAGTCAGGCTGCGCCCTGACCAAAGGCCTGGTGGAACAGCTCTGTCTTGCAGGCCCTGCGGAAAGACGTCAAGTCCCGCAGGGCCCTAGTCTCTTGTGACAGAGCGTTCCACCAGATTGGAGCCACAGCCGAAAAAGCCCTGGCTCTAGTTGAGTCCAGCCTAACCTCTCTGTGGCCTGGGACCTTCAGGATGTTTTTATTTGAAGACCGTAAGTTCCTCTGTGGGACATACCAGGAGAGGCGGTCCCGTAGGTACGAGCCGTATAGGGCTTTAAAGGAAATTTCCTTTAAAGGAATTTCATGGAAAACTTACAGTTCAGCGACTGATTAAAATAAAGAGTAAACAATACAATTGCATTAAAGTTACACAAAAATGGATGCAGCTTTACATTGCTGCATTCACACTCCCTCAGAAAAATAATTATTATTGATATTGGGGTGGAGGTAGAAACATGACCTTTCCTTGCTTTCCTTTTTTTCCTAAGGATTTGCTTTGTTAATAACTATCAAGATGTTGTCCTCAATGTCTTACGGTATTCTCACTTGAAATTGAAAAGTTACTAAGAACGCCAAAGAGTAGCCCATTTCACAGGAGGCTTTTGAATATTGTTATCATCATTTTATCTAAAATGAATTTTAGTTCATGAATCTAAACTCTGACTGCGTCCATCTGCACCATACATTTTGAGCTTCCCCCACCCAAAAAAAAAAAATTCTTGGGGAATGTGTTCTTCCTATCAGAGCTGCAACTCTCCACACATTTGAACTACAGTTCCCAGGAGTCTTGGGGAGGGAGAAAGCCATGTTCTTTAAATGCATGATGTGTATACAGCCACAGTCTGAATTTGCAACTCCCTGTAAGTGTCTTCTGCTGCTGCCTTGTCGTCCTACCCCCTTTGTCTCTATTACCTTCCCCCACCCCTGCTTTTTCATGTGTTACTGCCTTCCCCACTCCAGGTGGTGACATCTTTGAAAATGCCTGCCCCACTTATTTCAGGTGTCATGGCAACCAGGATAGCAATGGCAAGCCACAGGCCGGCTTTCCCCATCCATGACTTAACACAAGAAGCTTTTTGTCTGGTTGGAGGGTGCCTTGAGGGAAAGTGAGCTTGCATGGCTAAGCACATGGGGAACCTTTTCCCCCTTAGTTGAGTTTCTGGGGGACGTATGATTGAGAGGGAACTGAATCTAATGCTGGTAGTTCTTAGGCCACGTTCACACAACACATTTTAAAGCACTATGGTGATGGTGATGATGATGATGATGATGATAATAATATAATTTATTATTTATTCCCCAGCCACTCTGGGCAGCTTCCAACCGAATATTAAAAACAATACAGCATCAGACATTAAAAACTTCCCTAAACAGGGCCGCCTTCAGTTGTCTTTTAAAAGTAAAATAGTTGTTTATTTCCTTGACATCTGCTGGGAGGGCGTTCCACAGGGTAGGTGCCGCTACCGCTTTAAACAGCCGTAGCTTCCCCCAAAGAATCTATTTGTTAAGGGAGTTGAGAGTTGTTAGGAGACCCCCGTTCCCCTCACAAAGCAAAAATTCCCAGAGTTCCTCGGGAACAGGGTTTTATGGTTAAGCCGTTCTGGGAATTGTCCCTCTGGGAGGGGAATAGGAGCCTCTTAACAGGACTTAGAACTCTTTAACAAGTAACAGCTCCCATAATTCTTTGGGAGAAACCATGGCTGTTTCAAGTGGTATCAAAGTGCTTTAAATGTGTGGTCTGAATGGGGTCATGCTTGTGACTTGGTAGAATGTTGCTCCCTGTGTTGTATACTATAAGACCCAGCAGAAAAATATTTATCCATCAGTGAAATTTAAAATGGCCCAGGACAGTGGTTCACAAACTTTTTTCCTGGGCCACACTTTCAGAATAAAAATTTGCTCGTACCACCCTGAATTTTTTTATTGATAAGAAATACATTGGAAAACAAAAGGAAACAACTCCTAGCACTGATTGATTTATAGCATGGAACACAACTACCTCATAACATCACCATGAGACATCCAGAAAATATAAATCAATGCAGCTACATAAGAATATGGATTTTTCCCAAAATATAATTATAAACGAGCCTCTTACATATGTATCATAATAATGTATACATGAAATTCATACTTATTTAGTCATGTTCTGGATCACAACTAGGAATGTCCTCAAGTTTCACTTGATACTCTTGCTTTCTTCTTGAAAAGATTGCTGTCCCTTTTCTGCAAGAAAATAATATTTTTATACTATACCATACTTCACTACACTGAAATGTTCAAATGTTTCCTTGAGTGTCTTTGAATCTCCCTGCCACACTAATGCGGTGTGCCACACCTTTTGAGAACCACTGGCTTAGGTGTTTAAAAAGCCTGAGAGGGTGAGGATCCAGGCTTTCTTTTCCAGTCGGAACTCACCAGAACTCAGTTCCAGCACCTCCCAGGTGGGCGCCATTGCCATTACAGTGGTACCTCGGGTTAGGAACTTAATTCGTTCTGGAGGTCTGTTCTTAACCTGAAACTGTTCTTAACCTGAGGTACCACTTTAGCTAATGGGGCCGTCGCGCCGCCGGAGCACGATTTCTGTTCTCATCCTGAAGCAAAGTTCTTAACCTGAGGTACTATTTCTGGGTTAGCGGAGTCTGTAACCTGAAGTGCCTGTAACCCGAGGTACCACTGTATAAGAGAACAAGGGAGGCGTTCATGGTGAGTTCCGGCACCTCTTGTTCTGGTGAGGATGTTTTCTGCCTGGTACCAGTGTTCCTCTCTTCTGCTTCGTCTCTAACAATGAGGTGGCAGAGATACAGTGGTGCCTCGCAAGACGAAAAGAATCCGTTCCGCGAGTCTCTTCGTCTTGCGGGTTTTTTCGTCTTGCGAAGCAAGCCCATTAGCGGTTTAGCGGATTAGCGCTACAGTATTAGCGGCTTAGCGGGCTTAGCGGATCAGCTGATAAGCGGCTTAGCGATCAGCTGATAAGCGGCTTAACGATCAGCTGATAAGCGGCTTAGCGATCAGCTGTTAAGCGGCTTAGCTATCAGCTGTTAAGCGGCTTAGCCATCAGCTGATAAGCGGTTTAGCGGCTTGGGAAAAAGGGGGGGGAAGGAAAAAAACCCCGCAGGAACTCGCAAGACATTTTCGTCTTGCGAAGCAAGCACATAGGAAATTTGTTTTGCGAAGCACCTCCAAAACGGAAAACCCTTTCGTCTAGCGGGTTTTCCGTCTTGCGAGGCATTCGTCTTGCGGGGCACCACTGTACTCATGAAACGGGAGCATGTGTCTGGTGCTCTTTTACTGGTGGGGATTGAAGCCGGAAGTGTCTTGGCATGCAGAGCGCCTCCTGCCCCAGCTAAGCTTCTGCTCCTTCTTCCGGGCAGGGCAAGTACGACGAGGAGATTGAGGTGTACAAGCATCACCTGGAGCAGACCTACAAGCTCTGTCGCCCTTGCCAGGCCGCAGTGGAGTACTACATCAAGCACCAGAACCGGCAGCTCCGCGCCCTGCTGCTTCGGCACCACTTCAGCCACCGGAAGACAGACAAGACCTACATGCAGGTGAGGGAGAAGGAACAGGAAGGAACGGCTGTTGATTGGGGGTGGGCGGGGCATAGCACTTGGGCAGGAAGTGACAGCTGTTCATTGGGCAGGGCATCCTGTTTGGATGGGCTGTGGGAGCAACAAGTGCTGAACCCAGAAGAGGATGGACACACAGCGATGGTGGAATCTGAATCATGCATTTTATTTTTAGATTGTCATATATTTTCTCTTAAGTAGGGCTTTCCCATCCAGCACGCTTTTCTCATTCTCTGTTTCTTTATACCAGGCCTTCTCTCTTCTCCCCGTTTTTCTGCCACTGAATTTTCTCTTGCGCTTATTTTGCCACCCATGCAAAAATTGGACCAAGGGCTGCATGAAATTAGGTGTGATGCTGCAAGTTGCCATCCATTATGCTGCATCACAGTTTAGTGTCATATGTGACCTGTTTCCTATGCTGTGCCACAGTTTAGTGTTACATGGGACCTGAGTCATATGCTACATAAGCCCTTCATGGCCTAGAACCCTCGTACCTACGGGACCTCCTCTCCCGGTATGCCCCATGGAGGACCTTATCCATAAATAGCAACACCCTAGAGGTCCCGGGCCCTATGGAAGTCAGATTAGCCTCAACGAGAGCCAGCGCCTTTTCAACACTGGCTCCGGCCTGGTGGAACGCTCTGTCTCATGAGACCAGGGCCCTGCAGGATCTGATTTCTTTCCGCAGGGCCTGTAAGACAGAGTTGTTCCGCCTGGCCTTTGGCTTGGAATCAACTTGATCCCCTCCCCCTCTTTCCTTTTTCCTTTTCTCCTTCTGTGATGGAACTCCTATTTGGGGATTTCCCTGCATTTTTTCTGGCCCACGTAGGACCAGTCTGGATAGTTGGCCTTGGTGAAGATTTGATGTTTTCATCCCCAAAAAGTTTTTGATTTGAGTTTCTACTGAAATGAGGCTGCATTTTAATGTTGTACTTTAATCTTGTTTTTAAGTTGTATTTTAATCATTTGTTTTTATACTTGGTGTTAGCCGCCCTGAGCCCAGTCTTGGCTGGGGAGGGCGGGTTATAAATAAAATTTATTATTATTTATTATTATTACATCACAGTTTAGCGTTACATGCAACTTGGGCCACATAACCTTTCCAGTGGTTTAGAAGCCTACCTAGAATGCAAGCACTTCTTGCCTGTTGGCTCAGAAGTTGCCAAGTGAACCAGCTTGATCCCGCACAGTTGTGTTCCCTTCCATGTAGGTATAAAGACGACTCACACAGCCTGCACTGTAATCTTGTGATTCTGAAGGTTCTTCTCTTCCCCTGCAGAGCTTTTATGCTGCGGCTTCGTCCACCACCACAGCCACAACCACACCAGCCCAAGTGATTGCGCTCCGGTTCCTGGCCTTCCTCAGCTGCGTTGTTCTCGTCACGATGGCCTTGTATGGATCGGGCAACCCATTTTCCCCTGAGCATGCAATTCCTCCTTCTCCGGCAAGCCCTGGGCCAGTGAGGAACGACACTGGCTCATCGCCATCAGCAGTGCCACCACCGGGCAACGGCACTCTCCTGGAAGTTCTCAGCTGGCAGGAAGTGATCCGGCTGTTGCCAGAGCAAGTCGTGGAGACTCTGAGAGTGGCTTGGTCTTACGGGAAGAACCACCAGATTGCGGTGGTCGTCCTTGGTCTTCTGACGTGCTCCTTAGCCATGCTGCTGGCGGGACGAATTAGGTATGGGGGATTTTAGGGTGGGTTCTAAATCATTTTATTCATGGCATTTATGTACTACTTAATTATAAATTATACATTTTATGAAATAAGATTCCCAGACATGTAGAATGTTGATGTGTGTTTTAAATTTTTTTTTAAGTTTATTGCCGGTTTTTATCTTTTTAATATTTTCAAATTGTTGTTTTTACTGATAATTTTACTGCTTTGTTCTCTTCGTAAACTGCTTTGACGGTTTTGTAAGCGGTGTGTGTAAACTTTATGAACTAAATAAATTATTAACGTTTCTAAGCATTGTATGTAGAAGCCATACAGAGAAGAAAGCAACAATAACAAAATCACCGTAAAACCATAAAATGCTCACCTTTTAAAATCCCTGCTGGAGTCAGACAGTCACATACCTGAAGTTCCTTGTTAACTTTTTAAAATGGAAACAGGTTTTGTTTTCTTCTCTGCATTGCAGCTTGTACAGTCCTTTTTTACTAGATTTTCTACCTGGTTGTGTGTCTTTGCAGCTGCAGTCAAAATTGACTTTTGCAAAGTTAGTTGGCATGTTAATTACGTTCAAAAGAGGAAACCCATCTGTAAATCAAACACTAGGGATTTAGGAAGCGAAAGAAAGGGGGCTGCTGGTTAAAGGAACCCTTCCCCCACCGTGGGAATTGGGAGACCAGCAATATCTAGGGGGCACAGGTTCCCCACCCCACTTCTAATAGGATGGTGGAGTCTTAGGATTGTGGCCAGCACTATACCTACTCAGAGTGGACCCTTTGAAATGCATGGACCTTAGCCACAGCCGTTGATTTTAGTGGGTCTTTGAGTAAGACTAGTGTTGGATACAATCCAGCACCTCCCTGTGAGTGTTTCTGTTCAATATATGTGTGTATTATAGGATGTATTAATTTACGTGTTGCCTTTCACATGTGTTTCAAGTTGACTTAAACCAAAAACAGCTAAAGGAACAGCTAAAAAAAACAGCTTGAGTACGAAACTCAGATATATAAGCTAGGCACCAAATAGCTCCTTAAGCCATGGATACAGTCGCCAAAACGGAATGTCTGGTTTCCATTTTGGGGCAAGACGGCTCTGAAGTCTTATTTTTCAAACGATGAACTGACTGTGATTGTTTCTCAGTTAAACATCTGGCTAGTTCAGATGGCAACCTTGAGCTAGATTAAGAGCTTTGAGAACTTAAATAAAAGTCACTTGATCCAGGGACAGCCCACATATATTTTGGCCTGTTTCAACCTCTTTCTTAATGGTGACTGCTCCTGCTCAGGCTGCACAGAAAATGCATTTTGGTTCCAGAAATTCATTCTGATTGTACAGATAAAATATAACTGGTAGAATTCTACAGGATGGGGCATTAATGTGTGAAAACAGTCCAGATCCAATGATCCCCAGACATGCATCTCCAGATAGTGGAGATTTCAGGCGCCGTCCTGGCACCCAGTCATCTTCAAGTGGTCAAAAGCCAGGTGCAAAATGTGCTTGGCTCTTGGCTAATTTTGAACACTGCATGCGGCTGGAAAGGCTTGTTGAAACAGAAGTGTTACTGTTTCTGGGAAGTACAAATAAGGGGGTGCCTGCTGTATCTCAAAAGAGGTGCTGTTCCACAGATTGGGGCAGCCACCCAGAAGGTCCTGCTGCGAGTTGCTGTGGAGCAGGCCTGAATGGTCTCTTCCCCCTCCTTCTTACTGCACGGTGTGGCCAACAGAGGCTGGTTTTTAACTCTCTCCCCCCCCCCCCCATGTTTCAGGCTTCGCCGGATCGACGCCTTCGCCTCTGTCCTGTGGCTCCTGGTGATGGGCTTCCACTTGGTGGAGCGCTACCTGCAGGCAGACACCCCCAGCTGGCTCGACACAGCCAAGTTCGGCACCACCTCGCTGTGCTGCCTGGTGGGCTTTGCGGCTGCTGTGGCCACCCGGAAACCAACGGGCCAGCGGAGATCCCGGCCCCGAAGGTCAGAGCCAGAACAGTGACTGTCGGGGGCGGGACAGATACCCTGAAAAATCCAAGCCTTCAAATTCACTGCCGCTGGCGCTTCTCTTTTCTCTCCCTTCCTCTCTCTTCCTCCCTGCCCCCTTTTAATTTTGTTTTAGGTTGCTTCCCTCCCCCACACACTTTCTTCCCTCCTTTCTTACTATACCTTTAAGAAACTGTGAAGCATCTTCCTTCTCCCCACTGGCTGTAGCACAATTGCAGGCCTCTCCCAGTTGCTCCAGTACTCCTTCATCCTCCTCCATCTAAACCCCAGACGCTTCTAAAACAAATCACACTCCGTGAATTGCTCCACTTTGTGTGAACTGCCATATAACACGTCGTCCATCTCAGTTTTTGTTTTCGTTTGGAGGTGGGAAGGCTCTCTTTTTTACCCTTTTTCCGTGGTGTGTGTACCACCAGTTATTTACGGTGAGAATCCCCATCTCAACTTGCCGTTGATGCTGCAGAATCTAAACCAGTTTGAAATGGGTTTTGCTGTTGCGTCTTCCCTCAGTACTCCCAAGAATTTTGTGTGCACATGCATTTTCTTTTTAAAGATTTTGCGAGTGTTGAGAATCAGTAGTTGGCGACCTTTTAGAACTGAACTGTATTTCCCAGGATTCCTTCTTTAGTTGGGAGCTGTGATGGTTCCAACTTGATTGAAACTAGTTTAAATGTATAGTGTAGGAGTGCTTTAAGGGATTAGGTCTGCTTACATTTTGTGTGTGTGTGTGTTCTGGAGTTTCTAATTTTTATACTGACGTACATTTTTTATAACAATACTACATAAATAGTGGAGTGGACTTGAAGTGGCTCTTAGCTGGACTCCCCCTAACTTCCTTATTCTCAGTTTATCCTCTGTTAACAGCATGTTGCTGCTTGTGTCTTTTAAATTTCTGAAATAATGGGGGGGGTGACTTAATTAGCAACAGCAAAAAACACCCTCTCTTGATTTCAGTTCAAGTTGTGTTGTGCTAACCTTTGTTTAATGTATGGCCACTTTAGCCTCCCCCCCCCCCAGTCTCCCCCCCCCAGTCTCCCCCCCCCCCAAATCCCCGCCCTTAAGCCTTAGTTCCAGCCATCCTGGGATCCAAAGTGGATCAGGATGCTTGTCGTTCCGTCAAAGATGGTGACATCAGCCACACTGATGCTGATTTTTAAAAGGGGAAAGGGCGCAGTGATGTTGGCAGCTTCCTGTACGCTGAGCCAGCCGAAATGAGCCAAGAACCCTTCCTTTCTCCTTCACAGTCCCGTCTATAATGATGTCTGCCAAGAATTCAGTGCTCAAACAATAGGGTGCCCGGCCGAGTCTCTTCCATTCACTGGAAGCCCTATCAGTCTCAGCTCTCCCCCTGCGTCTCTTTATTGAACATATCTTTGCCTTATTTGCTGGTATGGAGTTGAACGTCATTCTTTTTTAAAATATATATAATTTTATTTCATAACATTTATACACCCCTTGATTGTAAAAAAATAAAAAGGCTCAAAACAGTTTACAAAAAGGTAAAAAGAGTTAAAACTATTTAAAACCTCCTACGAAATAATCAGTGATAAGCTAAAAACAGATTAAACACCTGTCAGCAATCTACATGTCTAGGTAGGCTTCTCTAAACAGAAACGTGTTTAACAAGTGCTGAAAAGACCGCAGCGAAGGCATTTCTTTGGTGTCAGTAGGCAAGGAATTCCAAAGTGGGTGCTGCTACACTAAAAGATGAGTTTCTTGCAAATACAGAACGGGTATTATGTGGCACCTGGATCAGTGCCGGTTCTGCACTGGCATTTTTAAACATAACCTTGCTTTTAAAAAACTATACTTTGCAGCACACATCAAACACAAACCCCGAGGGGTAGAGTCCCTGTGGCACCCACCCAATCCAAGGGCTTGATCAGCCCTCTGCTGTTTGCCTTTAGCAAAGCCACATCATTGAGCACTCCTGTGACCCTCTGAATTGTCTCTTGGCAGCTTTTCCTGCTAAAATAGTGGTGTTCCTAATCCTGTAAGACAACGAAGAAGGATCACTGTTTATTATCATTGTTTTTTGATTTCTTCACCGTAAGGTCCCAGGTGAGGTTAAAACAGTTTTTTTTTAAAAAAAAAAGATTGAAATTGGTTGAAATAATTTACAGTTGGAAAGATAGTGTGGACCCTAAATATATATTTGTTGCAGCAACTTACAGAACAGAAGTTTTAAATTCTTACAGCAGACTATTTCAGCTTCCTCCTTCCCATCAGTTGCTCTGATAAGTGATGCTATTCCCAAAGGCGGTGGCTACAGAGCTTTGAGGATACAGTGCTCAGAAGGCCTTCATTTGCTATTAGAATGTAAGGTTTCTGGGTTGTTCTGTCACTATAATAGATGTGTAGTTTCAGTGACTGGCTGCATCCCACCAGGACAAACTTGTGCCATTTGATGCTTTAATTGCTATATTTCATCTAAATAGTGTCTGATGTCAGAGGCCAGGGTGAAGAGGTGCATCGTCAGCCTATGCTGAAAGCTAGGAAGGTGCCCGTTGCAACTCTGTATGAAGTGCTTGTTCCGAAAACCTTCCAGGGTTCTTATTTTTAATTGTGGACCGGCTGTTGCCTTTTCCCACGCCCTCGATAGACTGATGACCTTTAATGTCGTATTCGTGATTGTTTATTACCAGATTGGTTCACAGCTTGAGTGGGAAGGCTCTGCACACCCTTTTATAGTCTTTCTATTTATAATATTTTAGCTTTCTCCCTTGAAGGAACACTCACGCAGCTTTCCCCTTTTTATCTGCCACAGAACTCAACTGTGTTGCTTACCTGCCACAGAACACGCTTAAGGCAGAGATTTCCAGACTTGTTCCAAATCTGAAAATTGTCTTCTGAGCAATCTCGTTTGTCTGTGGCTGGCTGCGGGGGATTATAGAAAATATTCTGCGATATACGCACACCATTCATTGAGGCAGGAGACGGTTAGGGCTTCTTCACGCCAGCTGTGCTGTGATTGCATGAGACCTAACACCATTCTCCTTGGCTTCGTGTTGCAAGGGAAGAAGGGGTAATAGGTTGGAGTGGCCATCCTAGAGGGAAGCTTGTCTTCCACTATTGAAAAACATTAATCAAAATACATCAGAACACTCTTAGAACCATGCACTAAAATCTAGTTTGCCCTGACAGCAGCATAGAGGTCAGCATCCTCTGCACTTCGCTTCCAAAGGCCTGTTTGAACAGGAAGGTCTTAGCCTGACAGCAGAAGGATAACAAAGAAGGAACCAGGCTAACCTCTCTTGGAAGGGAATTCCGCATTGTGGAAGCAGCCACAGAAAAGGCTCCCCCCCCCCCTTCTGATGCTGATGGGTCTGAGAGAAGGCGCTCACCTGAGTATCTTAGCACTGGGCAGGGTTGTATAGGGAAATAGATCTTTCAGGTAGCCTGAATAGCTCAAGCTATTATCCCTAGCATGATGAATTTTATTCTTTATTGCTGTTCACTAAACCTTTGCATGTTCCTTTTTTTTTTCATGTGTATGGTTGGGGTGGGGGCTGCTATTATACTTACTTTACCCTAAACACGTTATCCTCTATCTCTACCCTCTTTCACTCCCTTCTTTCCAAAAGTGTGTGTGTGTGTGGCTCAATGGGCTGATGGTGCTTCCCTTTGCTTTTTGCTTTTCAAAAACTGCTTTAACTTTGGTTGTTGTTGGTTTTTCTTTTTAATAGCCTGCTTTTGCAAACACGAAACTATTTTATTTCTTTTGTCACTGCATGAAGGCTGGCGATTGAATTTAGCCTCATTAGCCAACGTGATTATTTATTCTCTAATATTATTATATTAAAAGCGTATTTAACAGAGGCAAATAGCTTCCTTCCTTTTAAAAGCTCTTTTTTAAAGTCACAAATATAGAAGGTAGGTTAAAGGGGAATGGGGGGGGGCGTGTCATATAAAGAGTTTTTCCTTCTGTACGTACTACTTACGGTAAGGAAAAGTGTAGCCATTATTGTCTTGTTCCCCCTGAAAAAAATAATGTTTGATAAAACCTTCCTTTGAAGGAACAGTGTCTAGTTCTGAAGGGTGTATATGTGTGAATATCAGTCTGTCTTCTGTGAAATTTGCTAGGTTCTATGATGGATGCGGGTGGTGCTATAGTCTAAACCACAGAGCCTAGGACTTGCCGATCAGAAGGTTGGCGGTTCGAATCCCCGCAACGTGTGCTCCCGTTGCTCGGTCCCTGCTCCTGCCAACCTAGCAGTTCAAAAGCACGTCAAAGTGCAAGTAGATAAATAGGTTCTGCTCTGGCGGGAAGGTAAACGGTGTTTCCGTGTACTGCTCTGGTTCGCCAGAAGTGGCTTAGTCATGCTGGCCACATGACCCGGAAGCTGTATGCCGGCTCCCTCGGCCAGTAAAGCAAGATGAGCGCACAATCCCATAGTCCATCTTGCTTGGTTTTGTCTACACTGACTGGCAGCAGCTCTCCGGGGTTTCAGATAGAGAACCTTCCCAGCCCTGCCTGAGAATGCCAGGGATTGAACATGGGACCTTCTGCATGCAAAGCAGATTCTCTACCACTGAGCTATGGCAAATCATGGTTTTCAGTTCTGGGCTGCCAGGACATTGCAAAGTGTCCATTCAGAGTCCCGCTAAACCATCATCAAGCTCCCTGGCCTATGACTGGCACAGTGCCCAAACTGATCCTACAAAGAGCACCCTGCAATCCATCACTAAGATGAGAAGACCTAAGGCTGAAAAGGGCATGCTAGCCACATGCTCTGTGTGGTCTTAATGTGGTCTTGCTGCTGAACATGCATTGCGGGGGGTTGGACTAGATGACCCTTGGGGATTCCTCCCAACTCTACAATTCTGTCACTTTGCCTAAAGAGAGGAGGGGATCCTTGAATGGGTTGCCTCTCCCACTTCCTCCACTGGGCAGGTCCTTATGCAAATTAGGTGTCATCCCCTCACGTAGGACAGCAACATCACTCCAGCTCCTTCCTGCCTGGCTCCCCAGTGCAGGTTGAGTGACAGAAGGCACCTGTCACCCTTGTATTTTGATGATATATTTACAGGAGCATATGCATTCAGAAAAATGGCTCTGCCTGGTTTGGAGGACTGCTAGCCCTATCACTAGGAACGCTATCAAAGCAATACCAAATGACACCTTGTGGTGGATATGTGTGAATGTATCGCAGCCTCTTTCGAAATTCCTTTCCGGTAGGCGAGTGGGGTTCTGATATGTACTTGGGACTGTGGCACGGAGTGAGGGAGCTATTTATCTCTCCCCCAGCCTTACCCCACACCAAAGAAAGACATTCTGCAGTAGCAAAGACATAAATGTGCCTTTGTTACCAGAGCGAGCAGCAGCTGGGGAGGGGGCAGCAGAGGGTTTCATCAGGAGAACAGCACAAGGAGGAAAAATTAATACTCTCCTCCTCTGTGCCACCTGATTCTGGATTGGAGCCCCTCACTGCTGTGATCAGATTCTCTTTTTAAAAATAAGAATGCATCCATGAACCTCTGCTGCAATGTGGTGTTTGACCCTAAAAGAGGTTATGGGAAAGCTTTAGACCTACCAGGTGTCGTTGGACTTCAGCTCCCCTCGCTTTCAACCATTGGCTGTGCTTGCTGGGGCTGATGGGAGTTGGAGTCCAACAACATCAAGAGGGCCACAGGTTCCCCATCCCTAAAACATCTCTGTGTGTGCACGCATTAAAAGTTGCTCTTTAATACATTGTGGATGTTGCAGGAAAACAACTGAAAAGCAGGCTTCCTTGAGTTATACTCGCCAAGTGGATCTGAGCCATCGCACTGGAAGGTTCTGATTTCCTGGTGGCTGCTGGGAAAGACATGGCAACCTGCTGCATGGTGGCCCTGACCGAGAAGGTGGCAGCTTTCAAACAATCCATATCTCGGCTTATTAAGTCAAGATAAGTCAAAGCTCTTTGACCAGGCTCTCTTCCCCTTCACTCCTCTCCTTTGCTGCAAAACCACAGTTGGAAGCCTCTTACTAGCCACAGTTTCCTAGTTTTCTTTTTCCTTTCGAACCAGGAAACCATGGTTACCCACTTCAACACAAGCCAAGGATATTTTAAGCCATGGCTTGAAGTTGTTTTTCACAGCTTGGTTTGCTTCAAAGGTACATAGTTATCTCGGCCAGATAACTATGGGCAAAGGTCAGGTGTGGGGTTTTCTCCTTAGGCCCTCCAGATGTAGCTGGACTCCCAACTCCCCATCAGCTGGACCAGCAAGTATGGTCAGTGGCCTGGAAGAATGGGGAGCTGTAGTTCCTAACTACATCTGTAGTCACAACAATATCTGGAGGACCAAAGGTTCTGCACACCTGACTGATCAAATTGTGGCTTGCACAAAGGGAAGAGTGAGCAGGCTTGCACATGAGAAAATGTAAAATGGACACTCTCCGTGTTACACCAGTGACTTAATGAAGACTCCGGATGAGTGGTATTGGAGTGTTCCTGCGTCACCTGTGATCCAGAGACATTTTTTGCATGATTTGGAATGGGGAGATAAACTCACAATACTTACATTCATCCAAAGTTTCCACACCTCGGTCAGGTGCTGGGGGTGGTCTTTCTCTTCTTCCTTCCCTTTTCTCAATTTGGTCCAGATTCCCTTTGGGAGAAAAAGGTGCAGTTCTGCTGCCCACACTGATTTGTGCCTCAAGGTGCATGCATCCGCTTCGGTGTGAGTTTAGCTGTCCTTTTCTCCCCTTCCTCTGCAAACCCAGAAAATATGTGAGCACATAGCATATACCTCAGCACTGTACACTGTCCCATGATCAACTTGATGTGTCTTTATTTATTATTATTATTATTATTATTATTATTATTATTATTATTACTAAGCTTTTTAAAAATCTCATATTTTATGTAGCATAACTGTGCCTCGTTGTTTAGTAACACACTTATCATTGTTGTAAACACTACTTGAACTGCCAAGTTTTGAAAAATAAAGGGCTCCTTAGCCGTACACCTTTTCAAAAAGAGCTTTTGACTCCACATCCTTCTTTTTTTGTTTGTTGACTTACTTTCACTGCTCCTACTCCTTGGCAGTTTTGCGTTGCTGAATTCAAGCATGCTTTAAAGGGGTTCTTTCCCATTTTTCTTGGCTGCCAGTACTGCAGGTGGGGCAATTTGTTCTAATCGCCAACAGAGAAATTGTAGTACAAAATCAATAAATCTTGAAACCTGGCCCCAAGTGCACCATGAGGACTAGTAACAGAGAGCAAGCCAAACAATAGGAAGCCAGTGTAATCTGCATCAAGGTAAATTATGCTGGTCTATTTTATGCCTGTTCCAAATTCTGTTCAGGAGTGGAGCTACTGGCAGCCGAGCTGGCCCAAGCCTAGCAGAAGGGTGGGGGGAAGCTATTAAAACAAAGTTTGACGACTTCCACCTTTTTTTTCCTGGTGTAACTTCTGTGTTGCTAGGTCACATGACTGAGCTGAAGGAAGTTTGGAACGGGTACAACTTCCACAAAACATCAGTCTTTTGGATTTGCCCCAGCTGTCCTAGGATAGAGGACTTAAGGCCAGTGAAGGCAAAGATCTGCCTCTTTCCATCTCTGCTCATTCCATCTGATCTCGGGTTTGAATGTCTCCCCAACTTGTTCCAAAGTGAAAGCTCTTGGGATTTGAAAGGAATCTTTTTTGACCAAGAAGCCTGGGGGATCCCTCAACCCCCTCAGAGGCTGCCCAAGACCACCTCCTTTTTGTATATTCATAGAGCCGTAGAATTGTGAAGTTTTAAGGGACCCTGAGGATTATCTTGTCCAACCCCCTGCAATGCAGGAATATGCAGTTGTCCCATACGGGGATCGAAACTGCAACCTTGGCATTATCAGCACCACGCTCTAACCAACTGAGCTATCCAGCTCCATCCTTCAGACAAGAATTAGCATCTGCATTACTGATGATTTGGCTTACTTTCCCCCCTTTTTAGTAGCATACTTCAATTTGCTCCTTAAAACTTAACGTTTTGTTAAAAGTCTTTTCTTGGTACTAGATATTCCACCCTTTAAAAGAACAAACTGTTGTATCCAGAAACAACCTTCCTGGCCCAAAAGCTCAAGATTCCCCTGAGAGATCCATTTACCTAGCAGTGAATCTGAGACCTGCTTCAACTAAATGTCTGTAGCTCTGTCGCTGAGCCCACGGCTTCTGTGGGTCACTGCAACATGTGCTTTAGCTAGTCCTTGCCTCTTATTCCACCCACCTTGCCCTTCTTGTGGTATTCTGCCTTCTCAAGCACCCCTCCCAAGCTTAGCTGCTGTTACAGATTCCTGGCTGGTGGAAGAGCTGACGCTTGCATCTTTAAAAATGTTCGTATACTGTCTTCTCTGCCCTTCAAAGCATCCTGCACACAGCATGTTAAACAAGGAGGACTGTGGTTCTGCTGCAATCCTTCGCCTATCTGGTGCCTTCTGGATGCTTTGGACTACAACTCCCATCAGCCACCTGTGGCTGATGGGAGCTGTAGTACCCAAACATCCGGAGGGCCCCTGGATTGCAGAGGCTGTTCTGCAGCGCCTCATGGATGAGACACAGAAAGAGGAGCTCTCATTGCAAAACCTAGGTCTGGCAAAGGGTGAGTGTTTTTGTGTGCAAGAGAAGGGCCATGATCCTGCCAACCGAATCATAGAATTGAAGAGTTGGAAGGGACCGCAAGGGTCATCTAGTCCAACCCGCTGCAATGCTGGAATCCCAACTAAAGCATCCTCCCACAGCCCAATATCCATGGCTGGCATTAACAAACACTTCACTTTCGTCTTTGAATGAGGGGCTCACAGAATCTGAGAATCTTGGGGTGTTTTTTGCAGTTCTTTCAAGGCCAGAGAGAAAATCTTCTGCACACTTAATTTACTTTTTCCCAGCCTCCATGATCCAAATTCTCTCCTGTGAAATCCCAACAGGCGATGGCTTCCACAACCATGGTTCTCCATGCCTCAAGATTTATAAGGTCTCTTCTGCATTCTTTCTGAAAGGGGGGGGGGGAATCCACCTCTATTATTGCCATAAAAGTTTCTGTTCTGCATCCAGCAGCAGGAGACAGTCTGGGACTGCTTTCTGTGTTCTAAAGCTTTGAATGGCGCCCCCCCCCCGCCCTCCCTTCCAGGCTCTTCTTAGCCAATGGCTGCGAGGCATGCAGATGAGCCCTGATAACTGGCCTATCCATGATGCCAGAATTGGAATGCAAAGCAGGTCATAAGAGTCTTGCAAGGGAGGGGGAGAAGGAGAGCATTTTGCAGCATTTAAAAGTGCATTTGTTCAAAATACACAAGGCAGCTCTCCTCTTTTTAAAGTCCTGATAAGATGGAGCTACCATCCGCTCTGGAGCTGATGTCAAGTAAGCACAAATAGAGGCAGCCCAGTTCTGTTTAGGTTTTCTGGTAAGCAAATCCTATTGAATTCAGCGTTACTTCAAAGTAAATGGGCATTTGCTTGCAGTTTTCAACAGTATGTTAACTTTACTGTCACCATCTATTTGCAGAGGTGCACCCATCTATAAGTCACGTATGTGAAGTCAAATGCTTTTCATGCATGAAAAGACCCTTTGGATTTTGTTTTGGGGGGGGGAATCAATAAAATTACTTTAAGTCCTCTTTGGCACACATCCTTTTGATATGGAGCAGCAGGTAATGGCTTTATTTTTGAAGCCATTCTGATGAAATTCCCCAACTGCTTTTCAGTCCCCATGGTTTAGCCCTATAAATGGTAGTTCATCTGCCCCACCTCTCTATTTTATCTTCCCAACAACTCTGCGAAGTGGGAAGGATGCAACGAGCCTAAGATCACCCAGTGAGCTTCATGGCAAAGTGGAGTTTTTCCTGGTTTTTGGCTTCCAACGTTTGCAACGTTTCTGGCCAATAATCTTCTCCTGCATAGTATCCAGAGTAGTTCTTTATGTCCTAAAACTTTTGCTTGATGTCTCTGTTCAGCTCTGGGATTTTTGACTAGGTTTTAACACATTTTTAGCTGCTGCTGACACAACTGAGACAAAATCAGTGCCTAGGCTCCCTTTTTTCCCTCTTCACACCTAGGTCGCTTTTCCTTTTGTGCCATGTCTTTTGTGAGCCTGAGGGGCACAAGGGCTGTCTTGTCATGGGTATTTGGGAGCCTTTTTCAGCTGAAGAGCACAACAAAAATGCCTTGTCGTCATAGCCATTTTGCCTTGTAACCACGAAGCTTTAATTAATGGGAAGGGGGAATCTTATGATGAGCGGCCACGACCCACCAAGATTTTAGGAGGAACTGTGGCATGAGAAATGCACACACTGCAGGACATGGGTGTAGTTCTCTTCAGCGATTTGGATAGATGGATGGATGGATGATTGAGATCCCCAAAGACAAGGTAGGTGATGGAGGGCTTTCAGTTACCTGTATCAACCCTTTGCAAATGATGTAGCTTGTTTTTATACTGCATGCACATGTATAAGAACATAAGAAGCTGCCTTATACTAAGTCAGAGCATCAGTCCATTGCTATCTCAGTAACGTCTTCATGGACCGCTATCTACTCTCCAGGGTTTTAGGCAGGAGTTTGTGCAGGAGACTGAACCTAGTACCTTCTGAAGGCAAAGCAAGTTTTCTACCCCTGAGCTGTGGACCTTCCCTGAAGGTGTAGGGACACAGGAAATCACCTTATTTTGATTCCATCTAGCTCAGTATTGTCCTTACAGACTGGAAGTAGCTCTCCAGGGTTTCAGCCAGAGCATCTCTCCCAGGCAACGTTTGCCAGAAATTGAACCCGGAGCCCATTGCATGTGCTGCTCTTGCAGAGCCCTATATAGATGACAGGGTACTTGAGAACATAAGAGGAGCCTGGTTGCTGGATCAGGCCAGTGGCCCAAATGGGAAGCCTGAAAGCAGGTCCTGAGTGCAACAGGGTCTCTTCCCCACTTGTGATTCCCAGCAACTGATATCCAGGGGCACACTGACATTGGAGGCAGGGCAATAGCCATTGTTTCTACTTGTTGACTGTCCTGTGTAGAATTGGGGGGGGGGGTGCACATTCTTAGATTCGTTGGCACATAATCTCACCTGCAAATAATCTCACCTGCAACAATGCCTCCTCAGTGTGATTTTGCTGAATTTCAACCCCGCTATGGCAACTTTTCCCTTTCGACCCCAGCTAGAACTTTGTCTCAGGTGCTGTTGGCCTCTTGAAATCAATAGGGATCATTTTCTCTTCCAACCCTGTTGTGGAGCAACCATTATACCCCACCCCACCCCCAGGATTGCAAGTAGCTGCTCTCCCAGTTATTTAACCACTTTTTGATCAGGGCAAGAGGAGGAGGAATTGTCCTATCGTTCACCGTGGGGATGTATGTGTGTAGGGGCAAGAACTTTAAAAGCTTTGGGACTAGAAGCTTGTGTGTGTGTGTGTGTGTGTGTGTGTGTGTGTGTGCGTGCATGTGCATATTAATAATTTAGCCTTCTGGAAGTTAGGGCCTCTATAATAAATCTGTATTAGGAAAAACATGCAACATGTTCCTCTCTTTTAAAAGAATGCAAGGTAGAGATTTTTGAGTCATCTCAGACTAGAATCAGGCAGCTTTCCTGTTGATATTTTCAGCAGCGTGGAGAGTGTTGACATTTAGACCTCTTTCTCCCAATCTCTAGTTGTTGCCAAACCATTCGGCGCAGCTGGGGCAGGTCTTAACAGGGGCATTGATCTTAACATAGGAGTAGGGCATGCATGGTGCAACACAGGTAAATATCCCAATAAGTTTTACCCTCTAAGTGTGTTGAGTTGGTTTCTTCAAATGAAATTTCCAGATCCCAGTATTGGGAACATTGTCTTCTACACCTTTACAAACCATTTTCATAAGTGTGTGACAGCACAGCGGGATAGCTGCTGGTAAGAAAATGAGACTCTAATCTCAAGGTCGTGGGTTTGAGCCACGTTGGGTGAAAGATTTCTACATTGCAGGGGGTTGGACTAGATGACACTCATGGTCCCTTCCATCTCCCATGATTCTTTGTGGTCTGGTGTTGCTAAATGCTTGAGTTGTGAATCAGGAAATCTCTTGTTAGAATTAACAAGGTGGTCTTGGGCAAGCCGTTAATCATCTCAGCTTCTCATCAGACCTACCACCCAGCATGGTCATAACAATTTATGAAAGGTCACTCTGACGAGCTTTTGAAACCCTTTACGATTAAAAGACTTAATGATGGTGGTGAAAACCATCTAAAGGACATCAGCCCCAGCCTCACAGGCTCTCCATCCTTGGATTAAAGGGTCCTAGGAGCTGAAAGCACCACACAAAAAAGAGGCTCCCTGTTGTGTCTCTGCATGAGTGTCTGATCTGACTTCTATTACTCTGTAGAACTACAGTAACGAGGGTTGTATCCTGAAGCTTCCATTGTCGTTGATGGACTTGTAGGCTATGCTCCACCCATACTGTGTTCAAACCATACATTTAAAGCATCATGTTACCACTTTAAACAGTCCTGGCTTCTCCCAAAGAATTCTGGGAGCTACCATTAGTTACGTGTGCTGAGAGTTGATAAGTGAGACCCCCTATTCCCCCACCACAGAGTGGCTTCACACTCAATCCCAGGGAGCTCTGGGAACTGTAACTCTGGGTGGGGAATTGCAATATATCCTAACACTTCTCAGCACCTATAACAAACTACAGCTCCCAGGATTCTTTTGGTGGAAGCCACTGCTGTTTAAAGTGGTGCCACACAGCTTTAAATAGTATGCTGTGAGTGTGTCCCTACTCAAGAGTAGGCCCAATGAAGTCAATAGGCATAGCAGACTTCAGTTCATCAGTTTCATTGAACCTGCGCCGAGGATACCTTTGTTGGATTATGGCCCTAGTTCTTCAGAATACTGTCTCTGTGGGCTGATAATGCACTGAAATGGCAATAATTTCAACTGTGTGCTAAACTGCTCTGTGAAAATGGTTTTGCAGTGGGCTGAGCCTACCAAGTGAATTGCCCTTTCGGGTCTCTCGTCCGCAGGTACCTCTCTGGGGATGGTTTCTCTCCGTTTCCGTACGGTGTTGATCTTGGCTTTCCATCGCCTCCTCCTTCTCCCTCCATCTTCATCCCGACTCCTCCCAGCATGCTTCCACTGACCAGCCAGACACTGTTCCGCTCACCGCGCCGGACTTCCTCTTCCTCTCTCCCTGGAAGGCTGAACCGGGCCCTCTCCCTGGGCACTATCCCTTCTCTGGCCCGAACCGGTAAGATCATAAAAGAGGCAAGGCAATAGCCACAAGCCAAAGCATTTCTTTATTTGATTTCGCACTTGCACCCCACTTTTCCAGCGAGCCCAAAGCTGCCCTCGCAGATCATTAACAACAGCTGCAAAAATTAGTAAAACATTGCAAAAAAAAAAAAAGCAGATCCAAGACAGATGCAAACCGGGAAATATCTTCCACCTTAAATACCTTGCTGGAAGAAGAGGAAGGTTTTTCTTAGGCGCCAAGAGATGGCACTTGCCTAAGATTCAAGGGGAGGGGATTCCAGATGGCAGCAGCCTCCACACTAAAGGTCTGCTTCCTACTTTGTGCAGAATGGGACTCCTCATAAGGTGGTATCTACAGGACTCCCTCACCTGCAGAGTTCTGTCATCGGCTAGGCATTTACATTGGTGCCTCAGGTTACATACGCTTCAGGTTACAAATTCTGCTAACCCAGAAATAGTGCTTCAGGTTAAGAACTTTGCTTCAGGATGAGAACACAAATCGTGCTCTGGTGGCGTGGCGGCAGCAGGAGGCCCCATTAGCTAAAGTGGTGCTTCAGTTTAAGAACAGTTTCAGGTTAAGAACGGATCTCCAGAACGAATTAAGTACTTAACCCGAGGTACCACTGTAAAGGAGTGATAGGATCTTTTGGGTATCCTTGTCCTGAGCTGTATAAGGGGCTTGTGCACCAGCACCTTGAACTTGCCCTGCTAGCTAAGTGATAACTTACTGCTCTGTCTAAGGCCAGTTAGGCCAAGTGATAACTGACTACTGAGGCCTTGTTGCCACAGGACTGATCCAGCTGCAGACGTGTGTCAGAAGACATCTGCTCGGTGCAAGACAGTACAGATGCACATCCATAAAGGGATGAGCACCTTCGACATGCTCTTTAGCTGTGGTTCCTGCATTGCAAGGGGTTGGACCAAGATGATCCGCATGGTCCCTTCCAAATCTACCATTCTGTAATCCTGTGACATTTTCCTGGCAGCTTGGGACAAGCCTCAGGGCTGCGAGTCGGAGAAGGAAAACAGAAGGATCCTTTGAGCAAAAGGGATTTAGGAGAAAGATGGTAGGAGGGAGCTGGGGGTGGACCGAGGGAGAAATGCAAGAGGGATACGGAACGAGAGGCGCTCCCAACGCTTTTCGGAAACTGGTGGCTTGATGGGATTCCTTTTCGTGGCTGCTCTGTTTAACTTTATTCCTCCTGGCTTGACACAACATCTTCGCTCAATATGTATATATATTTAAAATGCTCAACCACCCTCTGCAGAAAGCCTCTCTGGAGAAAATTGATACGGTCATCTCATCCCTGGCTGGAAAGCCCCAACTTCACTGGGTGGGGTCTGCAGAACAACTATGTCATCTAAGTTGAACTTCCATTTTCAGGCGCAGTCTACCTCGGCACTAGGAACTGGGGAGACAAAGTGTCAGGTGCCTTCCTACTCTGATTTGGGGCTTTCTGGCCATGCGGGAGATGGGATCCTAGACTTAGATGGGCTTTTGAGCCAGCACTATCAGGACTCTTACTTTCCTTTAGTGGGAAGGGGCATAGGCCAGTGGGAACTGTACTGTTGAGAATGTATTAAGTTATGGTCTGCGTGTGTGGTTTGGGAGCTGCACAGTCAGGGGAAAAACAATGTTGTCCAGGGTTTTAAAGACTGCGGAGAGAATAATTGGGTGCACTCTCTCTACCTTGGATCAAATCTGTGCTTCCAGGTGCCATAAGAAAGCTGCAGAGATAGTGCAGGATAGTGCGCACCCCGGAAATTATCTCTTTCAGTTTCTGCCTTCTGGAAGAAGGTACAGGGTTATAAAAACTAGGACTAGCCACCTGAGAAGCTGTTTCTATTCAAATGTGATTTTGGTTTTAAACGCAGTATAAGATAGTCTCTATGGGAGTATATTGTATTTAATTATGGGGTATCAGAGTTTTTAGGGGGCTAACCAGGCTGGGATAGCAGGCTTGTTGGTTTCTGAATGTCTAATGTAGATTTTCAATTTCGTTGTTCTGTATGGGACAAAGACAATAAAGATTCGTATCATATCAAAGGGCATCTGCTTTGCATGCAAAAGGCTGCAGGTTCAATCCCTGGCATCTGCACTTGGGCCTGGAGAGAACCTTCCCTGAAATCCCAGAGAGCTGCTGCCCGTCAGTGTAGACAATATTGAGCAAGGTGGACCATGGAAGTAACTTGAATTATAAAGCAGCTTCCTTATTATTTTAGCAGAGGGTATAATTCTCACGACAGCCTTGGGCCTCCAGACCCTCAGAGATGCATTATTTGACACTTATCATTCATTTAGCATTCTCCTATGTCGTTGGTGATTGCTGTAGCTGCATGTAATTTCATTTCATTTTTATTTTTTTAGATTCTGGCTACCTCTTCAGCGGAAGCCGGCCACCATCCCAGACCTCTCACTCCAAAGAGTCTCCTACATCAGGTGAGAAGAGCCCAGGCATTGTTCTGGGGTGCTTGAACTTGCCAGGAGGTTCCAGAAAGAGCAGAGATACCATTCTCTTTTTTGACCAAATCACACACACAAAAGAGAGAGAAACACCTTTGTGGTCCTAAATTGCACCAGTGTTTCCAAATTAGGCAGGTCGCAGTAGCTTGCTCACACCGGTGACCTGTCTGTCACCCTTCTGAACCCTGTCTGGTTCTCTCACCCACCTTGGATACAAAGTAATCCATGCAGGAGTCACCAAGGAACAGATCTGCACTGGTTCTAAACTGGTTTTGCAATCGCATCTTCAGATAACACACAGAACAACATTCTGAGCAGCGTGGCTGGAGGGTGCCAAGACTTCTATTACCGTATTTTTCGTTCTATAGGGCGCACCGGCCCATAGGACGCACCTCGTTTTTTGGGGGGGGAAATGAATAAAAAAAATTATCCCCCCCCCCGCCGTGGCTGCCGCCCCAAGCCTCGCTTGCTCGGGCTGCAGGCTACCGCCCAAGCCTCGCGCGCTCGGCGGGACCTCCCACCGGGCGCGCGAGGCTTGCAGACACTCGCCTAAAGCACGGGAGCCCTCCGGAGGGCTCCGCGTGCTTCGGGCGCCAGGCTGCCGCCCCAAGCCTCGCGCACTCGGTGGGACCTCCTGCCGGGCGCGCAAGGCTTGCAGACACTCGCCCGAAGCACAGGGAGCCCTCCGGAGGGCTCCCGTGCTTCGGGCGACAGGCTGCTGCCCCAAGCCTCGCGCGCTCGGCGGGACCTCCTGCCGGGCGCGCAAGGCTTGCGGACACTCGCCCGAGCACGGGAGCCCTCCGGAGGGCTCCCGTGCTTCGGGTGACAGGCTGCCGCACCAAGCCTCGCGCGCTCGGCGGGACCTCCTGCCGGGCGCGCAAGGCTTGCAGACACTCGCCCGAGCACGGGGAGCCCTCCAGAGGGCTCCCCGTGCTCGGCGACAGGCTGCCGCCCCAAGCCTCGCGCGCTCGGCGGGACCTCCTGCCGGGCGCGCAAGGCTTGCAGACACTCCCAAAGCACGGGAGCCCTCCGGAGTGCTCCCCGTGCTTCGGGCGACAGGCTGCTGCCCCAAGCCTCGCGCGCTCGGTGGGACCTCCTGCCGGGTGCGCAAGGCTTGCGGACACTCGCCGGGGCTGCAGGCTGCTGCCTGCAAGCCTTGTGAGCCCGCGGGAACTCCCACCGGGCTTGCAAGGCTTGCGGATAGCTTCCTGAAGCCTGGAGAGCGAGAGGGGTCGGTGCGCACCGATGCCTCTCGCTCTCCAGGCTTCAGCGAAAGCCTGCATTCGCTCCATAGGACGCACACACATTTCCCCTTCATTTTTGGAGGGGAAAAAGTGCATCCTATGGAGCGAAAAATACGGTAGTAACAGCACCATATCCACCCCATCCCAGAAAATCCTGGGAACCGTAGTTCCCCCTTGCAGGGTTAGCACTCTTAACAAACTACAGTTCCCAGGATTCTTTGGGGGAAGTCACGTGCTTTCAAGGTGCAATGTAGATGTGACCAGAATTACACTTTAATACGCTTTAAAGCAGCTTATCATGTATTATTATCATTTATGATTAAATTTATTACCCATGTTTCACTAGCAAATCCTAGTGCAGGTTGCAACAATTTTAAAATTCAGAATTAAAAAATTATAGCAGCAGGGTCGCAGGCTGGGTTACAACAAAGAAGTTCCTTTTTGATCTGTTCTTTTTGTCTGTTGCTGATTCTAATTTATTATATATTACATTACCCTTGATACTGTTTCGTTGTAAGCTACACAGGGAATAATTATTAAAGGGCATCTATCTAGATTTACTACTACTAATAATAATAATATCATAAATAAAGGCTGCATACACACCATTACATTCAAAGCACACAGCTTCACCTAATGAAACCTGGGAACTGTGGTTTACTGCTTGCAGAGGTACAATTCCCAGCGCCGTTTAACAAACTGCAGTTCCCAGGGGTTCTTTCTTTTCAGGGGAAGGGAACCTGCTTCAGGTGTCCTTCCACAGTGGTGTATCGCTGCTTGCTTTTAACTTCTTTGCTCTCGAATTTGCTTTTCATTGCTTAATTCATGGTTTTCATCTTTTTAATGTAAACCACTTCAATATACCGTATTTTTTGCACCATAACACTCACTTTTTCCCTCCTAGAAAGTAAGGGGAAATGTCTGTGCGTGTTATGGAGCGATTGCCTACGGGTGGCGGGGGGGATCTGCTGCAGTCGTGAGCAGAGGATCCATGGTTCCCCTTCCTTCCCTCCTCCGTGGCTCGCTTTGAAGCAGCAGCAAAGCGTGAGAAGAGCCGCTGAGTGGGGAGGAGAGAGGGACAGAGAGCCTGCTTGCTTTAAAGGAGCAAAGCGGGAGAGGAGAGGAGCCGCTTGCACGAATGTAAGCGGCTCCTGTCCGGTTGGTTCCTTTAAAGCAAGCAGGCTCTCTGTCCCTCTCTCCTCCCCACTCAGCTCGCTAAATAGCAGCAAAGTTTTTCAGCTCTCTAAGCCGGGGATGAGCGGGGAGGAGGAAGAAAAGCAGAGCCTGCTTGCTTTAAAGGAGCAAAATGGGAGAGGAGAGGCGCCTTCTCCCCTTATACCCCTCTTCTTCATTATTAGCAGCATCCTTCTCCACCCACCCCACGCATGTTCCTTCTCCCCTTAAACTCCTCTTCTGCATTATTAGCAGCATCCTTCTCCACACACCCCACGCGTGCTCCTTGTCCCTTGAGTGCTTTTCCTTCCCTCCCCACTTAAAACGTGGTTACAAAGCATGGATCCACATGGATCCTCAGGAGTTTTGCACTGGGTCACCCCAAATTCACCATCAGATCACATAGCATGTCCATGGCTACATCTTGCACCAAAAAAATCACACACCCACTGTTGCCTGGGGCCGCAGTGGTGCAAAAACGTGGTTACAAAGCATGGATCCTCAGGATTTTTGCATTGGGCTACTCCAAACTCACTGTCAGATCACATGTCTGTGGCCACAGCATGAACCACAAAAATCATACATCCACTGTGTCGTTTAGAATATTTTTTTTCTTGTTTTCCTCCTCTAAAAACTATGTGCGTGTTATGGCCGGGTGCGTGTTATAGAGCGAAAAAATACGGTATATTTTTATGACTTCACTATATATAAACCTATTTTTTAAAAAACCAGTTTGGCGCATACGCAGCCAAAATCCCCATTTCCTGATTTCTACATATACTGAAACGCTGTCCCTCCGTCCCTCTCTCTCTGTTTCCTACTCCCATTTCCCCTCTCAGAATATTTTTCCCTCCTCTCGGGGAGCTGCGTCTCCTCCCCTGTGCCTTCGCCGGCACCATCCGTGGCCGGCTCTGTGGCTTCCAGCTCTGGCTCCCTGCGTTACCGACGGCCCCTCATCAGCCCTGCCCGGCTCAACCTGAAGGGCCAGCGGCTGATGCTGTTCTCGGCCCACAGCGAGGCCCAGCAGCAGGAGGACCTGGCCCACTCAGAGAGCAACGTTTTCGCCACGGAGCTGCCCGCCTTCCCGAAAAGGAACCTAAGCGAGCGGGGACTGCATGGTACGTACCCGTCCGGGAGGTGGGACTTGAATCGTCTGTGCCAAGGTTGTGGTTTATCATAGTTGAGGCTCCAGTGGCTGTGCCTGGAAACCTGAGCAGTCCAATAATAATAATAATAATAATAATAATAATAATAATAATACTGTGGTACCTCGGGTTAAGTACTTAATTCGTTCCGGAGGTCTGTTCTTAACCTGAAACTGTTCTTAACCTGAAGCACCACTTTAGCTAATGGGGCCTCCTGCCGCTGCGCCGCTGGAGCACGATTTCTGTTCTCAACCTGAAGCAAAGTTCTTAACCTGAAGCACTATTTCTGGGTTAGCGGAGTCTGTAACCTGAAGCGTATGTAACCTGAAGCGTATGTAACCTGAGGTACCACTGTAAATTTATTTATATCCCGCCCTCCCCAGCCGAAGCTGGGCTCAGAGCGGCTAACAACAGTAAAAATAACACAGTTTACATAAAATCATAACCATTTAATTGAAATTCATTCTAAAATCAATTCATTCTAAAATCAATTCAGAGTCAAATTAATGGGAACCATTGAGCTAGAGTTCAATAGTGGCTGCCGTGAGGGGCATCAGGCCAAAGGCCCGCCTAGTCATAGAATTATAGAATCATAGAATCATAGAGTTGGAAGAGACCACAAGGGCCATCGAGTCCAACCCCCTGCCAAGCAGGAAACACCATCAGAGCACTCCTGACATATGGCTGTCAAGCCTCTGCTTAAAGACCTCCAAAGAAGGAGACTCCACCACACTCCTTGGCAGCAAATTCCACTGTCGAACAGCTCTTACTGTCAGGAAGTTCTTCCTAATGTTTAGGTGGAATCTTCTTTCTTGTAGTTTGGATCCATTGCTCCGTGTCCACTTCTCTGGAGCAGCAGAAAACAACCTTTCTCCCTCCTCTATGTGACATCCTTTTATATATTTGAACATGGCTATCATATCACCCCTTAACCTCCTCTTCTCCAGGCTAAACATGCCCAGCTCCCTTAGCCGTTCCTCATAAGGCATCGTTTCCAGGCCTTTGACCATTTTGGTTGCCCTCCTGTCCACACAGTGGCCAACCAAGTGCAGGCAGGGCCTGAGCACAACAGCGCCCTAGTGCCTTGGGTAAAGCTGGCATAGAGTAAAACTCCCTGGAGCTATTTGCAAAGTGCCGCTGGTTCCAGCCAACTCTGTTCGTTTTTCCGCGGAGCAAGAACCTGCTGGATCAGGCCACGGGGGGGTCCCATCTAAGTCCAGCATCCTGTGCTCACAGCGGCCACCCAGATCCCACAAGCAGGCACTGAGCGCAAGAGGTTTCCAGCCACTGGCATTCAGAAATGCTCATGCCTCAGCCCATGGGCAGCTTTAAAAGAGGATTAGACAAATGCCTGGAGGAAAAGGCTATCGGGGTGGCTGTGCTCTGCCCAAGGACGTACGAAGGGGGGGGGTGTAGGGGTGCAGTCTGCCCCAGGTGTCACCCTGATGTGAGGTGACAAAATGGCGGGCGGCACTCGTCACCGTGGGGCCTGCAGCGCACATGAGCCACACGTCTCAGTGCTCACAAGCTCCATTCTGTCTGCCCACTGCCTCCCCCCCCCAGCTGTAGGGTGGCTGAGGCCCCACTGCACCCCTGTCCCTATGGGCACTGTGGCGTGCCCCATGCCGTCCATCTTGGCACTGCATGCCCTACCCCTATGGGTGGTTCGCTCCTCCCCTCCCCTGGGTACATCGCCTCAGGTCCCCAAGAGTGAAGTTACAGAGAAACCAGGCAAAGGGCCTTCTCAGTAGTGGTGCCCACCTTGTGGAATGCCCTCCTATCAGACATCAAGGAAATAAACAACTATATTTTAGAAGACATCTGAAGGCAGCCCTGTTTAGGGAAGTTTTTAATGTTTGATGTTTTATTGTTTTAAAAATATTTTTATTGTGTTTTTAATATTCTGTTAGGAGCTGCCCAGTGTAGCTGGGGCAACAAGATGGGATACTACTACTACTACTACTACTACTACTTATTTATTTATTTATTTAGAGCATAGCCATCACAACTAGTAGCCCTTGAGAGCCATCTCCTCCAGGAATTTTCCTAATCTTCTTTTTAAAGCCATCTAGTTTGGTGACCATCTCTACCTCCTGTGGGAGTGAGTTCCATTGTCTAACCATGTGCCATGTAAAGAAGTCCATTCTGTTTATCTGCCCTGAATCTTCCAGCTTCATTTGACGCCTTTTGACTTCTAGTGTTCTGCGAGAGGGAGGAAAGCCAAAGGCCACACAGTGACCAGAAGAAGCATTTTCTGTAAACCGTTATCTCTCTGCCTTGTCCTCCTTTTTTAAGATATGAGAGCCATAACGGAAGCCGGGAGCATCTGCAGCGACGGCACCGTCAAGAAAGGGGAGAACTCATCGCACTCGTCGAGCTGCGTGGTAGACACCACGACGAAAGGGGAGGAACTCACAGGCTGGAGGGGTGAGTGTTGCACAGGGTTTACATTGTGGGTTCTTTTGCTTAAAACATGGTTTGCCATGGCAAGAAAGTGTCTAATAAATATAATTAATAATAATTAAAATATGAAAGCAATTGAAAAACATTACCTAGATAATAGATAAAAACAAAAACAGACATGCAAAAAAACCCCAGCATAAAAAAGAAACAAATGTTTTATTTAAAAAAAATAAACTACATTAAAACATCCCTTCCCCTCCCCCCCCCCAAAAAAAATTTAAAAGCCATTGTTAAAAGTCAAAGACCTGGTTAGAAAGGAACCTTTTTGCCTGGCACCTGATTCATGTAACAGTGGCGCCAGACGAGCCTCCCTGGGGAAAACATTCCACAAGCAGGGTGTCACCACCAAAAAGTCCCTGCTCTTTTGTTGCCACCCTCCTGTGGAGGGGGGCCACCTGGAAGAAGAGCCTGTCACAGATAATTATGAGCAGACTGGTTGGTTCATGCTGCTAATCCTCTTCCTTCTCCTGTCTCCTTTCTTTTTCCAATCAGGCCGTTTTGGCAACTCGGCACTCCGAGGTCTCCTTGCCGTGAGCCTGACTGTCAACGCCATCTTCACGTCAGCCTACCTCTACCAAAACCTGCGCTGAGCCACGTTGCTGGGGACTGATGGTCAAACCACCACCGCCACTTCCTCTTTGTCCTCTCCCAAAGTCTCGCCACACTCCTTCCAGAGAGAGAGAAGGGGGGGTGGCGATTCTAGAACGAGGAGGACCCAACCACTGTGCAGCCCTTCCGTCGTCATATCTGCCTCTTGGCCAGCTGCAAACTGCTGACTGCAAGAGAACACACATACCCCAAATCCATCACCACTGACCTCGCCTAGAAGCAGAACACTTTGTCTTTTTAGGGAACTTTTGTGACCCATGCTGGGCGATGGTGGGGCTGTTTCAACCAGTGTTGGGCTTCCTCAATTACTTTGCACCTTTTTTTGAACCGGTTTATCGGGATGAGCTCGAAGATGCCGGCCAAGGGACTTTCTTCCTCCCCTTGTTTAATGATGAAACGTTAGCGTTGCTGAGGTCTTGTTTGCAAAAGGACCGGGAAACATGCCGTTTTGGTCTCCGGTAGTTCCATGCCGTTTCGTTGCTTCGTTGGCCTCGTTATCCCTAACAATACTTTCTCTCAGTTTTCCCCTCTCTCTAGTGAGAGAAGGAGAGGGAGGACCAGCACATTAACTCAGTTGCTCTGTGGCATTCTTTTTCACCCTGGTTCCTTAACCACTTGCCACTCGGCTCCAGTTCGTTTATTGGTGCTGCCATCGTATCTGTTTGTACTTGTTTGCAATGTTTTGCGGATTGGTGGATTGTGGGGGTTTTGTTTTTTTAAAGTCAGTATCCAGTATCGTAACTCCATTTTTGCCTCACGTACAGGCACCACTTCTACTGTAACAAGACGTTCTGATGTCACTGATACACACTCCGGCTCTCGACGGCCAGGGTGTTCGCTGGGTGTTTCTGAGTTGGATTTTTGAGAAATTTGCTCTCGACGTGGTGTACAAGAAATGCCAGAATTGGGGGGGCAAGGGGGTGTAGAAACAGGCCACTGTTTGCAGCTTCAGAGGTCTGTCTCCCGCTGCATCTGTGACGTGTGGATATCTTCGTTCAAAACTTCTATATATAGCCAAAAGCTGAAGTAGGTCAGGTTAAGGAATTCTGCCTTGTGCTGCAAAACTCAAAAATGAAATTGGTGCTTGCTATATCACTTGGACTGTGTTTGGATTGCACACATACAATCCAACCCGTTAGGTGGAACGGGTTACGTGACTGCACCTCTGACCAACAAATAAGTAAATCCCTGCACTTAAAAAGCTAGCAAGTTGGGGAAGTTTGAACTGACACTCTAGTTATCTGTGTGCAGGGATTTTATTTTATTTTAATTTTATATATATATATATATCAATCAGGTATTATGTTGCCACCTGCTGTCTGGTGGTAGAGTCTAGACACATGTCAACCACCTCCTGCTCGTCATCTGTTTTAGAGAACCAGATCACAGGTGCTAGGTCCAAAAAATTACCCCTCTCCTAAAAGTAATTCCAAAACGTCTCGCTTCACAGGCTTCCAGTCCTACATTCTACATGCTGTATTTTTTGGTGGGCATCCAAGCACCGCCAGTTAACATGGGCAGAAACTCAAATTTTAATTCCTCCCAAGAAATTGCTCCTCTTTCCTTGGGGTATTTCCAAAAGTTAAATGCTGCCGCCGCCGCCCAGGAAAATGTGCCCATTGCCAAATAGCTCAGCTTTTTTTGTTGCACTTACAGAAAATATTTCAGGCTTGAGGTGTGTAATTCCGTGCCGCGACGTGACTGCTCACCTGCAGTGAAATTAAGCCTGTGATTTTACACCTTACCTGGTGGGGAGGTTTGTTTGTAAGCAGGCTGTATTTCTTTGTAGTCCTCTATTCCAGCAACATCTGAAGGGAAGGCCACAGGTTACCCACCACATTGTAAATATCTTTCCACCTTTCAAACCACCTTTGGCTCTCTGTGGGGCAGGTGGGGAGAGATCACTCTGCTCTCTCTGCCTAAGAAGGGAGGAGGGAGACAGAATCCTTTGCATATGGTGCTAAAACACACTCGGTCGCAATCACTCTGGTGCAAATTCTTCAAATCACAGCGCACCCAAGTAAAATGGGTTAAAGGTGTCTTGAAAGCACCACATCTGTGTCTTAATTCCTTTCCGCCTTAATGCAATTGATGTGTTTCTTTGTCTTGCTATTGTCCTTTCCCCTCACACGAGGTGTGTGGGGAAACCGCTTGATGATGCCAATTTTTATTTATTTATGTATATATATTGCCCTGTCAGTTGGAAGCAAAAAAACAACAACCCACCATTTCACTCTTCTTGAACTTGAATACAGCATAGCCACCTGCGTTTAAATAACTATCAATTCTCAACTAAGAACCTGGGTTTAAGTGGCCAATTCCTTTATGGGAGCAAAGGGTGGGGAATACCAATTGTTTGCCCATCAGCCTTCCGTGTCCAAGAAAACATTTAAAAACACACATGTACACTGTTCGCAACAGAGAGGGGGGGATTGGCTGCTGACACTCTTTTTCTGATGGGGTTACAGGCACGTGGTGATTGTTCTGTACATATAGAATGCATCCTTTGAGCAGCTTGTCCAGAAGCCTCATGAGGACTAGTTCCCTGACGAATGTAAAAACAACTGCCTTCAGGAGTTAACTCTTACTATCGAAATACACTGTGTTCCTGAGAGGCTTGAATTTTGGGGGTTGGGTGGGAATTTGGTGGGTGGGAGTCTTAAGAGAAGAAAAATGGCAGAGTCCTGGTTTTGATGTTCCTCCACTGGGAAAAGTTGTACATTTTGTACTTAATATGACTGTGGGGTGGGGTTAACTTTGTACAGTTTGGTTAGAAATTTGTGTCTTTAGTTTGGATGCAAGGGGTTTTGTTCTTTTCCCTCTTCTTGCCCCCTACCCCTGCCATTCCTCCAGGGAGTTTATGTTCTGTGTTTGAGAGATTATTTTTCATTATAAAAGTGGAGAATAAAAATGAAATTGAATCTTGAGCATCTTGTCCCATCACTTTCCTAAATGGGGAGGGGAAATTGCAAAAGCTGTGTGGCTTTTACATTCAATTTCAAACCGACTCACCCCTCTGATCATTTTGCAAACAGCATAGGTCAAGACAAGGCTTTCTGTTCCTTTCGTAGCTTAGACAGGTAGGCCAGGGAGGAAATTATATTCTATTCCGTCCAAATAGCTCATGGTCAACACATAATTTCACAAAACAACCCTGCAAATTAGATTAAACGGAGCAGTCCAAATGGGGATTTGAACCCAGATCTCTCTTGTCCCAGGCTAATGTTTGATGCAGGTTCGAGATATACCGTAATTTTATTTATTGTTTAATGAATTTATATCCCACCCTTTATCCCCCAAGGCAAACAAGGTGACAAACACCTGTACAATTTAAAAGCAAAAGCATTCTAAAACAGACTGAAGCCTAAAACCAGTTACAACTAAAAACTTTGCAAAAGCAGTTTCAGTTAAAAAAAAAAAAAGCATTGCAAAAGCAGCTGCAATAAAAAAAAAAAATCATTCCATCCAATGATCTCAGAGTTGCCAGGAACAGGATTCTTCCGCCACCAAATGGCAGGGTAAACAGGTAAGTTTTCCAATTCCTCCTGAAGGTTAATTAGGATGGAAGACTGGCACACCTTACTGTTTACAAGCAATATTAAAAGTATCAATAAAAAACATATAAAGACAAGTAATTAAAAAGATATGTAAAAATAATAAAACTTAAGACTAGCCATCTATGTTTCTGGTTAGGTTTGCCTAAAACAAAAATGTTTTCAGCAGATGCCAAAAAGAATACAATCAAGGCGCCTGCCTGCCTGGTGTCCATATTTGGGGGGCTTTAAACCTGTGTCCAGGCAGTGCCATTTAAGCCAGCAGCACCTGGGAGACTCCCTTGACAAAACACTTTCTGCATAAACTTCATGTAGGCCTGGTTTGCACACACTGCTAAGCTACGGTCAATGTTAAGTTGCTTTATAAACCAACTACAAACCTTGGTTAACAAGTAGCCTTTCACCATAGTTAATATGTCCTTAGTTAAGCTACTGAAATGCTGAACTATGGTTTAATAATAATAATAATAATAATAATAATAATTTATTTATATCCCGCCCTCCCCAGCCAAAGCCGGGCTTAGAGCGGCTAACCACAATAAATGTAACACAGTTTACATAAAATCACAATCGATTGAAATACATTTTAAAACCAATTCATTCTAAATTCAAAATCAAATTAATGGCAACCATTGGGCTAGAGTTCTGTGAGGATTACCGAGGGAGGGGGTCAGACTGTGCCTTGGCCAAAAAAACCCTAGCTTAATAAACCATGGTTTGATGTTATGTTCAAACTAGCATCTGTACAAAAAGATTTCTCAACATACTGTGTTGAAGAGTATTGCTTTAACAGGTCATGGGACCCTACCTGCAGCTTGTCACAGACTTACCACCTTTGTGGATCATAGAATCATAGAATCATAGAGTTGGAAGAGACCACAAGGGCCATCGAGTCCAACCCCCTGCCAAGCAGGAAACACCATCAGAGCACTCCTGACATATGGTTGTCAAGCCTCTGCTTAAAGACCTCCAAAGAAGGAGACTCCACCACACTCCTTGGCAGCAAATTCCACTGTCGAACAGCTCTTACTGTCAGGAAGTTCTTCCTAATGTTTAGGTGGAATCTTCTTTCTTGTAGTTTGGATCCATTGCTCCGTGTCCGCTTCTCTGGAGCAGCAGAAAACAACCTTTTCCCCTCCTCTATGTGACATCCTTTTATATATTTGAACATGGCTATCATATCACCCCTTAACCTCCTCTTCTCCAGGCTAAACATGCCCAGCTCCCTTAGCCGTTCCTCATAAGGCATCGTTTCCAGGCCTTTGACCATTTTGGTTGCCCTCCTCTGGACACGTTCCAGTTTGTCAGTGTCCTTGAACTGTGGTGCCCAGAACTGGACACAGTACTCCAGGTGAGGTCTGACCAGAGCAGAATACAGTGGCACTATTACTTCCCTTGATCTAGATGCTATACTCCTATTGATGCAGCCCAGAATTGCATTGGCTTTTTAGCTGCCGCGTCACACTGTTGGCTCATGTCAAGTTTGTGGTCAACCAAGACTCCTAGATCCTTTTCACATGTACTGCTCTCAAGCTAGGTGTCACCCATCTTGTATTTGTGCCTCTCATTTTTTTTTGTCCAAGTGCAATACTTTACATTTCTCCCTGTTAAAATTCATCTTGTTTGTTTTGGCCCAGTTCTCTAATCTGTCAAGGTCGTTTTGAAGTGTGATCTTGTCCTCTGGGGTGTTAGCCACCCCTCCCAGTTTGGTGTCATCTGCAAATTTGATCAGGATGCCCTTGAGTCCATCATCCAAGTCGTTGATAAAGATGTTGAATAAGACCGGGCCCAAGACAGAACCCTGTGGCACCCCACTAGTCACTCTTCTCCAGGATGAAGAGGATGTTCAGCCTGAACTAAACCAGCTCTGGTTTTGGCGCCGATAATCCTTTGGCCTGGCACGTTAGTCTCATTTTGTATCGGCCAGGGTGACGCAAGCAAGCTTTGCAGGATCCACCTTCAACTTCTACACATCCATACAGGTTCTGCTTCTTGGGTTGTGTGGTTGTGTCAGACCTCCTTTCTGTTGATAGATGCCACAGATAACCATTTGTTTATTGTTCCATAAGGTGTGTTGGGGATTTAGTTGCCCAAGCTCTTTTGATCATCCTTGCCAGGTAAGGTCATGGTGATGTTTGTTGATGTTTATTGCTGTTCTAACCCCTCCTATTGTGTAATTTTTTTAAATTTAAAAATGTGGTTCAAGGGGTGAAAATGGAATCTGCATGGAGCTGGAACACAGAAGCTGCCTTAGAACAAATTGTTTATATAGGCCAATATTGTCTACTCTGACCGGCAGCAGTTCTCCAGAGTCTGAAGCAAGAAAATCTTTACTCTCAACTGTGACCTGCAGGGCCACATATCAAGTGCTTGAACAGAGTATAGAAGCAAATTAAGATGCCTTCGGTCAGGGCCATGCTGAGCATGACACATGTTCCCCAACCCTGGGAACCAGAAGCCCCATCCAGGAAGGAGGCTCCCTGTTGCAACTCTGCATGAGTGGCTGCTCTGGCTTTTCTTAAGACAGATTGGAAACGGGTGGGAGAACCTTTGACCCTCCCATCAGCCTCGGTCATGGATAATGGGGCTTGTAGTCCCAGCAGTATTTGGAGGCAGGGGCACAAGTTCCCTATTCCCGCTGCTGTAATATCTGCTAACAAACAGCACTCTTGGCTTTTCAGATCGCCTCCAGAAATGTACCAAGCAGAAAAGGTGCTTAGGAGAGGCAAACTTGTTGGACAGCCTCCTCCCACCGTTCTACATGCTCTTAATTACCCATTTGAACTAATACCCATTTTGGTAGTGGCCTAATTCTGCCAGTGCTTGAAAGAGATATTTTGTGTGGTAGGCAAAGCTTGTACGTATTCTGTGCTCCTAACAAATAAAAGCTCTCCGTAATCTATGCCAAAAAAAATAAAAGTCATCCGCATGCAGCTTGCATTTGTAAAGTGATCCTGCTTGCTTGCTTGTTTTCTGTACTTTATAACTTTTTTTAGTTTAATTCTGCTAGGCGCAGGTATAGCTATCTGATTTATTCAATTGTTTTGGTTACAGTGGTAGCTCGGGTTAAGAACTTAATTCGTTCTGGAGGTCCGTTCTTAACCTGAAACTGTTCTTAACCTGAAGCACCACTTTAGCTAATGGGGCCTCCTGCTGCCGCCACACCGCCAGAGCACGATTTCTGTTCTCATCCTGAAGCAAAGTTCTTAACCTGAGGTACTATTTCTGGGTAAGCGGAGTCTGTAACCTGAAGCGTCTGTAACCCAAGGTACCACTGTATATCCTTTTATCCAGCGCTCAAGGTGGCCACGTGCAAACTTCTCTCCATTTGCATCCTTACAACAACCCTTTGAGGTAGTTAAGGCTGAGAGATGGTGACTGGCCGAAAGTCACCCGGGGGGCTTCACGGCTGAGTGGGGACTCAAATATGGATCTCCCAGGTCCAGCACTCTAACCACTGCTCTACACTGGTTCTTTGATGTTAAAGGTGAGCATTTACTCATATTGTGGAAATCATAAGGGCTAAAAAATTGGGGGGGGGCGTTAAATCTCCAAATTTAAAAGTGGAGGTTCACAAAGCTCCCTTATGCCCCTAGCATCACATTCCTTCAGGATACAGGGGCAGGGGGAGCAATTTCTCCCCCTACCCCCCTACCCCACTACCTCCAACACACAAAACCATCTCTAGCCCTCAGTGGTTAGGTGACAGGCATTATTCACATACAAAATATGGTAATGAAAATGGCAGTGAAAACAAGCCTGCTATTCTGAAGAGCCTGTCCAAGCTTAGGGCAGGGGAATTAATGTGAATCTTTAATATTTGGACCAAAGTTTGCACTCCCCCTAATCTGAGCTTTGCCCCTTTCGTTGTCTTCTGTCTCCCCCACTCAGATATAGAGACAGAGGATGCTGCCTTATACAAAGTCAGACCACTGGTCCATCTAGCTTAGTATTGTCTGCACTGACTGACAGCAGCTCTCCAGGACAACAGGTAGGAAGTCTCTCCCAGCCCTACCTGGAGATTCTGGGGGTTGAACCTAGGACCTTCTGCATGCCCAGCAGGTGCTCTCCCACTGAACTATGGCCCTTCCCCATAGCATTTTCTGATGCCACTTCTGCCTGACTGCTAGGCTGCAAGCACAACTGCAAATGAATGCACCTGCCTATTTTGAGTTACTTGGGTCAAATTGTATGCCGTGTGTTGGTCCTCTTTGTACAAATGGAGATGCATTTACCGGTATTTATTTTAAAACTACAGTAATTATAACAAGAGAAAAGGATGAAGCCACATTTTTTATGTTCCATGTTTTTATTAATGGTAGTTCTGTTCACTGAAAGGGCTGTCACACAGAAGACAGAGCAAGCTTGTTTTCTCCTGCTCCAGAGGGTAGGATTCGAACTAGTGCCTTCAAGTTACAGGAAAGGAGATTCTGATTAACACCAGGAATAACTTTCTGACCGTAAGAGCCCTTGACTGTGGAATGGTCTCCTATGAAATGTGGTGGGTTCTCCTTTAAAGCCCTATGTGGCCTAGAACCCATGTACCTATGGGACCACCTCTCCTGGTATGCCCCGCGGAGGACCTTAAGGTCCACAAATGACAACATTTTGGAGGTCCCAGGTCACAAGGTGGTTAGATTGGTCACAACTAGGGCCAGGGCCTTTTCAGTACTGGCCCCGACCTGGTGGAACTCTCTGTCACAAGAGACTAGGGCCCTGCGGGACTTGACATCTTTCCACAGGGCCTGCAAGACAGAGCTGTTCCGCCTGGCCTTTGGTTTGGACTCAGTCTGACCCTTATGTTTCCCTCCCCTTATGGTTTTGATGAGGCTGCATTTTAATTGCATTTTAACTTGTATTTTAGATTTGTTTCCCCCCCTCCCCATTATGTTTTTACTGTAATTTTACTGTTGTTAGCTGCCCTGAGCCCGGCTCTGGCCGGGGAGGGCGGGGTATAAATAAAATTTTTTATTATTATTATTCATCAAAGATTGTTGAACAGAGGCTGGATGGCCATCTGACATGTATGATCTAGTTGAGATTCCTGCATTGCAGGGGGCTGGACTAGGTGAAAGGGAACGCACTCTCTGCACATGTTCTCTTGGTTATTGCTTTGCATGCCTCAGGCTGGAACCGCGGCTCAGGGGGCAGAGAGCCTGAAGCAAATAGCTGCAGCCCAATATTCATCCTACTCAGAACAGCAGCAGACCCATTGAAATGAATGGGCATGGCTAACTTAGCTCCACTCACTTCAAGGGCTCTACTCTGAGTAGAACTTGGATGGAAACAACCCTAGGCTCAGCTCCGGGTTCTAATCAAGTTCTGCCTTTTTGCCTTTGTTTCGCGTGCGCTGGGGCAAAAGTTTAAAAGCTTTTCCACAAAGTGAATTGCCAGCGGAGCAGCGAAATAAATTAGTACCCAAGCCATAGAAGTAATGGGTAAAAACTTATTTTGGACGGAGAGTCAGGATCCTTGGCACTTTGGGGCAAAGCAACGTCATAAAAAGAAGAAATCCATTAAAAAAGCAAGAGTTTAATTGAAATGATCCTAATTGGAGAGCGATTCTTGCTTCTCCGCAGTCTCTCATCAGCAAATCACAATTCATGGGAGTACAGTATTGGAATTATTTCCTCCCCCTCGCTCCTCTTGACTCTTGGATTTTTGGCTCCGCGCAAGAAAATGGGTCTGTTCGCCAAAACTGGCACAGCGCCAAGGTGCACCCAAGTTCAGGGCAGCGGTGACCTCCCTCTTCGGGGTTCACACGCAGGTCACAAAAAATTGTAGCACATTTCAAAGATCCAACTCCAGTCTCCAATCAAAACAAAAAGAGAATGAACTCAAACATTTGGTCTTACAAAAGTGTTGGCGAAACTCTCGTTTGTTTCTTGCCCGCTAAACTTGGGCGCAATTTTGGTTTTCCCGAGGGAGACGGAGAGGGAGAGAATTACGCGCGGAGCTCCAGGCGCGCTTTTGGAGAGGTAAGGAAAGCGCACCAGCAACCTGGAGAAAGGGAGGAGCGGAGCGCACTCAGCGCTTGGCGGATTGGGGGTAGCAACCGGGGGTGGGGGAGTGGGACTTTCGAAAGGGCTCGATCCACCGCCACAACCTCTGTCCTTCAGGCAGAAGCTCCATGGAGGAAGCTGCGAGCGCAGGAGCCGTCGAGGCGACCTCGGGGACGAAGAAGGAGCAGCTCGCAGACGGAGAGCGTAACCCTGCCGCGCCGCCTGCTCCTCTCCAAAAGCCCCCGTATTCCTACATCGCTCTGATCACCATGGCCATCCGAGACAGCCCCGGACAGCGCTTGCCCCTGCGCGACATTTATCGGTACATCTCCCAGCGGTTCCCTTACTACAATTTGAGCCAGAAGAGCTGGCAGAACAGCATCCGGCACAACCTCAGCCTCAACGAGTGTTTCCTGAAGGTGTCCCGGGAGGGAGCCGGGCGCAAGGGCAACGACTGGATGCTGGATCCGGCCTTCGAAGGCATGTTCGAGCGGGGGAATTACCTGCGCCGGAGGCGCACCCGGAGGCGCTCGCGTGATCCCGCCCCTGCGCCTCCGCCGACGGCGCCTTGTTTCACCTGCCCGGAGACACCTGCGCCCGCTTACTGCCCTTATCACCCATATCCTCAGAGTCCGCTTCCGCCTCCTGCCTATCTTTTGGCCGGATCAGGTGTGGCGCAGCCCTCCCAGCCTTATCCGGTGAGCGGCTGCCTCCCGGCTATGGGGCCCGTCGGCGGCTACGGACCCTACCCCAGATTCCTGCTTCCCGGCGGGGCGGCCCAGCAGCCGCCGAGCCCGGTTGCAGGGGGGCCCGTCGCTCCTTTCCAGTCGCCTCCCGACCTGTCCCTTTTGCGCGGTTGGAATTGGCAAGAGAGGATCTCCTGCGCCCGCACGGACTTCTAAAGAGAGGACGACTTGATTCGGAGCAGCACCTAATGGACAGCCACGGTTGTGACTCAAGGTTCTAGTCCTGCTTAAGGAAACTACCTGCTACCTCTTAAGGTCTCAGCGCTTGGGGGGACGGGCAGGATTGGGGGTGGAGAGCTAGGCGTTTGAAAAGCAACGGGGCACGATTATTTCAAATCTGAGAAGAGAGCTGCCGACAAATTTACACCAGGTCTGATCCAGTGGTTTTCAACCACACCTGGTGTAATGCGGGGCGGGGGACGTAGTTGCCGATTTCTGCAGCTGAATGTTTTGTTGAAAGCGCAGGAGAAGGTAACTGTCTGGTCAGCTGGCAACTGTGCTTGCACTCAGTTTGCCAAACCTGGAAAGGATATTTTGATGAGGAATTGGGCAATCTTCCTTTAGAAGAAAGCCTGGGTGAGAGATATCAGGTCCCTTCCCCTCCACCACCCGCGTGAAGAACCCAGCCGTTTTTATTTTTATTTTATTGGCTGGGTTTTGAGGGCGATTGGGAGGAGTTCCCAAGGCAGTTGCCAACTTCTCAACCAGTCCCTGCTGCTTGTGCCTCAAAGAATGGTCTGATCTGCAGGGATTAGAAGATGCCGGGTGCTTTTTTCCTACTCTATGAACAATCTCATTTGTCAGTACCTGGCAATCAGGCTACTCTTCAAGGCACAGCACTGGGGACAGGCTGAAAAGTTGGCAACCCTTGTCTAGAGGAGGTTAAAAATCTCCCCTGTCGTATTGAAAGTAACAAAATTGATGTTTCCATTACAGTGATTTTTTTCTTAAAAAAAACAAAAAAGCTGCCCAACAGATAAAGTGCCTGTTGCAGAGCTGCAACTTTGTAAGTTCACCTGTTGACTTACAGCTTTTTTAATTGCTCCTTCGATGCAAGCGAGCTACAAGTGTGGCAGGCAGGCAGAAATGGCCATTATATTAAGTATAGTTTGGAAGTAAGTTCCATTTAGCATATTGGGACTTGCTTCTTAAGTAAGTGGCTCACCTAGACATGGTCATTGTCATTTGTAATCAACTGGAAGTTGTTACAGGTGAAATGTTGCATTTAAAATTGGTGTCAAGCACTGCTCAGTGCTCAGGGCCAAAGTACCACCCAGTTTGACTAAAGTGTGGAGATTTTCAGCTGCGAAACAGAAGAAGGATCTTGTTTTTTTGTTTCTGGTTGGGAGTTGTGTAATGATTTCAAGTGTTTGAATTAGCTGTTTCCAAAGGCAGCATAAATAGCCTGGCAGTGGAAATTGACAAGATATTGCATGTGTTTAAAATGTTTGGGAGGAGAAATCTTGAAACTCCCCCCTAGGTTACTTTTCAAGTAGGATACTCCAGATTTAGTTCGTTACACAGACACACAGACACACACACACCCCACTCAGGGAAGTTCAGTTAACTTGAATAAAATTACTTTAGAGTAAATGATTTTGGATTTAAAAGTGTCTTTGGTTCCTCTATCTTAACAATGGCTCTATTTATTTCCACAAAGCATGGTAACCACTTTCCCTCCTAAAATAGCTGAGTTCTAGCAAATGTTTAATCTACGCAGAGTAGAGCCATTGAAATTAATTTCAATATGTTTACTCTGAGTAGCACCTAAAATCTGCCAAGAGTATTCACTTATTTTAGGTGGAGCGGGGACCAGCATTTGGAAGTTTAGATTCTTAATTTGAAAGGGATTATTATTATTATTACTATTTTATTATAAGGCATGTGTCATTTGTGACTGAGGGATGATTGAAGTGTCTTCTCCCCCCCCCCCCATTTTGTGCCGGGGTTCCTGGGTCATTGGTGAGTAGAAAGCATTTCACCTGGTTACATTTAGGACTTGCTGATCCTTGCTGCAATGTTGGAAAGTGAAGGACAGAGCCTAAAGAACTGATTTTTCCAGTCTGGACATGTCTGAAAAATGCAAGACAAGGGAGACTAATTTGCTTTTGAAAAAGGGGTTGCCAACATCTTGTGCTGGCTCCTGCTCCTCTACCTTTAACAAAAGGTTGAACCTGCAAACATTGTCTTGGTGGGATCATGATAATCTCCACCCTGTTATAAAAAGGCCCCCTTTGCTTATTTCTGCAGCTCAGATTGTTGAATTAATTCTGCCTATAAAACTAAATTGTGCAAAAGTTTAAAAAGTTGTTTTATGTCACTTCCTGTGTTTAAAACAGTATTTGAAATGCAACAAGTCTTGTAAATAATATTTTCCTGGGAAGAATTAAGTGTTTGTTGGAGTAGGGATGTGAATGGACCTCACTTTTGTGTTTAAGTTTTCTGGTTTGGTTTCGCTGGAACTATTGGTTTTTTAATGGTTACTGGACAATAAATGTTTTTTATAGCAAGTGATGTCCTTTTAATGCAGGGCTGGGCAGCTATTTTTCTCTCTGAGGGCCACATTCCATCAGAGGAAATCACTTGAGGGCCACTTGCCAGTAGGGGGTGGAGCCTGATTGCACTGAGTTAACCAACCGGGAACAAATATTAAGCTGCTTCAGTTTTCACCATTGCCACCTCAGATCAGAACTCCCGCACTGGGTTTTGATGGGCTTACTCTTAACTGAGACAGCTTTGAAACTGGTTCCCTTTTCTGGTATCAAAGAGCCCATGTACTGAGCAACTGGGAATAGCAAGTAGAACCATCTTTCTGGATTCTCCATTCCATTCCTGAGTTCCCCCTTGTCCTTCCCCTCTGTTAGCATTCTCTACCCATTTAACATGGAATCATGGAATTGTAAGCATCTTAAAAAGCAGAGACATCACCTTGCCCACAAAGGTCCATGTAGTTAAAGCTATGGTTTTCCCAGTAGTGATGTATGGAAGTGAGAGCTGGACCATAAAGAAGGCTGATTGCCAAAGAATTGATGCTTTTGAATTATAGTGCTGGAGGACTGCAAGAAGATCAAACCTATCCATTCTTAAGGAAATCAGCCCCGAGTGCTCACTGGAAGGACAGATCCTGAAGCTGAGGCTCCAATACTTTGGCCACCTCATGAGAAGAGAAGACTCCCTGGAAAAGACCCTGATGTTGGGAAAGATGGAGGGCACAAGGAGAAGGGGACGACAGAGGATGAGATGGTTGGATGGTGTTCTCGAAGCTACAAACATGAGTCTGACCAAACTGCGGGAGGCAGTGGAAGACAGAAGTGCCTGGCATGCTCTGGTCCATGGTGTCACGAAGAGTCAGACATGACTAAACAACAACATTATTATTATTATTATTATTATAAATCAAGTAATTACCTGCCCTTCCCCGTTGACTGATTTCTGCAAGGTATTCAAGGTAGCGTACATGGTTCTCCTCATGTAATCCTCAGAACGACCCTGGGAGGTAGGTTCAGCTGAGAGGCAGTGTCTCCCCCAAGGTCATTTAGTGAGTTTTCTGGATGTGAGTGGGGTTTGAGCCATGGTATTCCAGGTCCTAGTCCGAGACTACTCTACAACGAATTAAAATTCAATATTTAAAATATTTAAAGCAAATTACTGTCACGTGGATTAGGGTGGGTTCTGAAAAAGATATCAGTTCACTGTTAGGAACGCCACCCCCTTTGAGAACCCCTACATTAATGTATCTTTGCTCATTTTGCCTTCTGTCGCCACCGGGTGGCGCCAACGAATCACCCAGGGTTGGATTCCTAAATCAAAGCCATTTATTCCTCCTTGTGGTCAGTCTCCCGTGAAACATTGGCCACTTGGAAATTGTCACATCCGTGCCACGCCGGCCCCCCCCCCAATAGCTCCTGGAAGCTATACCCTGCAAGGCAGCGGAAGTTTAGGATCAAGAGTTTTCCCTCCTGGCTGCCTTCCTAGGTTGACAAGCCCCACCTGCCCCTCAATTGCAGAAATCACCTTCTTGACCGTTGGACCCACTATTGGTCTCATCTACTCAATCCATTGCAGCCTGTCTTTGCATGCCTCTTTGGAGAGGGAAAACATCCCAGTGTTTGTCTGATCTGAGATCAAGCTATTTCACTACACTCAAGTTGTAGTTCTTGGGCAATGAATTTGTGCGTGTGTGGATCAGCTCACAGGAACACTTTTGCAAAGGCCTTTAAATCACAATAGTTGCACCACATATTCTTTCATTGCATAGATGACCCTTTGGGTCCCTTCCAAATCTACAGTTCTATTATTCTCTCCATTCCAAGTGCAATTTGCTTCCAGTGCCAGAGAACTTGTGCATTAAAGCACATTTCCCCCCTTCAATGAGTCATAGGAACTATATAGCTTGCCCTTCAAAGCATTTGTGTTCCCAGCATCCTTAGCAAACTACAGTTCCCACGATCCTGGTGTGTGTGCTTTAAATGTACGGTGTTGTGCATGTACTTATTTAACCAAGGTTAAATTAAATGTAAGGAAATTAAATATAAGAAGGGCTGTCACATAGGAAATGGTGCAAAGATATTTTCTGCTGCTCCAGAGGGTAGGATTTGAATCAGATTTTAAGAGATTCTGGATGGCCATCTGTCAGGAGTTCTTTAGCAGAGATTCCTGCATTGCAGGGGGTTGGACTAGATGACCCTTGGATCCCTTCCAACTCTATACAGTGGTACCTCGGGTTACATACACTTCAGGTTACATATGCTACAGGTTACAGACTCTGCTAACCCAGAAATAGTACCTCAGGTTAAGAACTTTGCTTCAGGATGAGAACAGAAATTGTGCTCCGGCGGCGCAGCGGCAGCAGGAGGCCCCATTAGCTAAAGTGGTGCTTCAGGTTAAGAACAGTTTCAGGTTAAGAACGGACCTCCGGAACAAATTAAGTACTTAACCCAAGGTACCACTGTAATTCTATATTAAAGAAATACATTGATTGGCCAACCCAATTTTTACAAGTAGTGGGCAAGTTTTGGCGTTCTTCAAAAGTCTTCATCAGGCATGGTGTGAGAGGAAGAAAAATGGACTAATGTTGGGGACATGGATAGCATCAAGGGCGGTGTATACAATTGCATTGACTCCTCATCCATTGCGCTCCCACCGGTTTGAAGGTTTGAAGCCGAGTGGCGCTGTGGGTTAAACCACAGAGCCTAGGACTTGCTGATCAGAAGGTCAGCAGTTCGAATCCCTGCGATGGGATGAGCTCCCGTTGCTCAGTCCCTGCTCCTGCCAACCTAGCAGTTCGAAAGCACGTCAAAGTGCAAGTAGATAAATAAGTACCACTCTGGTGGGAAGGTAAACGGCGTTTCCATGCTCTGCTCTGGTTCGCCAGAAGCGGCTCAGTCATGCTGGCCACATGACCTGGAAGCTGTACGCCAGCTCCCTCGGCCAATAAAGCGAGATGAGCACCGCAACCCCAGAGTCGGCGACAACTGGACCTAATGGTCAGGGGTCCCTTTACCTTTACCTTTACCTTTGCATGTGATGCTGGTCACAATCTGTAGGTCTCCTGCAGCATCTTGAGAAATGTTGCTGTTTGTCACACAATAGGTTGTTCAGCACCAGGGAAATGCGCATCAGGTGAACAAATGTGATTTGGAATGCAGTGTGGAGTAAAATGACTTCACTGCTCATACAGTCACAAATTGGTCCATAGCTTAAGAAATGAAAGTTTCTTAGATTTGCAAATGAATCCCAAGAGGTTGGGGACTCCTGGTCTATGCCTTATTTTTTTAAAATGATATTTATTAAGCATTTTAAAGTTACAGAAAAAAACAAAGAGACAAAGAAGAAGAAAAAACAAGGTAAAAGCAAACAGCAGTCAAACAATACAAATCAATAATAAAAAACACACATCAAAATCCAAAAAACAAAAGTAAACCACAAACATTTAAAAACAGATCCAATATTCCCAAATCCTTAACTGTCATTACCTTATTTCATCGACCTCCTCACACCTCCCTTTTTTGTATTCCAGTTATTAATTATAACAGCAAATCCTTCCCATTTTTCATAGTATTCTGTCATTAAATTACCTTAATCTATTTTAACCTTATCTTACTATAAAAGACCCTAGAACTTAAAACTTAAATCTTATTTATACCAATTTCTCATAACCATAACATATTCTTGCATAGTTCTTTTTAACATTTCTGCTAAAGCCAAATAGTTTCGTTCCAACATTTTTCTAATACTCATTAATTTTACAAAACAATCCTAAATAAATTTTTTTTAAAACTTTCTTCCAATCTTCATCCAACGTCTCTTCCTCCTGGTCCCGGGTTTTGTCAGTCCTTTCTGTCCCATCCATCTAGTTCATTAACCTGGTAATCTTATGTCCGAGGCCCTTAAGTCTCTTCCATGTCTCTTCCGCAGATCTTCTTCATATTTATACCTGTACTTTACTTTGTCTCCTGGTCCTTTCACTCGTGGAAACTCCAACTTGAAAGTATTTTTGTCCCTTCTCGACAGATCAGCCCCTTTTCCATAATCCACACTGAACTCCATGTGGTATTTAAAAGCATGTTTCAAAGTCCCTCCAAAGTTGAGGACCCCCACAACCCCAAACTCCTCACGGCCCATTGCCAGACTTGAAAAGTCAAGACATCCCTGCATAGGGGGGTCTATCCAGCCCCCCATCTCCAAGCCCAACAAAACTCTATCTCTCCAAATCTGGCTTTTTCCAAGTTCATTTGTCAAATCCAACCACTCATGTTCCTGCTGGGCCATAGCTCCCTCCATCTCTGCCACCCGAGGTCCAACAACAATCACCTCCCTCATCTGATCTGTCAGAGCACACTCCTGAGTTGATTCCTGGGTGGGTTCTATATAGATACCCACTACCTGTGCAAAATTTCTAATCGCAACAGTCATCAAATCCGTCTTCTCATGTAACTGTTCCAATAAAGCACTTGTCTTACAAAAAGCACGCACCAGAGCCTCTGAATACATTGTTATGCAAGGTCAGAAGTCTGTTCCCACGATCTTAATCTGTTTGCAGCTGCGAAGCTCCCCAGTTCAGATTTAATAACAGTTTCACAAGCTCCCTCTAGGGAAAGAACTTCTATTTGTATCAATCTCTTTTCTTTTCTTTTTTTGACAGCAGATCTAACAACAAAGTTTCCTTTTTCAGATATTTTGTCAGCATTTGTTCCTTTAAAATGTGAAAGAGAACAATGGAATCACTATGTTTCTCTTCTTTTAACTATCTGTCAAAAACATGTGTCTATAGTCAATGAACTTCCCAAAAACGTCTGTCCTGACACCCCGCTCCCAGGTTCAAGACGGTGGAAAATTACTTTTCTTTACACTCTCTCCTGCAAGTTTAAACCATCCGGAAAAAAATCCCCCCTCTTCTCCTGCTTCCGAAGGGGGTTCAGTAGTTTTAGATGATGAAAGTTGATCCTTTACAAACGATTTTCTGAACTCTAGTCTGCCATGTCTTTGCTTTAATCTATCTACAAGAAACGGAAGGCTGACTTCCTGTTTAGACCTTCCCGCTTCAGTGCCAAATTAAGAAGAATTTCCTAATCCAATTTTCCCTTCTACTCACAGATCGTTGTTTAAAGTCCAATTGTCCAAATTTGATCTGCTCACGGGTAGTTGTTTTTGTAACCAAATTGTCCCAGGAAAAAGGTAGCGCTCTCCGGCAACGGCTGTGCAGCTTCGCTCCACGGAAGAAGCAGTTGACTCTCAGCACCGCGCCACTAGCCCCTCTTCGCTCCGGAGCCCGTAGTTGGGTTCCTTTACGGATGGGGGGGGCACAAAAGGTGCCCGCCGAGTCCCATGGTCACAGGCTTCCTCCGCCTGTGATTTTTTGAAGGGTCCCCGCTTCGCCGTAGCGGAACAGACCCGTTTTCCGTGGAGCCAGTCCCTCCGGATCAGAGGGAGTCCGCCATTACCGATGGCGCCACCCCTGGTCTATGCCTTATTTTCACTCAATTTCCCGTGTGTTTTCAGCCTTTACGTCTAGCAATTGTTTTCATTTTTTTTTTTAATTTGCGGACTAGCAACCTTTTTAAAAAAAGTTTCTTATATTTTTAAAAGCTGAGATTCTCACACCATTGTGATTGCCAGCTGATAAGTAGTATAACACCTCACTGCATTTCAAGCCGCTAATGCGTACATAGGGAGCCAGTGTGGAGTAATGGTTTGAGTTGTAGACTAAGACCTTGGGAGTCCTGGGTTCAAATCACCACTCAGCCATGAAACTCGCTGGGTGAATTTGTCCCAGTCACCGTATCTCAGCCTAACCTACCTCACAAGGTTGTTGTCAGGATAAATTGGAGAGGGAGAGAAGTGTGTTTGCCACCTTGAATTCTTTGGGGGAAAGTTGGGATATACCGTATTTTTCACCCTATAGGACGCACTTTCCCCCCTCCAAAAATGAAGGGGAAATCTGTGCGCGTCCTATGGGGTGAATGCAGGCTTTCGCTGAAGCTTGGAGAGCGAGAGGGGTCGGTGCGCACCGACCCCTCTTGCTCTCCAGGCTTCAGGAAGCTATCAGCAAGCCTGGGGAGCTCGCGGGAGTTCCCACAGGGCTCCCTAGGCTGCGGATAGCAGCCTGTCGCCCGGCGCGTGGGGCTCCCTGAAGCAGAGCGCCCCGCGCTTCGGGCAGACATCGGGCAGCCCCACATGCTCTGGGGAAAGAGGGGAGGTGCAGCGCTGCCATCCCGCTGTTCCCCAACCTGGTTTGGATTCCCCAACTTGGTTTTGGGGGGGAAATAAAGGAAAAAAAATTTTTCCTTTATTTCCCCCCCCAAAAAACTAGGTGCGTCCTATGGGCCGGTGCGTCCTATGGGACGAAAAATACGGTAAGTGTGATAATAAAAAATGAAATAAAATAGCCCATGAAGCAAAAGTTTATTAGGTTAGTTGCTGGGTAGCTCATTTGGTAGAGCAGGAGTCTCTTAATCTCATGGTTGTGAGTTTGAGCCGCACGTTCGGCAAAGGATTCCTGCATTGATGGGGGTTGGACTAGATGACCTGGGTGGTCCCTTGCCTACTCTACAATTCTATGATTCCAGTTATGTCCCCTGCCCACAAAAAAAGTTGGGGACTACTTTCTTTAAGTAGTGCATTTTCAGCCCTGAGGACTTGCAATTTATTTTTTAATTTATTTTTTTAATGCCTTGAGGACTAGTAAGCTTTTTTCTTTGTAAGAAATGGCTGAGATTCTCAGAGCGTTGCGATTGCTGGGTGATTGCATAGCATGATATGGGGAGTGGGGGGAGGTACATGCGCACCATGTAGCCCTGACCTCAAAGGCCCTGTGGCACCCGCTTTGACTTGTTTATCATGCTGAAAACTCAGAACAAAACCCTGAAACCTCGTTTCCTCTCAAGCTGCTGGTTTCCCTCTCTTTTGGGGTTTCTTTGGCGGACTGTTTCCCAGCAGGGCTGGTTAATTTCTCTCTCCCCGGCCCCCAGAGGCTTGCGGTAATATGTGGGGAGGGGGAGATGCTATTTTTTCTCTCTCTTCCTCACTTGTCTGACTTCCTTTTAGTTTTATTTTATGCTTCTAAAAAGGAGGGGGGGCGGACTCATCAGCTCTGTCTCTCCAAATCGACAAGAAGGCAGAGCAAAGCAGAGATAAAGGCAGCTCTCTCCGCTATACCCAGGCTGATCAGTTGCAAAGGAAGTGGGTGGGCGAAGATGTCTTCCTCTCACCAGGCCTGCAGGAGAATTTGCGTCTGAACATTTCCCCTTGCGCATCAGGATTAAAGTGCCCACCCCCGGCTCAACTGGTTATTTTGCATCCACTTAGCCAGGGTTCCTTATTTGCCTCTTCACTTCTTAACTTCAATTTCCTCCTTGGCAGAAAAGTGTGCCACTGCCTTGTGGCAGGCAGAGGTTCACCTGGTAAAGCGTCTGCTCCATAGGGATAGCCACACACCTGCTGTCCTCAGGCCACACTCATCACTGACTTTTCTTTGCCTGGCTGGAATATGTCCAAGATTGTCTCTTGCTGGCCTGGATGGTGTGAAGGGGCAGATTCTTCTCTGGTCAGCTGTGCACCAGGTCGAGAAAATTGTCTGCGGTGGGGGTGGGGGGGTGGGCAGGGGTCCCAGCGACCTTTGTTGAGGAAGCTCAGGCAGGGGCCTAATTCCAAACCTTCCAACTTTTCTCGAATGAAAATAGGGATGTCTTACTCCATAATAATAAATGTATTGTTATAGTGGTACCTCGGGTTACATACGCTTCAGGTTACATACGCTTCAGGTTACAGACTCTGCTAACCCGTAAATATTGCTTCAGGTTAAGAACTTTGCTTCAGGATGAGAACAGAAATCGTGCTCTGGCAGTGTGGCGGCAGTGGGAGGCCCCATTAGCTAAAGTGGTGCTTCAGGTTAAGAACAGACCTCCGGAACAAATTAAGTACTTAACCCGACGTACCACTGTATTATCATTATTATTATTATTATTATTATTATTGCCCCACCCATCCTACTGGCTTGCCCCAGCCGCTCTGAATGGCTTCCAACACATATGAAAACATAATAAAACTATACAGGGCTGCATTCAGATGTCTTCTAAAGGTTATATCGTTCTTTATTTGCTTGGCTTTGGCGTTGCATAACTCCATACCGTCTAATATATCTCCGATGAAAATAGGGACGTCCTAAGGAAAAGTGGGACATTCCAGGGTCAAATCAGAAACTGGGATGGCTTCTATAATTACGGGACTGTCCCTGGAAAATAAGGACACTTGGAGGGAGTGTAATTGTGACCCCCTAGGCCTCTGGTAAACCTTCCTGTGGTTCTCTCACCCCTCCTTTCAGGACCCTTCCTTGCATGCTTTTGAGTGGCTGGCAGGTGCCCTTTTGAACAATGGTAACACCTCTTGCTTTCCTAGGTGGATGTGCATAAAAACAAACAAACGCAACCCTCTGATAGTTGCAGGTCTGACCCCTACTGCACTGACCTAAAGATCACATCATTTGCACCAGCCACTTTTGAATGTGAGGGAATGTGGCTCTTGGATGGAAGAAAAAGGTTTCCCCCCCCCGGCCCACTTTTAGGCTGTACGCACACTGTTAACTTTAGATGATATTTGGAGCACATTCTTTCCCTCAAAGAATTCTGGGAACTGTAGTTTATGGGTAATGTGAAATTGGAACTCTTTCTCAGACGGAACTTGCCGGAACCTCTCAGGTGGGCGCCATTGCCATTCTAAGAGAACAAGGAAGGTGTTCCTAGTGATCCCTGGCACCTCTTTTTCTATAAAAATAACACTGGGTCAAACGACATTGCCCAAAATTCTTAGAGAGAGAGAAGGGTGTGCTTTAAAAATCGCCTTAGAAGAATCCCAGCATGCAGGTGTGAATAGCTCAACAACTGGCAGGTCAATACATTCTGTTGCCTGAGGCCAACAAACCCTGGCAAGTGCATAGAAAACCCCACAAGAACCTCTCCCCGACTATATAAGTACAATAATAATGAACTAAATATCTTGCTGCCCTCTCACAACATCCCAAATCAGCTGCCTGAGGTGGCTGCCTCGCCCTGGCTAATGAGAGGGCCGGCTCTGTTGACCGGAGTCTACTCTATACTCACTTTGGATTAGCCTCTTTCCTTGGTCATCCCTTACAACCATTGGAAATATAACTGAAAAAAATTAGTTTGGTTAAATTTCCGGATCTTTGGAAATCTCATTTAATGGTGCATTCCTGATTGTGTCTACTCAGAAGCAAGTGCTGCTGAATTCAGTGAGGCTTACTCCGGCCCCAGGTAAGTAGGGATATTGCTGCATTTGTAACTGAGAGCGTTATTCATTTGTAAAGCACTAACCTCACACCAGGCATTGATTATTATGAAAAATGAAGCAAACAAAAATCAAAAGGCAGTTTTGAAATAGTGGTTAGAATCAGTGCAATTGTGCATCAACGTGTTGGTCCACTGTATCCAAATATAGACGAAAAGCTTTTCCTTGATCTCAGGAACAATTCTGCAAAATTTGATTAAAATTTTGGTAAAAAATGTTACCAAAATTTGGTAAAAATCAGTGCGTTTGAAGGGGGTAGTCCACCATCTTCGTTCAAAATGGCGTCCAACTGTATCCAAACAAACAAAAACCTGTTCCTTCATCTCAGCAACCATCGTGCAACATTTGGCTGTGATAAGAGATGACAAAATGCATAGGAAACAGACAAACCACTTTCCAAAATATATAGTAATGTAGTAGAAATATATTAGCAGAATCCTCTGCTTTTTAGTCAGCGATAGCAGCCGCATCTAAACTACCTGAGATGCAATATTGTGACTAGTCTGTCTGGACGTCTGGTTTTTGGTAAGGAAATTGTTTGAGGTTAATGTTTCTCGACCTGTTGGGAAATCCAGCATTTTTGTAAAGCTAATGTGGTTTTTGTTCTTGTAGATTTGCATTCTTGTTTTCCTGAGCAAACCTCTTGTTTGTTAGTTATCTGTTTTGCTGTGGATTATTCCAAAACTCTAGCTTTTCAGAACGCCACTGGTGTTATAACTTTTTAAAACTGGTTTTTAATTTCAAGTAACAAAACGTACCAATACCTGATGGGACCCACTGCAGCCGCAAGAAGGCCCACTAGGGCCTGCCGCAGGCTGCAGAATATTGAGGGGGCCCAGCACCCTCCTTGAAAATGGGGGGGGGTGGCCCCTTGGCACCCGCAAATGGTACTCCTGAATAGGGCTAATTTTGGGTCTGGTCGTAACGATTGTCCCATCATTTGATTAATGAGCCTGATTTGGCTGCTGCGCAAAAGGAGGAGTGTTGAGTTATTGGGACTAAAGTGGAATCAAAAGATAAATGTTTCAATCAAATCTGATTATAGAAAGAGGTTAGCAATGTCTTCTTGTCTATTTTCCAATAAGAGAGTGAACACATGAAGTCTCGGCCCCTATTAGCCTCCATTTTTAACCATGTGACCTGGTCTGAGCCTTGTAAAATCAAAAAGATATTGTATAAGTGAGCGGAGTCTTTATATCATCCGTTCTTGATCCTATAAAAGTAGCCATGGTCTCTTGTTAATTTTATTAACATGAAAATTAGGTATGTTTATTGGTAAGACTCAGAATAAGTAAAAGGAAAGCACGGTAACAGCATCATTTTTGTTATAGAAACTCTGCCCGCAACCATGACAATGTTAGCTTTGACCTATTTTTGAGCTTAGTTCTTAGACCTTTTGCAAGGGAGTCAATTTCAGTTGTTCTAGTTTAGATAGATTCTTAGGTATATTACAGAGTTTCAGGACAGTTGTTTTGTGCCAATGCAGTTGTAGGTCTGGCAGGGTGTGTATACACACCAGCTCAGATTAGGTGAATTTAACTGTTAACCCATATATCGTGCCATATATAGCAAGCTGGTGCATAACAGCAGGTAATGAAGTTTCAGGATCAGAAAGGAATAGCGCAGCATCGTCTGCAAAATATTGATAAGATGGGTTTTTCCAAATAATTCAAAACCTTTTATCATCATCTGCTTTCAGTGCCAAAGCTCCATGGCCAGGTACCATGGCCAGGGCAAAAAGCAGAGACCATGGGTAGCTCTGCTACGTGCCCCAGCGAATGGGAAATGTCAAAACCTGGACCTGTGACCCATAGTATAAATTATAAAGCATATCCACACAGGATGCACTAATACCAAAGTGTTGTTATAACTTTTAGGACTATAGAGCTAAGTCAGCCAACTCCGGTGTATTTATTCATTTACTTATTTATTTTTCAAACTTTTATAAGAAAGCATCACATTACAATGCACATTTTAATTGGGATGGGAAACCAAACCGGACTTACTTTTGCATAATAGCAGCTGCTGATTTGTTGGTTTTGGTGCTACCTTTTAACTATTTTATTGATTATTGCCATTTTGTTTTATGAGTTATTGTAAATCACTCTGGAAGTTTTTAACTGGAGGGCAGTGTAGAAAGGTTTAAAATAAATCAATACAACTTAATTTTATTTATTTATGGTGATTGCATTCAATTTTTCTGATGCATATGAGGCCCTCAGAGTAGCTTATAACCAGGGCTTTTCTTCTGCTGGAACTCACCGGAGCTCAGCTCCAGCACCTCTCAGGTGGACACCATTGCCATTCTAAGAGAGAAGTTCATGGTGAGCTCTGGCACCTCTTTTTCTTGAAAAGTAACACTGCTTATAGTGTATGCAAGTAATGCCATCGGCATCAGAATGAAAAATATTTCTATTTACATAAAAATGCAAGACTGTTGTCACGCTGTAGTTTGCATGGCTGCCAACAGATGGCCACATCAACTCCAGTTGAAGCGAGCATGGCGGCCAGGAAAGCTATTTAGTGGGGATGGCGAGCAGAGTCAGGGGTAGACTTTGGTAATCTTTCATAATACGACGCCCTGTGTGAGGCCAAAATTTGGCTCCCCCAAACCGATCTTCTCAATTTTGCGCCCTCTTGGGGAACCACCTGCCCTGCCCTAAATGCAGAGCTGGCAGAGTCTACCAGCCTCTACCAGTTCAAGAGCAATAATCCAGTACAGTAGTTAGTTGATTAATAAACACAGTACCGGGATCAGCTGTTTAATCTACTAGTTAAAATTCGGATTGCATTTTTATCTATTATCTAACAGCAGAATTCTGCGCAACTTTATGCAGAAGTAAATCCCAGTTTATTGAATGATGATTCCTCCCAGGGATGCTCACTAACCCAGGAGTAAATCCCATGTGAGTAGACATTCCTAGGGTTGGATTACGCTGCACAAGGCTCTCCAAATTACACCTTGGTTGCAAAAACAACAACAACCCTGATAATTTCTGTGGCTTCACTGAAACATGCAAAAGACATTTAGGCTAAGCTGGGGGAAAGGGCAATGAATAAAATGAGTCATCTTCTAGAAGGAGGTTTGAGTGTCTCTGCAAAGATAAAATGTGTTAGATTGCAGGAAAAAAATAGCTGCAGAGTTAAATGTTTCCTCTCCTCCACAACCCAGGTGGTTGTTGAAGACTGGTAACATTTTAATCAGGCTTGAAGTAAATTTAATTAAAACGCTGAAGATAAAAATTCAATTACAAGGAGAAGTGAATTGCCCAGTTTGTCCTTAAGCATATAAATATTTCCTCTGTGCTTTTACTGAAACAATCCTATGCATTTTACTTAGCAAAAAGACTACATAACATATCCCAACATGTTTAAAGCACAAAGAATCTTGGAAACTGTAGTTTACTTCTCACAGAGCTATGATTCCCAGCACTGTTAACAAGCTACAGTTCTCAGGATTGTTAATTTTTTAAGCCATGTGTTTTAAATGGATGGTGTGTACACAGCCAGTGTGTCCTCATATCGCTGTGCAGCCTTGCAGTGTTCTACTTTTAGCGCCACCTAGTAGTGCCCCATTCTACATCTTCTTAGCTGCCTTCTGCCCTGCCAACTGCAAAGGTGGATCTACACACAGGAAAAAACACACTATAAATAAGTCAGAAATTAGGTCGTTATAACAAAAAAATTTAAACCCCTTTGGAAAAATGCGTAGAAGAACTTAACTGCTTTCTAGCGTCATTGGTATTGCATGTTTATAGCGCATTCAAATTGTCATTTCTTTCCTAATGTGGCTGAGTCTCAATAGTCACCAGCCACCACCACTGCCTTTATTACAGTGATGTGTTTTGGTGTAATGGGAAGCTGTTCCTAAGATTACGAGTGATCAAGGCAGGCACTGCTAACAAAACGTGGACGCAGATTTTATTTTAATCCCTGGTCTATTGGGGCCATTGCTAATTGTTTGCTATTTGTATGGATTTCCATGAATTTTTCATTAAACTCAGTAATTTTGGAGGGTTGTTAAATGCATTGCTAATTGTTTGCTATTTGCATGGATGGGCGTGTTGTTTTCACTAGTTTAACGTGTTTGTTTTGCTTTTGCTTTTTTAATGGGATATAAGCTTGTTATATATGGTTCATGGGGCCGAGCATTTAAGAAAGGCGGACTCAGCCTAGTTCTGCAACCATGCACCCATGTGCACCTGACTGGGTCTTTTAATAAACTGTGGCACAAAGGCAGGAGTTGCAGGTGGTGCTGAAAACAGCTGTCCAGCTGTGGAAGATGGCAGTCTCCAAAGACTAACCAGCCTTCCTGTTTGTCTTGTGGTGGCAATTAAGCAGGCGGCCTTCAAAAACATTTTACTTTGTCCCGTTCGCCTATTAGGTGTTGAAAAGGCAAGGAATGGATGATGCACAATGAGCTTTTTAAGTTGCCTAATTGGCCATAATTGTCACAGAGCTTTTTCTAAAAAAAAAAAAAAAAAAGCGGCAGCCTTTGGGATGTTGGGCAGATTCCTATAAGGTCAGGAAGTATATTATACTGACTTCCTTCGTCCATTTAGCTTGGTATCATCTCTGTCCCATCCTTCACCAGCCTGGTGCCCTTAGTATGCTTTGGGCTATAGTTCTGCTGCCAGGATTTCCCCAACCCTACCAGGAGATGCCATTGGTGACTGAACCAGGGATCTTTTGCATATAAGCCAGAGGCTCTACCAGTCAGCTGTGAAACTCTCTCTTAAAAGTAAAGCGAATATTCTAGTCCTCATGGTTTATTTTATGTACTGTAATTAATGAGAAGAGTCTCATGCTTGACCGACTAAAATGTTACTCAAATAAAATGTGGGGTGTGATAGCAGAAGGTGCCTCATTTGTGGCTGCCAAGTGAGGTTGCCAACTGAGCGGGGGGGAGGAGCTGGGTCTGTTCTTATGCCTTTATGGGCAGCGTGAGATGCAGAAATCACTGTGTGTGTGTGTGTGTGTGTGTGTGTGGAGAGATAGCAGGGGCATCATAATCAAATTATTATTTGAGGTGCCAAAGCTACAACGGGCAGCTGAATAGTTAGCAACCACACATTTAACAATTAGCGCACAGCAACTTCCTGGTCAGACGTTAAAAAATAATTGAACCGAGACACTTCTTCAAATAAGCAGAAGTTGTCTTCCGGTAAAAAGTGACTTACAGAAATATCTCCTCATATAGCAAGGCAGGGTTGAAGGATTAAACCACCACCACCACAACCACCACCTCAGAGAAGCTCTGTAGAGAGGTTTGTGATGGCTAATAATTATTCCCTTATTAAAGGCATTTTCTGCTTGTCTGCAGCTTCCAAAGATTGAAGAGAATATGGAGTAGTAAAGCAGATTGCAAGTGCAATCTTAAAAACATCTTGGGCCAATAAAACCATGAAAAGGGGATTGTAGGAAGGGCACAGAGAACCCTGAAGGAAAGCCTGTTGTCTTGAACATAATTACAAATTATTTTTTACAGTCCAATGTGTTCTTCATGGATACATATGTAGTGATTTGTTAGATTTTTGTACAGTGGTTTTCAAATGTCCTGGAAGTTGAACGTTTCTGTTTTTGAATGCCGAAAACCCGGAAATAAATGCTTCAGTTTTCGAACAAGCCTCAGAAGTTGAACATGCTACACGACTTCGAGATCTGGAGGTGTAGGTGTCGCCTATTGAGGTTTCGGTTTTTGAACATTTCAGAACAGATTACGTTCAAAAACCAAGGTACCACTGTACATTGTTGATCGAATTAGAGCCAAAAGCTTATGTTGGTCTAATCAGTGGATGCATCAGCTATAGCTGTAGATTAGCATGGCATCTGCCAATGTAGTGCGCACCAGGTGCATGGAACTTCCATCAGCCTCACCAAGTCCAAAACACCTGGAGAGGCAGCAAAAGTTGGACTGGTTGGCAAAGAGCTAATTGCACAGAGTTTCACTTGAAATAAAAATAAAAATGGAGGTTATTTTCGTTCAGACATATGTAATGCCACCCCAACTGAAAGAGAAACCTGCTAGCAGAAATGGTATTTTCTCCTGACAAGGAATAGAATCTTTCATTTCTTAAACACTGCCTTACACCTTTTTTCAGTTCTGCATTCTTACAGTGAGGTCATTTTCAGTGTGGGAATCTTCTATGCCATACTAAGGAGAGTGGGGAGGTATCAGTAGAATACCTTCCAAGTGTCCCTATTTTACAGAGACAGTCCTGGAACTACAAAAGCCATCCCAGCTTCTGATTTGATCCCAAATGCTGGGGGGGGGGGGGTTTGACCAAAAATGGGGGGTAGAGAAGGGGAGTGAGAAGTGTCCCCATTTTCATCTGAGAAATGTTGAAGGGTGTGCAGCAGTGTGGGTGGGGCCCCAAGGGCCTCAAAATGAATAGCTTATCACTTTAAGAAACTGCTGCGGAACTGGGGCAGGGGACAAGATTTGTGGAAGTACCAAAAATAGTGGGGGGGGGTGACCCAAAAGGTGGGAGGGGAGAGGTCCCCAAACAGGTCCGTTGAGACTGAGCATGCTCCGTGGGCATGGAATGCTGAAAACTCTTTGTGTGGAGGGCAGGGGTCACCAATTTTTCTGGCCTAGTGGGCATATTTTGAATTTTGTGAGAGTTCTAGGAGTGCCTGTCACAAAATGGCTGCCATGGAGGAGGTGGTTAGTAAATGGCAGGTAATGATGATGATGATGATGATGATGATAATAATAATAATAATAATAATAATAATAATAAGAACACAACAGAGAAAATTATGCACATTTTGAGATTTCGACAAGGACTAGAACCGCCAGACACTTTCAAATATGATTTGGCAATCCTGTATGACATACAGTGAAACCACCATTATTAGGACAACCTTCGTGAGAAGCCTAGCAAATCTGGAACTAAATACTTGGTGATTTGTTAAAGGTGATCGTCTTGACTTCAATTTTAACACGTCTGCAACCACTGATTCTACATGCCTGTTTTCATAGTTTGGCTTTTCACCTTTTATTTTCCATCTGTTATAATTGTTCACTCTGTTTTATATATAATGACATTAAAAAAAAAAATACTAAAATAATAATAATAATAATGGCGGTCATGGGAAGCATGGCATAACAAAAAATTAGAGATACCTGAGGGTATGTTCTACTGCTCATGATTATGGATCTTTTTTGTTTTCCAGTTAAATCTGAGGGTCCGGGACACCTTGTGGGCCCCATGGTGGTAATAGGCACTGGACTGGCAATCCTTCGTATAGGGGGATGGAATGGAGTATTCTGAAAAAGGGGGTGTTGTCCGGCTGGCACCATCAACAAGAGGACTCCACATTATAATATTTTGTTAAAGGCCCTACTAGATATATCTAAAAGGCCACTGATGCTCAGTGTGCTGCATTGAACATGTTTAACAGCTAAAATTGTGCATAAAGTGTTTTTTTTTAAATAAATATTGGGAGAGATAAATCAGATGTTTAAATCGACTCTTCAGAAATCCTGAATCACTCGGAACTCTGGATAAAACAGCAGCAATAATATGGAAGAATGTTTTTAAGTGAAAGACTTTTTTAAGTGTAATACGTAATGGTTTTCCTAATGTTTTAACCGCTTTAGGACTTTGCTTCCGTTTTCAGACGTTGCATCTCTTTGCCGCTCTGCGCTCCTTGAGGAGGGAAGGCAGGGTGCAAATTCAAGAAGCGATGGCAATGCCGCAAGGCGTCCTGTGTGGGGCTGCCCTTGGAGGCTGTTCGGGCCGGGGTGGTTGCCTGGGCTTGAGGGCTGATGGGAGTTGTAGTCCAGAACCATCTGGAAGGTAGCCGGTTGAGGAAGGCTGACCGTGTTGCTTTTGTGCGTGTTGCCTGCGAGAAAAAGTTGTCGGCAAACGCTTCCTGTTGCCGCAGAGACTTTGCAAACGGTCCCTTGGAAAGCGCCAAGCCCAGCCTTCGGGAAGGAGGGGGGTGCCGAAGACTTCCTAGGCCGGCGTTCTCCAGATTCTCCCTGGCAAGGTTTATTTTATTTTATTTCTTTCAGTTCAGTTCAGTTCATTTTTATTTATATTTTCGGTCGGCGCCGGTCAAGAGATCCGCTTGCTTTCCTGCCGGGGAAGGGATCATGGATGCTATCCTCAGGTCAGTAGAAGGGGTGGTGGGCGCATCATGAATAAAGATTTGACACTGTATGTCAGCCTCTGCCCTCCCAGGAATCCAGAGTCTTCTCCAGCAGCTGGTCCTACTCGGAGTAGACCCATTGAAGTTAATGGGCTCGGCTCGTTTACGCTCATGAATTTCCATACTCTGAGATGGATCGTAGCAGGCGGCAACGCTTGGTTTATTCTGGGTTGTATCCAGCCCTTACTCAGAGTAGACCCTTTGAGATTAATGGGCAAGGCTAGCCCAGGCGCAATACTTTTGAATGGGTGTACTCATGAGTAAAACCTAGCAGGGATGCAACCCTCTGACTTTTATCCTGACTTTGAATTCCACCCCATTCCAGTCCTCCCAATTTAGGAGCACATGATGCTTGTTTTTCTCTGCGATGCTCTTTATTTTCCTTTTTTGAAGGGGGGGGGGCTTTTCTGGGCAGAATTTCAGCCCTTGGGAATTGTGTGTCCTGTTACCCAGAGGGGTAAATGTAAAATGGAGGTGAATGGAAATCTAGATTAGTTTCTAACGGTTGCTATGTGCACATATAGGACCTTGAGCTCAGTGCCTCTGAGCATGTTCAGAGTGCCCTTAGAACACTGTCTTCTACCAACTCAAACTGTTTATTCAGCCTGGTGTTCCGGTAGAGGACTTTCCCAGCAGATGCTGCCTGATTTATTTTATTTTATTTTAAATAATCTTTATTAATTTAAATTACATACATATACAAAGAATTTACAATCTCATACTACAAAAAAATTAAAGAAAAAACAATTAAGAAAAGAAGAAAGAAGAAAAAGCAGATTTATGTGCATAAAAAACCTTAATCTTCCTAATTAATACTGAAATGAACACTTAAATAAAAAAGACTTCTGACAAAACGAGTCTTCCAGTAATTCTCATTGTACTGTTTATACTGTCGTTGCTTTTTTCACACAGTTTTATATTGCTGCCTGATTTATTTTAACTGGAGATGCTGGGGGACCTTCTGTTTCTGTGAGCCATTAAACATTTCAGATTTGGCCATGAGAGATGCAAGGGCTCTGTGTCAGAACATTGTGAGTTATAGGTACCTTTATTATCCATGAAAAACTTTCAAGAAAAACAAATTAAAATAATGATAATAACATTTGCCTGCATCTCAGCATCCTGACCTAAGGTGGGTCCCCTCAGCAGGCACACTTATATTATCGGATTAAAAAGTGAGTCCCCAAAATCATGTTTGGCTAAAGATTTAGCTTTGATCTGAAAAGCTGGAGGACTGTTGCAAAGTACCGGTATATAAAATGTTAAAATTGGGGCTTAGAGGTCTGAAATAAAGGATGTCAGTTTTGCAGTTGGGGTGGTAGATATTGTTGCTTTAGTGTTATGGGGAGAGGGGAGGAGTGGTCTTACTGCTGGGGTGTGTATGTCTTTGTATGGAGCAGACTTGATATTTTTTTAAGGATGCTGAGCTCTCTGAAGCTCAAGAGCTATGGGGTTGTTAATCTTCATTGTGGGGCCAACTGTTTGCTTCTTTCTCCTCAACCTTTTGAAGTATGATATGTTCTGAAAATAGTTTTACTCTGATTTTTACGGGGGCGGGGAAGCAGAAGTATTATATGCCATGCTATTCAGTTTTAACCCAGACAAGAAATAAATAACACCACGGGTCGGGTCCGTACTGGTTTGTTTATCTCAGCCTTGAAGCTAATCCCTATTTTGGTGCAAGATCTGGTATTCTGCGAATCTTCTCATTTCTTTATTTTAAAGGGGCATGCATTTATAAGACTTTAGTCCTCGTTGCTATAGAGAGAAGCTTGACAGACCTAATCCGCACTCCTGTGCAAGATTCAGTATTCTGAGAATTTCAGTACCGTGGTACCTTGGGGTACAGATGCTTCAGGTTACAGACTCCTCTAACCCAGAAATAGTACCTCAGGTTAAGAACTTTGCTTCAGGATGAGAACAGAAATCGCTCAGTGGTGGGAGGCCCCATTAGCTAAAGTGGGAGCTCAGGTTAAGAACAGTTTCAGGTTAAGAACAGACCTCCAGAATGAATTAAGTTCCTAACCCGAGGTACCACTGTATGTATTTATTTATAAGAGGGCTTACATTTCTAACGTTCAAGTCCTCATTGTTACAGGGGGTGGGGAAAGCTTGTGAAACATGGGCAGTGTTTGGCTGTTGGAAAATGTTTCATTTTCCTTTGAATTATGTATCACTATATACAAACATGCATTATATTGGTCTCCTCCCAGCTTTATTAAGTCATCCTCTTCCTGTTATGCTCTGAAAATACCCCTGGCAAATAAATGCCTCATCTTTGCAGATGTCTCCCCCCCCCCACCCCCCCAGTGTGGCCTGTAGAGGTTTTTGTTTCATGTGTTGTTGTTTTCTATCCTAAGTGCAAGTTTGCCTGGCATTGTAAGTGCTTGGCAAGTCAGATTTGTAATAACAAAGCACTTAGTGTAGGGCTACTGCGTTATCAAGGGGAATGATAATTTGCTCTCTTAGCTAGCAGAGTAATATTTCTGCCTCTGTGACCTGTAGATGGACAGGGCTGGCTGGTAAGCTAGCTTTGCTCCTGGGGTCTGTTGTGTGTATGTGTGTGGGGGGGAGGTAAGCTGGATTCACCCCCTCTGAAGGTCGAAGAGAAAAATGCAGGAATGTGGCATAAGATTCCAGAAATGGAATGGGAGGTCAGCAGCCATGGACTCATGATGTCACAGCTACGACGTCACCAGCACTGGCCTTTAGCTCCATGCGCTGCCAGAACAAAACATATCTCCCTGCGGGGGGGGGGGGGGCAGGACAAGGAAAGTATTTGCTTGCTGTGTCAAGAACTCCTGTTTCTCAGCAACTGTTGTTGGCAATCTTGCCTGTGCTGGGAAACGGGAACTGAACTGAGAACAGGCACTGTCTGGACTGATTTTATTGATGGCTGTGGACTCTGCTTGGAAACGATCTGGTCTGTTTTTTTACTTAAAAAATCTCAAGTGACCCGAAACAGCATTACATTCTGCTTGTTACTCAGTGTTCGGCACAAAAGCTACTGTCAGGAGGGAACATCTGAGTCTACACTAGTCTGTCCCACCGCCCCCCCCCCCCCATCATTTGGACGGCATGCTCCAAAGCAGAGCTATTTTCAATTTTCATTGTGCAGTGTCTTTTCAGTTTCATTGGCTGCCTTTGGATGTTTTGTCGGCATTGGAAAGGCGAGCTGTAACATTTTTAAGATAAATAATATTCTGAGTTAGGAACATAGGAAGCTGCCTTACCATTGTTCCACCTACGTCTAGTGTTGTTCCACCTGAGTTCAGTGATGGACATGTTTGGGGAGCATGTGGGAAGTCCTAAATTCAGTCCTTATCAAAGGGGTGAGGAACCAGTGGTCCTCTAGCTGTTTTCAGTTTGCTCTAACCATCTCTAACCATTGGCTGGTGGGAGCTGGAAGCCCAACTACGCCTAGAGGGCCACAGGTTCCCCATCCTGGAACTAGACTGCCACTTTCCTTTACTGAAAATGTGATAGAAAATGTGGAAAATAAAATCATTGTTTTGTTGACAGGTGACAGGGAAAAAATCCTCTCTGTCTGAGATTCTGGAAATTTGCTGCCAGTCAGAACAGGCAAATCCAGGGTAGATAGATCAGTGGTCATGCTTAGTTGGCATCCACATTTAAAAACACATTTAATGCACATTGAAAGCACATGGCATCCCTCAAAATAATCCTGGGAACTGTAGTTTGCTAAGGGTGCTGGGAATTGTAGTTCCATAGAAGTAAGCTACTGTTCCCAAGAACGGTTCCCCCAAAGAATCCTGGCCACCTTTGTTTGTTAAAGGCTCTCAGAATTGTAGCTTCGTGTGTGGGGGGGGGGGTAAAGTAGTTTCCAAAGAATCCTGGGAACCACAACTAAAAGGGCTGGGAATTGCAGCTCTGTGTGGGAGTAAACGACAGTTCCCAGGATTCTTCTTTGTTGGGGGAGTATCATGTGCCTTAAATGTGTCATTTCAGGTGATGTGATGTGAGCAGGAACTGCTAACTCTCACCCCACCTCTCACCCTGCACTAATGTATTTCAAATACAGCTGGAGTCTCCTGGGGCGGCATCAAATGTGTGTTTGTCCCGTCCCCGTCCCCCCCCGGCCGCTCACCCCCGCCAAGTCATCCCTGGCTCAGCTTATGCGTCTGTAACTCAAAACAAGCAACAGTCATAAATGCTTCTGGCATGCCAAAGCTCATCTTGTAAACATGTCTGGGGCAGGGAGAGTGTCAGTGTCAGTGAAGCCTCTTCTCTATTTCCTCTACTGAGCCCCCACCCCACCCCGCCCCAGCACTCAGCACCCCCACCCCCCATGCTTATATTTCCTTCCCTTCCTAGGAAGTTGAATGTGTGGTTTGTGGTGGCTGCATCTTGGCCAAAAGGACTCAACAGATAATACTTTTTTATTTTTTTTAAAAAAGCAAGAACCACAGCCTGCATTTCTGGGAATTTTTGCACCCAGCTTAGCAACAGATGAGGAAATGGCACATACGCTCTGAGGGGCTGGCATGCAAAAGTGGTGAAGACTGACAAATGGCACCCGAGGGTCCTGCAAGCTGCATTATTTCGGGCGGGGTGGGATGTTGCTTCACACACACACATCCCACTCTTTCCCAGAAGGTTCTGGTGCCTCCTAGTCCTTTATCAGGTGTATTGTGGTTAGAAAGTCAGCACCTGGCACCGTCAGGATTTACATGGAGATGCTGTACTGGGAAGAAACCTCACCTGCTGAATCTCTGCCACTTGTGTAGCTCTCTTGGGAAAGGGTGCAAGATGGCTAATCTTTTTGAGACATGGTACCTTTATTATTACCTTTCAGAATTAAGCATTGGAAACTTGCAGAGAGGCGTAACTATTATTGCATCCATCCCATCCCATTCCAACTGATAGGGAGACCTCCTTCCAATAATTATGGTGGGGTGGAGGTGGAAGTTTGAATTTGGGTGTGCTAGGCAACCAGTGACTTCCCTTTACTACTCATGGGTCCAGAAAAAATAGGACATCTCTCGACAACTGCCACGATCCTGGTGATATTTTTATTAGCATTAATTTCCGGCTAATGATCAGGTGGCGAAACCAGCCTCCCAAACTTCTTGGTATTATTTTGCACTCTCTTTTTGTGGTTAAGTTTCTAGTCCTTAGGATTGTGTTCCTTCTCATAAGGACAGCAAACTTGCTTTTCAGGAAAGACGAAAAGATGATCCAGGTGCTAAATTCTTTGTTTATAAACCCCTAGCTAGTTTCAGCCTGTTTGGGGGCAAAACTGAAAACCATCGCATTTCTATCTGTCTTGAGACCTTACAGATACATAAGTTTAACTTGTCCTCTCTGCTTCTCCTTGGTGGCAGGTTGTAGCTGAGACCGGAGCAGGATGCCCCCTGGGATTGCTTGCCCCGTAGAATTTTGGTCCAAAGAAGCGAACCAGAACATTCAAGTCGACTTCCTCTTACCCACTGGCATTTACTTGACCCTCTCCATTTCCTGCAATGCAAGTCTTAACACCATCAAACAGGTACTCAGCTCTTTCTCTTTTTATCTTTCTCCATCACAACGGAGTTGCCAAACTCATTCCACATGTTTTCTGTAAGCAAGAGATTGTGCAAGGTCCCGAGGTTCTCTGATGCATCCCAAGCCAGGGCTGGAAAAATTCCATGAAGCTAAAATGTTGTTAGTGAAAAGAACTAACAACATATTCACCCAAGGGCCAAATGTGGCCCTCCAAGCTTCTCCGTTTGGCCCCCTGGACTCTCTCCCAAGACACACCTCTCAACAGCCCTGCCCTGCTCCCTCCTCACCTAGTCAGATGGGCAGGGTACTACTGCTGCTGCTGCTACTAGTACTACTTCAATTATTATTATTATTATTATTATTATTATTATTATTATGCCCAGCTAGGTTAGGTCATTGAACTCTGAGCATGCCTCTTGCTTGCTTTCGTGGACGGAGGATAGAGACAGATCTCTCTCTGTGTGTAGTCTACTATACAGAGATGAAATTTGCATTCATTGCCCTACCTACTTTCCCCTCTGACCCCTCCCACTATCGGAATGCGGCCCCTGGAAAGCTGCCCAGAAGGGAATGCAGTGCTCTTATTTGAGAATGGTTCCCTGTCCACCTTCTGGCCCTTGCAGAGAACTGTATGCACCTTTCAGACCCTCCCAGCAGCCAGCATCAAAGGCAGAAATCCTTGTATTTCCCTGGCCTTGGAGCTTAGCAGCCGGCCGTTTTGTTACAGGAGCTGAAGTGCAACCTGGGCAAAGCAGAAAGTCACTCTCTGTTTATCAAATAAAGGAAGTGGCAGTTGACCTGTTCGAGGTGAGATTGCACTTCCCCTTCTTAAAAGATCCAAGATTGCATCTTGGCAGGTGCATCTAAGACCTCATCTATTCCAGGAAATGCCCACATTTAGTTTTACTTACCTACCTGTTTCTCTGTCATTAAAAAACAATCCAAGCAGTTTATTTGATTTCCTCACCCCCAGGACTTTTACGTCAAAAACTTGCTGTGATACCTCAGTTAGTGCATTTGAATTAGTTTACAGGACAGGGCAAAATTTTCAGGAGTATGATCCTGATTTTGGGTACCAGTGGCCTGGCTAGCTATGGCGAGGCACCAGGATTCATGGGGTGGGAGCACCATTGAGCATTGTTATCATGAAATGTGTCATGTTGCCATGGTGAAAAATTGCCACAAAACTGCAACTTACTCAGGGGACAAATTAAAGCAACTTGGTGGCGATTTGGCTTAACTTTACCATATTCCAAGGACACGTTCCAGGCAGGCAAGATGCTCAGAGTGCAATAAAGAAGGACCAGGGAAGGTCTGGCCTCAGGAGAGGTGGTGTGGTTTGGAGAGAGTTCTGAGGGCCAGATAAGAGAGGCTTTGAGGGCCTGCTCCCCACCCCCTGGCCTGAAGTTCCCCCGACATTATTGGTTAAGCTAACAAAATTAAAACCACAGCAAAGGTCCACTGTCACATGACGCAAAGCTCTGGAAGTCATAAGGCTTCCTATGTTTATACATCTGTTGTTTTCAGAAGCGCCTGCAAACAAAACAACATAGGCAGTTCTTTCCCAGAATCTGGGCATTGTCCAAAGGTATGTTTCGTGAACAATGTTCTGTGCAGGAGAAAGAACACTTGGCATTGTTTGAATGGAGAGGAATTCTTTCTTTCCTCGTGCCACCGGTTTTACGCAATTTTGTTGTTTAGTCGTGTCCGACTCTTCGTGACCCCATGGACCAGAGCACGCCAGGCACTCCTGTCTTCCACTGCTTCCCGCAGCTTGGTCAAACTCATGTTCGTAGCTTCGAGAACACGGTCCAACCATCTCGTCCTCTGTCGTCCCCTTCTCCTTATGCCCTCAATCTTTCCCAACATCAGGGTCTTTTCCAGGAAGTCTTGTTTTCTCATGAGGTGGCCAAAGTATTGGAGCCTCAGCTTCACGATCTGTCCTTCCAGTGAGCACTCAGGGCTGATTTCCTTCAGAATGGATAGATTTGATCTTCTTGCAGTCCATGGGACTCTGAAGAGTCTCCTCCAGCACCATAATTCAAAAGTATCAATTCTTCGGTGATCAGCCTTCTTTATGGTCCAGCTCTCACTTCCATACATCACTACTGGGAAAACCATAGCTTTAACTATATGGACCTTTGTCAGCAAGGTGATGTCTCTGCTTTTTAAGATGCTGTCTAGGTTTGTCATCGCTTTTCTCCCAAGAAGCAGGCATCTTTTAATTTTGTGACTGCTGTCACCATCTGCAGTGATCATGGAGCCCAAGAATGTAAAATCTCTCACTGCCTCCATTTCTTCCCCTTCTATTTGCCAGGAGGTGATGGGACCAGTGGCCATGATCTTAGTTTTTTTGATATTGAGCTTCAGACCATATTTTGCGCTCTCCTCTTTCACCCTCATTAAAAGGTTCTTTAATTCCTCCTCACTTTCTGCCATCAAGGTTGTTTCCTCTGCATTTCTGACCCAACCACACACAATCAAAGCAGATTACAGGAATGATATAAGGCACGCCAGAGAAATGGAAAGCAATGCATTTATTTTGCAACAGTGAAAATGCTAGGATGTTTTAAACATTGCTGTGTGCGTGCATGTAGAGTAATGGGATGGAGCAGTCTGGATGAGTATGTAGTACGTAAAAGGCCCCAGGTTAAATTCACCAGCATCTCTAAGTGGGGCTGGGAAGGTCCTTGTGCCTGAAATCCTGGAGAACTGCTGCCACCCAGTGTGGGTAATATTGAGCTCAAGGGACCAGTTGTCTAACTCAGTATAAGACAGCTTTCTATGTCTTAAGGGAAAAGTTTCAGCTCAGTGTCAGTGCATCTACTTTGCACATAGAAGGTTCAATCCCTGGCATCTGGGAGTGTCTCCTTCCTGAAACCCCAGAGAGCAGCCAGTGTAGACGGTAGTGAACTAGACGGATAAATGGTCCTACTTGGTATAATGTACAATATGTGTCGTCATGTTCCTTATGTAACAAACACAACCAGGAATAAGACCCACAGAAATATAAATTATATAAAAATATCAATATATTTATAATGTATATAATGTATAGTGATAGATATAGATAGATAGATAGATGAATGAGCTGGTAGAGCATGAGACTCTTAATCACAGGGTTGTGGGTTTGAACCCCATGCTGGGCAAAAGATTCTTGCATGGCAGGGGGTTGCACTAGATGACCCTTGGGGATCCCTTCCAACCTTACAATCCTATGATTCTGTGATCTGTAATGTACTTCAGAATACGAACAGCGTATAAGTAGTTCTTCTGTAGTATAATTCTTCATTGCCTTATTTTTATGGGGTTTTTTTGAAGCACGTTTCAAGTATGTTTCTATCTGTGGGTCTTAACTGTTGGCTCAATATAAGGCAACTTCGTATATCATAAGGGAAAGTCTCAGCGGTAAAACACTTGCTTTAAACACAGAGGATTCCTAGTTCATCATTTAAGTGTTTCCCATCCCTTTCCCCAGAATTCACCCTGTGAACAAACTTGAACTCGGCTAGCTGCCTTGAATGGACTCCCGTCTTAGGGAAGGCACCTGTTCAGATGTTGATGGGGCAACTCAAACGAGGGCCTCATCTGCACTATGCATTTGAAGCAGCATCATACCACTCCAAACAGCCATGGCTTCCTCCACAAAGAATCCTGGGAACTGTAGTTTGTTAAGGGTGCTGAGATTTGTTAGGAGGTCCCATTCCCCTCATAGAACTACAGTTCCCAGAGTTCCCTGGGAAAGGGGTATAGGTTGTTAAGCCACTCTGAGGGGAATAGGAGGGTCTCTCTTGCCAACTCTCAACACCCTTAACAAGCTACAGCTCCCAGTATTCTTTGGAAAAGCCATGAGTGTTTAAAGTGGTGTCATAGTGCTTTAAATGTACAGTGCAGATGGGAGCAAGGGAGGGGGGAGGGAATAAGGTGTATACAGTGCTTTTTTTCTTAAAAATTTTAGGGGTACTCTCATTTTCCTACTCATATTGAAATACTGCCCCTCAATGAGGCCAAACTTAGATTCACAAAATGTTTAGGGGGCATGCGTACCCTGCGTCCCTCCTAGAAAAAGCACCGTAATGTCAAAAGAATACTAACTTCAGTGGACTTTGAATACCAAGGATCTGAGTACAAATTGCCAACTGCTTTACCATACAAATCGTACGGCTCAGATCCAAAGGTCTTTGCAATCCAAAAATGAAGAGCAAACAACGAAACACAGCATCTGATTTATACAGAGACGCACAAATACACTACAAACGTGACTAAGTTTTAAAAAAAATAAAAATAAAAATTTGATGACAGCTCTAATTAGGTTAGATTGTGGTCATGATAGAAAGAAGTGAGGCTGGAAGTGATTTGATCTATTTTAACGGCTGAGAACAGATTTCTTTTCACCCAGAGACTTGTTTAATTGTTCAGGCACATTAGTATTTTAAAAGCATTTCCTTCCTTAGAGGTGCAAAAAAATGCTCTATTTTTTGTGATTAGCATAAATATCAAACCTGCTGATTATTCGTTTTATGTGTGTGAACACCAGAGGCAGCCTAACAATTGCTATTTATTTATTTTTTAAAAAAAGAAAACAAAAAATGGAAATAAAGGGTTGGATCCAGTGCTTGTCCTATTCAGAGCAAGCCTGTTGAGATTAAGTTAGTCATGCTAACTCCTCTGAGTAGGACTAATGTTCAATACAACCCAGCGCAAAGAAACGGGAACTATTTCTTTTCTTTTAAAAAAAAGTTTGTAAAGCAGGAATAGAGTATCTGTTGCCCTCCAAATGTTGTTGGATTCCAACAACATGTGCTGACTGTGGCTGGTGGGGAGTTGCAACCCAAAACAACCCTTGAGGGCAGCTGGTTGGTGTGGGCTCTAGAGGGCCAGATATTCTGATCCCAGAATAAAGCATCTTCTCCTCCTCTCCCTGTGTTTCAGATGGTCTGGCACCATGCTCAGTTTGAGCCCCTCTTCCACATGCTCAGCGGCCCAGAGTCCTACGTCTTCACCTGTGTCAACCAGACAGCCGAGCAGCAGGAGTTGGAGGACGAGCAGCGGAGGCTCTGTGATGTCCAGCCCTTCCTGCCGGTCCTGCGGCTTGTGGCCCGTGAAGGCGACCGAGCTAAGAAGCTGATCAACTCTCAGATCAGCCTCCTCATCGGCAAAGGTGAGGCCCAACCTTGAAGGGTGGTAACTGGGGTTGGATTAACCCAGCCTTGCTCTGCCTGCTGCCTTCCAGGTGGTTTGGACAATGACTCCCATCAGCCCCTGGTGCCAGGGCCTTCAAATCCCATCAGCCCCTGGTGCCAGGGCATTCAAATCCCATCAGCCCCTGGTGTTTTGGATTCTCGTCAGCTGGATAGTAGTAATAATTATATTATTGTTGTTATATAGTGGTACCTCAGGTTACATACGCTTCAGGTTACATACGCTTCAGGTTACAGACTCCGCTAACCCAGAAATAGTGCTTCAGGTTAAGAACTTTGCTTCAGGATAAGAACAGAAATCGGGGGCAGGCGGCGCGGCAGCAGCAGGAGGCCCCATTAGCTAAAGTGGTGCTTCAGGTTAAGAACAGTTTCAGGTTAAGTACAGACCTCCGGAACGAATGAAGTACTTAACCTGAGGTACCACTGTACTTATATCCCACCTTTCATCTAAGGAACTCCAGTACAGTGGTGCCTCGGGTTAAGAATTTAATTCGTTCTGGGGGTCTGTTCTTAACCTGAAACGGTTCTTAACCTGAAGTACCATTTTAGCTAATGGGGCCTCCCGCTGCTGCCGCGCGATTTCTGTTCTCATCCTGAAGCAAAGTTCTTAACCCGAGGAACTATTTCTGGGTTAATGGAGTCTGTAGCCTAAAGCGTCTGTAACCCGAGGTATCACTGTATATAGTTTAATCTTCACAACAACCCTGTGAGGGAGTTCAGGCCAAGAGAAGGTGACCCCCCCAGTGAGCTGTATGACTGAGTGTTAGGAGACACTGATGTGAGAGCACTTTCAAAAGTTGCTCAATCCCATCTGTTGTTTTGGTTGCCCCTTTCTGAACCTTTTTTCCAATTCTATGATTTGTCTGAAAACAGGGGTTAGGGCAGTGGAAGCAGAACCCCTGTAAAGCTTAAAAACAACATATTAACTCATTCTGCATGCCTGCTTTGTAGTTTGTTTTCCTCTTTTATTTTTCATCTGTTGTTATAATTGGTCTTTGTTTTATATACATTATGAAATGAAATAAAAAATATTTACAAGAACAACAACTTAGAACTCTAAGAATTCCAATTCCAAAATCATTTCAGTTTATGACTCTTCTATGGGTGCTGGCCGTCCATTTTTAAGCACCCCCTCCCAATGCTTTCATAAGGACTGGAAACTTAAAGTTGAGAAATATTTAAAAGATGCCATTCTTATATTAGAGTGGTGGTGTTGCCTGGTTCTACATCACAGATGGCATCCCCCACACTCAAAAAACTATTATTATTGTTTTTATTTTTTTAAAAAAATCTTGGGATTTACTATTGTCAGGCCTGCACGAGTTTGACGCCTTGTCTGACCCGGAAGTGAATGACTTCCGCACCAAAATGCACCAGTTCTGTGAGGAGAGAGTGACCAGGCGGCAGCAGCTGAGCTGGAAAGCCTGGATGGAGTACAGCTTCCCGGTGCAACTGGAACCCTCGTCCAGCAGTCTCGGAAGAAAGAGCCCCCTCCAAGTCCCCAACAAGAACATCTTTGTCAATGTCAAATTTGAGTCTGGAGGGGTAAATCCACAAGCCTTTTCAATCTGAGCAACTTTTTTTTACTTTAAAAAAAATAAATACTCGTATGCATGCAGCTTTTGCAGTTTGCACGAGGACAGATCTCTGCCCTCAAAGAGCTTACAGTATAAGATTTGGCATAAGAGGAAACAGAGAGAGGGGGGAAGCAGGGCATAAACAGTGAGGAAAATGTGCTTCCTATGCCATAAGTGGTCAGGCACCTGCTTTTGCATGCAGAAGGTCCCAGGTTCAATCCCTAGCATCTCCAGGTTGGGCTGGGAGAGACTCCCTGTATGGAATCTATAGATTAGCATAGATAACACTGACCTAGATGGAATCTGTCTTGCATAATGGCATAAGTCAGTTTTATTATTATCATATTTATTTGTTAGTAACTTTACAAAGAAAGAAAAGCCTCTCAGAGCAACTTAGCATGATAAAATGCAACAGTAAATAACAATTAAAATCAGAAAATATAAAACAATGTATAAAATATAGGTAGATAGGGCTGTCTATAAGATAATCATAAGATTATTGTTTTCATTTTGTACTTATTTTTATTATGTGTTTAGTGTTTTTAATATTGTAATTTTATGTTGTGAACTGCCTTGAGATCTATGGATGAAGGGCAGTATACAAATTAATTAATATTACTACTAATATAGCCCTGGCATTTTACTGAAAACCATGAGGACTGGAGTCTTAATTTTTTTTTGCAGGGGAATAGGCCATAACTCCCTGGGAGAGCAGCTCCCTGTGTTTTGCTCATTATATTTCCTTCCCTGCAGGAAAGTTTCACCTTCCAGATCTCTCCCAAGGAATTCCCTGTGACACTGATGAGCTATGCTGTCAAGAAGCAAGCCACAATTTTTCGGCACCAAAGAATGAATAGCCCGGAGGAATACGCTCTGCAGGTTAACGGGAAATGTGAATATCTGTACGGGAACTACCCTCTGTACCAGTTCCAGGTGTGTGCTCCCCTCTCCTACCTTTTGTCTCATTGACTAGCTGGGAAAGGACAGAGAAGGCAAAGGATATTCGTTCCCTGAGTAGAATGGGCTTTTCGCTTTCTGGGAGGACCCTCTTTGGGAAGCCACTGGGCCAGACCAGTGGTCTATTTAGCTCTGTACTGTGTACAGAGACTCTGCATACTTTCCCAGCCCTATCTGGCAATGCCAGGGATCGAACCGAGGACATCTTGCACACAAGGCAGATGCTGTATCACTGAGCTACAACCCCTCCCTTAAGACCTAGGAACATAGGAAGCTGCCTTTTACTGACTCAGACCACTAGTCCATTGAGCTCAGTGCAGTTTACACAGACTGGCAGCAGCTCTCTAGGATTTAATATAGGAAACTTTCCCAGCCCCACTTGGCCTGCCTTTAAAAATATATATGTCCGGTTTATTTTATTTTTATAGCAAGGCAAGCCTCTGATTTATTCCTATATTCTATCTATTTTTAAAATTTATTTTGACATGTACATGCTGCTTTGCCCTTTGCACAGCTTAAAAATTGCATGCCAAAGTGATCACAAGGAGAACCATTTAGTTCACTGGGGGACACCAGGAAGGAGACCATAGAGAGGAGTGCAAGCTCTTTCTGTGCTATGGATACCAATGCACACGTACCCATCATTCTCCATCATTCTGTCATTTCAGGAGTGGGGTAGTGGATTGGAATTCAGCGTTTTTCTCATATGGGCTAGAAATGTGGTGGTTGTTTATATATATATATATATATATATATATTCTCAGGATTTTATACTTACTATATCTTTTCTTTGAGAACATACCGGCAATCTGGGCCTCCCACCCTGACTTGGCCCCCGTTCCCAATTCCTGTAGCCTTTCACTCCTTTTCTCCTCTCATACATTTAGCGTTTTGAGCTCCTGCTATATGTGCTAATGTCCTTTGATCCATTCCTGCAGTACATCCGTGACTGTTTGCACCGCGGCCTCCTGCCACATCTCACAATGGTGCACTCCACTTCCATCATGGCTCTGTGGGAAGAACAAACCAATGGGATCTCTCACCCCTCAAAAGCGTCCCCCAAACCTCCTCCTGTCCCCAAGAAAAAGGTAAGCTGTGATAAATAAATAAACAAATGAGAAAGGCATGTCCAGACACTGTGGTTTTCCCCAGTCTTTGAAACGGAACGTGCAAAGTTTGTAGTCCATATGACGTTTTCACTGGCCCTGGAGTACCTGGGTTTAATTTTTTTTGTACGTCTCCCTCCCACCCTCACTCGTAGAAATGATACACTGTTTGCAGGAAGTTTTGAAGCTTCGACCTGCCTCACAGGGTAGTTGTTAGGTTAAAGAAAATCATTGTAAGCTAGGAGTGGCGGAAACTCAGTCCTGGGTACTGAATGCGGCCCTCCATGCCTCAGCATGTGGCCCTCAGACCTCTTCCCAGGCCACACCTCCCTCCTTGCCCGCATCTCTCTTGGGTATACCTGGAGTCAGTTCTTGATCTCTGACAATGTGTCTTTCTTGCCTTGATGGAAGGCCGGGGGGGGGGGGAGAGAAACCAGCTGACTCCACAAAAGTAAAATTCACAGTTATTGCTCAACCCACTTTTGCCTCTGACCCTGTCCCACCACTGGGGTGCGGCCCCCAGAAACTTGCCCAGGACGACAAAAGTTTTCCCACCGCCTCCTGTAAGCCATCCCGTGATAGCTCAACGGAAGGGTTGGGGTAGTGATCTGAATAATAATTAAGTCTGGACAGAATAACAGAAATTAAATATATCTCAGTGCTTGGTGTATAGCTTTTCCAGCTTAGCTAACTAAATTGGCTGATGGTTGCCTCCTATGCTTTAGTGGTGATATTTACCTCTCTCCCTTTTCTCCCCACACCCCAACCCCACACGCTAGCCCAACTCCATCTCTCTGTGGTCACTTGAGCAGCCTTACTATATCGACTTGGTGCAGGGCAGTAAGGTGAATGCTGATGAACGGATGAAGGTACTCTCCCCCCTACCCCCTTTCTTTATTTCTTTCTGCTGGACTTTCTGTGGCTTCTTTTCCTCTTCCTGCCTTGTTGTTTACTGCTTGTTGTTTAAAAAATGCTGAGATCAAAAGGCAGAAGTCATGTGCTGACTTCTCCTCCCAACCACCACCAGCCTACATGAGACTTTTTCATTCAGCTCTTAAGTCGGTGTCAGTGGCTTCACACTACAGGAAAGGGGAGGGTTGTTGATCAGCATTCTGCAGAAGGAGAGTTCTTAGAAATTTCTGGCTGCGTGGGAGATCACTGGTTTTTGGGGTTGTTGTTTTTTTAAATGTGCTCCAGCATGATACAAAGCCAAAAAAAAAAGGACGAAAGAAAGTAACCCACAAAAGCTGATACCTTCATAGATGTAGAAATTTGGCTCTGCAAGGTCCAGGGAAGGCTGGAACTTTGCTTCTTGAAGGTGCCACCTTTCTGCTAGCTGGGAGGGTTGTAGTTCTTTTTATTAGGTTTGAAGAGCAGTCAAAAATGACCTTATGATGACGATGATGATATAATGTATTTATATCCCTTCTTCCTCCAAGGCTGGGATTCAAAGTGGCTACCAACGTTTAAAACGACATTACACAATACATAGGAATAAAACCAAACTAGCTAGCTGAAAACATTAATTAAAATACAGCAGAACACATCTAAAACCAGCAGTTAAAACCGAGTTTGCCCATTGATCAGCATTGCTTGCACCTTACTTTACAAAGGCCTGCCTGAATAGGAACCTGCAACCTGAAGTACTATTGTTTATTTATGTAAGGTTTTGTTCAGCTTAAGGTAGAGTAGACCCATTGGATTGCACGTGCGAAAGTTAGCCATGGCCATTAACATCATTGGATCTTCTTTGAGTAGGATGAGCACCGGACACAACCGGTTGTTACTTATTTATTTCCATTTCGCTAAACATAGGCAGCTGCCTTGTCCGGAATCAGGTCATTAGTTCATCTAGCTCAGTGCTGTCTACACTGGCTGGCAGCAGCTCTCCAGGGTTTCAGGCAGGAGGTCTCTTCCCAGCCCTACTTGGAGATGCTGGGGATTGAACCTGGGACCTTCTGCATGTAAGCAGATGCTTTACCCACTGAGCTACCATGGTCTGTCCCCATATTGAAGTTATTAACAACCAAAACATAATCATATAACAGCAGTGATTCCTACATTGCAGCGTGTTGGACTACATGACTCTTGGGGTGCTTTGTATTTCTTCTGGGAGCCCGACCTCATGCCATTGACTGACAGTCAGCACCACTATAGAGCAATATGTTCATTGGGTTTTGCCAGCAGCAACTCAGCTGAAATGCAGGTGTCTCCCCCTGCCTTGTTTACTAAGCAACAGAGACCGATTTGTGTCGTTTTCCTTTGTCCCCTCTTTTCTCTACCTGTTACCTTTTGAAGTGCACATGGGTTGAGCACATGGCGCACGCATGCACAGAGCTGTGAGGTTGGATGGCTTTGCTCACCCTTGTCCTGCATCTCCCTTTCTCAGCTGGTGGTCCAGGCGGGCCTGTACCACGGCCATGAGATGCTCTGCAAGATGGTGTCCAGCTCTGAAGTCAACGTCTGTTCAGAGCCCGTGTGGGGACAGAGGCTTGAATTCGAGATTAACGTCTGCGACCTACCTCGCATGGCCCGGCTGTGCCTGGCGCTCTACGCCGTGGTGGAGAAAGCCAAGAAGGCAAGGTCTACCAAGAAGAAGTCAAAGAAAGCTGTAAGTCCCTCCTAGGGTTCACTGCATTGGCCTGGTGGTGCAGTCTTGCAGTGGCAGAGTGGAATGTACCACTTCACTGCTGGTTGTGTGTGAGAGAGTTTCCTCCTCTTAAAAACACCCTGCAAATAGAAATCTAGACCAGCAGGGGAGAGAGCTGAAACCTGTTTCCCTGATGCGTTCGCTTTCTTCTTGCAAGAGATTTTTTTTTTCTATGTAAGAACCTTCCCAAAATGGTGTATTTCTTCCTTCAGGCACTGTCTGAAACTGTTAATTCTAAGTCTTCAAGATTCTTTCCACTTCCATCCTGTGGAGGTCTTAGAATTGGGGAGCCATAAACCATATGGATGAGTGAGATGAGGGTGAAGCAGGTCAATTTCTCCAAAGTGTAGCTCGGGTTGTTTACAACCTGGGTCTGTTATCTATGTTAGGACACAGCGATCACTTTAAAGTGTGATAGCATCCCCCAAAGGATGTGGCTGGGTGGGGCTGAGTAGCTGTAGATGGGCAAGGGGTGATTCAGTGGATGTTTGTTGTTGCCCTTCACTGTTCCCCCCCCCCCTCCTGCTTTTCTCTCTGCACTCCTTTATCTCCATCTTTAAAACATGGGCTTACAAGCCTTGTCTGAAATCCTGGTCTAATGTCTGGAGGATCATAGGTTCCATATCCTTGATCTAAATGATTGCCCATAGGTAGTTAGCAAGAGATATACTTAGCTAGATAGCAAGATAGCTAGGAAGTTAGTTAGATAGCTAGCTAGATAATAGATAGAAAGTTAGCTATCTTATCTAGCAAGATAGCTAGAAGGTTGGATAGTTAGTTAGGTAGCAAGAAAGATAGAGAACAATATAGCTATATAAAGAAAGCTAGCTAGCTAGGAAGCAATATAGAAAGTTAACTACCTAGGTGGAAAACTAGCTAGTTAGCAGATAGATAGAAAGTTAGCATGTTAGCTAGCAAGAAAGATAAGATAGGTAGCCTTATTGGTGCCACTGATCTTTTTGATATCTAGGTTCACAATACAGGCTTAAAATGCAACAAAATCAGTCCTCACCCCCACTGCTTCAAATCACACTTGCATTCTGTTATACACATCAGTGCAGCGAATATCTTTCCAAGTTGCCACTTCCCATCCACACCAGTGGTTGGAGAGGGAGTGTGGATGTCTTCATATGACTTCAATTTTCAAAGACCACGTTTCTTAAGTAACTAACAGGACAGATGTGGATTGGGGCATTTACAAACCAGCGGGAGCAGCGCTGGATGGAGAGTGAGCAGAACTGTGTACACAGCCTTAAATGAAAAAGTGTGTAGGTTTTTTGAGAGTTGCAAATACCTTACGTACAAAAATCCAGCGAGAACAAGCTTCCAGGAACTGGGCCGGCGACTTGAGCCCTTGGACTGCATCGTGCTCTGCTGAGTCATGCTGCAGCTATTCTCCGTTGCTTCCTTGGAAGATGCTGAGTCATTCACTTCTTGGACCATCTCCACCAAAGATCTCATCATTTAGGGCTTGGTCAGGAGCCAGGCCTTCTGCTGTTTTCGCTGAGTGACTCTTAAGAAGGTTTAGAAATTGAAAGAAGGGAGGCAGTTAGAAGTAGAGAGGTGATGCATTCTTTCTGGGTATTTATTTTCTTGGATATGTGCTGGAAGCGAGCATTGCGAAAGAAAACAGAGGACGGTGTTTGTAGCCAGATTAATCCCTCGGCCCTGTTTACTCTGCAAATGTTTGTTTGCTTGCTTGTTTTGTTTTTAAAAAAGACCAGTTGAACCAGTTCTAACTGTCCCCCTTCCAAGGCTAAGGGACTGAGCTGCAAATTTCTAATGACAGGAGCACACAGGAGTCAGAGGGAATCTAAACAAACAAGTTCAAGACCCAGTATCAGTTCTGAGTGGATGTGAAATTGTGGGCCCTGCTTTTCAATGAATACATTGTATGGGCAGCTTACCAACTCCTACAAAAGCCAACCCCACCCTTGAAGAAAATATAAATATATAAAATATAGTACAACTAAAAAAATAAATCAGTAGCTAAAGTGCCTTTGTTTTGTTTTTTCACAGTTTTTAAAAGCTGATTTGGCTCTGCTACTGACTCTTGAACTTGTTTGTTTTCATTTTTTAAAAAGCCACTTTGGGCTCGGTGTGCTACTGGGTTTTGAATTTTTTCTCTGTGTTTTTTTAAAGAAAGCAGACAAGTTCAAGACCCAGTAGCATACCAGAGCCAAAAAAGCAGCTTTAAAAAAGGGTAGGTAATTGGATCTGATCAGTGGGCCCAATCCTTTTCTCCCCTTCTTACAGGCCATGTTTGATGGGTGAGCAGGACCACCCACCTGTCCATTACCTGATGTCACAGTGGCATCAGGTGATATGTTTTCCTGGTGCACGCTGCTTTGAAGGCCTGACTATCAGCTGATTGCCAGGCCTTCAAAGCAGCATTGCACCGGGAAAATATGTCACCTAATAAAGGTAAAAGGTAAAGGACCCCTGGACAGTTAATTCCAATCAAAGGCGACTATGGGGTGCGGCGCTCATTTCGCTTCAGGCCAAGGGAGCCACTGTTTGTCCACAGGCAGCCTTCTGAGTCATGTGGCCAGCATGACTAAACCGCTTCTGGCGCAACAGGACACCGTGACGAGTGCCAGAGCGCATGGAAATGCCACTCACCTTCCCGCCACAGTGGTACCTATTTATCTACTTGCACTGGTATGCTTTCAAACTACTAGGTTCACAGAAACTGGGACAGAGCAACAGCTCACCCCATCACGCAAATTTGAACCGCCAACCTTCTGATCAGCAAGCCCAAGAGGCTCAGTGGTTTAGACCACAGCACCACCGGGAAACCAGGTCACCTAATGTCTCTAAAGCACTGCAGACAGATTTTTGCAAGCGCTGCAGATGAGCTGATCTTCGGTCCTTTACAAATAGCTATGGGTATGTTGCGCCCTGGTGCCTGCAAGGGTATATGGCCAGTGGGCATGGCTTGATCACAGTCATTGAATGTTATTCCTGCTGCGTGGACCTGACCCACTAAATCTTCATCAACCTCCCTGCAGGACTGCCCAATTGCCTGGGTGAACATCATGCTGTTTGACTACCAAGACCAGTTGAAAACTGGAGAGTGCTGCCTGCCAATGTGGTCATCGTTTCCAGGTACATAAGGCAGCTCTCTAATATTACTGTTGTTTTCATCCTGGGTAATAGAATATATGGGAAAGGGACATAACTCAAAGATAGAACATCAGCTTGGAATGCAGAGGGTCCCACATTCAGTCGCCAATGGCAGCTTCAGGTGGGGCTGGGGGGAAAACCTCTCTGTGAGAGAGAGAGCGGGGGGCGGGGGGGGGAACCTTGGAGAGCTGCTGCTAATCAGTGCAGACAGTGCTTAGCTCAATGGACCGGTTGGGCTGAAAATTATTTGCTTTATGTCTTACACACGACATGATTGTAAAAAGACAACCACCACCTGAAAGCGGTTTACGAAAAAGGATAAAGCGACAAAATTGCCCATATGAAAAATTAACAACAATGCTTTTAAAACCTCTGAAAAGCTAAAATAACAGTAAGCTAAAAACAGAATTGAAAAACATTTTTAGCAGACTCTGAAAAGAGGTACTTCTGCCTGATATCAATAGGCAGGGAGTTCCAAAGTGTAGGTGCTGCCACACTTAAAAAAAATAAAATGAGGCGGCTTCCTATGGTCCTCTGACTGTGACTTAGCCAAGTATCACAATGTATGGCATTCATGTCCCGTTCTTGCCAAATCATTGGCCACTAGGTGGCGCCACGTTTCTTAGGGAGCCTCATCCTTTCTTTCCAGATGAGAAAGGAGAGCTACTGAACCCAACGGGCACCGTCCGGACCAACCCCAATACGGAAAGTGCTGCGGCCTTGGTCATCCGCTTTCCTGGCATTTCGCTGTACCCGGTCTACTATCCATCCTTTGAACAGGTAAGAAGGTGGTGGTTTGCACCCCTGTCCCTGGCCAGTTTAGTCTGCTTTCTGGGTCAATGGAAAAAGTGAGTCATCTCCATTCAGTCTTAAGAGGGGTCCGCCTCCCATTACTGAGTGTGGAATCCCATTTCCATATGGCGCTGCCAGTTTGGCTGATTTATTAGGCTTGTATTTTATTTGTTTGTTTGATTTCATAATATTTACCCAGTGCTTGATTGGGCAGCTTACAGTGGGAATAAAACAATAACATCTGTAAAAATAACTCTTTAAAACATTGAAAGAGATAAAAATCAGCAATAAACTGTGTGTGATCTGGGCTGGAAGCAGGGTGGAAGCTAGAGAGACAGAGGTATGCTTGCTCTGTGCCTGATGGAGAGGCAAGATCCTGTTAACGCTATGAACCCCTCCATCTTACGCTCAGGTTGTATATATGTGTAAACAAAACCAAATATCGTAAAGACATCACAGTCTCTGCTGACCTAAATTCCAATGTAAGCATCTGGGACCCCTGGATTCTCTCGTCACTTAGAGACTGGGGCAGAATTTAACAGTACATATATATATATATATATATATATATATTCATATAAACCTTCGTACGTAACAGTTCCATACATTATTGTAAATCACGTTGCATTTACTTTTCGTAGGGGGAAAAAGACCAATATGTATGTATAGTATTCATATAAACCCTTGTACATAACAGTTCCATACATTATTGTAAATCATGTTGCGTTTACTTTTCATAGGGGAAAAAAGACCAGTATGTGCAAATAATAATAACGATGATGATGATGATAGAGCCTTTACAGTAATAATAATTAATCATGACGGTTTTTAAATGTCATCGAACACGTTCTGTTTTATCTTTGTGTTTCAGATCATGGAGCATGGAAGGAACGGGCAGTGCCCCCGGTACATGTCGGAGGACCCAGAAGAGGTGAGCACATCTTCCCACGCATCCATTTTCAAAACCAGTTCAACATTCTGTCACACCCCAGCGTGACCAAGGAACAGGAGCTGGGGGTGGGGCTATGCAAATAGGAGCCAGTTTGAATCTCAATCGCTTGGGATCATCTGGGGTGCAGGATACAGTTTAGCTGGTGTTTTGCTGATTTATTAATGAGATGTCAGCACATACACTTCCTTCAATGAGCTCCGTTGCGGCAAGTGTGTCCATTGGGATTATCCTGTTTGATCTTCCCAACAGCCCTGTGAGGTAGGTTAGGGTGAAGGAGGGAGACTTGCTCAGTGCTGTCCAGTGAGGCCACGTCAAATGAGGCCCAGCTAGACCCGATGCCATCAAAAGACAAAACAAAGCTTGTAGGCACTGCTAGTCCTACTCAGAGTAGACCCATTGAAGTGAATGGGCATGATTAACTTAGGTCCACTAATTTCTGTGGGTCTGCCCTGAGTAGAACTGACTTGGATACACCCCAGAAACCTGAAGATAGACGTTATCTTCAATATTATTTTAAAAAACTGGATGGTGTGTCAGTTAGGGTGTTGGAGTGTGAAAAAACAAGTACTGTAGTTTTCGCTCTATAGGACGCACCGGACGATAAGACGTACCTAGTTTGGGGGAGAGGAAACAAGAAGAAAAAAATTCTGAACCCCAGAAGCCAGAACAGCAAGAGGGATCTGGCTTCTGGGATAGCCTCTTGCTGTTCTGGCTTCGGGGACAGCCTGCGAAGCCTCCGCAGGGCAGCGGGGTGAAGGCACCCCGCTGCCCTGCAGAGGCTTTGTGCAGCCATCCCCAAGCTAGAACAGCGAGACGGAGTGCTGCGCAGCACTCCGTCTCCCTGTTCTGGCTTTGGGCTTAGCCGCGCAGCCTGCATTCACTCCATAAGACGCACATACATTTTCCCTTACTTTTTAGAAGGGAAAAAGTGTGTCCTATAGAGCGAAAAATACGGTAGGTTCCCAACTAATAGAGCCCAGACCTCAGTCTCAATAACAGTGCATTTTTGGTTGCCTGCATGTGCAACACCGTGCTACCCCCTCACAAATGGCTTTAAAAGAGGATTAGTCAAATTCATGGAGGCGAAGGCAGTGTGGTGTAGGGGTTAGAGAGTGTCGGCCTAGGACCCTGGAGACCAGGGTTCGAATCCCCCAATCAGCCACAAAACTCACTGGGTGTGACCATTCACTCTCAGCCTAACCTGCCTCACGGGGCTGCAGCGAGGATAAAACGAGGAAGGAGGAGGAGCTCCCTGAGGGAAAAGTAGGGTATAAATGTGCTAAGTCAATATTGTATCAATCCCCACGGTTCAGAAACAACAGCTGAAAGAGATTCTGGAGCGCCGATCTCACACCGAACTCTACGAGCACGAGAAAGACCTTGTGTGGAAGATGAGGCATCAGGTGCGGGACCAGTACCCAGGTGCCCTGGCGAAGCTGCTGGTTGTAACCAAATGGAACAAGCACGAAGATGTTGCTCAGGTGAGAAGTTCTTGCTTGGGAGCCAGGGCGGCAGCTGGCAGAGAGTGAATGTTCAGGTGTTGCATGCAGATGTTCAAGCCGAACATGGGTTCCAGAACCTCTATTTATCTATCTATGCATGTGTATCTGTTTTTTTAAAATGCAGAATTGTACAGAATAGCAGAATATGTGAAACCATGCTAGGAAAAACAGTTTTATTTCTTCAAGTTAAAAAGAATCCATCCTTCGCACAAGGGTGGGTGGCAACTCTGTTACTCCCTCCATCCTCTGCCTCCCCCTGCCTCCCCCACCTTCCTGTTTGTGGCAGTGGAGTTTTTGACACCAACTTTGTCTCCCCACAACATCCTCCAAGCTCTGAGAAAGGGACAAAGGTGATCCCTTCTGCACAAGGTAGCCAGAAGAGTGCTTGAGCTGGTATGCTCTACTGCAGTAGCTAGAAGGATACTTCAGCTTAAGCCTTTTCAGCAGCCCAGAAGGCTTGGCTCCTTTCTCATTTCTTTCAACCGTTGTTCGTAGGACTTGGTCCTCACAGGACTTTTTTTGTGCCTGACTGGAATGTGTCTAGCAATGCCTCTTGCTTGTCTAGAGAGAGGAAAGAGGGGTTTGTGAGCTGGTGTGGCAATCAAACTTCCGCCTGGCTCCACCCACTGCTGGCATGTGGCCCCTGGGAGGTTGCCCAAAACAGAATGCGGCCCTTGGGCAGAAAGAGGTTCTGGACCCTCCAACAACCTCTGGACGTGTTCCAGTTTGTCAGTCTTTCTTCTTTCCCTCCCACCACAAGTATTTTACAGTGGTACCTCGGGTTAAGTACTTAATTCGTTCCGGAGGTCCATTCTTAACCTGAAACTGTTCTTAACCTGAAGCACCACTTTAGCTGATGGGGCCTCCTGCTGCTGCCGCGCCGCCAGAGCACGATTTCTGTTCTCATCCTGAAGCAAAGTTCTTAACCTGAAGCACTATTTCTGGGTTAGCGGCGTCTGTAACCTGAGGTACCACTGTATTGTTTTCAGTCTGTCTTTAAAAAAAATATGTCCACTTTGCAGATGATCCACTTGTTACAGTCTTGGCCAGAGCTGCCCGTTCTCAATGCCTTAGAGCTGTTGGATTTCAACTTCCCCGATCGCTACGTGGTTTCCTTCACAGTCAACTCGCTGAAAAAGTTGACGTGAGTAAAACGAAAGTTTGCCTGATGTTACTCATTTGGGTACGTTTATATGCCATTTGATAACACGAAAGGTGGAATGTAGCCAATACCCACTTATATTTATTTATTTATTGACAGCATTTGTACCCTGCTCCTCAGCCAAAAATGCTCCTACAGTGGCTTATGTACAATCAAAACAAGACAGTCACTACCCTCAGACTTACAATCTGGAAAAAGGCAAAAGAGAGAGGGATGAGAAATCAAAATCAAAACTCAGGCACCAGTTTCTAAGCAGTTGGCACAGTTCAGGGGGCACGGGAGGTGCCTGATGGAGCTAGGCCTCCAGCAAAGTGGATGAAATGAGCCTTCTGTTTCCTATCTCTCCCACTGAGACAGCTTGGTGGTAAATGGCTGCCCTGAGATGACAGAGGATGCTTTAAGTGGCTGGCCTGCCACAGCAGAGCCAATGGAGTGAGTTCTGCTTTCCACCTCTCCCATTTCTGGAATGGCTTCCCCTAGATGACGGATGAGGGGAGAGTTTGCCTAATGGAGTAGACCTGCTGAAAATTTACCAGGATGACTAAGTTAGGCCCATTAGTACTGGCTTTCTTATTATATACATAAAAACTTAAGGTGTCGTCATGCTGCAGTTTGCGTAGCCGCCAATAGATGTTTGGCAAGTGGGGGCAGGTGAGCAACACAAGCAGCAGCCACAGACCCTATTTTGCATAAAATGGTACAAAATGCTCATTTTTAAAAAATAGCAGAAAGACCAACAGACTTTAAAAAACAGTGGATGCAATAAAATGACCAAAATATTGATAAAATCAATTGAATTTTTTTATTTCCCCCTGAAAAAAACCATTTTATTGTTTCCATTTATGCAGTATGTAATCAATATTCAGCAATTCCACCCTTCCCACGGTATTTATAAACAAAAGCACATAATGAACTTAACAGGGCTAGGTAGGCTTGCCTAAACAAGGAAGCTTTTAGCAGGTATCAAAAACAGTACAGTGAAAGTCTCTGAAACACACCCACAAAAAATTGGGGGTGGCAGGCAAGGAAACGTTGTGCACCCCCTTGAACTCCTTGGTGGAAGGATAGGATAAAAGCATGAGGAGTGATATTAGTAAAACCAATTTGTTATCTTCTGCATCTTTGTTTTGCAATAACTTGTTGCCTGGTGTCGGTGTTTGTGTGTGTGTGTGTGTGTGTGTGTGTGAGAGAGAGAGAGAGAGAGAGAGAGAGAGAGAAAGAGAGAAGGTCAGAGGCTGGTCTGTTAAGGCAAATGGGATGCTGCCCCATCAATCTCAATATCATCAGCCAGCCCCCCACCTTCTTGCCTTCTTGCTTACATCCAGTTCATCTCCCTGTTCCTCCTCAATCTCCGTGTTGCCCTTGTAGAACTCAGCAGAGAGGTGCATGGGGATAAAACTAGAATGAGTGGGTTCCTGCTGGCCCTCATTCTTGCTTTGCCTCATTTTTCTGCCCTACCAGTCCCAGTGGGAACCAGCAAAGGGGTTGGGCCAAGCAAACAAGAGGGCAGAAAGCTAACCCACGCCTACCCCAGGGTGGAGTCATGAGTGGTTATGGAACTGTCTGCATAACTCTCTGCCGTGCCCACAAAGCTGCTGGAATAAAAGTTGAAACCTGTGAGAACTGTAACTGAATGTTGCAGCATGGAACGCTTCTGTCTGAGGCACACCAGCCAGCCATACCCTTTCCTGTCACTGGCTCTGGCTCCTCCTGCTGTCGGGCTTCGTGCCTTCTGCCCCAGCAGTCTTGTCTCCCTCACCTACCCCCCAAAAAATCCCCACAGGGAAATAAAAATAAATAGATGAAGGGAATAAGAACAATGGGGAGGAAGAGGTGGGTTTGCTGGTTTACAATAGCCCTGTGCTGCGTGTCAACTGATGCCTCTGCACTTGTGGTGTGGAAATGACTCCTCTGCTGCCGCCTCTCCTTCTGCAGAGATGCCGAATTGTTCCAGTACCTCCTCCAGCTGGTTCAAGTGCTGAAGTACGAATCTTATTTAGACTGCAAATTGACCACATTCCTGTTGGACAGGGCCTTATCCAATCGCAAAATAGGGCACTTCCTGTTCTGGCACCTCAGGTAAGGAAGTACTTTGTGTACAGTTAAAAGCTAACCGCATGACATGGGCTGCGGCAGGGAAGGAATACAGAGATTAATTATTTCCTTATTCCTCACCCCCTCCCCAGCCAGCTGTGGTCCCAATGAAAATCTCCTCCCCACCTGCTTTTTGTTGTTGCTGTTGCTAAAGACCCAAGCTGTGTCAACTGATTTTAATATTGTGTTTTTAATGTGGCTGTAACCCACTTTGGGACTTTCTGGTGAAGGATGGATAAAACCATCAATAAATTATAATTAATCAAGTAATTAATTTGATGGCCTTTTAACTAGCATTTTCAGCAGAGGCTTTTCTCTGTGGGCCCTCACTTGCTGAGGTGTGTTTATATGCTTGAACAAATGGGCAGGGACTTCTTCTGTGGTGGCTCCCACCCGACTTTAGAATGTATCCATCCCCATAATCACTGGCACCAACTTTATTATCATTTTTGGCAACAAGTTAATAAGGGATTACCTTTGTCTGTGGCTTGCTTTGTGTTCGTTTTCTTAGGTTTTTTTTTAATTATCTTCTGATATTTTGCTTTTATTGTATTTTGTTGTTGTACACTTTGCCCTGAAACTCATTTTGGGTGAAGGATTTTTTTTTTTTTAAAAAAAGATCACCATCATCCTAAAATGTCAATTTCCTCCTCTCACCATCCCCGCTTAGATCTGAAATGCATGTCCCATCTGTGGCCTTAAGGTTTGGCCTGATCCTGGAAGCTTACTGCCGAGGGAGCACCCACCACATGAAATCTCTGATGAGGCAGGTAAGCAGCTGGCTTGTCCAAAGGGGATGCTTGCACTTTTTCAAACCAGCAGGTTGATACATGGTGAGGCCCCAGGGCTGGATTAACCATTAAGCAAAATAAGCATGTGCTTAGGCGAAGGAGTCAGCAGACTTTTTCAGCAGGGGGCCAGTCCACTGTCCGTCAGACCTTGTGGGGGCCTGGACTATATTTTGAAAAAGAAAAAAAAAGAACGAATTCCTATGCCCCACAAATAACCCAGAGATGTATTTTAAATAAAAGCACACATTCTACTCATGTAAAAACACTCTGATTCCTTGACTGTCTGCTGGCCAAATTGAGAAGGCAATTGCGCTGGATCCGGCCCCCAGGCCTTAGTTTGCCTACCCATGGCTTAGGGCATCAAGGGAAAAGGGGCACCACAGAAATTTTCCATGGTGATTAGAAGAAGTAGGGGGGGGGGGAGAATCAAATATAATTTTCTTTCTTACTGTAGGTTTTGTTTCATTTTGAAAAATAAAATTCTATTTTACTTGTTGTTTATATTTTGAATTATATATGGAGGCACCAAAATCTTCTAGGTGCTTAGAGTCTCTAAAGGTCTGAATACAGCCCCGGGGGATTAAATAGCACGTTTATTTCACGTACAGAGGCCAAATGGACTGTCAGCGGGATCTTATTTGGACGCCTTAAATATTTTGAATAGAACAAAATGAGTTGACTTGGCTCTGGTTGTGTTTTAGATTATGTAATTTTTCATTCTCCCTTCCGATGTAGAGCGAAGCCCTCAACAAGATGAAGGCCTTGAATGGCATCGTCAAATTAAGTGCCCTAAAGAACCCCAAGCCTCAAACTAAGGAGTTCATGCACACCTGTTTGCGGCAAGAGACCTACCTGGAAGCTCTCTCCAACCTTCAGTCTCCCTTGAACCCCAGTGTCATCCTGGCAAAAGTCAGGTAAGGCAGGGCTGGCGGTGCTCGGGCAAGGGGCCCCCTCGGAATTCTCCCTAGGCCACACCCCTTCTCAGGCCACACCCCTCAGCAGCTCTGCCTTGCATCCTCCCAGCTAGAATGTGTTGCTGAATGCTGATAATGCCTCTTGCTTGCCTGGAGCGAGGATAGAGTAAATTTACCACATGTGGCTCCGCCCCACTTGGCCCCTGGGCTGAAAAGGATTTCCCGTTGCTGACACAAGGGGGTACTTTGGATCGCACCAGAGCTTGCGGTCGCTCAGAGTGGGCCGATTTCATATTACCGATTTCAGCAGTTTGTACTGCCCAGGACCTGACAAAGATGAAAAACATGTTTTTAAACAGCCCAAGATGCTGTTTTAAAACATCAAATCAGGGAACTCGCAAGGCCTGTTGGAATAATACGGTTCTTTATCAGGAGTCAGAAGTTCAACAGAGAGAGGGGGTCTGTGTGATCTCTGCTGGGAGGTTGCTCCTCAGAAGTGTTTCCCCAAAACCAAACACACAGATATGAGCCATGCATCTTGAGCCTTGCGGGGGACCACTGACAGTGATTTCCCAGAAGGGCTCAGTAATCAGGCAGGGATACAAGGGGTATAAGCAGCCCCTTGGACCCAAGTTGTGAAGGGCCTTATAAATTAGTACAAGAACCTCAAATTTGAGCCGGTAGCAGTCGTGCAGCCGGTGCAAGCTTTTAAGCACCAGAGTTAAGTGCTGGCAGTCATCTGCCCCCACCAACTGTTTGGCTGTAGCATTTTGCATAATCTGGGCCTAGGATGGTGTGGACCAAGGAGGGCTCTGAGCTTAGCGCTAGAGCATCTTCTTTGCAAGCAAAATGACCCATTGGTGTTTCCAGGTAGGGCTGGGAAAGATTCCCTGCCTGAAACCCTGGAGAGTCGCTGCCAGTCTTTGCAGGCAGTACTGAACTAGATGGACCTAATGGTTTGACCCTGTATAAAACAGCTTCCTTTTGTTCTTACACCTCAAGGGAAAGGACTGTAGGTCACTAGTAGAGCACATGCCTTGCATGTAGAAGGGTCTGGGTTTAATCCCTAGCCTCTCCTTTTAAAGCAGGGCTTCCCAAACTTCGGTCCCCAGCTGCTTTTGGACTTCAGTTCCCATCATCCCTGATCACTGGTCCTGCTAGCTATGGATGATGGTCCAAAAGCAACTGGTGACCCAAGTTTAGGAAACCCTGATTTTGAAAGACCTGGCAGCAGGTGTTGGGGGGAAGATCTCTCTCCTTCTGCCAGGGATCCAGCAGAGCAGCTTGACAACACAGCATGGCTATGTGGAAAGAGTCTATCTTGCATCATTTAAAAGTTTTATTATTTTCACCCCTTCTTACCTCCAAGCTTCTGCAAGTGGGTGGAGGTTTTCAGTTGGTTTTCATATATATGTGTGTGTGTGTGCAATTTTTCTAGTGTGGAGCTTTGCACTTTCATGGACTCGAAGATGAAGCCTCTGTGGATCGTGTTTAACAATGAAGAGATAGGCGGCACCAGCAACGTGGGGATCATCTTCAAAAATGGAGACGGTAAGGAAGCCACACAACAGCTTCTTGCTGGGTTGGGGATATAGGAGGAGCCTCTTTGTCCCACGAAGATTCCTCTCCCAGTAACAGTGGTCGTGTTAACTAAGGAGCACTTAGTTAAACTATGCAGCTGGCTATCACTTCTCTGTTTGATGGTGTCTGTGTGTAGTGTTTTAGAAACAGCGATAAGGCAGGTCCTTGCCCCAAGCAGCTTACAGTTTAAAATAGACACTGGAAAAGAGCAGAGGATGTGGGAAATTAGAAGAGTATGTGATTATTTCAACTACGTTTACTCTGGCTTTGTTACAATAAAGTAGGAATAAGGTATTTGTTGTCCAGCAACATCTGGAAGGCTGCAGGTTGCCCATTCCTGGACTTAAGGCTCCTAGGAACACCTTTTTAGGAAAGAGGCTGCCTGCTGTGTCTCTGCATGAGTGCCTGCTCTGGCTTTTTATTGGTTAAAACTAGTGAGTTTTGACAAGGGAATTAAGAGGTGTGGTTGCATAGAGGCCGTTCTGGGGCATGCACGTATCTATCTACATCCACATTTGTGACAGTTTGCAGGGTATTATATATTTACCTCATGATTTGGCTATTTGCTTTCAATGTGGATTTTTAAAAGTGACCCTGGAGTTTTATTTCCACTGTTGATATTGTAGGGTATAGATTAAGTAAACAACATGCCGACTAACATATGCAAAATCCCTTTCCTAAAGAAGGTACATATCTTAAGTTGGCATGCTAGTTTCTTAGCACAAACATTGTGCATTATGCTGGTAATCTTTTTACAACAACCTTGTAAGGCAGGTCCGTATTATGATGCCCAATGAACAGGCATCAGTTTTCCTACTGCTAAGTGAGTTCGTGTTGACAGAGGCAAGATGTATAACTTAGGAGACTCCTCCCTAGGTCTCATCAGGCTACGTTTTGCTACGTTAGCCGTGCCAATCAGTTGCACAGAGTCTACTCTGAGTAGGACTAATGCTGGCTACAACCCTTAATCTCTTAGTCAGAATAACTTTCCCAGTTTTAATCATCAGAGCACCCTAAAACATGGGAATGCACAAATCTGCATGTTGTTAGTGCCCCATTGTGGCCAAATGAAGAACACACAAAGGCAAATGTTCCCATCATCATAACCACTGATGAAATGGGAGAAAATCATGGGATGAATAGAGAAAAAAAGAGAAATGTTTCTTAATTTTTCAGATCTCCGTCAGGATATGTTGACCCTGCAGATGATCCAGCTGATGGATATCCTGTGGAAGAAAGAAGGGCTAGATCTCAGGTGAGTTCCAAAATAAATAATTATGATGTTTATACGCCCCCCCCCTTTCATCCAAGGTCCTTAAGGCTGCATACATAGTTCTCTCTTCTCTTCTCTTCTCTTCTCTTCTCTTCCCCCACCCACAAATTTTACCTTCGCAAGAACCCTCTGAGGTTGATTTAGGGCTGAGAGATCCATTTAGCTACCGGTGGCTTGGGTCTCTCACTCCTGTCTCTCTTGATATTTGCAAATTAACCCTGGTTGTAGTGGGGGGCGTTTATGTGTATAGGGCAATGGAGTGGAAGTCTCAAACCAGGCTGCTAATGGTGCACTACCTCTGCGTCTGCTGCACTCAGAGCAGACTGGTAGCACAGCATAAAATAGCACTTTTAAGGCACAGAAACTCAACACTGTCCAAGCATTCTGTCACCTGACTGCCTAACAGCCAGTCCTGGTATACCTGGGTATATAAAAGCCCTTGCCTCAGGGGTTGCTCCAGTCTTCAAAATACCTCTCTGGCATCAGGACAGCCTTGAGTCCCTGCTCTCTTCCCCCAACAGTGACCATGGCTTGGGCGACACACCTTCCTTCCAGGCCTTTTAAGAACTTGGGACCCATGCCTGGGTCTGGTTTTGGGTCTTTTTGGCCATGTACCTGCCTCTTGCCCACTTGTGCTGGCAGTGGCTTCCCTGCAAAACACCCAGAATTTTTTAAAAAGGGTCCTGACATCTTCCCCTCACTCTTACCTTCTTTAAGGATGACTCCTTATGGCTGCCTTTCCACGGGAGACAAGACAGGGCTGATAGAAGTGGTCATGGACTCAGACACGATTGCCAACATTCAGCTCAACAAGAGCAATATGGCGGCCACTGCCGCCTTCAACAAGGACGCCTTGTTGAACTGGCTGAAGTCCAAGAACCCAGGGTAAGTTTTTGTATTATTGCAGGGGGTTGGAATACATGGCCCCCTCCTAACTCTACAATTCTATTTCCTTACTATGACTACTGTTATTTTTAAATTATTGTTAGAGCAAGTAAGAACAGTAGGTTGTATCTAAGGCCTTTTGTTCCATTAGTGCAAGGATTTGAGTTCACACATGGGAACTTCTCTCTCCGCCCTCCACTCCCCTCCACCCCCAGATCTTCTCCATAGGAAGGAGGGAGGTTGTGTTGTGCTGACATATATGCTTGCATGAATGGAATGAGCTTAGTGCTGCTGTGGATACAAGCACACAAATATAAATCAAATTGCAAAATGGTTCAGTGAGGGTTAAAAAAACCACGACTTCCCAAATAGATGAAGGGTCACCAACCTTTGATAGGCTTACTGGACACATGCAGAATTTTTAACCTGGTGCCTTGAGTTCATTGGGAGCTTTGAAAAGTACATAAAGCTGAAAGAGGAAGTGGGAAAGAAAGTCACTTACCCAACTTCCTCCTCCAGTCCTATCTACTTTCCAAGGGAAAAAAATAACCACCCTCAGCACCTCGTGAGTGTGGGAAATTGTGCGCATCACACTATCAGCCCCAGCAACAGATCATCTAAATACCTGGATAAATAAAAATGTCTTTTAAAAGATGGCTTAAACCCATTAGGGTTGGCCCCTGCCAGATCTGTGAAGAGGAGGCTGTTGTGTAATGAGTGCTGCAACTGAGAACATCCCTTCCCGCATTGACACATTATGTTTGCTGTTTGGGGCTGGGTTAAGAAGGTGTTTTACCTGATCTCTGTGTCTGGGGCTGGTATATATGGGAGAAGGCAAACACCACCACCCCAGCACCTACATCCTATTTGTGGTTGTAACAGAAATGTATGGGGAATACACACCATACATTTAAAGCACATGGTTCCACCCCCCAAAGAATCCTAGGAATTGTAGTTTTTACCCCTATAATTCCCAGTACCCATAACAAACTAGTTCCTGGGATTCTTTGGAGGAAGTCATGCTCTTTAAATGCATATGGTGTATGTGAAGCCATGGAGAAGTTGGCCATGTTCTCTGACCTAGCTCACTCCATTGTTATTTTGAATCATTTGATTTATGTCCCACCAAGGAACTCGAGGTGACGGGATACATGGTTTCACCACCTCCCCATTCTACCCACCAACAACCCTGAGAGGTAGATTTGGTATGCATCCAGCAAACTTCATGACGGAGTGGGGATTTGAACCCTGGTCTCCCAGGTCCTAGTCCAGCACTTTAACCACTATACCACACCGGCTGTGAGGTTACATTGCCTTGCAAGGATGAGCTCCAGCTTATCTTCAGTGGGTTTTTGTTCCCTGTCTGTTGTGTAGCGACGCGCTGGACCGAGCCATTGAGGAATTCACGCTCTCCTGTGCTGGATACTGCGTGGCCACCTACGTGCTTGGCATTGGAGACCGCCACAGTGACAACATCATGATCCGAGAGAACGGCCAGGTATCGGCAATCTGATACGCCTTCAAGGGGCTATGCAGCTGGTTAATTTCTTCCCACCTCTTTTTGTATCCTCTCAACAACCCTGTGAGGTAGTTTTATACCGATAAGGAAAGTAACCCCTTGAACTTCTGTAGTGGCTTTCAAACTCTCCCACAAGGAGAGGTTGCAGCGTTAAGGACTTTTTTTAAGAGAAAAAGGCTACACATTAGCAGCTTGTAAATTTACACATGGCATGGAGACAGCAGCTAGATAAAATCCCCCCCATTAGAACTCGCTTCTGCAGTAGGTAGTGATGGTCACCAACTTGGGTGGCGTTAAAAGAGGATTGGACAAATTCATGGAGGGGGCTGCTAATGGCCTCTAGCCATGAGGGCTATTCTCTGCCTCCACTGTCGGAAGCAGTAATGCTTTTGAATACCAGTTGCTGTAAACGGCAGATTTGCTCAAGGTTTGCACTACCTATTGTGTAATTTCTTAGTGCAGAATTTATTGGTTTTTAGAATGGTGCAAGTAGGGTCTGTCTTCTGTGTTGGGAAATTTAAGGCTGGTGGGACGATGCTGCCAGGCTTGCAATTAGAAGCCCTAACCTGCTCCCCCCCCCCCCATTTGTTTCCAGCTGTTTCACATTGATTTTGGCCACTTCCTGGGAAATTTCAAGACCAAGTTCGGAATCAATCGCGAGCGGGTCCCTTTCATCTTGACCTATGACTTTGTCCATGTGATCCAGCAGGGCAAAACCAGCAACAGCGAGAAGTTTGAACGGTAAAGGATGAGCTCTGTGTTGAAAGTTGCCCCCGATTTGCTCTGGTTGGGCTCTCCCCTCCCCAACTTGTCTGGGGCTTAGGGTGGAATCAAGGGCTTTATTTTGTGTCCAGGGCTAGGAGCGGCTGGTAACTGAGAAACAAAGCCAGAGAGATGGACTATATACAATGGATATTGTGTGTAAAAGGTATATGCGCATGCACAGTGAGGGTCTGTGTATAAAATCTCTCTTTGTATTAACACCTGCACACAGGAGGAAATTTATGGGCTGCACCCAATGTGAGTCCTACTCAGAGCAGACCCACTGAAGTTAATGGGCCTAACATTGTATACCACCTGTATATTAAAAAGGCAAAAAAAAAAAGGCATTGTATACCACCTGTATATTAAAAAGGTGCTAACACGTAAGTCCGTATACAGCTCAGAACCAGGTTACTCGAGAGGCTGCCTTGTGCCTTACACACCCAGTAGATTGCTGCAGTCTGCGGGAGGGTTTCTTTTGCAAGTTCCAAAGACTTCTGAAGTGCACTCTGCAGTAACTCAGAGCAGGGCATTTATTGTGGATGCCCCTTCTGTGGAATAGCATTTCAAGATATGGCAGGAGCCCACTATGTGCACTTTCGGAAACAGTTGAAGACATTCCCCCCCACCCCCCAGCTTGATGAATGGTCTGTAACACGTGTTAAGGCCACTTGCTAGGGTTTTAGTCTTGTTTTAAATTTATTCATTGTTTTCGTGTGTTAAACTGCTTTTAATTATCTTGCATGTAATACACCTTGAGACTATGGCTTAGAAGGCAATTAATAAATCAGTGGTGTAAGAGGTATTACAAATTATCTAATTATACATTTTCTTGTTTTTATAGACGGTGTGTGTAGAGTTGGGTTCTGGCAATGTGCTGTACTAAGCAGTCCACAAAGCCCATGAGTTGCTCTATGTATATGTTGCTGTGTACAATTGTATCAAGTGCAAATCCTAGTGAAATTAAGTTGTGATTTATTTATTTATTTATCTGGGAGGGAAGCATTGTCCTCCCTTCCATCCATTTCCATTTCATACCTTTTTCCTTCCAGATTCAGAGAGTATTGCGAAAGAGCCTACATGATCCTCCGATGCCACGGCCTCCTCTTTCTACACCTGTTTGCACTGATGAAAGCAGCGGGGCTGCCGGAGCTAAGCTGCTCCAAAGACATCCAGTATCTCAAGGTGAGAGAGAGATCAGGCAGGTTTCAAGGGAACCTTAAGGTCAGGCAAGGACCCACCTTTACAGCAGGCTGACCCCATTGTCCCCAAAATTCCGCCCCCCACAGACCACTGAATATTTCTGCCTGCCACAGCAATTGTTAGGTGCTGCACGATATTCAATCATGTTTTTGTAGCTTCATTTCTTACATTTTGTACTGTGTTTACTATTCCATAGAACACAACAAACTATAATATGTAAGAAATGAAAGCAGCAATAAAAACAGTTAAAAATCAACGTGGATATGGAGCGTGGACAATGCTGTGGTCTACTTGACCAGTTTGAGAACCCCTGTCTTAAATTGTTTTTAATACTGTGTTTTTGTTTGCTGGGACCTTATGGTGAAGGGCGGGTAAGAAACTGAACTAAAACAATAAATTTAGTTCCTTTTTCCTCCTTCCTTAGGACTCGTTGGCATTAGGGAAGACGGATGAAGAGGCGAGGAAGCACTTCCAACTCAAGTTTAACGAAGCCCTGCGGGAGAGCTGGAAAACCAAAGTCAACTGGCTGGCTCACAATGTGTCCAAGGACAACAGGCAATAGTTCTCTAAGCCTCTTTTATCTACCTGCCAGGTGCACCGAGTTGTGTCCAACATTGGGGGGGCGGCATCACATCATACGCGTGACCAGCCCCCTCCCCTCAACAGGCTCCCACCAGAGCCTGGCTTCGGCCTGTGAGGGAGCTGCTAAGGCAGCTTCCTTGGAGTGAAGAGTTGCTGCCCCTCTCAACTGGGCTGCAACGTGTGATGTTCACCCTCGCTGTAGGGTGGGGAGATGGGGCCCAGCAGTGGCACCCCCCCTCAATATTTTTTTGGGGGGGCTGAAGCCCCCAGGACCCATTACCTACCCATCCTTTGAAATGGACCTTCCAAGAAAAGGTTTCCCACTTCTTGGCTATTTATGTGACCGCTTGAGTCTCTTTTCTTGCTGGAAAGCTACTTCTCCTGCACATCTTTGTTTTTATGTGTGTGTTTGTGATTCCATTCATGGATTACAGGAGGTCCTTGTATAGGCATTCTGTAACTTCAAGATTGCTTTGGCCTCTCAGCAGAGTGAGGACTGGGCCTTTGGGCAAAGCAGTTAGCAGCATCTTTCCAGCACATGCATTTTAAAAGGATGGCTTTGAAAGGGGTATGTGTGGTTTTGCGTGTTGTGTATTTTATACTGATAAAGCGTGTGCTAGATATACTTTACTTGTTCACTGGTTGAACAGAGATATTTGTAGTGTGAAAACCTCCAAAATCGGAAGAAGAGCTGGGCTCTCTAGGAGGAGGATTTGATGCCTTTCTTTTCTGGATTCTTTTGTGTAACACATGCACCCTCACCTCTATACAAAAAAGAAAGAAATGCTACAGGTGGCAGTGTCTCCTGCAATGCTTTACTTGCATGGTTGTAGTAAAGATCAAAACTCTTACACCTAAGAGTAGTGGATAGTCACTGTGCTAAGTAATTTTTTTTGTTTCACCTATACTTAGCCAATAACTGTAAAGAAAACAGCCTTGAGGTACTATGTACAAGCCGATTCTGAACTGTTTTTTGTTCCTATGTGGGGCTTAAGCCAAAGATTTGCATTTATAAAGGTTTACACGTGATTTCAGGTGCTTGGTTTGGGGACTGAAATATAGCTGTTTTTCTTAAGGTGTGTCCTTGTCATTTCTTATTAGCAGTTAGGACTGTCTTGCTGGTACGCTGCAAGGGCCACTAATAATAATGTTCAACATGTGACCAGCTTACAGATATTTGCAAAAGGCAGAATGAGCAAGGATGCCTCAACACCCAGGTTCCAAACTGCCTTTTTGTAAAACTAAAGTCTTTTGGTATACTTACATTTCCTTTTCTGGGCCCCAAACTTTTCAAAGACCTACCTTGCTTTATAATAAGTCAGAGCAGGGGGCCATCTAGCTCAGTATTGTCCACACAGTCTGGAAGCTGCTCTCCAGGGTTTCAGGCAGGTGTCTCTCCTAACCATACCTGGCCATGCCTTCTGCTTGCAAGGCAGATGCTCTACAACTGAGCTACGGCCCTTATCTGTACAAGCACAAAAGAACTTAAGAGGATACCGTCATCAGATCCTGCTTCCAAATCTATCTTACCAAGGTGCAATGTTTATAGCCTCCATTTCTTTTAAGAAGCCCTGTCAGAAAAACGCTTACACCTTTTGTTTCCTAAACAGTATAGGATAAAAAAAAATGCATTCAGTTGCTAGGCAGAAAGAAATCAGCTCAGAGGCCTAACAAAGAGGCAGAAAGTTAGACAATAACAAAAGAAAAATTTAGAACCAGAAATTTATTGTAGCTCAGACTCCCCACCCCCCCAAACTTGACCTATTTACCAATATACACATCTGAAATGTTAGATCCATGATGGCTACATACTGCATCAGAAAAAGTGTACAACCTTTCAGCATTAGCATTTAAAAGAGAGAGAGAGAGAGAGAGAGAGAGAGAGAGTCATGATCAGGTTTACAGTCTCTAAAATACAGCTGCTACAGTGATGGTATCATGAAAAAGAGGATTAAAGAGTCTTCTCTACACAGTGACATTTAAAGCACAGGGCAACTTGGACATAGGTTAAAAGTTTTCCCGTTTTGTTTTGTTTTACTTCAAACTAGCACTTGTAACAAGTGGTCAAAACCAACTTCCTTGCCCCTTAACATTTTGCAATTAAAATAACCCCCCCACACCCCCAAAGGGAGCAGGAATGAGCCAAGTTGTTCAGGGCTTAGCCTTTCCCTATTGTCAGGTCCACCCTATTGTAAAAGGCACTCCAGAGATACTTGCCTCTAACTGAGGGATGGGGACTCTGCCCCTGCAGACACAGCTCCCATCATCCCTGACCATTGGTCATGATGGCTGTGGGGCAGGAGCCCAGCAACATCGGGAGTGCTGCAAGGTCCCCATCCCTACGCAAAAACAAACCCTGCTGCTAGGTAGTAAGAGATTAAAAATGCCAGGTCCAGAAGCATCTTGCAGGAAGCTGCCTTATCCCAAGCCAGCCATCTAGCTCAGTAATATCTGTACTGACTGGCAGTGCCTTCCCAGGACTTTCAGGAGGGACATCCCTAGCTCTACCTGAAGATGCCACAGGGGATTGAAGCTGCAGCCCTTCTGCATTCAAGGCAGACACTCTACCAATGAGGGGAAGTCTCACTCTATTTCCTCACTGCTGTCTCCAACCACCTGGATCAAGCCCTCCGCCTCCCCACAAACAGACACCCCAGCAGCCAACATTCTCCCCCGGCCCTGCTGAATCCAATGCTCGAACTCCTAAAACTGCAATGCAGCCAGATTTTTTTCCCCTCATGCAAAGCAGCCGGTCAGAACTTGGCTCACCTTAGCAGGCAACCCACACAACAAAGAAAAGCTTCAGCAGAACACCCCTTCAGGGGAATAAATCAACTGTAAAAGCAATAAACTCGAGGCTCTCTCAAGGAATAGTAATTTTTAAAAAGTTAAACCAGAGGAGAGGGAGGACCACATGCCTAATGAAAAGCCCAGCACTCACCACTGCCATCGGGGTCATAACTTGCTTTTCGGAAAACCACTCTGCTCCCTTCCAAATTCGGGCAAAACATTTTACTGGGCATGGTCTTCCCACCGACAACCCCCTGCCCCTTCTCCAAATCTTGTGGACTAAACTGCTTAATTAAAGAGTATTCACAAGGTCACCACTGGGAATAGCTTATGCCCTAGTTTTGACAGAAAGGTAGCGCATATGTTCAGTGTAAACAACGACCGAAAGAAGAGAACGGAAGCTTAATAAAAAGAGACCCAACATCCCCACGTTAATTGTACCAAAGGAGCTACAGGGAATGGACAGGAGTGTTTTTTTTTAAAAAAAAAAAACAGGAATGATGCCAGCAAGGAAAGTCGACCTGACCTCCTCCTCTCCAAAATGTATATTCAAGTTCACGACTTAAGACAGGCAGCCAAGACAGAAGCACCCTTCCTGCGACACTGTCCTTTTACAATCAACCGAGCCACCTGCGTGACTAGTAGTGTGCAACCCAGAGAGAGCACCAGGCCCAAGTGGTCCAACTGGGCTGTCTCCCTTTGTGCAAAAGAAATTGTGTGATCTGGCCAGCCCACCTTACTGTCCCTAAAACTGAAACAGACCAGGACCCAGAATGCAAGAGGCAGGACAGTTGGACCCAGAAAAAAGGGGGGGGTCCATGAAGATGCCTTCATGGTCAAATCATTTTTTGCCGCCCCCCCTCCCACAACAATAAAATATAAAAAAATAAAAAGGGGAGAAACCCATCAGTAGAGTTGTGCCAGAGAGAAGATGGCAGTCTAATCCAATGCCATTGGATCATCGTTAGCTTTTCCTCTACGCTAATTAAATTTGCCCCATGCTGCTGCTGCAGGAATTTTTTTGGGGGAGGAAAACCCAAAACCTTATTATTACATCATGCGGCATGATTTTTGATTTTAAAACCCTAGCATGGCTTGTGTCCCCCCCTCCCCCCTTTCCCCGTTTTCACTACCACAAATGACGTAATTACATAATTCCAAGATTATTTACAAAATATTAAAAAGTCTGTTAAATCTTCTAACATAGTTAACCTCATTCTGCCACTTTACACATGCACTAGAGTTCAGGAGGAGGAAAAGAAATGCATTTAAAAAGAAGAAGAAGAAGAATCACAGGGATGTAACAAGCCACAAAATAATAATAATAAAAATAATAATAAATCCGACCCAAAAGTTTTAAAAAAGTTAATCTTTTTGTGAGAGAAGGATCCTGGCATTATTATTATTATTATTATTTTACACTCAACCACCCCAACAAGAAAGCATGAGAAACGACACCAGAAGCCTAGTGCCGAACCAAAAATAAGATTTAAAAAACCTCAAAATCATGGTCTAGTGTGTGCAATGACTAGAGGGCTGGTCACGTCCCTTAAATGAGATGACACAAGGAGTGTGTGAGTGAGACAGACAGATAGCACAAGGCAGTTCCTTGCAGAGTAGAAATAAAAATAATCCAGTCATTGTGAGGCAAGGGAGAAATAGGTACTAAATAAATTTCTAGAGGTGCGAGATTTTGATTGGCGAGATTAGCCAGGAAAGAAGAGACAGGACACCAGGACAGGGGGTCTAGGGAGGGGGGGGTGTTGGTCAGCTCTGGGGGCCTAAGCGACTCTGTTCACGCCATGGATTCTCAGGAGCGATGGAGTGGTTTTGCCGCGGAGTCTTCTAGGGCAGAAGAACAAAGGAGAGAGACAGAGAGACAGACAGACAGAGAGACATACAACAGCGGAGGCAGCTGGGATCAATAGGTGAGCGTGGAGTCATCCCATTCTAGCTGCTGCTGCCTGTTCACGTTCTGCTGGTCCTCTTCCCGCTCCCCCTCTTCGTCACTGCTCTCGGACTCAGCGCTGGTGATGTCGTCCTCCTCCTCCCCATCCTCACTCTCCTCCTCCTCCTCTTCCTCCTCCTCCTCGCTGCTGTGCTGGTCCTCGTATGTCTGTGCAAGGAAAACAAAGACCCCAAAAAGGATGAATGGCATTGCAGCCAATGCTAGTTCTACTTGGAGCAGCCCCCGCTGAAATTAAGAGAGGCCACTGGGCAGGGCTTGTTTTTTAAGGAACAGCGCTCTGCTTGTTTGCTATGTGTATTTTAACACATTTACCTCTTATACCATTTGAATTCTATTAGAGAATGATTACTTTTCAACTTACTGCCTTTTATATGATTCTAGCTTTTTGAATTTTATCTGAGTTGTTTCAGTTTGTGAATGCTGCTTTTAGTCCCAGTCAGGGAGGAAAGGCAGGAGATAAATAAGTACAGTAATAATAAAAAAACAACTAGTCATACCTCGGGTTGAATGTGCTTCAGGTTGAGCGCTTTCGGGTTGCGCTCTGCGGCAACCCGGAAGTAACGAAATGCGTTACTTCCGGGTTTTGCTGCTCGCACACGTGCAGACGGTCATAATGACGTCACGCGCATGCGCAGTGAATCGCAACCCGCGCGCACACAGACGCGGGTTGCGTTCGCTTCTGGATGCAAATGGGGCTCTGGAACAGATCCCGTTCGTATCCAGAGGTACCACTGTACTTAGTTCAATGAGATTCAAGGGGTATATTCGGAGTAGATGTTTAGTCGAATATGACATAATAATGCAAGGCACCTTCTGTTGCAACTTTTAAATGCCTACTGAAAACTTTTCTATTCTGCAAGGCTTAGGCAGGCAATGAAGAATCCATATTTCCACAATAGTTAATTGATGCCTGTTTTAAACTTTTGTTTTCACGCATTTTTGTTGCAATCCACTTTGATAATTTAATTTTTTTTTACTGAAAGAGTGGTAAATGCTTTATAAACGGGTAAGAAGGGCCATGCTGTTCTCACAAATGGGAAGCCCACAAGCAATGACCCATTGTGGTGATGTTGTTTTTTCACTTCTGAGGCTTTCTACCCAAGTCCTTTCTTCTACCAGTCTCCTCTGGCTTGCTCTTCCCCATACAGGCAGAAAATACAAGCCCATGACTCAAGCCAAAGACCAAGGCAGCTCCAAATGCAGGCAGGGTGATACACCTCTCCTACAGAGTTCAGCAACAGGCAATCTCTTGTCCAGGGGAAGGAGAGAGCAGTTGAGTTCCAGAGTCTGGTCAGCCCAAGTAGATGTTTCATGCTGGCTAGAAGCCAGGAATGTTCAGGGAGAGAACAAGCTGAGGGGCACTTCTGGAAAATTCAGTTGGCTCAGGATACAGCAGTTTAATGGATGTCTTGTGTTTGAGAGACGTCAATTGCTGGTGTGTTTGCCTGTACAGCTTCCAAGAGCTGGCTCCCTTTAGATTGCATTCCATTCAGGGATAAAGGCACTCAGGGAGAGCCAGTGAGAGGTGTGGCTTGGGAAGAGTCCTGAGGATCAGCCAGAGAGGTCTGGAGGTCCAAATGATGTCCCTACCACCACCACCCTTTTTCAAATCAATTAGTGAAGGGTGAAATGCTTCATAAACTTTAGCATCAGGCCCGCCTCTCACATACAAGGCCTTTAAAGAAAAGCCAGAGGAAGATGCTGCAGTGCTGGTGGCAGAGGAATGCCAATGATGGTGAGATAAGGGTGGGCCCCCTTGGAGGGCTGGCTGTAGAAGCTCAGCAGGCACGATGCAGACTTTGGACCACCTACTGAAGAACAAAGCCCCAGAGGAATCTGTACCCTGCCCTCTTGGATAAACTGCAAGAGCAAAAGGAGGGAGAAGAGGAGGGGAGGGAACCCACACAGAGAAACCCACAACACCGCACAAGCCTTACCTCCATGGGGTTGACAGTAATGGTCAAGGCTGAGTCGTCCCAGTCCATCTCATTCTCCTTCCCAGAATCCTGGTCCCTCATCGTCCGCTGGTGGGCAGCTCTGATCCGGAACACGCCCAGGATGATCATGAATACAAGGAAGCTGACGCAGACCACAATCACAACAGTGGCAGTGCTGGGGACCACTAGGAGAGGGTTGGAAGACAGAGGCAGATTGCACAGTTAGATGGTCACAGAAGAGGAAGAAGCAGGCAGCACATGCCATGTGCTTCCTTACCCAGAGTGGTGGGGAGATCAGGGGAATTTTTCTAGGACTACTCAGGTATTTTTGGAGAAGGAAGAACTAGAGAATCACACTATATGCGTGATACGGGAAACCACCCCCTAAAAATGATGCTTGCTCAGTTTGCATGTTTATAACATGTAGTTACAAAAAGGTATACTAGTTCCCAAGCAACTGTACAGTCAGCTCATCTACATTTCTGAAGCATAAGCTGCTCCTAACTGCTTCACTCCAGCTTCCAAGGCTAATGGTTCTCATTGAGGCCCAGCCTCATGACAAGGCTGCTAAGGGGCAGACGTCAAAAGGTGTCTGGAACCCACAGTCTCTGGTTATGAATGCCCATCCCGGGCTCCCTTCACTGGTTTGTGAATTATTCTGCCAGCCTCTTCCTGATTCTCCATTATTGAAACTGCCAAACAAATTGTGCTCTTGTTCACAGATGGCAGAGAAAGCTTAGTTCAGCTAATGTGATGCTTCTGGATCTTTTGGACTACAATTCCCATCAGCTTCCCCCACCCCTGGGGCTGATGAAGGCTGTGTTAAGTGTGTTGGGGCCAAGGAATGCCCATAAGTAACTCCACACAGTGTAACCTTTCAGTGAAATCCCAACATCAGGCTTGGCAATCATTTAAAAAAGGAAAGGAAAAGCTCCCTCTTTCCCCGAGAGCTCAAGGAGAAACAGGCTGTAATTCCTTTTTTCTTTTTTAAAATAAACGAAGGCTACTTTTAAAGAAACCTAGCAGGCTATCTGTGCCTCATAGGGAGACTTGAATTTCATATCCCCCAAGACATTAAATGCTGCTCAGATGCAATTAGACTGATATATCAGCCACCTCTGGGAAGAGAGCCAGAGATCTGCTTCTCCTAAGTGGCAAAAGAGCCTCTCTGAAGAGGATTTTATCTGAGTGGGTTGGAGGGGGCAGAGCAGTCGTCAAAGGAGGCTCATCCAAGGCAGGATGAGCCCTTACCTGAAAATCCTGGGTGAGGGCTAGCCAGGTTGTGGCCAGAGAGGTCGACAAAGGAATGGTGGACGGGCTGGACAAACTGAGGCTGCGCTGCAATGTGGCTGGCATGGTCCACGGGGTTGGCGGTGTGGATCACGTTTACCTGGTGAAACAAAAGACAGGCGAGTGGGAAGAGAAAAGGGAAAGTTAAATTTCGGATTATTTGAGTGAGAACTAGCCCCCTCATTTCCGTGCCCATTTTCTACATACACCCGACTCATAATAGTAGGACCCAGTAGGGTCACCCAATAAAGCAGAATGGTGGAAAATTCAGGACCAAAGGAAGGACTTTGTGAATCTGACAAACTCACAAGGAAGGATTTCAATGGCTATGAGCCACAAGGACTATGAGGGCTAACTCCCATTATTGGAAGGAGGATGCCCCTTAAGGCCAGTTTTTGGAAATCGCAAGTGGGGAAGAGCACTGCCATTATAGGCCTGTGGTTGGCTACCGTGGGACCAGGATAGTAGAGCGGGTGGGCCTTTGGCCAGACCCATCAGCAAGGCTCTGTTCATGTTCAGCTGTAAGCCTACAGAAAGGATCCACTATAATTTTCTGTAAGGAGGCTAGATGCTTCATAAAATGAGCATCACCAGGGCTGTGACAACTGCTGTTTCAATTGACTAAAAAGGTGTTTCTGAATCAGTTAGCAGCTTCTTTTTTAAAAAAGGATAAAAACCATGACTGACAAAATGCCATGTTAAGGGGCACCCTCTCCTTGCAGATGGACTAGCAGTTGGACTCTGCGTGAGACAGCTTTATATTTCAACTCGTGATGCACATTAGCTCTCTGTGTGGCATTAGCTGGTGTTTCAGCTAATGGGACCAGTTCCTCAAAACACCCCTAGGAGTCCCTGTAGACCTCCTGAAGCCAACATTTGCTGACGTACCTCCACTTTAAATTCATTGCTGACGTAGCGCCCATTCAGCTCCGAACATACCAGCTTGAACTTGCGGTCAAACAGAGACACTGCGTGCCAACTGCGGTAGCGAATCAAGTGCAAAACCTCCTCATAGCTGGCCATAGTATCAACCCCTAGAGGTAACACAAAATGCTGGTGAGGGGACTGGGGGGGGGGTTTGTCTCTCATATATATGAAAGTTGCATTTTTATACAAAACATCCAAACTGCTACCTAAGTACCCCCACCCCACCTGAAATGTAGCCCCCGATACTGGTTACAGCAGAAATCTGTCAAGAACATGAAAAATACCAAAATTCTGGGGAGGTAAAAATGCCAATATAAAACCTTCAGCTACATAAGGCGCCTTAAACATTCCATATTGCATGTTAATTGAGATGAAGGATTTACATCATTGTCTTTAATAAATTATGGTTTAAGAAATATTTTTAATAAATTAATGGAATAAACGAGGAAGTATTCCATTAAGCATAGTTTCCTGTTTGACCCGAACTGGGAAAGTATAGCAAATTATGGTTAATAGGTTGAAAATGAGCCAGGACAGTAAGCTGTGGTTTGACGTTGCATGTTCCAAAGCTGTTGAACCACAGTGTTCCGGATCAAATGAAAAGGGGAACTACAGAGAATAGCACGCTTCCTAGCTTGTTTGCAGCAGGGTTGAGGAACCTGTGGCTCTCTAGATGTTACTGGACTTGGACCCTGATTCCCGGCCATGCTGGCAGGCTGATGGGAGCTGGGAGTCCAACAACATCTGGAGGTTCACAGGCTTCTCCATCCCTGGTGCGAAAGGGGTCCACAGAACTGTCCTTTGAGATATCAGAATCATATGCCTGTCTAACTAGTACCAATGTTTTAAACATCCCAGCTAAGTGGAGAGGAAGAGGGGACAGGAACTCCATGTCTGGCCTAACAAAAATGCCCCCTGCGCTTATTCTGCAGCGATTCTTGTGGCACTTGAATGCTGCCATTAAGGCAAAGCTGTCTTGGCTGATGAACAAGTGAGACACTATGCATTATCTCCAATTAAGTCTAGACCCCTTGAAATTAATGGAGCCAAGTGAGTTGTGTTCATTGATTTCAATGGGTCCACTCTAAGCAGCACTGACATTGGATACAGCCCACTGTTTCTCTGATGAGAGATCAAGCCAAGTTTAAGAGGAAGCATGGGTGCCTTATTCTTGCTTTCACAAGAGGAACAAAGCACAAAGATACCTTTGTAAGAGAATGGAGGAGCTTAATTTTGCCTACAAATTCTCCTGAAAACCAAAGACCAGTTCCAAAGGTTTATGCAAACTTGTGGATCACTTAATAAGAATGTGTTTTGCAGATGTATATTGTTAAACATTTATGTACAGGAATGCAGGTTTTCATAATGTATTTTTGAGGGGACCTCCAGGGAAACTTAAATAACATTTTAAAACGTCTTGCTTTTAGTTTTGTAAATACCAGCCGGCTCAGAAAATGGTTTATCACTCTGACTCTAAACTGAAATATATTTAAGACTTTAAGTCATCTCTTCGTATCTCTGGGGTCTTTGCCTTCTTAATGCAATTAGGATTTCAAGCACATTCAGGTACAGAGGAAGAAAATGCAATACCGGTAATGATCATGCCCAGGTTGGAAGTGCTCATCTCCATCCCCTTCTGCTGCAGCCGGACCATGTCGACCTCCAGGCTCTCTTGCTCCTGGTTGAGCTCATCACCAACCACCGTAACCTCACAGGTATCCAAGTTGTGCATGATCTCCTCAGACACCAGTGATTCTTGGACTGCAAAGGAGAGGAGGGAGGAGGAGGAGAAGATCAGGAAGGCAGGAAAACACACAGAAGAGTCTTCTTTGCTTCCAAGCTTTTACCATTTGCCTAAGGGCTTGCTTCAGGACTAGAATCTTGAATGTTTCCTACATTAGGAAGCTGCCTTAGGCTGAATCAAGCCACTGGCCCCATTGAGCTTAGTACTCCCTGTGTGACTGACATTGGCTCTCTAGGACTTCAATCTCTACTAGCCCTTCCTGGAGATGCTAGGAAAGGAACACAGGATCTTCCGCATGCAAAGCAGATGCTCTACCACTGAGCCACGGCCCTTCCTTTAAGACACAGGAGGTGCCTTACACTTAATCAGACCATTGGTCCATCTAGCTCAGTTCTGCCTGCACTGACCAGCAGCAGCTTCCCAGGGTTCCAAAGTCAAGGAATCTTTCCCAGTCCTACCTGGAGAAGCCATTGCCCCTTCCCCCCAACAACGACTGTTTCCCCCACCTTGTCTCTACTACTCTCTGTCCACCCCCATCCCAGCCTCTTCCCCAAATCCAAGTTTTTCTGATAATCCCTCGAAACAGGGGCTGTATCAGACCCTGCCCCCAGGCCACTAGCCCATGTATGTGTTGCACAAACAAGGTGAATGGGCTTTACCTGTGGGGTCCTCATCTCCCTCCCCCTCCGGCTCAACCTCTCGTGTGATGGTGCTGATGATGCGAAGCTCAGGGAAGAGGGAGACCCCTTCAGGGCTCTCGAACTCCGAAGCCGAGCGGGCAAAGTGGTTGATGCCACTCAGGCTGATCTTGGGCTCTTCAGGCTGCAGGACCATGATGTAGCCGTCCACAAAGGGGATGGCGATGCAGGCTTCATCGTTGGAACACCTGCCAAAAAAAGGGGGGAAAGGTGCCATCAATGCCAGAGAGAGGGTGGTAGGTATCCCAGGAGGACAAGACACACAGCACAGGACTAACTGTAAGAAAGAGGGCCTGTCTGAAATGTGGGCAGTGATCATCTTAGAAACCACACATCAGCTCTGTCTGCCCCTGAGCTGTCTCTATGCCAGATGGCAGCTATAACTACTATTTAAGAATTGGTGCCTGAGTTTGCTTTTTCTTCTCCTCCCTCCCTGTCCTTTTTGTGTCATGCTCTGCAGATTGTAAGCCTGCAGGCAAGGACTAACTTGTTTTTATTAATTGTAGGTAAGCCACGGTTTGGATAAAGAGTGGGGCACAAATGCTCTGAATAAAGATAAAACACATGGGCACATTCAGAGGGTTCTCCTCTTAAGGACAGGGTGTGCGTGCCACGCCCAAAGAATAAGAGCCCAACATCCTCCATTATGGAACTCCTTCATTCTCTGCTCAGTGGTGGATCCTCATCTGCGGAATGCTGTCCCCAGGAAGATACGCCTGGTACCATCCCTTATGTGCTTTCAGTTGCTTGGCAAACATATTTTTATCCCCCCAGGCCTCTGGACCTCAGTTTTGGAGGGTGGAGTATGCTTGGGGGACCCTCTTCTTCCCCTCATTTTTCCAATAGGGCAGGCAGAGTTGGGTCTGCCTTTTATGCATGCTGCTAGCGAGTAATTTGGGTTGTTTTTGTTTGCTTCCACAAGACGCTTCGAGTCACTTTTCTGAAAAACTGGTTGGCATCCGTCTGTCTTGGAAAACAATGGAAGAGTGTTCCTTTGGGGGAGAAGTCAAAACTGTTGGAAGGTTGCAGTGCCTGCTATGGCTGTAGAGACCGATACGGGAGAGACATGTTTTGTTGCAGCTAGGGCAGATGAAGGCATCTGGTTGTGCTGCTGCAGATGCAACATGGCGTTTCTTTTGATAACCATAATAATCTTACCCCTGAGATGTGGAGGCATCTTCAAGACAACCGAGCAGAGTTGGGACCATGAGGGTAATCTAGTCCAACCCCATCTACGGAATGCTCTCCCCAGGAAAGTTCGCCTGGCGCCTTCATTATACACCTTTAGGTGCCAGGCGAAAACGTTCCTTTTTAACCAGGCCTTTGGTTGATCTTATTGACATCCAACACCCTTTTAGAATGTGGCTTGCGGGGAGGGGAGGGCACTAGGTTACTGCTTTTGGTTTGATGTTGTGGTCTTGTTGTGAAACGCCCTGAGACCTCCGGGTATAGGGCAGTGTATAAGCTGAATAAATAACAACAACAACAACCCCCTGCAATGCAGGAATCTTTTGCCCAATGTGGGGCTCAAACCCACGACCCCGAGTCTCATATGCCTTGCTCCCAAAGGGAAACTCACTTCACGGTGCTTGTGATCTTGATCCTCCGGATCCCAGGTGTGGGGAACTGGCGGGAGTTTAGGTAGGCGATGTGCTGCATGGCCTTGTCAAACCGGTCAATGTCGTCTCCTTCCAAGCTCAACACTGACTGGCTCGGGTTCATGTGGATCTGGAAGATCAGGCAGAGAGAAGAAGTGAGAAGGAGCAGCAGGGGCAGGAAAGAGATCAGACCCAGGAAGTGCTAAAATAAAGCAATTCTGTGCCCAAGACTCCCCTATGCAGAGACAGGAAGGGGAAGGACAGTAGCTTAGTGGTAGAGCATCTCCTTTGCATGCAGATGGTCCTGTTTCAATCCTAAACATCTCCAGGCAGGGCTGGGAGAGACTCCTGTCTGAAATCCTGGAGAGCTGGTCCATCTAGCTTAGTATAGTCCACAGCTTAGACTGTGTCCCTAGGTCTTTAGGGAAGGGTCAAAAGTCAGGGATCACAGAACCTGATTCTCCAGGTAGGACTGGGAATGTCCCCGTCTGAAATCCTGGAGAGCTGCTGCCAACCTGTGTGGACATTACTGAGCTAAATGGGACTAATGGTCAGACTCTGTATAAGGCAGCTTACTCTGTCTCTCTGTTTCTTCAACAGTTACTGCTTAAAGAGTAATTTATTAACTGGGATTTGCCTGCCTGCTCCCAATTAGCTTGAAAAGGTAGCAACACAATAGCAACTGTAGATGTAAGGTAGCAACTGTGGGTGTATTTCACCATCCAAGAAAACATCCTCAGGACCGGGCAGGTTCCTAAATCTCCAGTAATCCATCTAATTCTGCATGCATATTTTCCATGCTGCCGCAACCCCCTTGTCACTGCAAGGTTGCAGTTCTCCATGCCTCAGCAAGTAAAGAGAAGAAAGGTGTATGGGGGTGGGGGAGAATTCTTCTCCCTCAATTTGCTTCTCCAAATACAAGAGAATTCCAAGCAAATTTATGGGATGATTATTAATCCCAAGCACAAAGGGAGCCATTTCAGACCAAAGGCTCATCCAGCTCTGTATACACTGACTGGCAGCGGCTCCCCAATAATATGGCAATTAAAACATAAATAATCCGAATGCATCTTCCATATTTATTTAGACCATTTTTACACTGCTTAATATAGAAGAAGTGTCTCTAAGTGGTGTACAGAAAACTGAAGCAGCAACAAACATTACAGTAATACACAATACAAGTTAAAAACAAACGGGTGCAGTGCATGTGCTGTGTGTGAGTGGCAAGTGTGTACCCATGTATGCACTGAACACATCCTTCCTAACCATGCCCAAGGCTTGAACGCAGTCCCTGGGCCAATAGGTTATGTCATTGCTTCTGTATACTGCCTTTCTGCCAAGGCATCCAAGGCCAAAATTAAAACGCTAAAATAAATAGACGGTTTACAATACAGAGCAATCGGGTCCTTTCAGGCTGATTGGTGGCAAAAGCCCACCCACACCCTCCCAATGCCAGTCTGAGCATCCTGGATCCTGGCTTCCTGCAGGGCATGCAAGGTTTAAGTAGCCCCAGGGAAGATGGAGGAGTGGTTGCCCTAGCAGCTCAGCTCTTCTGGGAGCTCATGTTATCTGCTCCCTGGCCTTGATTTCCTCCTTTTAGACACCCCTGCTTTAGAGACACCAGGCGGTGCCGGGAGAGACGTCATTCCTGCTCTCATTAGAGAAAGGAGAGGGGGATGTGTGTGTGTGAGACACACATAACATGGCATCCTAATTGATCTCTGTTCTGCCAGTGGATCAAGGGTCCCTCTGCTGCACAAGTTTACCTTCAGGCCTTTGCCGACGCCGTCTGAGGTCTGTAAATCCAGTCCTTCCTTGCAGGTGTAAAGGCAGTCAATCACCTTCTTGTTCTCCAGTTTACCAGAGCGGATCATTAAGCCGGCCAAGTTGCCTCGGAAGAACTGGGCCATGCGGAGCTCTCCACCTTTATGGAGCAAAGGAAGACATCTTGAGCATCATACAAGTTCGCTCCAGGGGGGTGCGTGCGTTTGTTTAAAGTGCCAACTGTGCTTTTGTTCTTAAAACTGGCATGCGGGTTAGTTTAGTGCCCATTCTTGTGTTAACCTTGCAGGTATGTTCAAGCACAAGGGGGGGTGGGGTAGAGAACTCAAAAAGAACAAAAGAAGTCCACTCATGCAATAAATATGGCTTTTGAGGCAAGGATGGAATGACCCTACTCAGTGCTGAAGGAAAGGGGTACAATCCTTTGGTCATCACAAACAGGATTTTCTCCCTTAGAAGCAGACTCTTCAAACGCCAAGGCTACCTTCGTAGCTTCAGTACGGAAACTGCATCTCCCACTTAAATAAAATATTTACACAACAGTCCATCCAAGTAACAACCACCACTCAATTAGACACCACGTGCAGGAAGCTACCTCATTCGGAAGCAGTTTCCTTCTACTGAATGTTAGAAGCTGCCTCATACTGACTTGGAAAACTGGACCTTCCAGGTCTGCATTGACTAGCAGCAACTCTCCAGGGGTCTTTTCCAACTCCATTTGGCAATACAACAGATTGAACCTGGGGCCTTCTCCATGCAAAGTAAATACTCTACCACTGAGCTACTGTCCTTTCCTGAAGCTATGAGGAGAAGATGAAGCTAGGAATACCAATCTTTGCATGGGCTATTCCAACACACCTCTTCTAATATGATGTTAACCATGACACACTTCTACAGTCTAAAAAATAAAATAAAAATAGGATGCTTTTTACCTTTTGGAACTATTGCTTTCATATGCACATACACAGAGTTAACCTATCAAGATCCACAGAAATTAATCTAAGATTTCTTTAATTGGATGACAGCCTTCTTCAAAATTAAGTATTAGTTCTATTATTTAACAGTTCTCAAAAGCTAGTTTTTAACTTCACCGTTCAAGATGAGAATAATTAGAAGGTATTCTTCTACCCTGTACAGCACTTCATATAAAAGGTGCAATTTAAAATTAACGAAAGTCTTGGTTTAATTGTCTCAAGCAGAGATGTTAAATCCACCGAACCGTTTCCAACAGACCTGGAAATATCAGCTGCAAGTCACAAGAGTTTTACAGCTGTGTATGTAATAGACCCTCCCCAAACGTATCGGCTGGCAAGTCATTCCAGCGCTTCCTCCATCCTCTTGTTATGGGACATGGAAATTTATAGAAGAGGCAGCTCTTCTGATTGACCATTCGATTCAAGGGAGCAATTTGCTGCCCAGTGAGCACTGCAAGTGACCGCAACAACCTGCCCTCACTTTGCATGCAGCGAGGGCTGAACCATCAAAGCAATTGACAAACTGTCTCATTTCAAAGCAGCCTTTTAAACTGCTTTTAATCTTGCAATTATCACCAATGGGAGATAAAAAGAAAGGAAGTGAACATTCAAGAAACAACCAAACAAGAAAAAGAAGAAAAAAGAAGCACAATGGAAGAAAACAAGCCCAGCAACACAATAATAATGTAGCTTCAATGGCCATAATGCAATGCTGGCATGTCATGCTATGTGTGAGATGAAGCGATATTTCGGCTTAGAAGTGAAACGGGGAGAATAAGTAAGAACACCAGCAACCTGCAGGGGTCTCGGTCGCTTTTTCTGTGTCATTCTCATTTCCTGTATATTCTGCAGAAAAGCAAGACGAAAGGATAGGAACAAGGAGAAGAGAAAAAGGAACCGGGTGGTTAGGACCTGGAGGTTTCTCTGACGCAGTGCACATGCCTTGGAGGACGTGCTTTGTTTACCAGATGCCCATCTCCCGCTCTGCATTCAGTACTATATATATATATTCTTAAATTCTTTCCCCTTCCTATATTGGTCCTCCTGCCAAGGAAACCCTTAGCCTTGTATCAGGGAACCCCAAGAACACTGCAGAAGGACACTTTCCAGAGAGCACACTTGGAGATGGATCTTCATGTGCGGCAGAGTGTAGCAGGGATGATGTGAAGGAACTCAGAGGGAACATAAAGGAAAGGGACAAATTCGACTGCAGGTTTCAGGTGGAAACCTTTCCCAAACCTACCAGGAGATGCTGCAGGGGGCTGAACTTGGGATCTTCTGCATGCAAGGCAGGTGCTCTACATCTGCACTAGGACCCTTCCCTTGAGACATAGGAACACAGCAAGCTGTCTTACACAGTCTAGTTCTGTATTGCCTATGCAGACCAGCTGCAGCTCTCCAGGATTTCAGACGGGGACATTCCCAGCCCTATGATAGAGATGCCAAGGACTGATGAACCTGGGAGCTTCTGCATGAAAAGCAGTTCCACCACTGAGCTACGGCTCTTTCCCGCTGAACACAAGTTTACACACAGTGAAGCATACAAATCTCTGTTCTCCCCCATAACGCAGTATAGGGTGGTGCATTTGATCTTACTACCTTCCTTATTCCACTACAGGCGTAAGCCTGAGCCACAGCTGGCTGGGGCATGACCCGCCAGGCCTGCTAAGCCTCACTGCATAAGATGAAAGTGCAATCGCTTAACACACCCAAGGGGAACAAATAATTGCCTCTTAGGGACACCCAAGTGCCATTTTGACCTTCCAAATCAGGAAGCACAGAGAAACCATTCTGAAAACCATCAGCACATGCCGACATTGCAGCGAGTGCTTCTAGGCATTCAAGAAGATTCCTCTGTTCTTTATATCATTTTCACATTTAAAATTGCATTTCAAAAGCTTTAAATATATGTCAGGAAATAGTCTTGCAGGATACAATATAGTTAGGGATTGTATTCTGAAGCTTACCCTGTTCAAAGTAAATCCACTGAAACTAATGACCATGACTAACTTAGATTCATTTATTTTAATGGGTCCTACTCTGAGTAGGACTTAGCTGGATACTAATCCTATGAATAAATATGCCATTTATGGTGCTAACTCCCTCCCCCCCCCCTTTAGCCTAAATACAGCAGGTGTCTTCGTTTGGTGATCTACATCCCTTCCTCTGCTCTTGGGATGAATCCCGGAATCCATTTTCTCAAGATGCTGACGAGGGAGAGCATCAGTGGCCTTGAAGGCTGTGATTCAGCAATATGCATCCTCGAGGGAACGGCCGTTTAAACCTGCTTTGCATGTTAAAACCTACAGCTACTGCTGTGTTTCTTTTTATAGACATAAGCAGCAAAATCCTCCAACACACAGACACAGAGGGTAAATTACTCCATCAAAATCCTCAAAACCAAGCGTGTGGCCCCAGAGGGAGGAAAACACAATAAATTTAGCATTCATGTAAATTCTAACCAAGTTCAAAAGCACAATTTCTTCATTCCAAGGTGAGGTTTTCTCCACTGATGTTCTCAAGATTTGCAGCAAATGTTTTGCTTTTATTTAACTCTGCCAACAGACTGCGAGCATGCCAATCACCTGGGCTTCACAGACATCCCAATATAATTAGGAAGAGAGAGAACAGGCTGCACAATTAGCTCCTATGCATTCCCCGTTGAAAATGCATTGCTATTTTCAATCTCCATCTGTTCTCTTGCACAGTCTCACTGCAGAGATGCAAGCTCAGTGGAGTTTGCCAACAAACTAGAACAACAAGAGTTCTGGACAAATGACCTACAACTATTCTGCCATCTTTGAGAAGCCTGCAGCTAAAAAAAGGTAAGCTACCTTGCCAGCAGGCTCCGACCACCAGCTGGGATTCTATTTTGGAGGGATGGAGTGGGTAGTCTTCCGTCACTGATAGAGGGTCAAAAGAAACTCCATCCACGTACAGGGTCACTGCTGGAAATTCGACATTGAGGACATAGTGATGCCATTCCTTGTCGCACACCTGTAAAAGGTACAAGAGTTTTTAAATGGAGGGAGGGAACCTCCACTTTGCGCTGGATAACTTCCTTTCACATCCAATTCTTGATAATAAAAACTAAATTTTGTCAAAGATACCGAAAGCAGGAGTGTTACTGTATCGCTACCCCATTACGGTTCCATAATGAACACTTCACAGAGGGCTGGCCTTTTCCTACTGCAAATTGACATACAAAGACTGGCTATTGATCCGTCTAATATTACACCCAGGTTTTGCCTCCTCTTATAGACCCACCTGGTTCAGCTTCCAGTGGAATTCTGCTGGTTTGTAACTCTGCCCCTCTGAAGGATCTTGACGAAAGAGGAACCCGAGACGACAATTGTGCACATAGAGGGAATAGTGGTGCCGGTTCATATCTGTCCCAAAAAAGATCAGGCATGTGTTACCATTTCCCTTTCCTCCAGTTGTAAAGCTAGTGAACGTTTGGATCCTGTTATACATGTTACAATCCAGCACATTCTTGTCACAGCATAAGCATGGGGTGGGGGACCTTTCCAGCAGGTGGGCTAGATCCTCAGCTCCACACCCCTTCTGGGATAAATCTGATGGGTGGGTGGGGCTCCCCGTCTGCCAATCACCTGATGTCACAGAGACATCCAGCAATGCTGGGCTTTGAAGCTCCGATTGTCAGGACTTCAATGCTGCCTGAAAACCCTTTTGCAAGAAGCCCCATGCTGCTGTTTAAATTACAGAAAACTGCAGGGTCAAGAGTGGGGCAGGGCTGCTTGCATGAGGGCTTTTAAACAGCCCTGCACTCTGCTTTTCAGATGGTTAAGCAGCAGTGCCAGGAGGGAGAACGCTGCTGCCTTATTCCAACAAAGGAAACTCACTTTAAGCTCTCAAGTTTATCTTTGAAGCTTTGCCATTGCCTGCCCCACACCTGACGTCAGGTATGACAGCAAGGTGTAGGATGAATAGGCGTGACTTGCCCCAAAATACCATGGCCTGGCAGGCCAACTCTGCACCCTTCAGCTCAAGGGTTCCCTACCCCTGCAGTAAAGGGTAGTGCTTAGTAAAAAAGGATGCAGGAGGCCTAATCAAAGGGAGACCACTTCCATGGCAGAAATGCCTCCCCTTAGGGCAGTTCCATAGTAATTGCTCTTTGACAGTCCAAGACATTTCAGGAAAATGTCCGCTTCTCAACTAATGGCTCAGCCAAATTTTGCACAGAGGTGCAATAAGAAGAAATAGGCCAGCATTGGAGTGAAAGAATAAATGGCAGTATTCTGGTTTGCTAGTCTCGTGACAGCCTTCAGCCTGGAATTCGGAGCCGGGGTGACTTTTCACACAAGAGCACCCCTGCTTCCCCATTCAGTGTGAAAGGGACCCAGAAAAGCAACTTTGCTGATAAGGGTGCATGGATTTAATGACAGTTCCCCTGTGCTTAAAAGCATGGAATTAGTTTCTGGGAAAGGGTCTGAATTACAATGGCTTTCAAGAGCACAGGCTTGCTTGACAAGCTGCAAAAAAATCCAGATTGCTCAACAATAGTTGGCCACAGAGTCCAGGGGTTTTTGGAGCCATCTGGGAGGAAGGGGCAGAAAAGATTCACAACGCACCAACACACACTGGGGGATGCGTTCACATGAATCCATCTTTAAGCCACTACCACCAAGATAAGAGAAAACCATCATGTAAATCTGCTGTACTCAGGAATCAAATTCTCCGTGGCCGAGAGCATCCTTTTGCAGAACCACATCCAAGAGTGAATAGAATAATTCACCCATGTTTTAAAAGCTTCATCTCCAACCTAATTATTTTCAGGATCCCATATGATCTCTTCTTAATTAAGGGAAACATCTTAAATTGGCCTTACCCCAATTCTTTTAAGTGAAAGCATGGAAGCTTCTGCTTGAAGAGAGCACTTTTGAACACAGCCAGCTTTTGACTGATATGCCTTGATCTTTCCCCCTTATTAAGTGGAGACTGATCAAAAAGGAGGAAGAGGCCCTTTCCCAAGGTGTCCTCCAGATGTTGTTTGCTAGACTGCCTGGGGCTGATGGGAGCTGTAGTTCAACTACGTCTCAGGGAAGGCTAGGTTAAGTTTTGGGAGATCAAAGTTTTAGTTGCTCAAAATGGCTGCTTCAGCCTCAAGATGACAAGACACGCAATTCCTTTCTGCACTGTTGAGGTGCAATGTACAAAACCCAAATGATCGCATCTAATTTGTCTCAATACCACCTTCCAGAGTACTGTTGGTATCATTCAAAGACTGATTCTATCGACAAAGAAATCAGGGAGGGGAAATGCAGGACAGAAGAGAAAAACATGTTTTCCCAGAAAATGTCAATCAAGACTTTTGTGCACTCCGTTCATTTTTTATGAGCATACTGAGGGATCATATTGCAACACCTGCTGGAGAAAACTGGAAAGCAGCAACTCCCACACTTCTGACTGCCACTAACATGAAGAATCAGATACATTTACCCACCACCAACCCTACCCCTCACCCACACCAAACACACGAAATCAGAACAGACTGCAGCATCCTTTGCCACATTATAATGGAATAGCAATGGTGAGCACTGGGCAACCATTCTTACACAGATGCAATCAGGTTCTCCCTCCCTCCAACTCACAGAACTTGGAATGTTTGCTAACGTTCTGTGGCGTTGCAATGGTTCAGCCAGTCCTAAAAGCCTCCATTTTTTAGCCCAAGGGTTCCCTTCTCCACCCATTCCAACCTGTCTTGTCTGAGTTGCAGATGATGGTCTCCTTCTCCCTGGCCCCAGGCCCATGCCTCATCCACACTGAAATCACAAAAGGCTCTTTCATGTTGACGGTGACAACGTTGTCTGGGACCTTCACGGCTTGGGTGCCATTGAACTCGAAGACCTGGTCGCTGTCATGGCCGTTGTCAGTCGGAAGGCCTATTGTCCAGTTTGCCGTGCTGCTTGGAGGAGGAAGGAGCTCAGCTGTGCCAGAGGAAGCACCTGCAATTAAAACCATCAACTATGTCACAGCTGACTGCCAACAGAGGAAACACATTTGTGTGTGTGTGTGTGTGTGTGTGTGTGTGTGTGATCTGTTGTTAGGAAAAAATGCTAGGCTTTCACAGAATTAGCAGCAAGAATTCAGAGTCAGCATTGTTTGCTGAACTTCCACTGTAGTGGAGCTAGACAGACCCCCACAGCTTTAAAAATGCCCCCCCCCCATTTAACCCACTGGCCAATATCCAGGTTCCACTGCCTTCAGTATCTCTGCACTTTGTATTGAGAACTGCATTACATTCTAATGGCACTTCTCTTGTTGAGTTCCTGTTTCAAATTGAAGAAGGATCCATCACTATTTACAGCTCCCTCCTCTCATATGGCTTCTGTCATCCAATCCTTCAAGTTCAGCCTTCCACGAGCCATCACTGCTGCTGCTGCCGCACTCAGAGGCTGTTTAATTCTCAGGAGAAAGGGAAGGGACCAAACCCTGCCCTAACAATTGCCATCGTTGCTCGTTCCCCTGGAGAGATGTTCAGCTGACAGGAGCCATGGAGGAAGACCAAAGCCATCTCTCAAGAGCTTGCACTGGGAATTGTTCGTAAGGATACTGACACCATGCTATGCAGCCAAGATTGGCTCCCAAAGGAGCTTCCAGTTAAGAGAGAATAATACAACACTATTAGGGATATAGGTGCAGGTTTGCACCTGCCTCTTCGGGCCTTCTGCACTGTTTATAGCCTAGTTCTGGTCTTTCCCAGAGGAGGCAGACAGCAGGAGAAGCTGTGAATAATGACTTGTGGGCTAGCTGATGATGAAGAGACCAACTCACACGCAACAGATAAAGACTGCTATAATTTCACACTGATATTTCGTGCCAGTGGTGGTGTGCATTAGCCACTTCCAGCACACCAACAAAAAAGGGAGGATTATAAACCAGTAACACAAATAAATGAGTTATCCTTTCTGTTTTAAAGGCCACATGCTAAAGGGGAGTGCCCACCTTCCTCCAGCTCTGGTCTGTCAATGCTTACAACAGGGATGGGGAACCTCAGACCCAGGGGGTCAAATGCAGCCCTCCAGGGTTCTCTATCTGACCCATAGGACCCTCTCCAGGCTATCCGTCTCACTGGTTTTGCTTCACACACTCACTCAGTGTTTTTGCCTGGCTGGAAATGTGTCTTTTGACTCTTTGCTTGCATGGAAGGAGGACAAAGAAGTGTGCATTTGTGTGTTTAGAAAATAGCCTACTGTACAAAGTACATGAAATAAATGCACTTAAAGGAAAAGCTGAGGGCTTTAAACAAAATGAAGAACAAGTAACAGACACCAGATGAAGTATCTGCTCCTTTTATTAAGAATAGTTACTTCCATTCATAATATTTATTCTAGTTCTATTATAGGGGCAGATGGGGCTCGTCAACCTGAGAAGGTAGCCCATTTAGGAGAAATAAAACTCTGATCCTATACCTCTGCTGCCTTGCGGAATATCTTCAGGAGAAGAAAAGACTATGGAGTAAACTCTACAGAAATCAGAAGTGCAGTCCCTAAGATGGTTGAATAGCGCCTTGTACTTCTGGCAAGTCCTGCAGCTAAGCTGGTGCCAAATGTATTGCTCTGCTTTCCTTTGGATCACACCAGCAAGACCAAGAGGGGGGTCTTGTTTTCTGGGCATCCCAGGTCTCCCAGGCTTGCACCCCATGGAGGTCACTTCGGTGCTGCTGACTCAGCAGTCTGACTTTACTCCTGGAAATGCACTCTGTTGACTCTCGAGACAGACGGATGACAACAACAGCAAAATAGTTTAATTTTATAAAGTTTTAAGATTTTAAAAATACTGATTTGTGGTGGGTTGGTTATGCAGATTTTGCACTATTTGAAAAGAGATAAAGATAAAAGGAAGGCGTGGATTTTCGATAGGCCTAAGTCAGACCAAAGGAACTTACCACAGAGCCTGTGAAGGGATTTCTCAGAGTAAGTATCTCGGTCACAGCCCTTCCCGATATGGTTGGTCTCCAGCTCAACTGTGGCCTGCACGGAGGTGATGGGCTCATCACATGTCTCCAGATGGATGTTGGGAAAGAGAGCGAGAGAGCCAGTTCCAGGTTCATACTCCATTCTTTTGCTCCAGCCTGAAGTCATAAATAGAGGGGGTAGGGGAGAACAGTAAAGATCCATTAGCAAACCCTCGTACCTCAATCAATCCAATTTTAAAAGAAAGCAGAGAATATAAAGAAGTACAAAACCACAGCCTCAGAAGGACAAAGGTGATGAGTTAGGAACTAAAAATATTTTACTTCCTATTACAACCGGGCCTGAACTGAGAACTGAAATGGGTCCAAATGATCTTTTTCTTCCAAGAGTAACTGCAATTACTTGCCACAACCCTCTGAAACACCTTTCCTAAAGGGAGGGATGGGTAGTATTGGGAACTGGGTGGTAGTTGTCACAAACCAACAGGCTTTTCTAGAGTAGGAAGGGACCCTAAGGGTCATCTAAGTCCAACCCCCTGTAATGCAGGAATCACACCTAAAGAATCTCTGACAGATGACCATCCAACCTCGGTTTAAAAACCTCCAATGAAGGAGAGTCCACCACTTTCCCAGGAAATACATTCCACCGATTAACAGCTGCTACCCTCAAAAAGTTCTTCCTAATGTTTAGTCGGAATCTCCTGCGTTGTCATTTGAATCCTTTGGTTCGGGCCCCACCCTCTGGAGCAGCAGAAAACAAGCTTGCACTGTCTTCCATGTGACACTGCCAGCCCTTCAGATATTTGAAGGTGGCTATCATATCACCTCTTAATCTCTTCCTCTCCAGACTAAACATACCCAACTCCCTCAGTTGTTCCTCACAAGGCTTGGTTTCCAGACCCTTTATCATCTTTGTTGCCCTCCTGTGCACACAGTCCCAACTTGTCAATATTGCTCTTAAATTGTGGTGCCCAGAACTGGACATGAAACTCCAGGTGGGGACTGAACAAGACAGAACAGAGCGGTACCGTTACTATTTTCAGGAGTGGTTAGATCACCGCCTCATTCAGGATGGCCAGAACCCCACTCCCCTCTGCATGGGTTGACTAGACCCTGGATCCACCAGGCCTAAACCCAGATTGAAGCGGATCCAAGTAGGAAGTGTCTTCCAGGGACACCTACAGCTGCTCTGCCAACACTCTCAACACCACCTTTCCCCAAAAAAAGGGTACTGGTAATATGCACTGGAAAGCATTTCACTGCTGTAACGCTGCACTGGGTGGGTGGGGAACAGCACTAACCTTGCCAGCCTGGCTTGCATGTAGGTTTAATGGTGATCTTCACCAGCACGTCCTCGGCAGCTCTCTTCTTCCCGCAGTCATAGGCCGTCACGGTGAGCTTATACTGGTGCTCCTTGCCGTAGTTCAGCTTCTCTGTGTTCTTAATGTAACCTGACAGCGGGAGGAAAGCGTTTGTGTTTTTTTCAAAAACAAACAAACTGGTGCACTGAAAAGGTTGAGGGGGTGGAGAAGTTGTGAATAAAAATTTACTTGGGATGCCTATGCCAAGTTATAGGAGAATTTTCTTGGTGAATGGGTTCGAGAAGCAGTGGGAACGCATAGAGAATCAACAGAAAGCAAACAAAAAATGCACGTAGATAATCCAGTATTTATTTTGCCATCAAATCTTCTGTGCTAAAGAGTGTTTTGCAGTGCTCAGCCTACAGTGTGCTGTAGTGCTTAAGAGTGCTGGACTAGGACTTGGGAGACCAGGGTTCAAATCCCAGCTCAGCTATGAAGCTCACCAGGTGACCCTTGGAGCGTGTCACTGTATCTCAGCCTAACTTGCCTCACAGGATTGTTGAGGGAATTAAATGAGGAGGGGGAGAACCATGTATACCACTTAGAGCTTTTTGGGAGGAAAAGGTGGGATATAAATGCACTAAATAAACAAGACACTAACCAAGCAGTTGTGCCTCTTGCATGAAGTGAACTTAAAGAGTCCAGGGTACTCTAGAATGACGGTTCTCAAAAGTTGCTGCAGACCACTCACTGGGAACCTCAATAGATAACTTAATGCACTTTTTTTGTTCCATAAATCAAAGGATGTGTGTGTTTTAACAGTGTTTTTCAGTCTACAGCTCCTGTGTCACAATAAAACCGCTGAGAAAATTGAAGGCACTAGGCCTCTTTAGCCTCTTCAACAACCTGGTCCCAGTCAAAAGAAGCCTCAATCCCAGTCATCAGAAAAGAAAACGGAAGAAGAAAAAGAATCCATAAAATGCAGGACCAAGTACAATTCTGCAAGCTTTCTGGAGCCCATCAGAATGGAGCTCATGGTCCACCAGCGCTTTGAGAACCTCTGCTGTGGAATGCGTCCATCCCTCCCCTGTGACTTTTCATCACAGGGCAGGATGGGCAGCAGAGAGACATTAAGTCTTTTTCCAACTTTCCTTAGACACACCTGATCTCCTATAGTAGCCTATGACAAGCACACGACCAGCTCCAAAGCTCTCCAGAACAAAGTTTGAAATACTCCTATTTTGTAGGCTGAAAATTTGAAGCACCCATGAAAAGAGGTATTTTCTTCTGTTGCATCAGGGATGAGGAACATGTGGGTCCTCCAGGTGTTGTTGGACTACAATTCCTATCATCCCTGATCACTGGCCACACTGGCTGAGTCTGATGGGAGCTCGTAGAGGGCAACAGATTCCTCATCTCTCATTTGTATCTAATGTTAGTCCTAGTATAGGGCTGCCACATTTCCAGACAGTTGCTGAGCTTTTTTTCCCCTTCCAAAATCTCAAAAAATAAAAAATGCCAGATTTAAATGCTTTTACGGAGCAGGGTGAAATGGACACTATCCCTGTACAAACACACACACAGTCAATGGTCCTACTTACCATCCTTGTCAATAGCAAAGGGAACATCTGGTGTGACGATTTCATAGCTGCAGATCTGGCTGAACTGGGGAGAGCAGTCGGCATCCACTGCTTCCACTTTCAGGATGTTGTCATACCTCTTGCCCTCAATAACGGCGGCTTTGTAGGACTTCTCTTTAAACACCGGGGCATACTCATTGACATCGTTCACCTGGATATGCACCGTTGCTCTGGAGACAGAGTAGCAGCCCATTATTGGCATTCAGCAGAGTCAAAACAAAAAGCGAGCCAACTACATTCTCTAGCAATCAACCAGTTGTGGTTTACAGAATAGTATTAGTGTTCTAAAAAGATTCTGCAACTCCGAACCTGCATGTTTGCCTTTCACCCCTGCAAGGCCACCATTATTCCCATTATTCAGATAGCCCTTAGAAAACTAAGATGCAGACAAAGCTGACCACTGGGCCGCTGTCAGGGCAAACTGTATTTCAATGCTGGTTTTAAATGTGCTTTAATGTATTTTAACTATTGCTTTTCAACTAGCTCACTTTTATTACTCTATATTTTATAGTGATGTTTTTAAATGTTATAAGCCACCTTGAATTCCGAACTAGGAGAAAGGTGGAATATAAATACATTGAAATAGCAGCTTATTATTATTATTATTATTGAAACACGGAGGCTACTAATGTGTGGGTAGATAAGGAGTCCAAGTCCGAGATGTGATTTCAACCAACTGCCTACTTTATCTTTCTAGCTATTCCAGTACACGAGAGTGTAATCAAAATGCAGCTTGTTTGTTTTTTTAGATCAACCCACAGGAAATCATCCACTGATCCCACACTCCCCAGGGCCCTTCTATCTACTTGGGCAAAGGCAGACAACCTGCTGCCCTCCATCCAAGCTGGTGGCCATCACTGCCTCCTGTGGCAGGGGGCTGCATAGCCTAACTATGCACTGTGGGTTCCTTCCAGAGCCAAGTTGCTAAGAGTCTTGCTGCAAAGCAACATCTGGAGGACACAATGTTGGACTACCTCTGTACTAGGGAGGAAGACACAGATGGAGTGCTATCATTTCCCCGTCAGAGGACGAGCAACACAGCTGTCTGGAATTTTCAGCTTCAAGCACCTAGGAGTTACATGCCTGGCAGCAAGCAACGGAGCAGTTTCAAGAAGGCACAATGGGGCAAAGGAACAAGTAATGCCTTGCATCTCTAATGCACATTAAACAGAGATAAAGAAGAATAGGGTTTGCAAAGCACTCGCTGTCCCTCTATGGAACATCCAAAGCTACTCTCATGTCTCAGGCTTTGCAAATGTGGTGCCGGTCATTTATTTTCCCTACTATAAATGGCATCTAATGAATCATGGGAACTGAATAAAGACAGGGCAATTGGCCTGGTCAGCCAGATTTGATAGCTTTTATTACAACTCAAGATTTATTGAAGTAAAGGCCAAGTGAGCTCATTTCTTAAAGGCATGAAAATTTGCCACCATAAAGATGACTACAATAGCTTATATTTAATAGGAAAACCTATAAAGAATATCTGAGACTGCCTCTTGTACTCAGAAGTTATTACAAAAACGTGTGACCCTTATCAGTAAGCAAAACACAGAATAAATCAATAGGGGATTGAGCTTTGGAAATGCAAACGTTGTCTGGAGCACCAGTTTCATTTAAAAAATAAATAAACATGATTGTTTCATACAATTGAACATCAATATTTAAAGCCTTTAATTTCAAACTTGCATAGAATTAAATAATTTTACTATTACAGAGCTAGAATAAATATAAGAGTTAAAAAAGGATACCTGGGGCTGATGACTGACTTGTTCTTCATGCTGTATAAGCTTTTGACTTTTCCTCATTTGTATCAATTTTATGTCCTCATAAACACATGTAATCAATTCCCTGTCCTGAAATTCCCACCTCTCTTTTGAGATATTAAGTTACTTGGTTCCATGGATTATTCTCTCTCTCAACTTCTCTACCCCCATAGGCATATCTGTTAGCTTACCAATATTTACCTGCTCCCATGCTTTACTATAGTTTATTAGGCTTCCGTTTTCCACCCCACGCCTTTGCATAAAGTATTCTAGCCACTGAAGTTATGATATACAGAGCATCAGTCTCATTCACACAAGAGTTTTCTTTTCAGCGGGAGCCTAAGTAGGTGTACAAAAAGATCCACTACATATTTTAGATTCCTTGAACCCACTGTTTTATTTCCCATCAATGAACAAATGCTTTTGGCCAGCTTTGAGGACATGTGAAAGAGAACAGTGTGTATAAAGACTGCTGTGTGCTGGAGAGGGGGGGAATTTTTGCATGCCGTGGAAAAAATGGGACCCTATGTATACATACTGCACATCCAGGACGGGCCTGTTCCATACAACATATTAAAGGGTCTACAGCATCAGGGCCCACTTCTGTGTATTGGAGAAGAGCACTGATGCTTTCATTCATTCATCCATTCCATTCTTAGGCTGCCCATCAACCAAAGCCTTCTGGACCATGTTAAGAGGCTGGAGAGCAGCTGGGTGTCAGCAGCAGCACCCTGCCCAAGCTGTACAAGATATGCACAGGAGCAAATCCAAGAGGTACATCTTAGAGAATGGGATATGACTACGGATTTAGAGATCTAAACCTTGTTCCAACCCAATACGCATCTGGCTCTTTTAGGCATGACAGGTGTATGTACTGAATCCCTTTAATCTGTCTGGCCCTGCTGTAACCAAGTACTATGAAGAAGCTTTGGGTGTGCTGATGACATTAAGCTCTCTAGGGAACAGGTGGGAGAAGGGTCAGTGGATTCCGGGTGGAAGGGGAACCAATGTTTTTGAGTTCTGAATACAGTACGGTTTTTATTCTGTATATTTTCTGTGTTTGTCCTGAAACTCAATAAAAGTTCTATTTTTAAAAAAGAATGCAAAGTGATGCAATACAGTGGAACCTCAGGTTGCGAACGTGATCCTTGCGGGAGGCACGTTCGCAACCCACAGCGCCACGTCTGCGCACGCACATGATGCAATTCGGCGCTTCTGCGCATGCGCCAAAACCCAGAAGTAACCTGTTCCGGTACTTCCGGGTTTTGGCGTGTCCGTAACCCGAACACGCGCAACCCGAGGTATGACAGAGTACCAGTTTTGGGGAAGGCATTTGGGAAAGGGCCATAGCCTAGTGATAGAGATCCCACTTTGCATACAGAAGGTCCCAAGGAAGGATCAATCCCTGGAATTTCCAGATAGTGCTGGAAAAGACTCCCTTGCCTGAAATCTGTAAGAGCCTCTGCCAGTCAGTGTAGACAATACTGAGCTTGATGGAACAACTGGTTTCATCTATTAGAGGAAACACACAGAACTGCTGTATTTTAAGCACAGAAATCTTTGAATTTATGCATTGCATTTAGGGAAGCCTGAGGGGAAAAGAAAATCTCTAATAACTTTTGTCAATGCCCAAGCAGTGATAACAATGCAGAATAGACTGTCCCTATTTTCATTCGAGGAATGTTGGAGGTTATAGTATAATCCAGGCTTCCTCAATCTCCAGATGCTTTTGGCCTACGACTCCCATGATGCCCAGCTAGCAGGACCAGTGGTCAGGGATGATGGGAATTGTAGTCTCAAAACATCTGGAGGGCTGAGGTTGAGGAAGCCTGGTATAGTCCATACTGACTGGCAGCAGCTCTCTAGGGTTTCAGACAGTGTCTCTACCTAAGCCCTATCAGGAGATGCTGGGGCGGGACCTTCTGCATGCAAAGCAGATACTCTACCACTGAACATACCTTTATTTACCTCTTTCCCTCCTACCCCACGTTTATTATTAAAACCCAAATCATTGTTTACGACTGCTAACGGCCTTGAATACACTGGCAAACAGGCAGCTTATGAATGTGGCAGAATGATTTTAATCAAGCAGGTAATGTATGGGCAGATCAATGCAATTTAGGGTACGGGTGCAGCTGGGAACACTTCTGGTACCAAGACCACCCATTGAGCATCTATCACTGTCGCCAGCCGGTTTTAATTCATTCATTCAAGGGCAGACTACAAAGAAGAAGAAACCGCATCCTGTCAGGAGGGAAAAAGATGCCTAAATCAGAGCCTCCCACCTCCCTCTCTCCCACGCTGTACTTACTTGTGGGATTTCTTCATATTTGCTCCGTCTGGGCCCTTCCCACAATCATAGGCCTGGATGGTGAACGTGTAGTCCTTCTGCAGCTCACAGTCCAGTTTCTCTTTGGATCGGATCATCCCCTCCCCGGTGGATTTATCCACCACCACCGCTTCAAAAGGGACATTTTGGCCATGGATTTTAAACCCACAAATCTCACCTATGAGATTCAAAGTAACTCCAGTTAGCATTTCCAGGTAACAAAGCATGAAACAGTGGGGTGGTTTTTTTTTGTTTTGCTTTTTAAATGCAATTGTATGTGTGTGCAGCCAGGGGTTTGTGAGGGTCTGTGGACAAAGCAAAGAGGCAACTGTGCTTTTAAAGATGGGTGAGTTCCGGGAACTTTGTTTTTAAAATAAAAATAAAAAGGCATACATTTTGCTTTCCAAGCAACTGGTTTTTTTACTTTGCATCCATTCATGCAGGAATACAAAAAGAGAGAGAAAGAGAGATGTAGACAGGCATTTCACAGGAGTACTTGAGATGCACTCTAGGGCAAAAGAGTAAGAGATCTTAGGGGAGCGAACAGCCAAGGCCACAGGGTGGGGGAGATATCTTCTATGCCAAGCTACTGGGAAATAGCTGGGCAGCTTTGCTGGATTTTGACCAGAGCAGGAGGTTATAATGCGCCGTTACAAAGTCGGGAGAGGGAACAGGGGGAAAAGATGGAAAGAAAAGCTTCAAGATATATAGAAGATTCAGCACCACAATTAACATAAATTCTGTCAATTGATCAAAAGGACAAAGTCTTCCTGTGCAATGTACCTGGCGTTTAAAAAAAAAAAAGTCAGGGAATCAGAATGAACTACTGAATGAGAAAAGGTAGAAATACCAACTTTTTCAGGCATCCATTTCAACCTACTAACTTAGAACTGTCCTCTATACTCTTACTTTGTGGTTCAGCCCTAAACCATAACATAAATAGGAGAGAGTGATATAGGCCCAGTGCAAGGACAAACTATTTCTACTGTTGTGCCTACGGTTGTGAGATTCAGGATGCCCCACCTGCTCACACTCTCTTTCCCCTCGACTTCCTTCTTGCACATAATTGCCGTCTCTCTCTCCTTTTCAGAGCTAACCATAGCACAGAGTTACATCTCCACTAATACTACAAGCGCAGTTAAGTTTCAAACGAGTGTGCAAGCCTACAGTGGTTATACCACTTTGAAACTAACCATTGTTGCTTCAGTACAGATGTAACCAAGCACCATGGTTAGCTCTGAAAAGGGAAGGAAAGCTGGAAGGCAAGGGAGGCTGAAAGAATAAACATGTTTGTGGGTATCTCCATCTCCAAGATTACAACTATTATACCTGCATGGGCTACAACTAAGTCCAGCTTAGTTGTATCCAGCTTAGTTGTATACAAAGTGACCAACAATCTATACCATGAATTGCTGGTATGCAGTATACAATTCATTGCTTCAGTTGGCAAAAGTTTTGTTTCAATATATGACTAGAACACCCCCAGAAAGGGAAACTATTAGAGAAAACGCTCAGAAAACACATTTACCAGAACTATACACAGCCTAGGTATTAAACTGCACAGTTCAAATGGATGTCTGATTTACCGATATTTCTAGCCAAGGGTTGGTTACATAACATTTTTCTATCAATATATTTTGAGGGTGGTGGGGTCGGGGAGGAAAAAACTGGGATAATAAAATGGGGTCAAAGAGCATGACAGGATCTTCTGTTTAAGTGCTGATTCCCCATTTCATAACCAAAGTTAGTGGGTTAATATTCATAAAAGGGGGATAGAAAGAACCCTTTATCACCTTCTTTGGTGACTGTCACCTCAAAACTCTCTAAAGGGAGAAAAGATAAACCCAAGTCAGTAATACAGGAAAGACTGAAAAGGGAGCAAATAAGGAAAAGGTCAAAGATGTAGACATTTACACAGAAAACCTTCGAACATTTCTCTTTAAAAAAAATCAGAATCAAATGGTCAGAACCAGATCTTCACCTTACTCCTTTCTTTCAAGTTCAGAGACACCAAAGATGCCATTTCACGTTAACACATTTTCAACACCACTCATTTCCTTCTTCCAGTACTTTGCAGTTTACATACTTGTTCTGAACTATATATTTAAAAGAGATCTAGGTTGCCATCCTATGCCAACTTACCTAGGACCAAGTCCCACAGCCACCCCAATACATTGCCTATTGTATCAATATCATATTCACTTGTAGCAGGGAAGCCTTCAACACTTGACTGGTTGAGCTGATGTGGCAGTGCAGGATGTGCAGCAGCCTAGGTGCTAAACATTCTACAGTTAGACTTCTGTGAGGGAAGCTGAAGCTGTCAGTTTGCCTGGGATTAAGAATCCCACAAGGGGGGCGAGAATCCCACAAGGGGGCAGATGGAGGACTCTGAAAGCAATTCTGGGACACAGGGAAGGTACAAAGGCAGAGCACCCAACATCAGCAGACTAAGAAAGAAAAACTGGAGATGTGTAGGTAGGGAATGAGGCTTGAAGGGCAGAGGAAATGGGTGTGATTTTCCAGGAACGGCAAGGTAGGTAAAAGTTGGCCCATAGGCTGGAGATTAGAAACATAACCTCATAGAAACAAAGGAAGCTGCCTTATACTGAGTTGTCTCATTGTTGTCTACAGACAGGCAGCATCTTTCCAGGATTTCAAGAAGGGGTCTCTCCCAGCCAAAGAACTGAACCTGGGTCTTTTGCATGCAGTCATCTCTTGCTGTCTGTTATGCTACAGGATGGCAAACCACACCATGGGGAACAAATGTGTCAGGTTTTGCCCAACGAGCATTAGGAAAGCACGGCTGCAGAGAAAGCTCGGCAGAGTGCAAAGTGGGCTGCCAAAGCGTTTGCTGAATGTTGAACCATGCCTGCCTGCATCTCTAGCTCAGCTGGCCACCAGGCTGTGCAACTGCTGCCGCCAGAAAAGGTTGTGGAAAGATAAGTGGTACCCATGCACTTGTCACAGCTCCACCAGCCCATTAAGCCTTCTGCTTTCCAAATGCAAGTGAGTCTGTGCAGCAGAAGTAGCAACACACTTCACTTTTAAAAATGTTCACTCATTTAAGAAGTTATGCATGCCTGTTATCTAAAGGTTGTGTGGGTACCAACAGATGCCCCAATGGGAAGCCTGCAAGCAGGACCTGAGCACAAGAGCAGCTTTCCTCACTTGTGAATCTTAGCAACTAGTATTTACAGGCACACTGCCTCTGACAGTGGAGGTAGAACATATCACTGTGGCTAGCAACCACTGATGTCCCATGAGTCTATCTTAAAGCCATCCAGGTTGGCAGCCATTATGCCATCTTGTAACAGCCATTATATGCTGTCTCTGTTAAATGTGGAAAAGACTTGAAAGGTGACACATGCTACTTCTAAATGGATGCTTGCATGAGGCACTACAACTACCTCTTCCAATAAAAATGCATGAAATAGGAATGTCCTATTAAAATTAACTGGACCCAAATCACTGCCAAATCAAATCAACTGGACCCAAATCATTGCTGAAACACATGACTTTTTTTAAAAACCGTCTTGATTTTCAATTAAGACCCACTCAATTATTCTGCCCTCATCGGCCAGGCACAGCAAATATTGCCCTCCTGGGAAAGGAACTCAATACAGTATATTTGGGAAGTCAATGGGTCACTGAGAGTACAAAACCTATTGTTGCACCCCTGCAAGTAGACTTCAGACAAGTTCCCCAACCAGAGGGCTGAATACAAAAAGCTCATGAAAATGCTAGAGTACCAATAGTTCTGGCACATGAATGAGTTTCAAGAACAATTTCCAGAGGGAATGGTAGCTGTCTTAGCTTCTTGCAGCAAAAATCAACTGTCTTTTGCTATCTTAAGGACAAGCTGTGTTATGGCATAAACTTTCATGACTAGTCATGAAATGGCAGACTGGTGACATTTTATTGAGCATTGCAGAGATGACTGCATTATCACCATCAACGAGAAACAGTACTAGACAGCACAGATATTTGGCATTGGTAAGCTGATTAACTCAAGCAGTTATCTCAATTTAACTCACAGGGGATGGCACTGAACTTCTTGATGAACTGCAGTTCAGCTATTTCACATTGTATTCTTCTTTTATCAATAACTGCTTGTGAATAGTTTCCTGTTCCACTAAAGATGTTAATTTACTCGGCACTGGTGAGAGGATCGTATTATCACCAATCTGCTACTGTAACAGATTTCACTATTTAACTTACATTTAAAGTTCTTATTGATTGCTGTTTGCGATTTTTACATCTCCTTGCCGCTCAACTCCCACCTGAATGATTTTCTCCTGTACTAGGCCCAATGAAAAGATTATGTTATAATAAAATTTTCTTACGCCTTTAAAAAGGTGCCACAATACACTCTGTTGCTTTTGCTTCAAAAACACTATGCTTTCTTGAAGCAAACATTCCCATGAAAACATTAAGAGCCTAGTCTATGGCTGCAGGACGGCATGATGGCAAGAAGCCCAACAGCGAAGCAGGGTGGGGAGGAGGGGGGGGGAGAGACAGACAAGAAAGAAGTGTGTTAATGTGACACAGTTGCCTGGGCTGGCTTTTGAAAATAAAAAGACTGCACAGCTCTTGGCCACTTTAATTGGTCTCTTAAACTCCTTTGTCAATGCCAGTCAATGCCAACCTTTGCCATGAGGCGATTCGAGCATCACCCTTCTTGGCATCCCTCTGTCAGAACTAATCTATCCAGGAACACTCCTTGATTCTCCAAACATTGTCTGCGGTGCTCAAGATGCACTGAGAAACTCTCCCCCCCCCCCGACCAATCTTCACTTTCATGTGAAGCACATGAGCAAAGCAAAATTAACAGGCAAATATTTGAAATTTACGGCCTGGAGTATTTGAAATAGAAATATTTCTTTGAATTCAACTCAGTTACCCTGTTCTACATCGACCCTGGGGAGAGGGAGGACAGAAACAAGCATTTAGCCAGACAAATTCCAAGCATGTCACTAAATTGGGCTTTGAAGTATGGCACTCATTTGGCCACTCGCTGTTCTACAGAAAGGCCAGGAATTTCACCCAAACAAACATTTCTGAACACATTAGGGAGTCTTAAAAAACAACACCCATAATCTGGCCAAAAGGCGTGCTTTGGGGACTGTTTTGCATATTCTAATAATTGAACAGACAAGAGGTCAAAGTTTCAATATGTGCTCCAGATTTCCAGGGCACAGTTAATGGGTATAATGTTTCTGCCAGAGTTGCACAGTCAAAACACTTTAAAAACAACAACCAGGGAACCAGAAAATACAGCTTCTTAAAACAATGCTGAAATACAGCATTCAGCATTGGATTTACCTACAATCAAGAAAAGTAGAAGGTCAAGATTGGAGCAGATTCTGGGTTCTCCAACCAATGGACTGTGCCCTCCGTTAGAAACAGCTACACTTTTGATGAACTGCAGTCATGCAGGTGTATTCCTCACAGGTACACATAATTGGAAGTGATGTGACCTCAAGCAAAGGTCTTTCACAGAGTGCTCTAGTTTTGCACCTCTGTGGTGTCTTCCCACTCAAACAAAGGTACTTAATACCAGATAAGACTACTGGCCAATCTGGTCCCTTATTATCCACTCTAATTGACCTGATCCAATGAATTGGAGATGCTGTGGAGGCTGGACCTGGAACCTTCTATTGCAAAGCAGAGTGATGTACCACAGAGCTATGGTCCTTCTTCCCCTTCTCAGAGGTAAGTGATCCCCTCCTAATGGTAGCAGCATTCTACACTATAGTTCTTTCTACCTTCAGAGATGGAGAAGATGCCCTTTAAGGAAGCTTGCTGACCATTATTTGTCTGCTCAACAGTGGCACCCACGGGACTGGTAGGCCAGAAAGCAGCCAGGCAACGGCAAATAATTCTAGATTTTTCCCCATCCTCCTCCCTGCTGAATTCTACCAAAGGGCAACACTGAGGCTAAGGTAGAGGAAGCTAGCAGGTAGGACCAATCCCTAGGCTGATTGTAAGCAAGAAGACAGGCAGGGGCTGGTTGAGGGCAGTGCCATATTCACCTTAATGGACCACCCCCCACTGTTTAGTAGTGGCTGAGGACAGCCCCACACCTATCTATCCTAAACGTGACAGTTCCAAGGTTCTTGGGTGGACACAAATAACTGTCTAGTCTTCAAAAACTAGTCTGTTCCATCTGCACTCCAACCTCATCCGTACACAGATGAAAACAAATGACAGCTGGAAAGAAAAACCCAATTTGAAGCCACAGGCCTGATAATTCAAGTTTTTGTTTCATTTAATTTTTATTTCACTTTTAATTTGTATACTGTACCACCTTTCTAAGTTTACAAGGCGGTTTACCAGCTGAATAAATAACAAAACATACAACAAAGATCACATATCTTATAGCACTGCAATTCAGTAGAAATAAGCAATAATAAAATATATGACTTAAAATAAATGACTTATACCAAGTAATATTCAATAATCCATTAGAATATAACTACTATATACTGTACTTTAAAATTAACTCTCAAAATATCAGCAAAGAGTATTAAACAGAAATTCACTCTCAACAATTGCAATGAATCATTTATTAAATTATAATCAATGAAAATAACAGCAATATTACAATACATAAAATGCCACAACATATAAAAAACACGTATACCAAGGCAGATTCCTCCTAACATTCCTGCTTGAGTGATGTCAAAAGCTCTCCCTGCCCCACCCTAAGCCCAATATTACCAATTTACAAATTAGCCAGCAAACCTAGTTACAGGAAATTATCCATTCCTATCTGTTAATTGGAACTGACAAGGCCAACGCCCCTCTCTGATCACTGACTCAAGCAGGGCTGTTTGCTTCCCCTCTTTGCCTATCAATTAAACTCTCATACTACACATTTCGCCAGCTGCAGCGCGGATGGCAGCACCGCTCACTGCTCTAAACAAACAAGGGCTGGCAGCACAGCCAGGAGAGACGCAGACATCAGCAATCACTCACCGGAACATGAGCTTCCTATAAACTGCAAGTGGGGAGAGAGGAAGGAATACTGACAGAAGGCTTAAATGTTGTGGGTTATTTTTTAAAAGACGAATCCACAATGCTTAGACATGCTGCATGCGGACTTTTATATCCTGTATGCAAGCACTTCCCTTAAAATGGAGACTTAAATCATGCACAATGGCAAATTTCTACTTTTAACACACCACTATTAATATAGGACAGTGTGGAGAATTAACTGGGGGGAAAGGTTATAGCCAATGCTAGTCCTACTCAAGAGCAGATCCAATGAATTTAATAGACATGATGAACTTTAGGTCCATTCATTTAAATGGGAGACAACCCAAAGTATTTACTTCTTCTTGGAAGTAAGCAAGCTATGCGCACACACTATATTAAAGCTTCTGTTTAACTCCAGAGTTTTTATCTCTCTCTCTGTTTTGAGACAGAAGAGAACAGCCTATCTCATTACGGTTGATGAGAATTGCAAGTGAGGAGAGTACTGTTGTTTGGACTTCTTATGCATGGCCACTGTGAGAACAGGACGCTGGACTAGATGCGACTTTGGTCTGACCCAGAGCCACAGGGCTCTTCTTATGTTCACCGCACCCATGGGAGCATTTTTTTTAAACTGTAGGATATGGGTAGAGGAACATGTGGGCTTTGAGATGTTCCTTGACTACAACTCCCATCATCCCTGATCACTGGGTCATGCTGGCTGGGGCTGATGGGAGTTGGAGTCCAACAACGTCCAAGTTTACTTGAGAGATCACTGTACCCCTTATGTACTCAGTAGTTCAGTGCATTATACAGGAGAATCATGCCCCAGAATACCAGTTGATGGGAATCGCAGGTGGATAGGAGTGCTGCTGCTGCTGCATGCATATTCAGCTTGCAGGCTTCCCACAGGCATCTCGTTGGCCACTATAAGTACAGGATGATGGACTAGATGGTCCACTAGCCTGGTCCAGCAGGCTTGTCTTACATCCTCATGTCCTAGGAGCAAAGGAAGCTGCCTTATACTGATTCAGGTGCTCTACTGCTAAGCTACAGTAAGGACATGATTTGTCTGCCTAAGTCTCAGATTCAGTTATTTGTAACTACAGATAAAAGGGTCTTGGACAGGGCAGCTATGCCCAATCCTTAGCTCTCCTTCTGAAGCAAGAAGCATAGCAAACGTTGAAACAATAAGGAAAATTGGACTGCAAACTGTTCCTGAAGCTGAACAAACTAATCAAAACAATCCCACCCCCACCCCTTTAAGCTCTACAATAAAGCCCATGTTCTCAATAGAACAGAGTGATGTGTGTTTGAAAACCAAAATGTGGCAGGTTCGTACGGGTCAGAATGAAATATAGACAAAATAAATGCAATGAACTTGCTATCTTAACATTTTGGCTGGTTGTGAATATTGCCAGACTGGTTTCCCAATCAGGGACTTGGTCCTGTAAAAGATTTTACTTAGCAAAAGGTTTATTCAGACAAACCACTAATTAAGAGCTTACGTTAATAGCAAGGAATAGACTTGACACCAAATGGTCTCCTGCACATAATCTCCTTATGTCTGATCAATCAAGGGGCAACCTGTGGGATGTGTTTTTTAATCCCTTTATTGACTAAAGTAGACTTTAAAGCAAGTTGCTGATGATGGTAACAACCTAGCAAAACAAAGTAGTAGCAGAAGAAATTGTCCACAGGTTGGAACTGTTGGATTTCTTAGTTGCCCTTCACCATGAGGTCCCAGGGCAGGCTACAACAATTTTAAATTCAGTATTAAAAACAGTTTAAAACAAACTAATCCAGGGAATAGGGCGGGTCTTGTAAATCTATATATCTCAGGTGTCCAGAGTAAAGAGATGCGTCTTCAGCATTTGACATTAACTATATAATGGTGCTAGATGCCCCTCGGTGGAGAGGGAATTCCACAACCTAGGAACTGCCACAGGGAATGCCCTCTCCTGGGCATCCACCCCAAATTTCTGAGGGCAGTGGAATTACCAAGAGGGCCCCCTCTGCTAATCTTAACACCCAAGAGGGTCTGTTGGGAAGAAGGAGGTATTGCAGATATTTGGTAGTTATCCAGTCCAGCTGCTTAACCCCAACACAGTAAAGCCCCCTTCCCTGTACATAATGATGCATCTCCAGCTTTTCTTTTCAAAAAGAACTCCCAACAGCTGCTTCATCCATTGTCAAAATGCTCTTCAAGCTCCCACAACAATTATGGTGAATGTTCTTCTCCTCTCCAGTGTTAGAAACTCACCGATATATAAGCTAATCGCCAAATGGCACCTTAAGCCTGGGTTACAGTCACCACAATGGTATATTTGGCATCATTCCCCCCTCCTCGCAGTGTGGTGCTTGTTGTTGTTGTTGTTGTTATTATTAATTTCATTTCTATACGGCTTTATATTGTAAGAAAGAAAATCTCAGTGGTTCATCAAAACATCAAATCAAACAATACAGAATAAAACAAATTCAAGCTTTAAGGAAAATATTTCAGCTCTTTCTCTAGGTGACATTTTGCTTTCCCCGTACTGTATATATTTACCTACTTAATTTACATAGTTCCTCCACAGCAGAAGTACTCTAGAAAGCCAGTGTGGTAGAATGATTAAGAGTGTCAGACTAGGACCTAGAAGATCAGGGTTCAAATCCCCACTCAGTCATGAAGCTCATTTGGTGACCTTGGGCCAGTCACAGCCCCTTAACCTACCTCACAGGGTCGTTGTAGGGATTAACTGAGGAGGGAGCGAGCCATGTGCTCCTTGGAGGAAAAGGTGGGATATAAATGCAATAAATACACTCTTCTGCTTTCTTGCTTAAAGAAAGCTAGAGGGTCCAGCCAGATGGAGATGTCAGTTGCCAACCTGGCATCCAGAGATCTCCACATGGTTGCAATCGGACCCACTCCAGTCATAAAACATGCCTGGCTAATTTCTAGCACTGCTTTCCTCTGCACAATTAGTGTCAGCTCTCTCTCTCTGCATAATTGTTGTGTTTCTTCTTGCATTAGCACACTGGAAGTAGCTGCACAGTTCCAGAAGGTAAACCACATTTGTTGCTTTAGCTGCAACAGACTTCACTGGCACAGATCCTGACTTGTTAACAAATTATCACTGGATATCGCATCCAAAACAGCACAGAACCCTGTGGCACCTTTAAAGATTAAAGGGTTTTATTATGGCATATGCCGTCATGGAACAGAGGCAACATCAGACTTGTTCTAGGATGTGGACTCTCACTGAGAAAAGCTTATGCCATAATAGACCTGTTAGGTCTTCAAAATGCCAGAAGCCTCTTGTAATTTTAGCTACATGTTGAATCTTGTCTAAATAAAGTGGAACTATTCTGAAACATGCATCCAGAGAACAGAAGACATATTATTTCTTCAATCTTTCATTTCAATTAATGCAATCCTGAATCTATTAAATCCAACACTTCTGCAGTAGACCATAGACATAACTGTCTCAAATCTAGTTTAGATGTTGTTCTCAGAAGTTGTCCTACCTTGCACAGGCAAACTGTGGTTTGTATCTAATGCTAGTTCTACTCAAAGTAGCCCCACTGAATTTAACAGTTTAATTTGGGTCTGTTACTTTCAGTGCGTCTACTCTGAGTACAACTTAAGTCAGATACAACCTTGTGTTTTCCCTCATTCCTGGGTGTGGATTTTTGTACTTGTCCCTGTCAAAGACTGTATTGGTTATCTCCCCAGCTCTGTCTAATCATTTGGAATCATTGGTTTGGCATAACAGCACATTAGACTTTAGTCTGATGAGTGCATTGCCACCTTACATGAGTGATTTCTGGCCCAAATTTCTCACACTTTCAAGAGACACACAACAGTTAACAATAAAATACCAAGATGCCCGTACCTGCAAAACGGAGAGGTGCATCCTTATCCAGTGCTATTAATGGGGGGTCCAACAGTACTGTGTTGTCGTTTTCTGTAACTATGCCATGGTAAGTTGTTTCAATCCACGGTTTGTGCTTGTTAACTAAGACAGAGAGAGAAAAGCAAGGTGAAGAATATATTAAGAAAAAAATTCTATTTATTTAAAAGTGTAAGATTGTACCCAGCTAAGTCCTACACAGATTCAACCCAAATTAGCCATTTCCATTATTTCAATGGCTCTACGTTAGATACAATGTAATGTTTTGCTGCTATACGTCCATTTGGGGACACCATGTTCACCAAAAGGCCCCCATGAAGCAGCAATTTGACAACAAAGATGATTCATTTTGAAGTAGTTTACAGAGTGTCTTTTTCCAGCATTCAAGAGGGACCGAGGGACCAGATTATGCCTACAGCAGTAATTTTCACACTGGTAGTGTGAAGTCATGCGTCAAAGCTAATCTGGCCCAAGCTTTGTGAGAAAAATGGAAATTCTTACCATGAACCTCTAAGGAGAGCATTCCTGAAGCTTGGCAAGGGAAGAAGCAGGCCTGTGATTCTGGCCACAAGAAAAGGAGATGCAGTAGGTCTCCCTCCTCACATCCCTCCAGCTGCAGGAATGCCCCCCAGGAACCCATGGGAAAGATGACCCTTCACATGCCTTCTCAAATATCTGCTCACCTAGTAGAATGTTGTTACATGTTATGTTTGCTGAGCCCTGTCCTACATCATTCATTTAAACCAAGGGCACATTCCCTTCTGAGGGCCACATGCTAGTGGCCAGTGGTAGATGGGGCCAGTAGCAAAAGTGGACAGAACAATGAATGCAAATGCTACCTTTGTCTCGTGGACTATTTTCTACACACATTTACCCAGCTCTCTGTCCTCTTTCCTGCCAAGAAAGTGGTTATTATTGGAGCTGAAGGACACATTCCAGTCAGGCAAAAGCACTCGAGATGCAATGCAGGGCCAGTGAGGTATGTGGACTGGGGAATAGCTCCAACTGAAGAGAGAGGCCTGGTTCCCCGTTGCTGCTGTAAACCTAGACAGTCAGTCACAGATAGCAGGACAAGATATGCCCTATTGCTCAGTTTTTATGTAGATTACAGCAGCCAACCAGGAATTTAATCAAGTAATGCACAAGGTGTCCCTAATATGGCTTGTTTTTGGACATGAACAGAATGTTAATGCTACAGAGGCAACCCTGCACACCGACTCCAAACTCCACAGCGATGTGCTTTCAGTATTTCTTCTAATCCAACTGCAGCATATAAAAGCTCCTAAACTTGCAGGTGAAGACTAAAAACTATTGAGAAGCTCAGTGAGATTTCTTCCGAAGTACGTATGTGTGGCCTTACAGCCTTAAAAGCAGGCCTTGTGGAAGCTGTGGCTTTCCATATATGATTGGACCACAACTCCCATCATCTTTGATAGCTGGTCACACTGGCTGGAGCTGATGGGAAATGAAGTCCAGCAAATATTGGAGGTCCACAAAAGTTCCCTATCACTGCTTAACATCAATGCAATGCTCCCTATATCAAACATGAAGTCTACCGTTCTACATTTAAACCTCCAATAATATGTCATATACTGCCTCTTCTACTATATCTTAGCATCTTCAACTCCCACCATAGAGTTACCAAAAAAGAATATTTAAATGCAATTTTGAAACAAGTTTTATTTGCATTATGTTGAATACTGCCATGCCTAGCCATGACATTGTGATAGGCATGAAGGCCTCAGAGGATGAACTTGACACCACTGAGAAACAGGCAGGGACCCGTAACTCCAGTGCTGAAGATCCCCTTGAGGGGCCCTCTGGGTTAACACCTGAACAAGAGCCTCATGACATCAAATGAGGAGGTGGAGCCACACCCCAGTCCACAACAGCACCACAAGATTTAGGTCCCTGCAACAGCACAGCAAGCATCCACAGGAGTCTGCAGGTTACTCATGCATAAGTAATCCATGATACTCCTTCAGGGCCATCAGCTGTGGTTAGGGTGTGGTTTAGGATGCCCGAGTATATAAGGGTTCCTTCTTGAACCTTCCAGTCTCTGGCTCCTGGTACACAACTCTAGTTACGCCTCCTGGTTGAATTGCACTGTGTAGACTACCTTGAGATATTGACCTTGGATCTTTTTTCCTTGGCCTTGCTTCTGGATTCCCTGTGTATGGCCTTGGTTTGTTTGGACTGTGCTGCACCAGAAACCCTGTTGGTGCTTGTAAGTATTTTGGTGAGAAGTTGAAATTTCTGGGATTTGAATGAGCTCTTGGAGTGTGACAGATATGGAATCTATACGCACCCACCTACCAGTTATATGAAAGTTATGGTGTTGTGCCATACAAAACTGTAGGCCTGACTACAGGTCAGGTGGTCTACAAGCTCTGCACTGTACCACTATCATGTCTGGCATCCAAGCTGCCACTTGCAACTTAGGCTCAATTCAGACATCCTGCTTAACCATGGTTATGGAAGAATCAGATGCTGTGGTTTGACATGGATTTAAAAAACAGTTGGCACAATGTCTGAACAAACAGTCACAGGCATCATTACAGAAGCCCTGTACTATGGAGAAAGGGATTAATTTATGAAGCTGAAAGGACATACCATGCAAGCAACTCTAATCCGTGGCTTCCTCATTGTACTTTTGAAAACTCCAGCCACAGAGTAGGTTTTATCTGAACCCTAATCAGCTCAAGCCAAGGTCTGACACGATGAATGAAATGAGTCACAGCAACAGCCACTCTTGAAAGTGCGAAATAAAAATGCCATTTCCCCTTTCACCCATCATGAACAGCAGGAGCCAAGCATTTAAGAGGAGTCAAGTCTTTCATGTGTAAAGAATTATATTATTTTTGTCATTATTGCATAAATTTGTAGGTGGCAGGGTTCCCCACCCGCACCCCACAGAACAAATTATCTAGTTGATGTGACCTACAGGAGAACACTAGAACAATTCTCTATTATGCAGAAACTCTTATCTTGGTCTTACAATTTGATTAATAAATCATCTTTTAGAAAGGTTAATATGATTAAGTGCTTTTCAGGACAGATAATGTATTTAAAAGAACCAGATTTTTTGGTGTTATTGGAATTGGATTATTATTATTTAATCTCTTGATGTTTCCAACAGAAAGCCTGTTAAAATGCAATCTGGATATTAATACAGAGTAGGTTAATTATAACTTATTCCTGTATTTAAAAGAGTAAGGGTGCCAAATTTCAAACTTCAGATGAACATACCTTCTTGCACAAGGAATTATCAGGAGGGCAGTTTTACATCTGGAGGTCATAGTTATTAAATTCTAATCCCATCTGCCCACTGGGTTCAGGGTGGGAACTAACCATTTAACAGTACAATAGTAACTCTTGTTTCTGGATGTTTAAAGGCCCTTTAAGCAATCTGAGATTCTGCAAGAGCAGCTGTGGCAGACCGCAAAAATTTTTTGCAAAATTCTTAAAACTAAAACTAGATGTCCTTAGCTGATTTGAATGTCAAACATTCTGAGTGGGAAGGGCCCAATGAAGTCCTCTTATTTCTCTCCCTTGCTGGCCTTTGGTCTGCGCATGGGCACATGGAATCATAGAATCATAGAGTTGGAAGAGACCACAAGGGCCATCGAGTCCAACCCCCTGCCAAGCAGGAAACACCATCAGAAACACATGGTGCATGCAGTGCACTGGCCAATTCAGAGCCCGGGATGTTGACACATTTTCTTGCGTTTCATCATGTTCATGTAACTAGCTAGACTGCGTAAGTGAAGCATGCATGCATGGGTACCCTCTTTCCTGCAATAAGCAGGTTGCTACAGCATAGGAATCACAGAAATGCAGGGTTGGAAGGACCCCAAGCATCAACTAGTCCAACCTCCTGCAATGAAGGAACCACAGCTAAAGAATTTGAATCCACTGGATTTGTATGAATGCATACAGGTTCCAAAGGCCAGCTAGGGATGAGCAGAAATGGAAGAGGATTCTACTAGGCCTTACACAGGTCTCTTTCTGCAAGGGGGAAAAAGTTGTGCCCTGAGTCATTGAAAATGAGACAAACTAACCAAATTTCCAAAATTCAATGCTTTTATGTCTACACTTCATTCCAAGAGACCTAGTATCGATAACTGGGCTATCTAGAAAGAAAAACCAAATCAGGACAGCAGGTTGCTATTTGGTACAGAACTATTTAAATTAATGGATGTGAGTAACTTAGGCCAATTACTTTCAATAGGTTTACTATGAGCAGGATTTGGTTGGATGCAACCCAACAGAAATTTGAATTGGTAATATGCTTAAGAATTTCCCTGTTCGTATTCCACCCCGAGCGTCCTCCGGCATATACGAAGGTTGTTGAAACATTTAACAAGAACGTAGAACTAAAAGCAATCTCTTTCTCAAAAGGCATCAACCAAGTCACTTAGCCAAGTCACTGCTAATCTCCTGTCACATAAGCAAGGATAAGTTGTGTTGGTTTGCTTGAAATACAATATTCTGCCCTACCTACATGAGACCTGCCAGAATCTGCTGCATGTGCCCTGATAAGCTATGACAGCGTTACACCCAAGCTCACATTTAATCCATCTGAGGAAAAGAATTGTCCTTGACACATGAGCTGCCTGCAGCCTGAAATTGACTTTTCATTTGGAGCTGACAATATTGAAAGTAGATTCAAAACCCTAATTGATGAAAAGCCTGGCTTTCTTCTTAAATAAGTATTTGAAAGGGGAGAACACACGACTTCAAGAAAAGAGCAAGATAAAATGTACCCTTTCCTTGTTCTGGTTATTTTAAAATGCAATCACCACCTCTTAAAAAAGAATGAGGACTGTGTACAGCTGGCTGACAAACCAACTACTTAGAAAGCCTCCTGGGATAAGTAAGGATCACCATCAAGCACCAAGGAAACAAAGATTTTTGTGAATTGGTAGATGGTCATTCTTCCCTGTTCTGGCTAACAGAGTCACATAAAGGCTAAGGTACATACTGATGAAGAAGTAGGCTAGTGCGTCTGACAAGCATGTAACAGCAAAAATGCTAGGAGAAATTGACAATTAAAGCAGCAGCAGAGATCAGTCGTCCCATTCCAAAATCAAAGAGGCCCTCACAGAATATCTAATTCATCATAGATGGAGGATCCAGAGAAATGACTTTCCCACAGAGGTCAAGGTTCAAAGTTAGTTTGTATGGGAGAAGATGCTCTTCTAGTTATGCTGGACACAGATTCTTATTTCGGACCAACTAACATTCAAGATGCAATGTACAAACTTTACATTGCAGGCTGCTCCTCATGCCTAGATACTTGTGAAATTTGGTGGCGGGGGGGGGGATGTTTCATGATCACATGGCATTTGCCAAACTTGAAGCTTCACTAGACAGTGGCCCAGTCAATCAACCCTGTTCAGGAAACAGTGCCCTCAAACGTAGAAACTTTGGGACAACTGCCTAGTTGTTGTTTAATTCATTTGTTGCCATGATTTGTTGTTCTCAATAATAACAGTAATGATTTTATTATTTATACCCTGCCCATCTGGCCTCTGAGTGGCTACCAGTACATATAAAAACATAGTAAGACATCAAAAACTTCCCAATACAGGGTTGCCTTCAGATGTCTTCTAAAAGTTGTGTAGTTCTTTTAGATGGGAGGGCATTCCACAGGGAGGGCACTACTGCCAAGAAGGCCCTCTGCCTAGTTCCCTCACTTCTCTCAGTGAGGGAACTACAAGACGACCCTTGGAGCTGAACCGCAGTGTCTGGGCTGAACGACAGGGATAGAGATGCTCCTTCAGGTATACAGGGCCAAGGTCATTTAAAAATGGCTGTTCTTGCCATTTTTATTGCTTTTTAAAAAATGTTTTACAGTTTCTTATATTTTGTGTCAGATCTGTCTTACAGAATACCTGGTGTTCCACCAAAATGACTCATGGAGAAAGAAATACAGAAATATTAAGAAAGATGTTAATGCCAGAGAATCTTCTGAACCAGCCTCATTAGATAAGCTTGGAAGGAATAGTGGGGTTGTATCCAATATCAGTCCTACTCAGAGTAGATCCACTGAAATGAATGGAAATGGATCACATAGGTTCATTAATTTCAATGTGTCTACCCTAAGTATAACTTGATTGGATATAACCCTGTGTTTTACATGCCTTCTAGTTTTTGATCCTTCTACAATTTTTATCACTATAATTTCTCAACTCTTGCTGAAGATTTGTCAGGCTGAAAATGTGCCCTTCAACTGGTTATTAACATGTAATTCCTAATGATCTTTTAAATTTATTTTTAATTTGATTGCTAGCTAAAATTATTTTTAAGTTGATTGCTAGCTAAATTTAGTTTTAATTTGATTGCTAAAATTTCAACACAAAAACAGAGCAAGTCATCAGGGAGATGCTTATACACAATAATGGTATGTACAATTCTATATAGGTAGGTATATTAAACCTACACATAATTTAGGTGCACCATAGTTCTTTTTTAGGTGCAGGTAATGGTCATGCAGACTGTTACTTGAAATGTAAGATAAAAAGCCCCACTAACTTGCATAAAATTGTTCTACTGGTTCTTTGCCTTTCATCATGAAAATGTTACAGGTTATCTTTCCAGCAATTGTGAGGCTTCATAAGGTTTTATATCACAGCTCAAGAGACAGATTATTTAAATTCCTCCTTTTTTTGTGTAATAGAAAGTCTAGCAGCTACAAGAAACCAAGTTAGCAGTTCCCTTGGATAATTTATAATTATAATTCTCAAAATTATATTGATATTAGTTTGCAGGTATTTTTTAAAAGAACAATTATATTTTTACTAGGTGCTCTGTAAAGAGCAGAGATGATGATTATTAAGCAACTATTAAGGCTATAAAGCCAGGATTCACAGAAGCTGCTCATAAACTCTCAGCCCCACTAATATAAGCATCTTTGAACATTTTCAGAAATGGCTTGAGCTCTTGAAAACCTCCCATGGCAGAGAATTGAACAAGAATTTAACAAGTCCAAATGAGCACAGGAAGCTACCCTATCGTGAATCAGGGCATTAGTCCACCTGACTCCATACTGTCCACATTGGCTGGCAGCAGCTTGCCAGAATTTCTAATAGGGGACATTCTCTGCCATGCCCGGAGAGGATGGGGATTGAACTGGGGGTCTTCTACAAACAAAGCAAATGCTCAGCTACTGAACTATGGCCTTTCCTATAAGGCACAGAAAGCAAAGTAAGACAATTTGGTCCTGCCAGTTCAACACACTGACTGGCAATTGCTCTCTGAGATTTCAATGAAGCAGGAGATGCTAGGAATGGAACCTGGAACCTTCTACATGCAAAACAGGTGTTCTACCAATGAGCTTTCCTTGTTGCAAAGAAATGTAACATGATGCTACATCAACGGACCAGTGAAGAAAAAGCTCTAGCAGAGGTCAAAAGATGGTACAGGTTTTTCAATATGGGGCACTTAGGCGGCACCATGTTACAGAAGATGAAATATTTCTATACACTTTGAGAGGACTTGATGATGATGCCCCCCCATGTTTTCAGATACAAAGCATTTTAGAGTAATCAGCTCCAGTAGCCAGCACAGGTTTCTTTTCAGGAGGCACAATAAATATAATTTTAATATGACATGTCAGCTGAAATACTGCAGCTTTTGTTAGCAAAGTAGTCCTGAGAGATTTAAAAAAAAAAGCCATCTCATGCCCGGCAGATATGTTCTGTAATTAAGATCCAATGACAACTTTTTCTCAGCACACTGAAAACAACACTAGCCTTTGTCTATTCCCCTTTTTCTTTTAAAAGGTTAATGCAGCTCCTTTGGAAAGGTGAAACCCTTATTGATTAGGTTAAATACTGGATGGCTCTCTGGTTTTTACTGGCAATCAAGGTATGTTATTTCACTCCCTTGTGGTTGTTTTTGTCAATATGCAAGGGATAATCCTCCAGCAGCTTGCAAATCCTGCTTCGGAATTGGATCCTGCTCTGTCAAGCTATCACATTCTTCCTCCACCAATGCCTTCTTTAGAAGGTCAAATATTCCTGGACCCTTATTCCTGGGTTAACACTTTGCTTAGCAGATCAAAGGCAGGGTACCTGCTTTCTGTGGAGAACCTTTACCACTGGCTGGTCAACCTTCCTTCCCATCCACCCAAATCCACATGCAGCTCCTCCTGGAGGTCTGATAATTTTTTCTCTTGGAAGCAAAAGCAGCTGGAAACCATCACTTGAGGAGGCAAGCTTTCCACCCAGCCCTGCTCCACAGCTACCTGCACTCCTTGCGCCCAAGGAAGCTGGCCTTTTCCCACCACTGGCCAGCAGAGAGAAGTCTCCCCCACCCACACTATTTTGTTGGAGGGGGAGAATAGCCTGGGGCTCTGGGGAATGTATACAGTACATGGCTCTTCTCCCAGCCACCATTTTATTCTTACAAGTAACACAGTGAGATGAGTTAGGCTATGTGCGTGGAACTGGCTCAATGTCATCTAGTGAGATCCATTACAGAAGGGAGATTTGAATGTGGGTCTCCTTAGTTATTGTTGGCATCCTTCTGTCTTGAATGGAGTGTGCCTCCAGGGGTGCATTAGGAGCACCCACGTGACCTCCCTGGGGCAGTATGTCTGGAGGGTTGGGGCTGCCTAGACAACAAGACCCCCCCTCGTCCTCACTGATGTGGTCCAAAGGAAAGCATAGCAATACATTTGACACTAGCTTGGCTGCAGGAGCTACTGGAAGGAGTACATGGTGCCATCCAACCACCTTAGATACTCCACCTCAGTACTAGCCCAGCATACTAACTACTATGCCAAACTGTCTTATCATCCTCTAGGGTGCCCTCCAATGCAGCACCCTCCAGGTGTCCCTAAGACTACAACTCACTTCATCCTGGCTAACTGACCATGCTGACTGGGGCTAATAGGTGTTGGAGTCCTACAACAATTGGAGGCTCCACATTAGCTACCCCTGCTCTGGTGACTGGGAGGCTGCTATACATACCGCCCCCACCCCAATGTATCCCTGTTATAAATTAACTTTTTATTTAGCGTTTTAACTTTTTATTATGGATTTTAGTTATCAGCTGTGAACCAGTCTAAGTTGAAAAGTGGGGTGTGGTACACACACACAATCCGCCCCATTTTGTAAAATCCTGCCCCCTTGCTTTCCCCTTTAACACAATTCTACCCTTTTATTTTAGATTTTGATTAGCACAAGCAGCTAACTCAAGTCAAGGAAAGCAAGGACAGTCCAATTTTGCCCAACCAGCTTAAAATTGCCCCAAAACATCTTAATGCAGTTAGCTGCCAGGGCAAAAACACCTCAGCTTTATGGGAAGAAGGACTCACCCATCAAAGCACTGACTCCACGCACACAGGATTAGGCCACTGCCCAAGTCGGTTAAAAAGCGACTCCTACTACTATTAACACTTGGCTCAGAGAACAAGGGCATGGATAAGAGACCAGCTTACACCCACCCCGCAAAGAGATACTGGTTATTACCTCTCCGCATTTTCTTCTGCTGTCACAGCTATTCTGAGCATCCCATCCAACGTTACTGGACAGGCAGAAGCACTGCCTGATCTAGTTCATCACAATGGGTGCCCATATGCCTTTCCAAGCTTTGCATTGACAAAGTCAGGTCCTGTTTGTTGCCTTCCAATGATGTACACCCAGTTGGCCACTGTGAGAACAGGGGGCTGGAACAGATGGGGCACTGGTTCTAAACTCCATCGCCTGTCAGCCTTAGGGAGCAATCAAAAATTATGCAGATTATATAAGCTAGTCTACTGACTGAAAGTAAGGGCTCTTCTAAGACCCATATGGGTCAGTGGTGGGGAATCTTTTCAAATTCAAGGGCAACATTCCTTCAAGGGCAATCTTCCAAGAGCCACATACTAGTAGTGGGTGTGGCAAATGGATGCAGCACTCACCTTAGTGGCTTTTGTACTCACCCCCCTCCATCCTGTCAAACAAGTGGTAAAAAGTGTTTGCGGTTAAGATTAAGAAACCAGCCACCAGCGGAAACCACATGAGTTGTTCATAGTCCACAATGACTTCCTGGGCATGACTAACAGACTAGCTTTTGGCCCCAGTCTGTGATGGAGAGCGCCTAAAAAGTAGAAACTGATGCCCATTCATCTAAATCAGCAAACAGTTCCAGCGCCCTACCTAATCTATTAAATCACTGCTGAGCCATTTCAACAGGACGTGAATTATAAAGTGGCACTCACTTTTTAAAGTTCTGCACTGCCCATTAAAGCACCTGAAGGTTGAAACTGGTCTTCCACCCCATCAACAAACTTCTAAAAAATACATCTCAAAAACTTAATGTTTAAAGAAAAACACAGCTGAACACCTAAGTTCTAAAATTGGAACGGTATGGATAAAATTGGTTCCTGTGCAAAGAGGACATGCAATTCTACCCCACCCCCCAACACATGAATACACACATACACACACACACTTGAAACATTTGATCAGCCTACCATGGGCTTAGCCAGGATTTATGTTGGGGTGCAGACTTTATGCTGGGGGGGGCAGAATCTCAGTTAAGTATTTTTATTCATTTACTTGATTGGAGGGGCACCTGCCCCCCCTTGGCTACACCCATGCAGCCTATTCAGATATATTTGCCTAAGAATGTTGTTGATGGCCTTGAAATAATTTTCTTTTTATCTCCTTTTCTTACCTGCATTTTCCTTCTAGTGAAAGTAAGATGAGCCTGTGGTGTAATTTTGATATATGTATTCTTCTTTCCCAGGAAGCATCCTATCTCAAGCACCTCTCTCTGATCCCTCTTTCTTCTGCTTTTGTATGAATGTTATCGGTGAAGCTTGGGATTATATCCAACTATGTTTTTACTTGGAGCAGATCCATGGAAATTAATGGATCTAAATTTTATATATTAATTTCAATTGGACTACTCAGAGCAGGACTAGCATTGGATACTCAGGAACATTGGGCAAAAAGTTCCTACACTGCAGGAGGTTGGACTAGATCAGGCCCTCCCAATCTTGAGTCTCCAGTTGATTTTTGACTACAACACCCATCATCCCTAGCTAGCAGGACAAGTGGTCAGGGATGATGGGAACTGTAGTCCAAAAACAGCTGGAGGAACCCCCCCCCCCAAGTTTGGGAAACTCTGAACTATAGGATTCTCAAGGTCCCTTCCAACTTTACAATTCTATGATTCTACACACCATAATGCTTCATATTGCAATGTCTGTAACTGAAAGACAAAAATCATTTAATGCAAAGGTATTAAATGAAGCTCATTACACAGCCATGGAAATAATCCAAGACCTGTTCGCTTAGTCACCCATAGCAAATAAAGAGTCACTGCCAGGCAACCAGGCAGTGATTGCTTGAGGAGTATTGTCTCCTTCATTTTTCCTACCCCCATATGAAACAAGTGAGTTGAAAACATTATTTTTGCATTGGGCTATGCAAAAGGTAGCTTTGGCTTTATTGTATGTCTCATGGGGACAGATTTCTGTGCATATATATCCCTCCAGATTGTCCCCTTTAACGTGCAGTTTGAAAGAAGTTTCCCAGGCCAAACAAAAGCATTCTCCTACCGTATTCATGCTGTGCTAACAAATGGAGGACTGAAAGAGCAGAAACAAAAAGAAGCAAACCTGAGTAGAGCTGCTTTCATCACCACAAAGCAGCTAACAGTGAGAAGCGTTGTCCATTTTAAAAGCACGAAGGGCCCTGCCAGTAATTTAGATCCAGCAGCTTCACAACATTCTTCAACAATGCAACAGACAGGGGGAAAGTCTTACTGATTCTGAAAATGGAAGCTCTCAGGTAATGTACAGCCCTCCTCCAACTTGGTGCTCTCCAGATATTTTGGGCGACAAATCATCAGCCTCTGATTAGTAGTCTAAAGCAGGGCACCAAGTTAGTGAAGGCTAATATAAAATGTAAAAAAGAAAAGTAATATAAAAACCCCTCCTTGTCGGATTGGAAGCCATTAACTCTTTGCTAGTTCTGTGTAAGTTAGTTCCTAGGGTTGAAAAGCAACACACACATTTCCAAGCCTCCAGCTCTCCATAGCATCCTGGACATAGCTATAAATATATGTGGATACCACTGCCGGATCAGGCCAAGGGCCCATCTAATTCATCAGCCTGTTCTTACAGAGGCCAATAAGATGCCCTTTTGGAAACCCGCAAGAAGGACCTGAAAACAAGAGCCCTCTCCCCTCTTGTGGTTTCCAGAAACTGGTATTCAGAAGCATCATTGCCTCTGACCATAGAAACAAAGGCCTGCGTTCATACAAGAATATGAATTAATCTGTTTGGCTTTAAATAAGCCAAGTAAACCTCCAAAACAAGACATCTAGGAAAAGCATAGATAGCTGCCTTCTACCGAGTCACAGCCTTGGTCCATCTGGCTCAGTATCGCCTACACTGACAGGCAGTGGCTCTCCAGGGTTTCAGGAAGTGTTCTCTCCCTGCGCAACTTGGGAGATGCCAAGGATTGAATGTGGGATCTTCTGCTCTACCACTGAGCTACAGCCCTTCCAAAATATCCTTCTGAAATATTAGAGCCTTTCCAGATGATGGCAGCCATATGAAAACAGTGATAAACCACACTATGCTAAATGGGAAACCAGAGACTGTCACCAAAGAAAATCCTTGCACAGCCTTGAATCTCTTTGCAGCAATAGTGCTTCCATCACTTCCGGGTTCGCAATAAATAGCACAGCCAATTGAGAAAGGCAACTGCCATCTGGCCACATTTAAAGTCAGGCTATAAAAACCCAGCAACTGTGCTCTATTTCAAATATATATAAAATCAGCCATAGGAAAAGAAACATTTACATTTTAACAGCAAAATAACTCCCAAATCACATTTTTGGAAATTTGAACCAAACAAGCAAGAAAAAGCCAGATATAGGACAATGTAGCTTCAAGGTACATTATCGACAGATGAGCAATAAGGCAGGCAAAAAGATCACACAATCCTAGCACAGTTGTCCACATATACCTATTGCTAGTCATTTGTGACACACTGTTCATCTCAATCAACTCTCCTATACAGAATACAACACTAATAGCAAATCACAGGACATTCATCTTTACATATTTGTCTAAGCATATTACTAGGGGTGAAAACTGGCACAGAACTGAGCTGTAAAATTGTTTTAAGAATATACCAAGGGGACAGCAGTTGTCCCAGAGTTGCAAATAAATCCAAGAAGTTTACTGGTCCACAATAAACCCTTACTAGCCAAAAAATAGGCTCGATACAGTTTTCTTCAAGTTCAATTTCAGAGAGGGGAGGTAAGGGGACAGGAGCCCATGAGTGCCAAGGAAGGCCTTTCTGGGCAATTATGCACCCATGAGCGCTGTGTTGGCAACCCATGGCATAAATCAATATGCAATGGGGCAGTACTAAACTTCCCCACTCCCTTACTAAAGGTTTCCCACCGAGTTATCAGTAGGAAATTGTTGGTGATTTCCAATGGCTGTTTACTTGTCCATGTTATTCCAAATTAACACGGTATGAGTGATCATGTGCATATCGCATTATTAGAGAGAGTCCTTCTGGCATAAGGATGCTCAACCTAAGGTCATTTCTCATCCATCCCAGGCTTTTTTGTCTTCTCGCTGTCACATACACGTGCACATACTCTAACATAACTGCTTTTCTGGAATTTGTCTTCATATTTATTATAGCAATAAGCTTTAAAGCAAGACAGGGTTCTAGTGCAGCTGCACAAAAGATGTTGTTGTTGTTGTTTAGTCATTTAGTTGTGTCTGACTCTTCGTGACCCCATAGAGCAGAGCACAACAGGCACTCCTGTCTTCCACTGCCTCCCACAGTTTGGTCAAACTCATGTTAGTAGCTTCGAGAACACTGTCCAATCATCTCATCCTCTGTCGTCCCCTTCTCCTTGTGCCCTCAACCGCTCCCAACATCAGGGTCTTTTCCAGGGAGTCTTCTCTTCTCATGATGTGGCCAAAGTATTGGAGCCTCAGCTTCACGATCTGTCCTTCCAGTGAGCACTCAGGGCTGATTTCCTTAAGAATGGATAGGTTTGATCTTCTTGGAGTCCATGGGACTCTCAAGAGTCTCCTCCAGCACCATAATTCAAAAGCATCAATAATTAAACATTCAGAAGACTGTCACAGGAGGAAGTGTTGCCCGTTGAAAAGAGTACCATAGTTCAGTGACAGAGTATCTGCTTTGCATGCAGAAAGTCCCAGGTTCGTTCCTCAGTGGCATCTCCAGACAGGACCGGGAAACTCCCCTTGTCCAAAAACACTGCAGAGAGCTGCTGCCAGTCAGTGCAGAGTAGACAATACTGAGCTAGAAGGACCAATGAGCTGACTCAGTATTAGGCAGCTTCTTGTGTGCCTATTTAAAATAAGCCCTTTAATTCAAAAATATGGGGACTAAAATCTTGCTTTTTAAAGAAGGAGGCATAGCTCAGTAGTGCAGCAACTTCTTTGCATGCAGAAGGTCTCAGGTTCAATCTGCAGCAACTTCAGGTAGGGCTGGAAATGTGCCCTTGTCTGAAACCGTGAAAAGCTGCTGCCAATCAGAATAGAGCAGGCTTCCTCAAACTTGGCCCACCAGATGTTTTTGGCCTACAATTCCTTAGTTAAAAGGACCAGTGGTCAGGGATGATGGGAACTGTAGTCTCAAAACATCTGGAGGGCCGAGTTTGAGGAAGCCTGGAATAGAGGATACTGAGCTAGATGGACCAGTGGTCTTGTTCAGTATTAGTCAGCTTCCTATGTTCTTAGATATGAAGAACAGGAAGCACCACAAAGACCAACATGTTTATTGTGACATAAACTTTTGTGGACTGATCCAATAGAAAACATGCATGGTAATAAACATGTTATGTCTTCAAGATGTCAGAAGACTTTACTGTGTTGTTGTTACGTTGCAACACACCAACCCTCTGGAAATAGCTACAGTGAATGAAATTTAAGAGACAAGCACAGTTGTGAATCCATTGGGATGAAAACTAAACATTTCCACAGATGATTGAAAGGTTCAGTTTTTATCAGCAAAATACCCCAACATCACCTGTACCACCTTAAAAATAAATCAGTTTGAAGTCAAATGGGTTGTGTCCCATGTTAGTCCTACTCAGTGTAGACCCATTGAAATTTAGACATGACTAAGTTAAACTTCAATGGGTCTACTCTGAGTAGGACTTAGTGAAATGGATGTCTATAAAAACATTTTAAACAGCACATGTTTTAAACAGCAATTAAGCCATCTCACAATATGATTGGGGGGAGCTCCGGCTCCATATTTAGGGAAAGAAACATTTGCAACCCCAGAAACACAATCTGCAATGCGTCCTTACTTCCCAGCTCAAGGCCCAGTGATAACGCAAGAGCAGCAAAAGGTTAAACAGCTAGAAAGGTGTGAGAAGGGATTGTGTTTGCTTTAAATGACAGAAAGCACTCTCAATGAAACTGCAGCGGTTTAAGGTTCCCAGAGATTCAGTAAGGTGTCCAATTCTCTGCATCTATTCACAGCTGACGATAAAAAAACCAATTCCACCATCTAAAATACCATCGCTGCTTGGAAAGGGGTGGGGGGGAATCATACTCTCAACAGAGAAAGAGCTTTTGCAAGCCTAGAGACAGACAGTATTTACACCATTGTTAATCTCATCAGATTGGTCCAGTTTAACCTTGCCTTGCCACAAGCAACAACGCTGTCTCTTATCATCAAAGGGACAAACAGAAGTCTAGTTGGGAAATAATTTGCGGAGTGTGAGAGAAATGATTTGCATGACAAAAACAAAGAAAGTGTGTGCCTGCAGAGAGCTGCTGCGGACTCCCTCCCCCCACTCACAAGCAGTGCCATTATACCCCCCACATTCCATTCCTCCCTGCTAACCCAGATTATGAGCCAAAGTGGGCAGCGGAGGACACAGCCTGGACAGCCAGAATCGCCCGCCAGATAAAAACACTGGCAGTCTCTCTATCTGGGGAGTAAGCAGGTTTTCTTTCCATCTCCAACATGATCAGGTTGCCCTATGGAATTTTTTCCTCACTGCCGGAAAAAGGAGGGAGGGGATTATACCAAAGCAAAACAAAGCAAGAGGGAGGGGGGCACTGCGGGCACTGTGTAAACATTCTCCCCGACCCTGTAGGACAGCACCTTTCTGTCACCTTCCTCCATCTGTTCCATACAGCACCGTATAGACTTGAAGGGATAAGAAGCCCATCACCACCAAGGACACTGCTATTTCCTTCCCCATTTGCACTCTGATCCAGATACACAGAGCATATGATTTGGGGACGTGATTAAGCTTTGTTAAATCCCTATAGGGGAAAGGAGCTCAACATACAGGAATGCAGGAGGAGGAACGGCATAGGGTGGTATAAAAGAGGCATCACTGGAGAAAAGAGTGATAGATGGACTTAACTTCAGAGATAGATTCATGGGCACAGGCGATTAAATTGTAAAACTACAGAGTGAGGAAGGCTATCCATCATCCTCTTTCCTGAGGGGGGAAATAGTGCCCCCACACACTAGAAAGATTTAAAAGAGTGAAAAGGTAGGAGGAGCGATCTTCCTAAGCACCCCCACCTCTTATCAAAAGATGCCCTTGCATGAAGGACTCCACACCTCCAAAGTCAGATGTATGGAGGGAAACAATTCCTTTGGCAGGGTCCGGAGTCTGGGTCCTTCAAACACATGTGCCTTTCTGAGATGGTTTAAAACCAGAGGAGGGGAAAGAGGAATAGAGGAGGCAGAGAATAGCTTTTATACAGAATGTGAAAAGGCCAATGGTGGTCCAGAAAGTACATTTGGATGTAAGAGCGTGGGGTGGTAGACAGAATACTAATAATTAATAAGCACAGTGGGGAGGCAAACATTTGCGGGGGGGGGGGGGGGGGGAGATGCAGGAAGTACAGGCCCCCTAAGAGGACAGCTACAGGAAACAGCTTCAAAAGGACAGGCTGACAAATGCATGTTCGCCAAGCCATACTTAGAGGTGTCCCTGAAGTGGGGTGGACAGTATAAGGTAAGTATCCTGTGCGTAGAAAGATGCTGGTTTGGGGGTCTGGGAAAGTGCTTTAGAAAGGGGAAGAGTAAAAGAAACAAGTATGAAAAAGGTATTTGTGGGTTTAGGAAGTTTGTGTATCTATGTGTGCTTAAGGGAGTGAAATAGACAAATATTGGGGTGGAGAGATTTACTGCTAATGGCATGTTGGTGTTTCCTATGTAAGTACTATGTTAAAAAGAGGGGAGGTATTCTGCTTAGAGGGGAGGAGGTGTTGCTATGAGGTGGGGAAGATGGGATGAAGTGGAAAGGGAATCAAATCCACCACCCCCCCCCAAAAAAAATACAAGCAAGTGAGTGCATGTGTGGAAAAGAGAGTATTAGGTGTATTATGAAACAACAATGCTATATTCTTAATATAAGGAGGGATGTAGTGCAGTAGGGTTACATCATTTATTAAATAATGGAATGTTATAATATCCTTGTTAATCAGGGACTACTAATGATGCACTGTATTATAATGGACAATATAAGTACAAGGATAAAATATTGCATTATCAAACAATGCAATATTAAGCACTATACTCTAGTAGGTATTAATAGTCTTCTGGCTGAAGAGTGGAACCTAAGTACTTTAAATATATACTTTATAAATTATTCATTTTATTAATATATTTCTATTATTAAACGGCTGTGGAAGATTACATATAAAAGTATGAATATGCAATAGTGTCTATATCACTACTAAACAAAGCAATATTAAAATATCCTTATATTAATGGCTGCAATATTAACTTGTACATTCATACATATAGTATTACACAAATAATCCTATACGTATCCACTCAGAAGTACATTGCACTGACTTCCATGGGGCTTAGGATGAATATCCATCTTAAACGCATACACACCTATGAAAGCATACTACAATAAAAATGTATAACATTATCAAATCATGCAATATTTATGCTATGCACTGTCAGACAACTGCACTTTACAGAAAAGGACCCTTTAAAATATCTCCTAATACAAATGCAGCAAGATCTAATAAATAAGAACACTGGGTGATATTCACACAGGGTACACTCATAGGAGACCCACTGAAATTAATGAACCTAAATTGCCCATGTTCACTAACTTCAACGGGTCTACTCCAAGTCGGACTAATGTGAAATGCCACCCGCTGTTATCATATTGTGTGCTGCAATAAGCATCCCAACACTGTTAAACAGACATCTTCCCATTAGGAATACAGAATGAGGCTAACAAATAATTACAATATCGCATGTGCAAAAAAAGGGGCCCAGTACTGTTTCAAGGCGGTTCTCCTAACGCAAATACAGCAAAACACAACACATGAATAAACCACCACCACCAATAAAACAAACAAGCCAACAAATCACGATATTGCACAGCGCGGTAAGTGACCCACAGTAGGTTCTAAAGAGCAATGCAATCGCAGCGCAGGCACAACAAACGAAGCAGCAGCATCACCTTCGTCGTCCTTATTGATCCCTTCCATACCAATGCTACGTTATTATCATGATCATCATTGCAATGTCACTGCTGTCTATATTAGGGCAACGCAAATCTTCTTTATATGCACATATGCACATACCTGTATCTATCCGTATACAGAAAACGCGCGCCCAAACACACATACGCGTCTATCTACATATGCATATGGATAGACATTTCTGCAATAAAAAGGGAAAGCGCAAACACTGTTACGAAGGTCTCCTTGGCAAGGCAAGTGCAGCACCGTGCCTAAGGTGCTATCAGTTAAGTGCAACGCTGAGGCGTTATCCTCCTACGGCACTAAACGGGGTGGGGTGGCTGGAGACCTGGACACCCCAACCTATTTTTTAAAAATTTATCTCTCTCACACACACAATATTAATTGTTGTTTTCCTCCCCCACCCTCCCCTCCGCCTCCTGGCTCACCTCGGGCAGCGCGGACCCGTCCGCAGAGCAGCGCAGCCAGGAGGAGGCAGGCGGGCGCCAGCCGGGAGGGCAGCATCTCTGCTAGGCCGGGAAGGCGCTTCTCCGCCTCGCCTCCTCCTCCTTCTCCTCCCCGGCGCCCCCCGACCGACCCCCCGTTGAGGGGGAGGGCAAAAAAAAAAAGGGCTAAAGGAAACGGGGGGCGGATATTAGCGATACTAATAACGACACATTAATAAATAATAGCAACGGTAGTAATAAATAATAAGGGTGAGGGGGGGTGTCCGGGGGCGGAAAATAAAAGGGAAGGGAGGAGAGGCAGCCGTTCCTCTCAGACCAGCCCGGTCGCCGCGTCTTCCTCCTCCTCCTCCTCCTCAGCCCGGCGCTGGCTCCGCTGGCTTGCGAACTAAGATGGCGGCCCGCTCCGCTCCCTTTCGCCGCTCCCTCCCGCACCGGTTGCCAGGCGACGGAGCGGGGGAAGGAACCAACTGGGAGGGGAAAGGAGGGTGGTGAGGCGGAGGGGGAGGAGATACCATCGGGCGGAGTGGTGGAGGGGGGAGGAAAGGCAGAGGCCGAAGGAGCAGCCTAAGCCGGGGAGAGGGGAATGGTAGGAGAAACCGTGATTTCACACACACACACACACGCTGGAGGAAGAGAATAGAATCGTGGGGTTGGAAAGGATCCTGTGGGTCATCCATTCCAACGCCCTGCAATGCAGCAATCTTGGGGCCCAACGTGGAGCTCCCTTCCAGCTCTGCATTTCCATTACCGGGAAAAGGCGCTGGAATAATAATAATAATAATAATAATAATAATAATAATAATAATTTATTTATACCCCGCCCATCTGGCCGAGCCTCCCCACCCACTCCGGGCGGCTTCCAAACAAGTGTTAAAAACAATACAGCATTAAATATTAAAATCTTCCCTAAACAGGGCTGCCTTCAGATGTCTTTTAAAGAGAAGATAGCTGCTTATTTCCTTCACATCTGAAGGGAGGGCGTTCCACAGGGCGGGCGCCACTACCGAAAAGGCCCTCTGCTTGGTTCTCTGTAACCTCACTTCTCTCAATGAGGGAACCGCCAGAAGGCCCTCTGCGCTGGATCTCAGTGTCCGGGCAGAACGATGGGGGTGGAGACGATCCTTCGGGTATACAGGACAGAGGCCGTTTAGGGCTTTAAAGGTCAGCACCAACACTTTGAATTGTGCTCGGAAACGTACTGGGAGCCAATGTAGGTCTTTCAAGACCGGTGTTATGTGGTCTCGGCGGCTGCTCCCAGTCACCAGTCTAGCTGCCACATTCTGGATTAATTGCAGTTTCCAAGTCACCTTCAAAGGTAGCCCCACGTAGAGCGTATTGCAGTAATCCAAACGGGAGATAACTAGAGCATGCACCACTCTGGCAAGACAGTCCGCAGGCAGGTAGGGTCTCAGCCTGCGTACCAGGTGGAGCTGGTAGACAGCTGCCCTGGACACAGAATTAACCTGCGCCTCCATGGACAGCTGCGAGTCCAAAATGACTCCTAGGCTGCACACCTGGTCCTTCAGAGGCACAGTTACCCCATTCAGGATCAGGGAGTCCCCCACACCCGCCCGCCCCCTGTCCCCCAAAAACAGTATTTCTGTCTTGTCAGGATTCAACCTCAATCTGTTAGCCGCCATCCATCCTCCAACCGCCTCCAGGCACTCACATAAGGGAATTTCCCGCAAAAAAGGGAAGGTTGACAGCTATTGGGGGGGGTGTGAGGTTATTGATGGCTGATAGCTGTAGTGGCTGAGCTCTGCCCCACAGCTGGAGGCAGTTGAGCTTCTGAATACCAGTTGCTGGAAGCTGCAAGAAGGAAGGGTGCTCTCATGCTCGGGGCCCAGTTGCTGGTTCCCCACAGGCATAATATGGGTGACCACTGTGAGAACAGGATGGTGGACTAGAAGGACTGCCAGCCTGACCCAGTAGGCTCTGCAGGGTTGTTATTGCTTTAAAAAGAGGCATTCACCCTTCTTACATTAAAGTGGGCTTGCATCTGATGCTAGTCCTGCTCAGAGTAGACTCACTGAAGTTAATAGCATGTAGCCAATCTGTACCACCAGTGACGGGAGGAAGCGGGGGTATGATTATTATTCTTACAACAATTACAAAGAAATTGCAATCTTTATATAGCCGATAAAAACATGGAAAACGGGGGGAAAGAGAGAGGCTGATGGGCATCGCCTAATTTTAGGACCATTAGTTTCTATGGGTCTACCGTGAGTAAGATTTTAGACGCAGACAACCCACTGTGAGTGCTGCCCACCAACTGGAGAACCAAGGAACTGAGCTTCTGAGAATTTGGGAATCCAAGCTTGGGGCTTTGCATGTGTTATAAGAATTTGAAGGTCTCAAATATAGAATAAATATTCATAAATGCACACAAACCTAAATATATGAACCATGTGATAGTATGGGAGAGCACTCCTGGAGCCATTTTGACTCTCCCAATGACCTCAAATATTCCTCTGCGTTAAGGGAGTCAAATGGGGAAAGCCTTCCCATTGCCTTTTTGCTTGCAAATCCTGCCTTAAGGGCATATTTGTGTATGAATAGGGTGAGCCTGTAACCGGATTCAGGAATTAAAGCATTACCATCACAAAAGAATGGCCAGGGTGCCCAGGTAATGTAATCAGTGACCATTATCAGGTATTCTGACAGACAGGATTCCTGCTGGAGACCCTCTCCTTCTGTGATGTATGTATGATGTTTTAGAGGAGTGGTCTTGGGATACAGGGTGGGCAATTTCAAAAATCTACATAACGGCTTGCCACCATTGTTCAGGGTTCTCATCCCTTCTGCATGTGGTGAGTGGGGACCCTGTTGCAACTGTTTGTTTCCTTTAATAAAGATCAGGCTTACTAGCCACTTTGCTTCTCAATATACTCTGGTTGGCCTCTGTTTTCTCCTACCAATAAGGAACCCATTTAAGGACTCTATACAGGCTCCAGAATACCCCATAAGGGAAAGGGAGCAGGGTTTTTTTTCTTATAACACATTAAAACCACTTTGTTCTTACTCATAAGTCCCACTTGAGTTCAAAGGGATATAGGATTGTGATATTACAGTTGTAGATCTGAAGGAAGAGGAGTGAAGAGATGGGGGGAAGGTAAAAGCTCCATTGTGCTTTTAGCCAGCTTCAGCTAAAACAATTGTTCTAGCTTGCAAGTTAGCTCTGCGGTTAGACAGTGGTTTCCTGTCTGCAGTCATACTTAGCTGAAGCAAAAGAAACCCAGCTTGATAGGCCGGTAGTGGCTCATATCTGCTTCAGGTGTGGTGAGCCTTGTGGTAAGCTAACTTCGCACCTCAGCTCTGCAAAATGCAAACATTTTTAACGCAGAAGCAAACAAAATGCAATGGAGGGGGGGAGGGCTCAGCTAGCCCAATAAGGTAATGAAATGTATCTCTGCTTGTTGATTGGGGAGCAACTGGGGGCAAGCTTGAAATTACTGTATAAGACTGCTTGGAAGACAATAGAGGGGGCCAGTCTTTGGAAACTATTCCACTGGCTACCTCTGCGCAGATTTGCAATAAAGCCTTTTTCTCCGTGAATCCCACCCTGGAGTATGTTTGTCTCCTTCTTGGTACCAGCAGGGGCAGGTGACTGGAACCGGACCCCTTAGGATCAGATATCCTAACATATCTGGTGCGTTGGCCGGGAAACCCACCTCTCCTGCTGTTTGATCTTGAAGGCCAGGCTCGACTGGACGAACAGCTTGGATCGGCGTAGGAGGTTCCAGCGCGCGCCCGCCAGTTGCGGGAGGATTCCCTCACTCCGTTCCTGAGTGGAGACGTCCGGTCGTGGGAGAAAAAGGATCGGCCGAGGGAGGACACAGGGTGTGTCTCAGGACATAGAGGTAAGCTCTTGGGAAAGAAAAGAGCAGGAGATCTGATCAATCTCACCTGGAGTGTGGCAATTAAGTGCCCCCAGGAAGGCTTGGCTGGGACAGTGAGGTCCTGCTGCCAGTGTGTGGGAAAGGAAAAGGGTAAAAAAAAGGGGGGGTCCCTTTGCCAGTCTGTGGAAAGGGAAAAGGGTGGAGGTGGACTGTGAGGGTGTGGAGGTGAACTGTGTGTTGTATGACCAAATACTCCAGTGAAAGGATGAATGTGTGAGAGGTCGGGGCTTAGCGTCTCCGTGGCCAAGCGTGTCTAGGGCTGTACTCGTCTAAGCCACAGGCTGTAGTGTGTGAAGTGGGCAAGGTGTTGATTTTGGCTAGGAGCGGAGTATTCTGGTAAACATGGGTTCAGGAAACAGTAAATGTACCCCTTTGGAATGCTTCCTGAACAACTGGAAATTGGCCACGAAAAATGACGACTGGGGGTTCAAATTGAAGAAGGAGAGGCTTAGGACCCTTTGTGAAGTGGACTGGCCGACGCAGGGCACTGCCTGGCCGTCCCAAGGCAGTTTTGAGGGGCGGTTGATCAATCCCTTGCTGCAGAGAATAATTGAAGACCATCCAGATCAAATTCCCTATATCTCCACGTGGAAAACCAATGTGGATAAAAACCCCCCTTGGCTGCAGGCTTGCCGAACTGCTCCAGCAAAGGCAAGGATCTGTGCTGTCCGGCAGCAGAAATTACCTCTTGTGGTTCAGGACACAGAAGAGGAATTAGCTGTGAGACCACCTCCTTATAGACCCCCAATACCGGCAGTACCACAGAATGGCCCACCCCTGCAGAATAACCTCCAGAATAATCCCCCCAACCCAGTTGGTGGCAGCCCTATCAACCCAAGCCCTGAGGATAAAGACCCCACCAAATCAGAGACAGCTAAGGAGGATGAAAGTGATGATGATGAGGGGGATGAGGAGACACTGTTAAAGATGTTGGAAAAGAAGGTACAGAAGGGGAGAAGTGGAGTAAGAAGCAAGACAAATGGATAAAGGACTATGTAGACCCCTATAAAGACCAAGTGGATGTTAGTCCCCACCTCTTAGAAGTGGCACGTTGTGAGGATGGGCACTGGAAAAAGAAACAAAAGAGGTGGCTGGAGGCAGCACGTAGAGCCGCCACCCACCATGAGAGAGAGAGAGAGAAGAAAGATCAGGCTACAGCCTTGATGCCCCTCCGGGTAGTTTATGACCCCCCAGGACCGCCAGGGAGAATGGGGCAGCAGCACCGCGCACCTACACAATCCAACATGTGCCTTTTTCAACTGCTGATATTTGCAATTGGCGCAATCAGAACCCTTCCTTTGAGGAGAACCCAGCCAAAATCATTAAACTTTTTGAAGGGATCTTTAAGACTTATGATCCTACTTATGATGATGTTCAATATCTTTTGGACTCTCTGTTAACAACGGAAGAAGTCCGGAGGGTCCATAGTGAGGCAAGGGCGCATCTGAGGCAGTTACAATTAAATGATAACCAAATAAATGATGCCTACCCCCGAGCCACTCCTAATTGGGACTATCAGGATCAGAATGCTCGGACTGCCCTGGCAACATACAGGAACCATGTACTGGCAGGAATGAGGAGGGCAGCTAGGAAGCCTACTAACTTGGCTAAGGTGGCTGAGGTGGTCCAGAAATCAGATGAGTCACCAGGGGTTTATTTGGAGCGTCTGAAGGAAGCCTACCGGCAGTTTACCCCTCTGGACCCAGACGATCCTGCCAATGCTCCGGTTGTTAAGGCAGCCTTTGTGGCCCAAGCCACTCCCGATATTCGCAGAAAAATTCAAAAAAACCGAAGGGTTTTTAGGACATGGGCTGGAGTGGATGTTAGAGGTGGCACAAACCACGTATAACCAGAGAGATGAGGTAGCCCAGAAGAAGAAAGAAAATTACCAGGCTAAGAAACTCATGGCTCTGCGCGCCAGCAACAGCGGCACGGGGGAACCTGCCCGGGGAGGAGGGCGCGGCCGCCTGGGACGCAACCAGTGCGCCATCTGCCGCCAAGAGGGCCACTGGAAGAACGAATGCCCTCAGGGAAGAACTGGAGGCAGGGGAGGCCGGATTCCTGGCACCATCCCCATGGGAGATGGCACTGACTTAAGACCCTGGGCTGTGCCTGGGGGACCCTCCAGGGGACGAGGAAGGGGAAGAGGAGGCCTTTGGTACCCGCCTGGGAACCGAGGACAGGCTGAAGCCATGAGCCTGCAGCAACACCAGGATGAATATTAGGACAGACCGGGCCCAACTAATTTAGGTTCCCGTGAGCCCATGGTCAAAATGCAAGCAGGGAACCACATGATTCCTTTTATGGTTGACACAGGCGCGGCTTACTCGGTCGTCCCAACCCCGTTGCGAAACTAACTACAGAATTCATTAATATAGTGGGAGCCACTGGAAAGTCCCAGCAGGCACCATTTCTACAGCCGGTCACCTGCAAATTAGGAGGCCAAGTGGTGCAGCATAATTTTCTGTATGTTCCTGAATGCCCTATTCCATTGCTGGGAAGAGACTTGTTGTCCAAATTACAAGCCCAGATCACTTTTAAACCATCCGGAGAGGCCACCATGTCCACAATGCCACCTGGAGAATTGGTTGTGGAAGCACCCCTGAGGGAGTATTGGCGCCTCATGATGATAAGAGAAGAGGAGGGGCCCATTCCAACCAGCCTCTTAGAACAAGTAAATCCTGAAGTATGGGCTGAAGGCAACCCTCCTGGCATGGCTAAAAATATACCCCCAATAATTGTAAGGACGAAGCCCTTCGTGAATCCGGTGGCTGTGAACCAGTACCCCATCCCTCGAGCGGCAGCAGAAGGAGTGTGGACTCACCTGCATAGGCTCCTACAACATGGCATCTTGAAGCCCTGTCAATCCCAGTGGAACACTCCCTTGCTTCCAGTAAAGAAAGAGGGAGGTGGCTACCGTCCGGTCCAAGATCTGAGGCTGGTGAATTCAGCTGTGGAAACCCTCCACCCCAACGTCCCCAATCCTTACACTCTGCTGAGTTTAATCCCCCCTGATGCGAAATACTTCTCTGTACTCGACTTGAAAGACGCGTTCTTTTGCTGCCGCCTAGCGGGGGGAGCCAGCACTTATTCGCTTTCCAATGGATTGACCCAGTCACAGGCACTAAAACTCAATACACTTGGACGCGCCTCCCGCAGGGCTTCAAGAATTCACCAACTCTTTTTGGGGTAGCTCTAGCATCGGACCTTGCCAGTTTCCCCACTACTCCCAGTAAGATTGTGTTGCAGTATTTCGACGATCTCTTAGTGGCCTGCGTGGACGAAAGCGCGTGCTACGAAGCCACACGGGACCTCTTAAATCACCTGGCTGAAGCAGGCTACCGAGTCTCCAAGTCTAAGGCTCAAATTTGTAAGACAACTGTCAAGTATCTTGGCTTTGACATCTCTCACCAGCGACGGACCTTAAGGGATGAACGCAAGCAGGCAATCACTCGGATCCCAGAGCCACGAAACCGGAAGGAGCTCCGCGGTTTCTTGGGATCTGCGGGTTTTTGCAGAATTTGGATTCCCAACTACAGCGAAATTGCACGGCCGCTGCATGAGTCTACTAGAGGAACAGAGAAGGATCCCTTTATCTGGGGCCCTGAGCAGCAACAAGCCTTCCAAGGCCTCAAGACGGCCCTACAACAGGCCCCAGCACTGGGAATCCCAAACCCAGAGAAGCCATTTACCCTCTATGTGGATGAGGACCAAGGAACAGCGAAAGGGGTCCTTTGCCAGAAACTAGGAAGTTGGCAACAGCCTATAGCCTATTTGTCTGAAAGGCTGACCACCACGGAGCAAGGCCTGCCCCCCTGCATGCGGGCAGTAGTAGCAGTGGCCTGCTTGCTTAATAAGGCTGACAAGTTTGCCTTTGGACAAGACATCACATGTGTTACCCCACACGCAGTACCCGCCCTACTGGATATGAAGGGCACTTACTTCCTATCCCAAGCTAAGATGATGAAGTGCCAGACTTTGCTGATGCACCCACGCTTGAAGTTCCGTGTCACAGAGGCCCTCAACCCAGCTACTCTGTTACCTGTAGGAGAGGAAGAGGAGCCAGCCCACGATTGCATACAGGTCATGGACGAAGTCTACTCCAGTAGACCAGACCTTAAGGATGAAGCCAATCCAGCGTGGCCTTCCTGGTTTGTGGATGGCAGCAGCTTCGTGGAAGAGGGACAACGGAGAGCAGGATATGCCATCGTGGCCCTCGAGGATGTAGTCATTGAAGCCTGCCCCCTCCCACCAGGAACATCAGCTCAACTGGCAGAAATTACTGCTTTGACACGAGCCCTGCGCCTGGCTGAAGGTACAGATATTAACATCTATACGGACTCTAAGTATGCTTTTCTTACCCTGCACGCTCATGGCGCCCTCTGGAGAGAACGAGGACTGCTGACCTCGAAAGGGAGCCCTGTGGCCCACCCACAAGCACTCTTGGATCTCTTGGATGCAGTGTGGGCACCCCGCCAAGTGGCCGTTGTCCACTGCTACGGCCACCGGACAGGATCCAGTGATGATGCCCGAGGAAATCGTTTGGCAGATCGAATAGCCAAAGAGGCGGCGCGACGGCCAAACCCGGCCCCCCTCGTTGCTGCCTTGATACCTGAGCAAGTCTTGGACACCAGCCTCAAGCCCCACTATACCACCCAGGAGGAAATGACAGCCAACACTGAGGGACTGGACATTTCAAAGGATGGCTGGTACCTTACCCCAGATGACCGCGTGTGGGTCCCGGAATCCCTAGCCCGCCAAGTGGTTCAGCGCTATCACGATTCCTTACATGTAGGACCAGATGCCATGACCAAGCAGCTGGGAAAGTGTTTTTACATCTCCAAGCTCTATCAACTGGCTTCACAAGTCTCTAAGCGTTGTGCCCTATGCCAGAAGAACAACCCTAGGGCCGGCCTTCTGCCTCCTCCAGGAGTTCAACATTGTGGCACAGCACCCATGGAAGATTTGGTTGTGGACTTTACCGAGCTGCCCCGTTGTGGCCTATATCGTTACCTCCTTGTGGCTGTGTGCACTTATACAGGGTGGGTGGAGGCCTGGCCCACCAAGACTGAGCGGTCATCTGAAGTTGCTAGGTGTCTGCTCCGGGAAATCATTCCCCGCTATGGCTTGCCTCGCTCCATAGGGTCGGACAATGGTCCAGCTTTTGTGCACAAAGTTTTGCAGGAGATAGCTAAGCTCTTGCAGATAAATTGGAAGTTACATAGTGCATACCGACCCCAGAGTTCTGGAAAAGTAGAGAGGATGAACAGGACTTTGAAAAATCAACTGTCCAAATTGACACAGGAGACAGGGTCCAATTGGGTAGCGATGTTGCCCCTCGCCCTGCTCCGGGTTCGAAGTCTCCCATCCAAGCGAACCCATCTCTCTCCCTTTGAACTGATGTTTGGGAGACCTGTTCCCTATGTACGCATGATTTCCCCCACCCCGGTCCAGGATGTTGAAACAGATCATTATGTGCAGTCACTCTCCCGCACTTTTCTTTCTCTCAACAGGTGGACCCAGGCTCGTACCCCGTGTGTGTTAGTCGAACCCCTACACCGTTTCGAGCCGGGCGATGATGTGTGGGTAAAAGACTGGGCCCAAACTCCGCTACAGCCTTGCTGGAAGGGTCCCTACACTGTGCTTCTCTCTACACCCACTGCTGTCAAGGTTGCTGGCATCGCCCCTTGGGTCCACCATACTCGTGTGAAGGCGGCATCTTCAGACTGGACTGTGTCTCCTAACCCGCAAGATCCTCTTCGGCTGACCATCTCCAGGCGCCCGACGGACGACTGCCCTGCTGCTGTCACTCCGGGAAGCTGATAGCTCTACGCACGGCCGAAGATAAGGATGGGAGGGGTACCCAACGCCAGTACCCCCAACGTTCCTGATAGCCAAGCCCTTCCCCACACCCCTATCATGCCTGATATGTGGTGGGAGGAGTCCTGGACTCCCGGGGCTTGGTGGGCTTGGGTTCTGTGTATGCC